CAACCTCACCCACCACCCCCACTGGAAATACATCCGCCGCTGGTCCACCTTCGTCCCCGAACCCGGCTACGAAGACATCGACGACATCCTGCCCATGTACGCCGCCACACAGCTCTCCAGCGTCGATCTACGTTGTAACGTGAATGCCACGCATACGCCTGATGTGCTGGACGTGTATGCCGGGGAGGAGGTGACTTGGCATGTACCGTATACTATTAGTCATCCGGGGCCGTTGATGGGGTATTTGGCGAGGGCGCCAGGAGGGGGGTTGTGGGGGTGGGGAGGGGGGAGGGGGGAGGGGGATGTGGTGAGTGATGTTTTTGGTTTGTTTTGTTTAGGAGAAGAGAAGGGGAGGTTAGAGGGAAAAGAAGGAGGAAATGGGGAGGATGTTGTGTTGATTATGTGTAGTGGTTCAAGATCTACGAAGACTTCCCGACTTGGTACACAGAGACTTATCAGAATGGGTATATCGCGCATTCTGTGAGATGGCCGAATTTAGGTATGTACTCACTTTTCACTCTCGTCTTCAAATTCGCTCTCCCATCCTATACACCCGCCAAACAATCTCCTCTCCCATCCCCAATCTCCCCTTTCCCTTCCTCATCCACCCCATCTCTTCCCCCCCCCATCATTAACCACCCCACAGACCTCTCAACCCTCCCCATCCCCCTTCCCCCAACCCTCCCACCAGGAGAATACCTCTTCCGAATCGAACACATCGGCCTCCAAACAGCCACCGATCCCACTCTCGGAGCCCAGTTCTTCGTGTCATGTGCTCAGATACGAGTTCTTCCTCCCATCAACCCCCAAACCACCATCCAGAACCACGGTGTTGGTGGTATCCCAGGTCCCTTGGTATCCATACCAGGACTCTACCTCCCGACGGATGAGGATCTGAAGGTTAATGTATATGGTGTTAATGAGGTACGTACCCTCTTAAAGTAGTAGAAAGAGCGCGGAGGGTTGAGAAGAAATAAAGCTAACGTGAACATAACAGACGACATACCTCAACGAACCATACATGACACGAACGCCCGGCCCCGCGATTTGGAAGGGTTAAAGTATTTTCGGGGACCTGGAGGTAGTGCTAGCGTCGAAGGTCATTCCTGTATTCAGCTCCTTATAGTATTATCTTTTAAAAAAACAAACATCCAGGCATTCAAAATTCAAAATTCAACATCCTAAACATTTGGAAACAAGAGAAGAATATCTTCCATCCCATCTCATTCCATCTCCCCAGAACAAAGAACCACCCTTCCTTCCCTCCCCCTCACAATCTTCCCAAAGTCTTTTTCCGCCCCCCTTTTTTCCGATAATTCAACCTCCCTCCATACCTCGAAAACCCGTGAATGCGTACCTACCTAGCTACCTACTTTCCATCAGAGCCTAACTTCCAAAATATCTCACCCTCGCACCCCCTTCTCTTCTTTCACCACCACCACCACCAGCAAAGCAAAAAAAGCACTACCAAAACCTCCCCGTCTCACATGCGGCATGCCTCGTCTCCAGACCCTCAAAAAAAAAAAATTCCTTTCCCATTTGCAACTCCATCATACTCAACAGCACAGCACCAAAGATCTTGATAAAGCAAACCCCGTTTTCTTTCGAATCCCTTGATTTCAACTACCTCGCTAATTCACAAACCAACCCCATAACCCCTAAACCACATACTACTAAATCCCCCAACCAAAAATATTCCGCCCCCAAAATAAACTGTCCAGACCTGTCCAAGCCATAAATATACAAGCACAAAACCAATACAAACATCATCTCCCTGATTCAGTCACCAAACCCACCCGTATTCTGAGACTTCATTATCAACGCCGTCAACTCCGCAATCTGCACACTCAACGCCGCAACCTTCTCCTCCAACTCCGTTTCTCTTTCCTTGACCATCGCAATCTCAACAGCGCACTCTGGACCAGGAATTTCCACGTCGACATTTTTGAGCATGCCACCAGAAGTAAACTCTTCGTGATCGATTGCTCCACCCGTCATGTTTGATTGTACTCTTGTTTGAGACCCCGATACATATGATCGACCTCGGGCCGAATCCGCATTCGATTTCCCCGCCGACTTTCCCTTTGCCCTATTTTCTCTTGTTTTGACAGCGTCGAGTAAAAGCTGAGTTGATTCGGGAATATGAGATGAGAATAGAGCTTCCCCGGAATGATATTTCCTCCCAGGAAGGTGTTCCAGAAGCCAGATTATCGACACAATTGGTATATGACTGATCCTTAGCAAATGAATGCGTAGTAGTCGCAAGTGGTGCGGGGCTAGAAAGATACGAAGTGGTTTCACAAAAAAAAGAGGGATCAGGTTCTGAAGCGCGTTGGTTAGCATAAAGAGTAGAACATGGGCCAGGGTATTTACCAGAGGTGGAAAGAAGTGCGTAAGACTGTTGCTAGTTGAGGCCTCGAGGACATATACAGAGTAGACGTAGATCTGTTCTTCTCGTGCGTTGGCGAATATTCTTGAAAAGCTCTCTCGCATTACACAGACTAATGATGTGATCAAAAGAATGTTAGTCATGCAGACGTAGATGATCATTAGCGGAGGACCAAGTCGGGGGTCAATTTCGTTCATGATGTTGAATCCTTCACCACTCGCTCCGAAGAAAACCCTGGTTAATGTCCAATTCATCTCCCTCATTGAAAAGGTTTCTCTGGCAAGTAATGAAAATGTGGTCAAGAATCCTACGAGGTTTAGCATGAGCTGCTTCGACTCGATCAAGAATACTTACCAATTTGTATGATACCGACGATAACCATGAATTTGATAAAGTCCGTCATCATAGCTTTTAGACAAGGGATCTGGGTTTATAAATCAGCATCTGAACTCATTGCGAGCATGAAGTTGCCCTACCAATGTGGCAAAATAGGGGAGAAGACTCAAAAGAGAACATAATCTCGGAACCATGAAGAGAGCCTCCAGTGAGAGTATATCGAATGCCGTGTTAACAATGTCATCGTTGTGTTTGATCATACCCACCGCGCCTGCGTAACAATTAGAACTGCTTCGTAAGAGTAGAGTAAGACATACGAAGACCCATGAACGCTGCACCAATCAGAATAATGATGGAATCAAAGGCGTTCCAAATATCAACAGAGTACACCATCGTGCCAGCCCCAATGAACTCGGAGAATTCATCGTATGCAAATGCAGCAAACCATATGTACAGCATGATCTCTGAAGGATATATTCGATACCTGTACCAAATTAGCCAGGAAGATAAAAGAGTTGCAATGACTTACATGTCCCGCTCCATGAGAACAACATAGTAAAGAATCAAGAAGCAGACAAAGAAAATAAACTCGAAGGTCTTGATATACTTGGGCACTTTCAATCGTGCGTAGGGTTTCGACTCGGCGCGGTTGTAAAATTGTGGCTGCTTTACTGAATGCTCATTGAGGTCTTCCCAAAAGTAAATGTCACCTTTCCAAATACCGGTAATGATCTTCTGTATGATCGCTTGACTAAGGAACTTCTTCGAGTCGGACACTACAGCAATCTCAAGAGCTGTCAAACCAATGAAAGACGACGTTGGATCCTGTACCGCATGCTTCGCATCGCTATTCTTCCGTACAATAGGTGTGCTGCCCATATTAAGCATTGCGGCTTCCAATTCCGTACGTCTGCTAGTCGCAGGCCTACTTATTGCTGTTTGACGACGAGACGCAAACCTTGGCAAAAGCATTGAACGTTCCGAGACCGCGGTTGAAGATGACTGTATGGACTGATCCATGTCCGTCAGAGGCTCAATTTCGTACAAGCAGAAATCGACAGCTTCTCGCTCAGAAAGTCGACTCAAGTATCTCCATGCTACAATCTCACAGGCCGTCGCCCTCGTCTCGTTGATTTTGGGATCATCGGCATCAAGGGTAGAGAAATGCCATTTGAGGGTTCTGTAGACGCATCAGAAACGCTCCATGTAACGGACATTGCACTTACAACAGGGCACTGATAATGACCTTGTTTTTGGTGTTGATGATCAAATAATCGACCAAATTCCGTAATTTGTTTCCGGCAGCTGTCGTCCGAAATTGTTCAAAGGAATACGGGAGATTTATTTCATCGACGAAGAAGCTGAACTCCAATTAATACAGATTTCTCACGAGACAAGATATCCTTACATGGACAATTCGCGAACAACATCGACGAAATGGTCTTCAGGGCCAATCTTGGGAAGATCTGATAACCATTGTTCTCCGGTGAAGAGGTCGTCTATGAGGGAACCAGGAGCAGAACCAGCATCCGACATATTGTTTAATTTGGTCTATCCGTGCGAGGAGGGTCCTAGATCAATCAAGCCAGCTCTGTGACTGTTGGCGAATGTATTACTTTCTCACGGCGGTCTTCTCGAAATGTGTCCTCGGATGAGGTTGAAGGAAGAAGGAGTTTGCATGTTGGAATCCATCTTGAGTTGGCAGTTGCGATACGTGAATGTGACCAGGAATTTCTCGTACAGTCACAACTCTATGTGGTTAAGTGCAGAAGGAGCCTCCCTCGAAATGTTCCCCTGAGCCACCAGAGAGCCGAGAACCATCAGATACGCGAGACGATGAAACCATAGGCTCCACTTATCTTGGCCACTCAGAAGCCGCTGTTGATCTGACGGCTTTGTGCCTTGGTGCCTGGGGTCAAAGCTAACTCCAGGCAAACGCGGGGTGCCATCATCACGACCCACCGGCTTTACCCCCCGTCACCCTGGTCAATCGCATTTACAACTATTTCCTCCTCCAAAGAAACAACTCAACCCAATCAACTTTACATCACAGCAATTATCGAGGCAAATCGGTTTACGTCAAAACAAATCTCCGAAACTCAGGAAAGGCCGCAAAGTATCACGTTGGAAGACGACTCAAGCAATTATTCAAACCTGCCCGCCTGGTATATTGAAAGCTTCAACTAGCTGGCACAAAGCACCACCGAGTCACATTTACACTGCTACTACCAAATACATCCACGCAACCCAGCTATCTAAGTAAGCTCAATATGGACAACCCTTTAAGTTCCGAGAACATTCTCAAGCACATGGCAAATGCCATCCCAACGCATCCAAAGAATGATACCAGCTCAGACATGAGTAGCTCATACGAAGCGATTGCATTATTCTCACACGCATGCATGATTGCAGTAGGATTCCGGCTAGTTGGATTTAAGGAGGGACAGAAGAAGGGTATACGATTCCAGGTGCTATGTTGCTTCCTAGCTGATGTTTGTTTAGCATCAGAGTTCGAGTCGATTGCGCCGAGGCTACACGCAGATTGGAATACCTCATTCGGTTCACATTCCTTCCTATATGCACACTCTCATTCATCGATGGAATATGTTATCAAGGTGGATAGACTAGGAGGAAAGGCAGAAATACGAGGAATAGGAATTGGCGATGAGAAGATAACCCGGTTAGAAGTTGTGGCAAAGGATTATATCTCTTCAGCGGCACTTCCATTACGAATTACTTTGACAGAATCTGGGGATGAGGATCGATCAGATCTCGAAACAAAACTCAAAGACATATTCATTTCCCCTTCTCGAATTCAAGGTATGATTTCAGCCATCATCCAGCTGTCAGGTATCACTAACACCCAAATCAGACCTCGCATCTCTCTTCCGAATCAACATAATCTCAAAATTAATCCCCGGACTCAACAAAGACGGTTACGAAATCGGCAACTCAGCCGGGAACGAAGCAAGTCAACAAGTACACGACCAACGAGAAGAAGATCTAGCACGTAGAAGGCAAAACCGAGATCCTGCAGACTCAAACCCCGAACCAGCACGCATATACCCATTTTCAGACCCTCTCGTTCCAGCACCCCACCGTCGTCCTTTTCCCGAAGGCGAGATGCGACCACCCGGATTCGACGACGAACTCGACATTCACCGTCCCCTCCGTGGCATGGCCGCACCTCATCCCAGCGCCCGCTCACCCTTCGGAATAGGACATGATGATCTCAACCCCCCAGGTCTCGGTCCATACGACCCTTTGCGTGGAAGCTTTGTCGGCGGAGGCGGCGGGATGGGGATGGGTGGTGGTATGCATCCGACGTTCGATGATCCATTATTCGGCGGCGGAGGACAAGGACAAGGCCAAGGTGGTTGGAGACCGGGAAATGCACCGCCGGGTGCGAGATATGATCCTACGGGACCTGGAGGTGCGCCGAGGGGTGGTGCCGGTGGTGCGCCGCACAATCCGTTTGGAGGGTTTGGGAGTGGTGATTTTATGTAGGTGTATTCATGTATAGTAGTTTAACAGCGGATTTTAAAGTGGATTCTCCCCTCTTGTTAGGTTGGCAAATGAGGGGGATAATGGTTCCGTGTACTATTAGTAGCTAGAATGTAGGAATTGCGAATACAGGTATCCTATATAGATCTTAAAACATACCTTATTATAAGTAGATATCTATCTTACTATTACGTATATTAGAATATATCTCTAACAAATACTATATAAGAAAGAAAACAACGGTAGTGCTACTACGGTTTATTTTCCCTAGGGGGTTTTAAAAATTCATTATAGCTTTATAGTAGATTAAACTAGATTATCCTCTCTTGTAGCGTCTATTAAAGGAGGAGAGAGATAAATGGAAATTTGTATATTATTAGTAGTGAGATTAGGTACTTGTAAGAAAATATTAGACTTCTAGGTCTTTAGATATAGTATATTTATACGAGACACTCTAACTGTTCCTATCCTCAGCCTTACATTCTATTATAACCTATCCCCTATCTCTAATAACTACAAAAAAAAACTACGAGATTAGAATATCTATTTACAACCTCCCCTCTTTTCACCCCTTCTCTTTTTTATCTATCCCATTACCCCCCGACTTTTAAATAGCCGTTGTAAGATTCCGAATTCTACTTTATATACTAGATTCCTACTCTGCACCTGTAGGTAGTAAAATATAGGTAAAAGTAGGGATTTGGCTATTAATATACTCTTTATACGAAGAAGGTAAGGGGTATAGAGATACTTAGAAGGGAGCTTGTGTAGTTTAATTATCCGTCTAAGTCTATCCTTTTAACCTAACTAAACCCTTTAAATACAACTTAGAAGTTCCTATCCTTATCTAACAACTAATCGATAAATCCACTTAACACAAACCCTACTGCATTCAACTGAATCCATCCCCCAACCACCCATCCTCATCCCCTTCCCTATCCCAATTCCTATCTCCATCTCCATCCCTATCCCCATCCCCAAATCCACCCCCCACAAACCTCAGCCTTTACACCCAGCCACCCTCCTCTTATACATCAACAAGCAACAAATACCTTCCGTAATCCATAACGATCTTGCTCTTTTCACCAGAATCTCAAATCACAACTTACTCCAACAATCAAGATCAGTGAGTGGAATATCTTGAATTACGAATTAAGAATTAGGAATTAGGAATAAGGAATTAAAAATTACACATCGCCCACATCTCATCCCCATCCCGTGCCGAAAGAAAATAAACCAAAGACCGTAAACGCGCCATAAAACCCAAACTCATATAAACACCTCTCATCCAAACGCCAACTTTTTTTGTGCCTTTCCTTTATCCCGTTTCTTGGTCCTTTTCCCATGTATGCCAATTGTAAATCCCAAACTCCAAAGCCGAATCCCAAACCAATATACAATCCCAAACCAAACCAATACAATCCAAACAAACCCCAAACAACCCTCAAAGTTCCAACAACCCCTCCAACCAATCATCAATATCCCCCTCTTCATCTTCATCCTCATCCCCCACCACCTCCTCATCCCCCCCCTCCTCCTCACCCACTTCTCCCCTCTCACCCCCCTCCCCTCCACGTTCAAGCGCACCTTCCACCCCCAAACCCCCCAAACCCCCTCCCAACCTCGCGTCTCGCAACTCGAGCTTCCCTAACCACACGAGCAGCCGCCTGTTCCCTCTGAGACCGAGCAGCCTGCTCTCTCTGTACACGAGCTGCGTCCGCGGCCCTCACTCTCTCTATCTCCCTTGATCTCTCATCTGTTTGTCTTTGGATACGCGCTGCTTCTTCTCTTTGGGCGCGAGCTGTTTCTTCTCTCTGTATACGCGCTGCTGCTTCTCTTTGTGCACGAGAAGGGTCATTTTGTATACGGGTGGATGAGCGCGTCATGGTGAGTTGGAAACCTGGGATGGATTGAGTAGTGGTTGTGGTTCTGGTGTTGCTGGCGGCGTTGGGTGTGGAAGGACCGTTTATAGGAGAAGGACCAGAAATGCTGACAGGACGGCTCATAGCAGAAGCTGATGGGCCGGACATACTACCAGGACGATTCATAGCAGCAGCGGCTAAGCCTGCAGTTAGCATAGAAGGGCCGGGTGTTGAAGGCCCCTCGACTCTTTGTACACGGGATGACTCGGCTTGATTCTGTATAACGGTGCGTGTCCGCGTCATGGTGAGTTGGAAACCGGGGATTGAGCGAGCTGTGGTGCTGGAGCTGCTGGCGGCGTTGGGCGTGGCAGCGTTAAGGTTGGGAGGATTGGATGTGCTGCTAGGTCTGTTCATAGCAGAACCGTTCATACCACGGTCACGCTCCCCCTCCCCCCTATCACCAAAAACCCTGTTCTGTCCAACTCGAACCTCACGATCAACTCGATCGCTCTCAACAGCCGCAATTCTCTGCCTCTCCTCGTTCTGTGCCCTCACTCTCTCCTCTCTCTCTCTTCTCAACACCCTAACTCTCTCCCATGCTTCCGCCCTGTCCAGAGCACGATCACGTTCAGCATCAATATGTTCACCCAAATGGATTCTCTGTTCCTCCTGCCTTTCTCTCTCCTCCCTCTGTCTCTGCTCCCACTGCTGCCATAATACGAATCCAGTAGGTCTCTCCGCGTGCTCCCTCTGTCTCTCCGAAGCACCACTCCGTCCCTCCCCCGTATCTCCCCCATCCCTCTGTCCCTGTCTCTCTGAAGCAACTCTCCCTGCCTCCTGTCTCTGTCTCTCAATCTGCGCAAGATGCTCCACCGCCCTCTGTCTATCCGCCATAGCCATCCTCTCTAAAATATAACTGCCGTGGTTATTATGAGAAGGCTGTTGGACTGGTCCACCCATCTGTTCTGGTACCTCAGCATACGGTGGCGGAGGATCTATAACGCTAGGCGCAGCGAACTGAGGTTTCGGTGCAGGAGGTGGAACGGGTTTGTTCATATTTAGCAATATAGGCCCATCAGGCCTCGCAAACACCGTATGTCTAGCACGCTCCCCCATTCGCGGTGGCCCATCTAGCATCCCCAAGACCGCCGGATTGACATGCCCTCCTCCATAAAGAACACGGGCCGCCTCAGCCTGAATCAAATGTCTCTGTTGCGCATCCCTCAGCCTCTGAAGTCTGCCTTCAAAGTTATCCTGTGGTTCACGAAAGTGTTGTTCGGCCTCCCTCGCATCATCGATAGCAGCTTGGAAGATTCGCTGCCTGACCAGTTCGTCCCGCGCCCCTAGCTCTTGAACTCTCAAAAACTCTCTTTGGTGCTGATCTTCTTCATCTCTCACTCTCGATGCTTCTTGAATGCAGGCTTGAAGGATATTTGGTGCTGCATTAGCATCCCCTCTCAGCGATCCATCATCCTTCTCCTTCCCAAGACCAGAACCTTCTCCCTGTCCCATGCGGCCCGCGAGGAGACCTCCCAACCCTACATTTGCAGCCTTTCCCTTCCCCGCAACTCGCTCTTCATGAGCATCCCCCTCCCCCTCCATCTTCGCAATTCTCGCCGTTTCCGCTTCAGCACGAAGAGCCTCAAGCTTCGCTTTAATTAGATTACAAGCCCGTTCCAGATGCCCAAGCGCTCGTTTATCATTTGGCTTCCCATGGTCTTCAAATATCTTCTGGTCACGTAAGAACCGGAGAATGCGGTCTTCGAGCTCGCGCGGGACTTGGATTCGAGGACGGACGTCAACTGGCTGAGGCCTTGCCGTCGCAGGCCAAGCAGGGCCGCCGGGTCCGGCTATGTGACATTGCCTGTAAACGTCTCTGAGGTTATCTGGAGAGGGGCCAGCGGGAAGGACTGCTGCTGCTGCGGGACCCTCGAATGGTGAGTTGAGTCCGGTGCGGAATAGGTATCGTTCGAATTCTCCTAGGGCGTCTCGAGGACGTAGATCGTCAGGTAAATTGTCTTGGAGGTCATTACCCCCTAAGCCTTTTCTATCAAGTCTACCTATGCGAAATTGATTCGCTAAGACATGTTAGTTACCAAGTTAAATCAGGTACACCATTCCACTGGAATATAATGAAATGCCTTTCAAAAGGGAATCACTTACGAGCAGCGTTACGCCGTAAAGCAGCAAGGCGTTCACGCATAGTTCGATGAACACCATAACCTTCATTATCGAGATTATTCGGCGCAGGTGGCCGAGCAGGCAGATCATTCTCGTCTGGCACATTGTTGACAGCCCAGTGGTGCCCTTGGCGAGGATTACCAAGTTCCATTAGTAACTCGATTTCTTAGATAATATTAGCCTCAAGAATAAAAGAAAAAGTCAACAATTGCTAGCAACCATGATCAAAAACTCGCTTATAAATATTCCATAGCAATATCTGGGTATACAAATGGCCAAAATAATACCGAAAACTCAATAACTTCAAATTAACGATGAGATTACCCCACTAACCGAGTCGATTTGGTTGTCCTTCCACAGGACGATGCTCTGCAGGGCGATACCTGGGTTCCCTACTTCTCCTTATTTCTTCATCTTGCAGAACCGCTTGTGACACCTTGATCTTCAAGTCACTCTCCGTCAATTCCGGATGCTCTTGTCGGATCCTATCAAGAGCAGCTTTCTCCGCCTCTTGAATTTCCCTCTCGTGCCGCTGGTTCGCGCTGTCGAACAGAGGGCAGTTTCCGTCTTTTCCACCGCGACTTTTATCATTGAAATGATTATAAGTGCAAGATTTCGAACAGATGTAACATTGCACGTTCCCACATCCGTTTCTGGTGCATGTCATTTTATTGCAGCCTTCTTCCTTGAGAAATGGAGTGCCACATTTGTTACATTTTCTAATGATCGCCGCCGACATGGCTTCCTCGACCTCGCGACGGACAGACATGCCAGTCTCTTTGGCATGTTCTTCGCAACTTTTTGGAATATGCGATTCTAGCTTGCAAAGCCGACAACTGATCTTCCCGCACTCCGGAGCGTGACAATCGAATTCCTTGTTTATCTCTACGGGTGGCATTTCGGCTGCGAATGGACAGAAAGGACAGTTAACTAGATTCTCAATACCAGCCATTCGCAAAACAGCCTCTTGCTCGATTCGGTCCAGCGCAACGATTGTTTTCTCATCAAGATATTTTTCTTTCTCAGATTTTGAAAAACCCCCCTCGCAATTATCTGTTGACATGCAGCAAAGCTCGTATTTTGACATGCCGATTTGAGTTTCAGCCGTTTTTAACGCACATGCCTTGCAAAACCAATGCAGAGCCTCTGCATTACAATGAACCATTCTGTTCATAGGATAATCTGCACAGCAGGTCCCACATTCCAGCATGGTACCGTCCTCTCTTGCCCTCAGCTCGTTTGCTTCTTCGGCAAGTACAAGTTCTCGTTCTGCTACCCTTTTGAACTCGGCCATGGCTCTGACTTTTCGAGCTGCCTGCAGTTCACGGTAAAGTTCGACCATCGCCGCTTCTGATGTAACAGCGTTGATGTACGTTTGGATCTCCTGGTCTTCCCATTCCTTCGGCATAATCCGACGATATCTTAATTTTTCGTACGCCGGCTTTTGGTCATCGGTGTTGGTTTCGGCCTTCAGGAGTTCCGCATAGGATGGGAAAAGGTGATTTCTGTTGGTTGAAAGTACCTTATCAATAAAGCTCATAGGTGTATGCCCAAACTCGGCCGCTAGGATTTTCCTCGTGTAGCCTCTTGCACGTCCAAACAGAGCAGGAGGGGCGCGATCAGCAGCCGCGTATTTTGCCATAGCTTTGGCCTCGTCGTCGGCCTCGACCTCGACATCTCTCTTGCGCTTGAGGTTCTTTTGCTTGTCCTTTGATTTGGGAAAGGGCTTACCCTTCTCGGTTTGATCAAGAATGTGAGCAATGATTCGTTCAGATGATGGCGCAATTGATTCGTACAGCTCCGAGATATAATCTTGACAGATGCCAGGAAAGAAAGAAAGCAGTGTCACCATGACATTGGTCCGTGATTCAATCCCACTGTCCCCCATTGGCAAGTTGGAAGGCCCTTCTCCAAAGTCATCGGCACGTCCGCCAGATTGCATCCATCCTTCCTGGAAACCATGAGTCTTTGTTCCCGCAGCAATATCATCCATCATCGCCTGTGCCATCGCCGGGTCATCAAAGGCATCGTCGTGTATAAAGTTACCTTCCCAGCCTGGTTGGAATGGCGCCATACCAAACTCATCCGCGGAGCCCATGGATGCTGCTGGGGAAGCAAGAACTGGGCCAGGTGAAACATTGAAGCGATCATTTCGAGGCCCAGAAGGCTGGCCAACATCTGCTTTCCTCGGCGATTTTCGACGTCCGCCATTCTCGCTATCTGGGGAGTCAAGGTCGACAATGTCATTCTCATTGCCGATCATGCCATTTTCGTCCCCGGTCAAGTCGATGATGTTTGGAAATATTTGGTGGTTGTTGGGCACGTTACCTGCCCTGGCGTTGGCGTTCATTTCCGCGGGATTGTTTACCATTCTGTTGTGTGCCTCTACTTGAAGCTGCGCGTCCCTTTGAATTCTCCTGATGGGCGCAATGAGTCTTCTAGGATGAAATCGCTCTACAATTCCTGCGAGCAGCGGACGAGGCCTACTGACAGGAGCAGCAGGAGGAGCAACGTCACGTTTGTTGACTTGAGCTAGATTTTCCATTGTGAGCGACACGATCGGAATTTTTCTTTGGAATCGCAAATGAGAAAAAGCGAGCGAAACAAGGGGATTCTAAGATACCTAGTAACCCCGGAAAAGAGGGAAATTCGCGTTGAAGGAGCAATTCGATCTCATGAACAGATGGGTAACTGAAGAGAGAGAAAGGAACATGGAGACGTACAGTTTCAACGTCTTCATTGCTGACTTTTAGAATTTGACGTCACCTGTACCAGCAGATGAGTCCGTCCTAAAAAATTAGACCAAGGTGAATCGAAATCTTCTCTGAATTTCTCAGATCTGGTCGATGAACATCGTCAGGCGTGGTTGTAGCCTCGAGCGAACCGTTAGAACCCCACAATAATTGCAGTTGGTGCGTGCGCCGGTAAGGCTTGAGACGGTACACGTGACGTTTCATTTTCAGATTGATCTTGGCAGTCATTCAAATATTGTCTTTAAAAAGTTACACTACAGGCTGCGATGGAGGTATGATTTCAGAGAAAGTTCGAGGTGCTGGAAAGAATGCCGAAAATTATATTAGTGGGTACGTCCAATTAACAATTATATTCCCCGGCCTTCGTACATTTTTGTCGCATTTCCTTGTTCTCTGGACCTCTTAGCGTTCCTTCTAATCGTTCCAGAAGCCAAGGCGCTTAAGTGGGGCACGTACCAGCTCTAAAAAAATACCTAGGGAATCACATGACGCTGCGGGTTCTTCGGCTCCCCGCGGCTCAAAACTGGGAATTCCCATCCCTTTACGAGATAGAGCATCAATCCTCTCCCATTGCTAACCTTAGTTTTACTCAATCAAAACCTCCGTAGGTGAATCTGGTCCTGTCACACAAGATCACCAGCAGCCAAAGAAGTATAAGAGATTCGGTCTGCTGACACTGGTGGCCGAATTGATTCATTTTCTATTCTGTCCAATTTCTGGTAATTCGTTGTGTTTTCTCCATCCCTTTCCTTTTATCTCTCTCAAAAACAGATAAAGGAACAAACTTTGCACAAGGATAATAGTCTACGCTAGTCTGCCACAGAGTTTCTATTACTTGTCAAAACTTTCCCCAGATTTGCTGATTTCCCCATACATTCTCCCCTTCGTCAATATCCTAGAAGACGGGTATTTGCACGGATTTACGTACTATTCTAGCATATCGTATCAAAGCATTGCTATTTACACATCTAGTCAAGACACAACAACAATGGCCAATCTACCACCAGCCAATTCTCCCAACCTTGTTCTGGCTCACCCCACCAAGGAGGAAAAGAGACAGACATGGACCCTGACTGCCAAGAACTGGGGAAATGCCCTTTCTTTGGACGATTATCTAGAGAGGGAGGAATTCCTTGAAAACATCCCTCAGACACAAGATGGAGGAGTTACACGTAAGCCTTCATAGCAATAGTCTATGTTCTGCCTCGCAGTTGAAGCAAAACTAATACACCTTTGTAGACTGGATTCTCACAGATTCAACCCTCCCTCCAAACTCTCGTCCCCTTCTCTCCTCCTGCGAATCGCTGCGTCGTCCAACCATCCTCGCTCTGCCAGATGGAACCATCAAGTCTGGTGTAACTCACGGCATCGGTTCTGTGTTCTGCCCCCCAGAGTATCGAAAAATGGGATATGCCACTCGGATGCTCAAGCTACTCGGCCCAGCCCTTGCAACGCACCAGAAGGAAATAGCAGAATGTCCATTCAGCGTCTTATACTCAGACATCGGAAAGAAATACTACGCCAACCTGGGATGGAAAGTCTTCCCCAGCTCCCATCTATCACTGCCTGCAATCCCGCCCACCACAACCAACGGCCACAACGAAATCAATGGCACATCCAGCAGCAACTCAACAGCAACCCCTCTCACCCAAGAAGACTTCCCCGACCTCCTTAAACAAGACCTCGACCTCCTCACCAAACAAGTCAAAACCACCGCAATCGCAACCAAAAAACCATCCTTCGCCATCATCCCCGACTCCGAAACCATACAATGGCACCACCTCCGCCAAACCTTCATGCTCTCCAAACTCTTCCCCACCCGCGCCGCCCCCACCATCAACGGCGCCATCTCCACCGGCGCCCCAGGGTCCCGCATTTGGATCATCTTCTCGCGCGTCTTCTACGGCCCCCTCACTGACGCCGCCGCAGGGAATAAATTCTACGTGCTCCGGCTCGTGGTGGAGGATGAGCGTGTGAGCGACGAGAATGCGGAGAAACTTGCTGCGGTTCTGAGGGTTGCGCAGAGGGAGGCCGGGGAGTGGGAGTTGAAGAGCGTGGCGGTTTGGAATGTTAGTGGAGTTGTGAAGGAGTTGCTGGGGAAGACGGGGATGCAGTGGGAGGAGGTGGAGAGGGAGGAGGATAGTATTGCTAGTTTGATGTGGTACGGTGAGGGTGAGGGGGGGCCTGCGGAGGTGGAGTGGGTTGCTAATGAGAAGTTTGCTTGGTGTTAGGTATTTGCCTAGGTAGGTAGGTTGTTTGGGCTGAGGGGATGGGGGAGTTGGGATATTAGGAGTGGGATGAGGTTTTGCGCATTAGAAGATTTGGATATGATCGTAGCGGAATGGGAAGAAGGGTTGGATATTTACTCTGTGCGCGAGATTGTAGATGAGATGCCTTTGCTTCACGCGAGTAACTTTTTATCATCATGATAGAAATATCTAAATCGCAAGACTTTTCACCAAAATGATACTAGTAACTTACATCTCAAGGTGCTCTCTTGCCTTACACACGCATGGTCAGATATATGATCGAGAAGATTGTGTATCACGGCTTTATTACTCTTAATCAAAACCAAAGAAATTGATTCCTCGACACGTCGTCTGCATGAGATAGACCACAATCGGCTATAGAACGTAGCTATCCTATCATCCGTCTCTCCGAATATTCAGACACACGTTGCCTGTATCATATACTACTTCAGCGTTCGAGACATTTGTACACTCCGAAAAAGAGCTCTGGCTTCCAGATATCCTCCTAGGTGACTCGATACCCATTGATTTCCTAACCTCGACGAACTTTTCATCATCCCCTGTTCTCAGCCACGACCCTTTTCCATCTAGTTGAACATATATTAGGGGAATACGGAATTCCACATGAGTTTGACAGACTCTGCCAGCCACCAGAGATCCCGACGCGCCGGAGTTCTTGTCTTGAGCATTCTGCTGGGTCTGCTCTTCGCCGGGTTGATTCAATCCTTGGTTGCTATCCGCAAACTTCTCATGCCATGTCTCCTAGGCTACTGGTCCTTCTCATCGGCGTGTGGGATTGGCAGGCCTGTATCCGAGGATCTGGACGTAGCTGTTGTTATCGGGGCGATGGTAAGGTGAGTGATGAGGTGGAGGTTGAGAAGGAAGAGGAAGAGCTCAAGGCGTTATAATAATTGAGAGAGAGCGTGGCATTTTGTACTCAAATTCTCCTGACCTCTCCCACTTTCATTTCTTCCCCTCCCTGCTCTTCGCGAACTTCTCATGCCATTTCCCCTTTGCAACGACTTTTTTCTCGTCAACTTGTTCGATCAACTCAATCGTATCGGACGTCTTAGATATAGCTGTGATGGTCGGGATAGGGATAGAGTCGTCATCTTCTGAGGTGGTGGAGGGCGTGAGGATCATTATCGGGTTTGAAGTGTTTTTCTGGCGGAGGAGGTAGGTCTTTTGGATGGTTGAGTTTGAGGGGGTGGAGGTTAGGATTGCGTGGCCCGGCGTTGTGCTTGTGGATGGTGAGGAGGTTATGGTGAGACTAGAGGAGGAATGAGTTAGTAGGATGAGTAGAGGGGAAGGAAGGGAGAGACAAACATTGGTGGGTTGTCTGATTCTAGCAAGGCGAGGAGGTCGGGAGGTAGTTCGAGGAGTTTGAATGCCTGTTGATTGTTGCTTGCTGTGAAGGGGATGTCATTGGCGTATTGAGTTGACATATTGAATTTACAGTACCTCAAATACAATTGTTTTCAGTGTCGGATGTTTAAAAGTAAGATCTCCACTACCCAAGGGAAAATCGCAACGGTTTGTTTCGACTTCGCATGGCGGGGTTGATGGAGGTTGTTGACATTCAAACCGCTCGACCAATGAACGCGTCGCGTTGATCTTCGCAAGGAAGAAAAAGCTCCGACTTTCTGTATCTAAAAATGGAGAGACAACTCACACAGGCGCACTCCACTCTGATATGACGCCAAATCTCTGCTCCTGAGACCGGATTATCCTGGACCCAACCTACCTGCATTGGTGTACTCGAAAGTCGTGCGATGAGCACCTTGTTTATGCAGCACCACCACAACCAGCTCCAACACCGCTGACCAGACAGCGCGTCAACAAAGGACCTTCCCTCGCCAACCTGTGGTCCCACGAAAGAATAATACCCAACGATTCGACAATTGCAAACGGGGTGCGCGAAACGTTCATTGCGAGAGGAAGAGAGAGCTATGCCGGCCCATTGAGTGACCTGGATTCTTACCAAATTAGCTTTTTTGTTGCGGAACTGCATCTTTCGTCAACACCATGGTTCGAGTCACCGACGAGCTGGTCCTCGCGCAAGACCAGGTCAATTTGTATTATACCACCGATGCGCATCTGGGCAACCTTCCCGTCCTTATATTTCACGGTTCTTCGACGACTAGTAATTCCACGCTTAACAGCTCGCGGATCCAGATCCACGTCTTCACCGCAGCGGGTTTCCAGAGCTATCAACGCATCACCATATCGCCGCATTCGCCATTCTATCAATCAGTCAACTATCTACCGCGCGAGAAACAGGGAGATGAGATATGTCGTGGTCTGGCGTTTGGGTTGCTGAAATACTTCAAGGAGCTGCCCGAGGTGGTGAAGAGTGGTTTGATCCTTCAGACGGCTGGGTTCAAGACGAGAAGACCTGGGTCTGCGCCGGCGCTTTTTGGGGAACAACATGCGGCTGATGTGGTGGGATCGATGGTCAAGGTGGAGAATATTGGGGAGGTTATAAATGATATTTCGGCTGCTTTGCGACCGCAGTGTATTAATCATGCGGATGTGGATTTGGTTTTGCCGCCTGGGTCTATAAGTCCGTTTAGGGAAGAGGAAGTGGATGAGAATGGGGAGGAGGAGGAGGAATTACTCGATCCGACATTGAAGCAGTATGGAGTCTATGCGCCGCTGGTTCAGTTGTTTGGAGAAACGGCATTTTTACCGACTTCGAAACTACGAAGAGCCCCCTCGAAGCCGACTGCGCTCAATCGAACGAGATCGTTTTTGAAAGATCAGAAGATGTCTTTGCGACGAGAAATGGCAGAGCTATCAGATACGGAAGAGCGATATGTTGTTAAAATGCACGAGCTGGTCAACCATATCGCAGATGATTTCCGGACAAAAGCTAGGGAGCGCGCGTTTGGGAGTTTTAGTCCGTCAGAAGAGGATTTGCAGAAATTGTTTCCAAAGTGCTTGGATCGAATTCTACAAATCAATTCTGCCTTTCTAGCGGCCATTCGCAAGATTATGGATGACACGGAAGAAGATGCAATGCAGGATTTGGAAACACCTGTTGGCTCGACTGGATCTCGATATGGAGGGACTGGCCGTCTAAGAGATCCTACTGGAGCGCTGGCTTTCGCGAAAGTTCTTCTGGAGTGGTTTCCTCAATTTACGGAATGTTATCAGGATTATATCAATGCCAGTCAGGATTTTCCGAACATTATTTCAATATTTGTGAAGCAGCAATCGAGTTTTTCGCAGAGAGTTGCGCAGACGGGGGAGCAGCGCTTGCGGTCTGCTGTGATCGAACCGGTTCAGCGATTACCTCGCTACAGTCTATTTATTGATAATATTGTCAATTACCTCCCGGTTGGCCACCCAGCTCTACAGCCAATGCTTAAAGCTAGAGATATTATTACATCCATATGCTCCATGGATCCACCTTCAACGGACAAGTCTCAAGTCGTTAACCGCCTCAAGAACATCGTGGAGGCATGGCCCTCGTCACTCAATCCACAAGGACGAATTATTGCTGCTGTTGACTTTTCTGAATTACCAGCTCCATTTCATGTTGAGGCGTCACCGGTCTATGGCAGCCAAAGAGAAGGCTTGTTTTTACTGTTTGCCGATTCTTTGATTATACTTCGTAAAGCTCCGGGAACCAGTCTCTCTGCTAGAGGTGTTATGGCAGAGATTGATAAACCATCTGCGCTTTCTATGATGGCTTCAGCAACTGCTGCTGCTGGGGGTCAGCGACGTGTTTATGATTTGACTTTTGGAGGCTGGCATGCACTTAATGATACTCGCTTCACTATGTCTGATGATGGGCGCCTGGTATGGATGTCTTCATTAGCTGACCTGAAGGATATTGGCTCTGGGCGTGAGCGAAATGCTCCAGCAACCACAATTCGCGCATTCTTTCTTCAAGGATCATATGAGAGTAAAGCATTCAAATTCACAGAAGAGATATCGAGGGCTAGAGTGGAAGGCAGGTTTGCGGAAGCAGAACGAGAGACTGATAAATGGTGTTTGCGCTCGACGAGAGGAGTCGCTGCTGAGGTCAGTTTCCATACTGCTGTATTCGAAGAAGGTATTGGCACATTAGTAGAGGGTCGAAAGGAACCTGCTCCAATCCGAATAGTGGTTGATCACGAGCATGGTACGAAGGGTGCTCCAGTAGGTCATTATGGTGTTGAGATTGTTGCCAACGTAACTGCCGTTGGAGGAGGAAAGTTCCGCGTAGAGGTTGACGGGCTTCATGACCGAGTATTTGTTGATGAGGTTGTTGCGGAACACTTCTTGCCAACCTTTGCGAAAAGAAGTAAGCAAGACCATCTTTACTGTAAGTATATGTGCTAACTTTCTCAGCGGCTGATCTCCTACGCCTGCAACACTCATCTAGTAATCCCGCTTTAGTTTCACCTCTGATTTCTTTCAACACAAAGATCCTCAAATCACTCCAGATTCAAGTTAATGGCGAGAAGGCAAAAAGTTCTAGACCAGCTTCTCCAGTCAAGATGCTTTCCAGTTTCCTCAGCAGTAACTTCAATGCTTCAGTGACGTCTTTCAAAGATTCAGGCTCATTACACTCAACTCCAAGAAACACTCGTACTCCTACAATGGGCAGCATTCCATCGATACAGGCACCTCAAATCACACGCAGCAATAGTAATAAATCAACACACTCGGTTCAAGACTTCATGGAAAATAAGGGCAGCGTACGTGGTGGTATAGAAGAAGCTCGACCAGTAAATCCGCTCGTTCGCCTCGAGGAAACCTTTACCGGCTATATTGCAGCTCTTCAGTCACGGAAAGGCAATGTGGTAGGGAGGGTGCTCAGAAATCGAGCCAACGCGGATGAATTGGCTATCAACGCAATCTACAACTCCTTTATCGAGAATCCTTTCGATCAAAGAGCTGCCTCGGAGGTCTCGGTAGACATTATTTTTGTGGCATTTGAGAAGTATCTGAGAATGGCATGGAAAGATCAAATGGGACAGGTCATGTCCTCACATAGCCTGGACGGATTGCAAGCAAATGCGCTGAAACTTCATCCGGGTGATTTTGCTGATTACGTCAAGATGGTCTTTGGCGATATGGCACCGCAAAATCGAAGAGCGTTTATCTCAATCATTAAGCTTCTCGCAGATCTCTTGGAGGGTTGCGGGAATGATGGTGATCGAGGTGCAATGACTGCTGCTTTTGCTGAGCTGCTTGTCACTGATGGGGAACCACACGATTATATCAATCTGCTAGACCGTATGGTTGAGGACTCCGAAAGAATATTCGAAGATATCGGGCCTGGAGCTGTGAGCAACAATGCCAACTTTGGTTCAATCTCGGGCAGCCGATCTACACATTCCGCTACTGGATCTTTAACTTCAAATGCATCTTCTCTCCGACGCCGGTTTGCAGACACCATTCTACGACAGAACAGCACTAAAGATGAGCGCCCGTCAGTTTGGAGGACACTTAGCAAGACAAGTCGCAGTGTTGCTACTGGCGAACCTATTCCTTCAAGCCTTTCGAAAGGGTCGTCTCTCAACCGCTCCAGGTCTATTGAGTCTCCAGGTAGACGTCCTATATCTAGAGATAGACCAACGGTACTCGGCGCCTTTGATGAAAGGCCAAGTAGCGCGAAAGGGGAACCCTCAAGACTGAGTACGATTGGGGCTTCACCTCCATCAGAGGAGAAGAAAGACGCGAGCAAGTTGAAGAAGAAACGACGCAGTTCTCTTTCCGATTTGAAATCTTTGATGGCAGCTGCTACTCTAGGAGACAGCTCTCCCATGTTACCCTCACCGAATCGACTGAAAGGATTGAAGCTCAGTGCATCGCCACGAACACCATCTCCGACGAAGATTCCGGTAGTGAATGGCGAGAGAGGTAGATCATCTGTCTATCTCAATGGTTCACCAAAGCAGAAGGAAAACACGCCAATGTCTTCACCACGAAATATTGGCAGTCTTACAGAAAGACCCAGTAATATCATGTCCACACCAGATGTTGTAGTGAAGGATTTGTGGTCGGCAGGCAAGGGCCATAACAAAACAGTCTCTCTATCATCCAATATCCCCACGTTACGTGGCACCCCACGCGACCGCGTTCCCTCTATCAGTCGACCAACAACAAGTGCAGGCAAAACATCCCCCCAGAAACTCCGGCTCCAAAGCCCCCAGAAACTCCGCGAACGTCTTCAAAACGAAGCAAAAGCCATCAGCGAAGCCGAAGCCTCACTACAAACTGAACTTTCCAAAATCGGGGAAGAAATGGCTAGACTGCACAGCAACTCCACCCTCCGCACCACGGACGTCGAAAAACTCACCGCCAACATCAGCAAACTCGAATCCAAGATCCCAGAAATCGTCAAAGATCTCACCACCCGCAACGACAGCGTGAAACTCGACCTCGAGAAATCCCTGCAAGCCTCGGAGTTCAAAGTCAAAGGCCTGGATCAGCTGTATAAGGAAAGTAGCGCGGAGAATGAGCTCCTGTATGAGAAGTTTAATGGGGAGCTCGGCAAGATCGTGAAGGCGCTCAAGGGGAAGGGGAAGGAGGATAAGGAGATGTTGGTGGGGAAGTTGAAGGAGCAGGGGGAGGATGTTGCGAGGGTGCGAAAGGAGAATGCGAGGTTGAAGAGGGAGGTGCTTACGCTGCGGGCGTTGCTGAAGGGGGGGGAGGTCGAGGGGAAAAGTGGGTAGGGGCTGGGGGGTGGGTTGGCGTTTGGTGTGTTTGAGTGTGTTTATAGCGTGCGATTCTTTTTATGTGCATTGGTATGAAGGGGTTGGTGAGGCGATGGGGGTTATAACGGACTGCCGTGTTAGAGCGGTGGGTTTCTTTGTCTGATATTGGGTGGGATGGGTAGGATGGAAGGGAGGGAGACAGGAGTATTGTATATTTTAGGGATGAGGGGACGATGGGAGAGGAGGGGATGGTGATGTGGATAGAAGATGAATGATATGATGATACTGTAATACTTTTTCTTCCATCTTTCACTAGTTTGTGAAATTGCTGGAATGGGTATCAGAGCAGAGCCTCCACGTCCGAGATCAAGCTTGAAAGCGCGCTCGGCTCGTGCCCGAAATCTCACCCCCCGGCCCTCCACTCAACTATCCGATGAGTGAGATTCGGTGTAACATCACTCCCAATATACCTTCGTCGTATAAAAAACCACATTCCCACTGAATCATCCCATGTCTTTTAACACATCATCTTCCTATCAAAAATTCACTGCCTGTCTCTTCACAAGTTCAGATGTGCAAGCCGAAAACCCCGCCGCATCCACTCTGCACCGAGGTTCGGATGCCGCAGCCAGCAGCAAGCAGTTAGTGGCGATGATCCTCTCGAGAATTCTCAAGTAAACAGGTTCATTTTATTGATTCCTTTGTTACCGTGTTTCATTTCCCTTTGGTTTTCGTGAATTGATTGTATCTTACAAGTATTTTTTCTTGGTTTTGGTTAAACTAGAGAAAATAAAATCGCAAAAATGCCAGTTCCGGTACTGATAGGGATTGCCGATATTAAGAATCGGAGTGAGGAGGTTATTGAACCGCTGGAATTAATGCTCTCCGCGATCCACGCTGCTCTCTTAGATACCTCCTTACCGGTTTCTGAAATCTCTGATCTCCAATCCTCCATCGATTCCATCTCCGTAGTCAATACATGGACGTGGCGATACTCTGACCTTCCTACGCTTATATCTCAACGATTAGGCTTAGAAGCGAGTGTTGGAGGAGAAAAAGAAAAGGGAAGGGAAGTTTATAGAGAGTTAAGTCATCATGGAGGTGATAGTCCTGTGAGGATGGTTGATGAAGCTGCGAGGAGGATTGCGAGGGGGGAGTGTAGATTGGGGGTTGTGGTTGGGGGGGAGGCGTTGGGGAGTTGTGAGTTGGGTTTTTGTTTATGGGCAGAGGGGAGAGGGGAGAGGAGGATAGGTTTAGAGGGTAAAAGCTGATTTTGTATGTGTAGTGAGTCAGCTCAAGGGGAAGAAACCTCAGGGTTGGACAGAAGAAGATAAATCCGCACGCGGAGTTTCAGTTAGTGATCTGGAGGGGGTGGGAGATAGTAAGTCTTTTTATGACTTTCGGTATGAGGATGTTAAAGGAAATAGATATAGGCAAACGCCACAAAATCGGCCTCCCAATCCACATCTACCCACTCTACGAAAACGCCTTCCGCGCCCATCGCAACCAATCTCTCTATGATAACCACGCCGAATCAGCAGAATTGTATGCTCGATTCGCGAAAGTTGCGGAGAAGAACCCTGTGGCGTGGAATTTTGGGACGCCTGCGAAGACGAAGGAGGAGATTGGGGCGGTGGGGAAGGCGAATAGGATGATTTGTTATCCTTGTGAGTTTTGTTCTTGTTTTTGTGAGGGGGTAAGGGTGTTTGAGGGTGAGGGGGGAAGGTTGGAAGGGGCTGATGGTGATAGACCCATTACTGATGAATGCGTTTAATAATGTCAATCTTGCGGCGGCGTGCGTGCTTACTTCTGTGGAGTTCGCGAGGGAATTGGGGATTGATGAAAGTCGATGGATTTACCCGTTGGGTGGTGCGGGGACGAGTGATAGTGAACGATGTAAGTATATATCCTGGAGTGAGAGGGACTTAGGGGTAATGAAATGTAGTCTGGGAACGGCCGAACTTTTATGAGAGTCCTTCGATTTCGAGGTCGTTGGATGCGGGGCTTGAAGCTGCTGGGTTGAGGAAAGATGATGTTGATATGTTTGATTTTTATTCGTAGGTGTGTTAAAGCAGAGAGACGGGCGAGACTGACGTGGATAGATGTTTCCCTATTGTCCCCAAATTGGCGTGTCAACATCTGGGTATTCCTATAACGAAATATGAAAAGCCGATTACGCTTTTAGGTGGACTGACGTCGTTTGGAGGAGCGGGGAATAACTATTCTATGCATGTAAGTCTGGCCATATGTTTTTGGGTGTCTAGAAACTGATTTCCAGGCTCTCACAGCGATGGTACGAGAATTGAGAAAAGGGAAAATTCGGAATGGATTGGTGCTTGCAAATGGAGGTGTGGCTACTTATCAGCATGTTATTTGTCTTTCGAATCGTCCGAGGAGTTCTCCGTATCCGACTGAGAATCCTCTTCCTGGACTTTTAGAAGATGGATCTGTGCCGGAGATTGATGAGATCGCGGAGGGTGAGGCGGTGATTGAAGTAGGTCTTGAGTCAACCCTTTTTGGCTGATGGGTCATGCTAATAGATTTTTAGACATACACAGTTGAGTTCGGACGAGATGGGAAACCGAAGAGAGGTTTTGTCGTTGGTCGATTAAAGGAGAATGGACATCGGTTTGTCGCTAATGAGGCGGATGAGGTTTCTCTGAAGCAGCTTGCGAGTGACTTGAGGGAACCGATTGGGAGGAGTGGATGGGTGTCAAATCGTGATGGGAGAAATGTGTTTCGCTTTGACTTGGAAGGGAAACTGTAATTGCAATATTTTGGATTGTATATTGTAAATATGGAATACATGATAAATAAATGTAACAAAAAAGGTGTTGAATTGGCGAAGAAGCGTGACCTTGAATGATCATGTGATATCAATGCTCAGAAACTAAAGCAGCAGCAACCGAAGAAACATAATTTAATTTTTAAAGGCTGCAGAAGTCAAATATATATACATGATTTATTCTAAATTTGCAACAGTTAGTACTGATGTTTAAGATTACTTCTTCTCGCCAGTTACAATCGTACAACACTTTTCGGTCCATAGAAAACACAAGGTAGACTTGACTATTTATTGTGTGCCGCTTTAAAAAGAAATACTCACGCCCTGAACCTCGATCCAAAACTCGGCTGTCGCTTTTTTGTAAATTGGTATATAGATTGAAATAGCGAAATTCCGACCAACCACAACTTCGCAAAGCTCCTTTAGCTCAGTGGTAGAGCGGAAGATTGCAGTACAACAATTATCTTCAGGTCAATCGTTCGAACCGGTTAGGGAGCTTGTTTTTGTTTTGTATATTTTTGCACCTTTTCGTCTGTCTCGTACCCCTAATTTTGGTCTGTGTCTTCAGAATGTTGAGCCTGAATTGTCCCAGCATTTTCCGTCCCCATCTTCTTCACCTTTTGCTTCACCAAGCTAGCAACAACCACTACACGCAAAACGATATCCTTTCGGGCAACTCACAAGCCAAAACCCTCATCTTTTTTATCCCGCACTGCGCTAGCAAAGCCAAACATGTTTAATTCATAGAGTCGCGGGGTCTGAAGCGCCACCGCCCTGCATAAGTTTGTAAAGTTTTGCTCGTCGGGCATCTCCCCCTTTCAACCTCATTCCGCGACGCCGCGGTGAGTGGATAATATGCAGGTCCTCTCGTTGTACAGACCTTCCTATTTCAATCATTTATACGCACGGTTTTCGAGGCGTCCCAGCAGTTTCTGATGGCGTATTCGGCGGCGGCGATATTGCCTTGAAGATCTTGATGGAGGCTCTTCTGTGCAGTCGCACTGGGATTTTGTTACTCACATTTACCAAGGCGTGGTATTTTTCTCCATGTCGGGCTTTCAGTGATCAAAACAGCTGTTAGCAGCACAGTATTGACACTTTGTGAGATCATGGTCTGATCAGCTCTTTCGCGACAATTAATTGCAAAACAGCCTCAACCCTCGCTTCGTCTCGAGAGCACCAAAAGCCACCGCAGATGATTCAATGAATCAATAGTTCCAGCAAATGCACAAACACGGCATGACGTAGAAGTTTTCAAAGCTTTATATCTCGCAGAATATGTCGGTGTCCTCTCGGTCCTGTTCCGACGCCATGGAATTGACAGCAGGATTAGTACTCTCATCCCCAGGGAAACTCTAGTCCTCCCGGCCAGTCGGTGAAAATACAACCAATTGTAAGTACGATCGTACACGCCAGACGCCAGGTACAAGACTGCAAGTGCTTCTTGGACTCCTGTGAAAGCTTCAACAGCGTCAAATTACCCCAAATGCTCCCCAACATTACCCCGCTTCCCCAAAGAATAGCTTCTTGTGCCACTGCGGAGAACCAATAATGCTCCCACCGACTCCGCAAAACAATCGGCCCGTTGCACTTGCTGCATACATCCGTCCATGATCATTTTGACATGAGCTTAGTGGATCTTGTAGAGGATCTAGCTGTTGCAGTCAGGAGTAGTTGTGACCGAAATGAGGTCCAATACCAAAGTATAAAGGTACACTCTTACCTCGTGGTATGGCAGGATAACTTTTGTTCATTGACATACTTTCTACTTCGTTGAAAGAAAGATTCTCGATCATGCGTTTCTCATCTTCTGTTGCTGGAGTCCTCTCTCTCCTCTGCTCACAAGCAGTAGCTTTTTCGCTAAGAGGCAGAGATCTTGAGTCTTTTATCGCTGCTGAGAGGGCCATTGCTCTTCAAGGTGTTCTGAACAACATCGGTCCAGATGGATCGCAGGTCGCTGGAGCTGGCAATTACATTATTGCGAGTCCTTCTAAGGAAGACCCAGATTGTAGGATTACTACTGAAAACCTACATTTATTGAACAAAAAGCTAATATTATTCCCAGACTTCTTCACATGGACTCGAGATGCTGCTCTGACCATGCAAATGATTGTGGATGAATTCATCTTTGGGAACACTGCCCTGGAAAAATACATTGACGAGTACATCAAGGCTCAAGCCATACTCCAGACTGTCAGGTGAGCATTGTCACCTCAGTCAAGATACCGCAGCTAATTTGTCTAGCAACCCATCAGGATCTCTCCTCCCAAGTGGTCTCGGCCTTGGTGAGCCAAAATACCTGGCAAATGGTCAGCGTTTCAACGGAGCCTGGGGACGTCCTCAACGGGATGGTCCAGCACTTCGTGCAATTGCCTTGATGACCTACAGTGATTGGTTACTCAGAAACGGTCAATCCGCAAAAGCTAGAAACATTGTCTGGCCAGTGATTTCCAATGATCTCTCATACGTAGGCCAGTACTGGAACCAAACTGGATTTGATCTTTGGGAAGAAGTTCAAGGATCCAGTTTCTTCACCGTTCAGAATCAACACAGATCTCTCGTTCAAGGTACCAAGCTTGCTAGGGACCTCAGAGTTACCTGCACTGGATGTGACCAAGCACCACAAGTATTGTGCTTCCTTCAAAGCTTCTGGAATGGCAAATACATTGTTTCAAACACCAACACCAATATCGCCCGTACTGGTCTTGACGGAAATTCCATCCTTGGTCCAATCTCCGTCTTCGATATCGATGCGTACTGCGACAGTTTAACATTCCAACCTTGTAACTCAAAGTCATTGGCCAACTTCAAGGCAGTGGTCGATAGCTTCAGAACAGCCTACTCCATCAACGCTGGTATCCCAAAGAACCAAGGTGTAGCAGTTGGACGTTACACTGAAGATGTCTATTACAACGGAAATCCATGGTATCTCATCACTACTGCCGCCGCCGAGTTCCTCTATGATGCCGTTGCTCAATGGCGTGCTAGACACGTTCTCTACGTCGACGAGACCTCCCTCGCATTCTTCAAAGACCTCTACCCAGACGTCGTAGTCCGCCAATACAACAGCGGAAACTACAACAGTCCATTCGAGCAAATCATGCGCGCCGTCCTCGCCTACGCCGACTCCTTTGTCGCCGTCGCTGAAAAATACACACCCGCCTCCGGGGCCCTCGCCGAACAATTCAACCGTGACACCGGCGTCCCTCTCTCAGCCAGAGACCTCACCTGGTCTTACGCCGCCTTCGTAACCATGGCAGAGCGTCGCGCCGGTCAGTACCCTCGCTCTTGGAACACCCGTCAAGCAGCCGCACCACCAGCAACCTGCTCTGCCTCCTCAACCCCAGGCGTCTACGCTCCTGCCACCGCAGCAGGCGCGCCAAATGTCACCATCGCCTGCCAGATCAACGTCATCTTCAACGTCAACGCCTCGACCTACTTTGGCGAAAACGTCTACATCGTCGGTAACACCACCGAGCTCGGCGAGTGGAATGCTGATGTCCTGAACACGGCGCTGGCGCTCAGTGCGGGTGGTTACTCGGCGGAGAGACCGCTGTGGAGTGTCAATACTTTCTTGCCGGCTGGTGAGAGCATCAGTTATAAGTATGCGCGACAGGAGAATTGTGGACAGCCGTATCTTTACGAGACGCAGAATCGCACGCTGACGATTCCGCCGTGTGGAGGGGCGGCTATTACGGTTGAGGATGCGTGGACGGGACCGGTTGGGACGTCGGGGGGTTGTTGATTCGGTTAGACGGGTTTATGTATAGAAAAAAGATTTTGTTTAGAATACTTTGTGTTCTTCTTGTACTTGTGTCTTGATATATAATCCCATCTTGACTTCACACTCCATGAAATCACGAGATATGCTAATCCGTGAGATTAGGTTGGCAGTTTAATTCTCCAAACTTTCGGAACCGTGTCTATCCCGCTTCCTCTGAAATTTAGCATCATTCGGCTGAAACCCATCAATAGAAAATGACTTAGCACAAGAAAGAGAAAACTACAACCCACTCGCTCACGTAAAAAGGGAATCATGTTGCATTACTACATCTCATGAAAAAATCCTCACTCACAATATCATGATTCCGAGAGTAGTGACGAGATCAAGTCGCCTCATGGCTATCTCCAGCACCTCGAATTTCCTGTGGTTGATCTTCAAAGAGTATATTCTCAGTATTGTGACACAGTGACTTTCCTCCCACTCTACATAAACGATCAACCCGCCCAAAAGCATCTCCAAACCGGCTCACGTAGCAGAGGACATCCAAACACAACATACCTCCTAACCACCAAGCTCATGAACGCCATGTGGGAAAGGTGACACAAAGATTTAGTACGTATACAAAAGACACGTAGTGATCACAGTCTATTTTAACCCAAGGACGTATATCGAGCTGACGGATTTCAAGACAGTAAAGGAGTTATTTGTGAGAACCATACTATATCTAACTTCTATAAACCCAGTTTTGTATCCCGGGAGGTATAAAGGTTTTTGATATTTTTACGGTACTATAAACCTGGAGGTCGGGGTAAGGTAAATGCTGTTTTATTTCGCTGCGTACTTCTGTTACTCCCACATACACCAATACCGAGAAGGATTCATTTATTATCAAACACCTTAATAACTTCACCCGAGGGAGAAGTTCGTTTCGCGCGCTCGTAGATGGGAGGGTGCTTGTTGGCGAGGATAGTCAGGTCCATATTTTACTACGTGCTGTTATTAATCTTCGGGGCGGGGGATTGGATTTAAATGATCTGATGTGAATCCATTACTTCGTAGGTTGTCAGGTTTTGGATGGATGCTGGAAATGAATTATCTTGTTGGGATGTAGGATTTTGGGGCTGGGTTGTTATTTCAGTGTACAAAAACTCTTTTTCTCTCGATAAGTATATAGCGGTTCTGGTCTAGCTCGTTGTTGGTTGTGGTGTTGAAGGTTTTTTTGGGTTTGCTACTGTGAAAGGAAGGAATGAATTTCGCTGTTAGGATACGGTGTTTTGTATGGGTTGTCGATAAAAATGATTTGAGTGTCTAGATGGGTGTTGTATATCAACCCGTGTCCTGCCAACAAAGCTTCAACTGGATTCGCGCTATCACTGTCAATGTATCGAAACATAAATAGGTATCCCCAGTTTGTATGTCAATTTCCACCAAATGCAACCACAATCCCAGGTATCACTTTTTAATATATTAACCCATCTAGATCTCCTTGTACATACCATGTTCCGGGATCTAGATATTCGCAAGATTGTGGGTTCCCCCAGATTAAAGCGAGATTACCTGTCCACCCAGAACCATGGTCGTGGAGAGACATCCCGCTTGGCGAGAATTACGAATTTGGGATGTGCGACGTTCGAGGTTGTCTGTGGATTTTATGGCTTTTGTTATTGCGCTGCCAATACTCGAGGTTCCTACAGTTACCAATCACTCATGTGACTCTGATGAATTCTACTTGATGAAGTGCCGATACTCCTGACTTAGGATATTGGTTAGTAGAATGCGCAATGACCGCGAAAGATGTGTTTACTCATCAAAGAGTCCAAGAGAGGAAATCTGTGCGAGTCCAGTGAGCGGTTGTTCGAGGGGTTTAGCTACAAACCCAGGCCCTAAAACCCTTCAACATGACTTGACTGGACATGACAAGACATCGCCGAGGGCAGAGGTACTTTCAGCAGTACCTCGGACAGCCGGATGAGAACTCCTGTGCAGAGAACTAAACCTCGGAGGACTAAAATCGTGAGAACATCTGGACTTTGACAAGCCGTGGCGGGGAATTGAAAATCTCAAAGAACGACTGTTGCACAAGATATGAGCAAAGACCTCTGAGCGTGCGTCTGAGCTCCGACCACCTAGTTTCTGGCCAGCCAATCCAGACACAAAAGCTGACTGTTCGGAATAAACAATAGCATTATCCCTTGACCCTTGTGGTTGAGCTGAGCCTCCAGGGGAAGTTGCATCAAAACAATCGAGATCTTCCACCTTTCTAAGACATACCAAAACGCAATTCCACGCAGACACAAATTGATAGACAGTTGACCAAACATCATAAGGCTGAACTACCTGTCAAGATAGCTTTTCCTGCTGCAACCTTCTGATGAACAGTTCGCGCCAGCAACAACATCGTTTACTGTCAAAGCCCACCCCATCGCAGAGCTCAGGCACTTGCCAATCGACCGGTATCACGCTAGGGGATCGCCGCGGATCTCGATCATACCAAGTTCCTGGCATCGACGTCCGCTTGGCGCGCTCCGAGATGGTAGTCTGGGACTAGATGGATAGTCGCCTGGTAGACCTGTCTAGTGCTTCGCAAATACCTGAAAATCTCGACCGCGACACGGCTCGCGACTGACTCGGGAGCGCTGCAGATACATGTGATGAAGCTAACGGTTTCGTTGCGATGAGCTTTTGGATGCCGACTGGTAATGGATGATAGGGAATAGAGACCTGTTCAGCTTGGAGAGCCAGTCACAGCCAGAGAGGTGAGAAGGATAGGCAGGAAGCGAATTACCCCTTGAGCATTATTTGTTTGTCCAAGCTTGGAGCAGCCAATCAAATTACAGAAACGGTACATTATTCAACTCCTCTCCTCTTGCAGCAAAACACCCGCGATCATCCTGGCATGGCGGGAGAGTTACAAAAGCTCCCGAAGATGTCCTTGTTCTTGTGTCAATGTGCAAAGATGGCAATATCCACCTTGTCACTTGTGCAAAACGTCTCGAGCTGCGCAAATCGCCGCATCTGGAATTGCGAATATCTGCGTGCTGTCTGGTACCAGGAAGCAGTTGATACATGTACGTAATCCAAGAAAGTGTGGAGGCACCAAAAACTAGGTAATGTAGATATGAGGCAAAAGAGTTATATTTTAGAGGAGGCACCTAGGACCGAAGGGGTACTTATATAGAGTGACCTAGACTAGCTAATTAACTGAATATAATCCGGTACCACAACACATGTAGACAAATCAATCATTGTTGCTATTCTGGTTGTACCTCTCAATTCGTGCTTCGGTTATGGCGACCGGTGCAGTTCCCACTTGGCCAATTACTAGTAGTTGGCTCGATTGGAGCTGTTTCAAGACTTGCTCCCGGACTCGTCCACGATGGCGTCTGATAAGTCCACCAGTGGTAGGTTCCGATAAGTGAAGTGAAGTGAGAACGGGATGTGATGGACGTCAGTGGCTCGCACGTCTGAGCTGACTTCGTGTAACTTTACTTTGTTGATATAAGTCAGACGGACTTATCACAAAGGCTATGTAGATCAGCTTGCTTGAGCGAGAGGGACGAGAAACGAAAACTGGTGTGCAGCTCAACTGTCAACAATTGTTCGAACGTTGTTCAACGCACGAACACGAACAAAACTCAGAATCTATTGACGGTCTTCGCCACTTATAGACACCATCGCGGGTCTTCCATACGACTTGAAAACGTGGAAACCACAAAGCCATGCCACCCTAGTCCATGTCACACGAGTCTTCTAGGTACGTACCATCGGCTCACTTAGACGGTCCCCAGTAGTGGGCACTTTGCCACATCGACGTCTGTTCGCATGAAATAGTGGTCGGGACACTTGAAGCTATGGAATTTTCGGAAAGAGGAGCCAACCCAGAATCGTGGCGAGGGTGAAAACTTCTTCTTATAGATACGAAAGCCGGTGTAACATCATCCTCACGATCGTATGATTTTTACCTTCACCGCCAGATCGCACGATGTCTTACACCGCAGCTTCTCACACCCCTGCCAAAGTCCCGTTGGCTGGGCTGGTGATAAGTGCGATTCTGTCGGCCACTGCCTTAATCGTCTTGTTGATATGCATGGGTGAGCAAGCTTTTTGAGGATATACTTTGGGATTGGGCTGACTGGATGGATAGCGAGGAGGGTGATAAGTTTGAGAGGGCAGGATCTGAGTAGGGTGCCGATGGTACGATGGCTGTTGTTCGCGATATACCTGGACTCTTTCATGTTCATCATCGCGTCGATGATCTTGACTTGGGGATTGGGACTCAATAAGACACTTGAGATATGTGCTTCTGCAATTTATCTGTGTCTGGCATGTTATATGAGCACTAAGGTTTGTTCACTTCATCGGTTTTGGAAGAATATGGCTAACCATTTCATAGATTGTACGATTTTACTTTCTTCTAAAGACACTGGCAATTGCTAATTTGACATGTAGCTCATATATTATTTCCTTGTTGAGAAAGTTGTAAGTAAAAAGCTCCCGGACTGAGATAGTATGACTGACAAGATTTAGCACATCGTTCGAAGTGTTGGAAAAAGCCGTTTGAGGTCGAAACTTTATGCTTTCAACTGCTTTGGAATGCTTGGTGAGTATTCCCACTTTGTTTGCTCTCCAAAATTCGCTAATCTTGTTACCAGTACCATATACTGTGCTAGTCATTATGAACTTTGTTTAGTAAGTTATCTTCGAAGTACTCTTAAGAACTCCAATTCTAACGTTTCCAGCAAAATCGCCTATTTCGATTCTAACGGAACATGCATTATTGGCATGGAGTTGAAAGTACTCATGCCATTAATCATCTTCGATGCTTGCATCAACGTATGTTTCCTTCGTTCAATCAAGTCTGGACGACCCAAAGACTAACCTTCGTCCAGTTTTTCCTTACGATTCTTTTCATTATTCCACTCAGAAGTCTTTATTCATATAAGAAGGCCGATTCCAGACTCAAGACAGTCGCATTACGTTCATTTGTTGGGAGTTGTTGTACCTTGGCTTCGAGTATTGCCAACTTGACCGTTCTTATGGTCCTCAGGGGAGAAGCCTCCTGGATCTGTCTGATGTGTTGTAATGCGGATAGTAAGTTTTCATCACCTGTCTATTCCTTTTTAACACTATTTTGAGCATGTGTAATTAACTGTTTCCTTTTTGTAGCTATCTTTTCAGTCCTCATGCTCCACTGGGTCACATCCAAGGATTCCGCCACGAACAGCAGTCGCGACCCTAACAGTCACAACGACGGCACCAATAATAACAAGAGTCAAACCTACCGCAGTAAGATTGCCCGATTTGCCCGTCCAGGAAAGGAAGAGGAGCAGGCAGAATGGGAATGGCAGTTGGGCGTCACAACGACCAAGATCGAGGTCGGCAACAAAGATGGACACGACACGGACATGGAAGACGGCGACCACAAAGGTGGAATCAACGTCCGAGTCGGCCATTCTGTCGTCGTCGAAACAGATTTGGGCAGTAGCGCGCACACACCACCGTCGCCCAGGAGTACAGCCACGCAGAAAACCGAGTACGAAGAGGGAGCACACATCGGTAATGGTCTCGGTCGAGTATCGGGCCATGTGAGCACGGAAGACTTGGTGAAAAAAGACGTCAAGTTCTTGGTTTAAGGCTGTATCATTGTATTGTTGTCGTGTATAATCAACTCTCAAAATGGGGAACAGGAATTGGCGAACGGATATGGCGAAAGGGTACGGGTAAAATGAACAGAACCGACCTGCAGAATCTTTTTAGATACTTTTGGCGCATGGTTTATCCTAGTGTTTGCTGTTGGATGGATATTCTTATAGCGAGTTTGGTGTAGATAATTAATATATGATACAAACAGTCAACTCTTTTTGTGTTTCTGTTTTCAGTTGATCTCGCTTGTTTCCTATCTATAGCTGCTAGGCTATTCTAAGCTGCTCCTCGCTATCCCTAAGAAGTAAAAGTGTATAGATTGATTAATCAATGACAAGAGCCTTTACTGTTCTCTTGATTTAGTATAATGATGCCGCTGGAGGATATATATAAGGGAATGAAGCAAAAGTGTTTCGGACGTAGGATCACCACTACGACGTTGACACGATGGTCTCAAGAGGGATTTCTCTAAGACTCCCAGCTGTATGAGATAATTTGAGGACTCCTTTGTTGGAGAATGTTACCCAAATTGTGTTCGTACGCCATAGAAATCATGAGTCGCCCCTTTTAAGTCTCCATGTTAAACGGACACAATATTTAGCGGTAAACATCTGGGCGACGACGAATCTAACTTCTTCCGAGGCTGTGTATTTAAGTCCAAGGTCCAAGGGATAGAATGGATTAGTTGTCACCCTTGAACTTGCGGTTTATCGAAACCCCTCTTTTGAATAATAAACTGCTCCATTTGAGTCGTCAAAGGAATTCCAAGCTGGGAGCCCAGATACACCAGGTAATGCGCCAGGACTTGGTAGAGGTGTGAGCTTTTAGAGGATAGCTGATAAGCATCTTGCTCACTACCTTCAAAGTCCTAAACCACGTAAATAAGCAATGCTATGGTATCCTAAGAGCAAAGTACATACCTGGTCAACAACTCTAGAGTCCTCAATATGCGGAAGCATGTGACTTATCACAAACACAATGCCCAACACAGTCAAAAACAACGCTTGCAATTCTGCGTATGAGTTGTCCTTTAATGACTGCGGCCTTAACCGGTTATCGAGGCTCTGAAGCACCCCGTGGCCGGCTTTACGGCGAAGTGCTTTGAACTGGTTAAAACCCTCTGGGGAGTCCGCCGAAGCTCCCGACATCTCATAGACAAGAGCTTCTTCAACAATCATACGCTTATACTGCTCTCTCTCATCTTCACTCGTAGTAGCAGCAAGTCTCTCAAAACACTTCGGCGCGGTCGCGACTCGCACATCTCCAGACTCCATCGCTTTTCGCAACCACGCTTGCCAATCATCTATTTCAGCGTCCAATTCCAATTTGACGCCGGGAGAGAATTTAAGCGATATGACGGCTAAACAGAGAGCGTTGCATTTGCCGGTGGCTTGCTCTTCAATAGATGGTGGTGCTAGATCTGACGTTTATTTCAACTTCACATCACTCAAGTGGAAAAGTACGAATGCTCACAAGGCTCCAGGAACACACTGACTTCCACAAGTCTCGTCCTAATACATCCCGAAAACGAAAGCGTCTTCTTATCTTGCGATTTCAAAATTAAATCGCTGCAATTCTTGCACACATCATTGTTATTACACTATTCGCATCAGCCACTCTCAACCTATCCCAAGATGAAATCAAACCTTAATTTTCAACAGCGAACATCGCAAGCACGCCCTATTCTGCCGGACGATATTAACCTCTCGACGTCTCTCCGCCTTATACTTCCCGCGTTTTGCAGGTCCGGGCTCGGAGGGGGTGACCTTGAATTTGATGATTCGCACATGTGTGGCTTTTATGTATGTCCCTTTGCGCAAAGGCATGATGATGAGAATGACCCAACTGAGGCCGTTGTGTTGGAGAGATTTCTTATGATGTAGATGATGGATTTGATTGGTGATAAGAAATCCCCCGGGGATTTGCTGCAGCTCGGTGAAGCTCGTTTTTACTGTTTTGGGGCTAGCGAAATTTGTGCTTATTGGATACGTTGGGTGCATGTCGATACTGGTGCAACTCTGCGACTTGAGCGAAATAATTGCTGTCGATGAGATTGTGCGACTTCCTTGCATGAGTGATCATGCTTTTTGCTCAGCTCGGAAGTGAAGGAACCACAAATTTAGTATTTTTATCCCAAGAGCAAGTATCAACTCTGCAATAATCAAGAAAACTTCCTACGAAATGTGAACAGAGTAGGTGATGTTTGTTTCCTCGCACATCAGTTTGAGTAGTAATTGTTGTATTTGCCATCGAGAAAGAATAAGTTACCATTCAGCGAATTATTCATGCTTTGAATACCGTACAATACAAATTGGTCGTTCAAATATAGCTACTTTAGCTCATACAAATTTATGTCATGTGAAGCAACATACGTATTGGACATGAACTGTGGTTCCGACTTCACTACCACCTGCAATTTGAAGATTCTAATTATCATCTTGTCCCGGTCGACAAGCCTGGCCAGTCTGAAAATTCGTGTTAGCATCCTATCAAATACCTCCTGTAAAACAAAGATATGATCACTTACAAAACGTAGTACCGCTCTCATTCCTTTCTCCAATCCGACAAACATCTCCCACTTTAACAACCTTCCCCTCGCCCCCTTTGCTCACAAACCCATACCTTCCAAAAATAGGACTATACTTCATGCCCTCATCAACCCTCCTATCCTTCTGCATCAACTTCAGAATCTCTCCTTCTTTGCCTTTCCCAGGCTGACCCATATTATAGTCCACATTCAAACTTGCGCACCGTCCACAATTACCAGTCAAGATGATCCTCGCATCCAACGTCGGAAACTCGATTGATGCCCAGTAATCTTCTTCCCATTCTCTTAGAGACGGCGACGAGAGGACTATGTTTGAACGGAATTTAGTGAGGTCCATGGAAGTGTCTTCGGAAAGGCGGGAGGAGACTTCGTCTACGGAGCTTTGGTTAATTACTAAGTAAGGCGCGCAATCGTTGAAAGCGATTTTATCGTTCTCTTCATCTTGCATTAATGATCCAACAAGTGGAATTTGGGAAATCGCTTGCGACAGCGAAGACTTTGGCTTGGGTGAATAACCGTACGGCTTTCCAGGAATATTGCCCAGCGCAAGTCGCGGATTATCGCCCCAAAATGCTAGAACCACGTCGAAACCAAAACGAGACGAGAACCATTCGTTAGCTTTAGAACCCATGTTGTAGCCCGTCGTAGGGCTACGATGCATATTAACATCGACTGTTTCGAGACCTTTGGTGTTCGGGTGAAGATCTAACTCCAAGACTTCACCGGTAGGCTCTTCGGTTCCGGGGGATCGATAACTGACGAGTAGTTTTTCGCCTGAGATGGACGGATGGAAAAGGGACATTGAAGCAAATTTAGCGATGTGCATGTTCTCTAATGTCTCGGAGGTATCGTCCGACTTTTTCAGAAGCATGAATCGTCGGTCGTGATAAAAACCCTCGTTTGTTAACATGGCTTGTTGAACGGAGCAGCCTCTGAGGGACTTTATGGGATAGATCCATAACTTGAGATTATCGAGTGAGTATTTATTTTCTAGGGAAGGTATCTAATACTATTACTGACCTGCTTGACTTTCAACATTTCTGGGCTATCAACATTATCCTATCGAGATTTAGTATGATGGAAATTTAGTGAGATGTTTGATAGGCAGGACTAACTTGAATGAGAGGTTTTACATCCTGTTTTTTCTTAATTCTATCGAAAGCTTGCCTCAGTTGGAAAGCCCGTGCAGCTTTTCCAGAAATCTTTCTTGTTGGTTGCTGGCCGAAGAAGAAGTACGAAACAAGATATATCAACGTGCAAGCTCCACCAACAAGTATACCTTGATGTTGATGACTCGTCCAATCTAGTAGATCCGGCATGTTGGGGAACGTCTTTTACGGCTTCAGTATGCTTGGTGTGATCGATAAGGATATTGATTTCCCGTATCTCGTCCGGGAAACCCACGTATTCTTTCGGTTTTCTCTGATGTTTTCCTTTCGTGTACCACGATTCTTTACCACAGCCTATTTAATTTAAACACGTTCGCGTAAGTAAGGTAGGTGATGTATGTCATCTGCCTAGTCCAGTTGTTCAAACATGATGGCACAAATTCCTTTCACTCTCGTCGGCAACGTGGAAGCCCCCACCTTTAAGCATCGCGCTCTTCTACGGATACTGCTAATTGTGGGAGGTCCAATCGCTGACCCCGAAGTCTACCCTAGTTTCAAATCTTCCGAACTCCGCATTTGGTGAAGCAGTCCCTCATCACGACGGTGTACCTGACCTTGGTGTTCGGTGTGACTAGAAGAGGGGTCCGGAACGCTTCCGCCTCACTTGCCTTGAAGAAAATGACGACGTAGAGATATTTTGTATTTTTATATAGAGTTAATAAGTGGACATAATGATTTAAGTGTAAGCTGCCAATGCTGTCAACCAAAGACGAAAATGGTTGGAAGCGAATGTGAGCAAATTTCCGCATTTCTTGCATGTGAAATACCATGAACACCAACACTGCAACAGCTCTGCTAGTAAAGCATTGTCTTCGTGGCATAAAGCACCGTCGCAATCTGATGAGCGACAGCGGGAAGAAAAAGGTTTGGAGCAGATGCCGGACAGATTGATTCTTCTAACCACTTCGACATGCGCTCTTCACCCTTCTCTTCTGGTAAAAATCAATTTCAGAGGAGCAAGCGCGAGGGTAAAGATATCCTTGGACTTCTCCAGCAAATCACTTCCATCCTCACCAGGCGCAAAGTTGACGTCAAATTCCGAGACAATACGTGCTGTAACAGAACGAAGTTCCATCAACGCAAGTTGTTTCCCCACACAGCCATACGGGCCTACAAATTGTTGAATTAGTAGAAGTAAGATGAGTCTGGAGGAAATTAATATCACCGGTTGAGAAAGGTAAGAACACAGATTTATCAATGACCATGTGGGCTTCTGAGCCCCACCGCTCTGGAATGAATTCTTTAGCATGTTTATAACAGGCTTCGACTGGGAACTGTTAGTGATGATGTTAGTAGATAGAAAGAAAGACTTACGTCTTCCAAGAGTCCAGAATGGGGTTGAAACTGTAACTCTTCCAGGTATAAAAGTTGAGCCGATCATCATTCCTTCGCTGGGAGTGAGCCGCTGGAGGCCGCTCGGAGTGGGAGGATGCAAGCGTAAGGATTCGTTGATCACACCATTGAGATAAACGGCCTCTTGGAGATCTTTGAATTCCGATTCAGATCCCGGCTTGTAGAACGCATCAAGTTCATCTCGTAGTTTTCTGAGTATATGTGGTGATTGAGCCAAGTGATAGAATATGTCTGCATTCGACCAATGAGAGTATGTTCTTTTTATGGTGAGTTATTAGACCTTACATGCAAGTGTCGACGTGGTAGTATCGCTACCCGCAACTATGATGACCCCAACATCACCGACTAGCCACCTGTAAGAAGTCAGTAGATGAAACATGATTCTCTGTATGTTATTAACCTCAGGTCTCTATGCATAGGATTCTTATCGTTCTTCTCAGCATCGATAAAATAGCTGAACAAATCTGGAGACTCAGGTTCATACTGGATAGCTGGGTTAACAAGTTCAGAGGCATGAGGGATCGCACGATTACCATTTTTCTCTTCGCAACTTGATCTTGATTATAATTGATGAAGGCCCATGTCGGCTTCGCCATTCCCGGAATAGCTTTGAGAATTGGGAGGATCCAGATTATCGGTGTAAGAGGCTAGAGGATGGTTAGCAATTTGTCGGTTTCGTGTAGATTCCTCAGATGAAAGATTTTTTCTGAAGAAAACAGTCGCCTCATTACCCCCAATGCCGCCATGGCTTTGTTCATGATGCTTATCAAGGAATGCTATATTTCATCAGTCTTGATGTTTAATCATTATGGAGTGGTAAAATATCGCCAACCTCTTTTCCTGACTCTACCATACCAAATGATTGTCCGAACGCCATATCTCCCATTATGTCAAAAGCGAAATAGTTGAACCACTTGCAAGCATTAATCGGCTTTCCAGCGTTGGCGTTAAGCTGGGATACGAGTTGATCTGTATACTTTCGGACCCTACCCTCATAACCGCGAAGTGCTAAAACTTTTCAGTATGCATGTTGATAAACGTGTTGAGATACGCTTACCTTTGGTACTGAATCCACGATCCCAAATCTTCCTCCGAGCATCGTGGACAACACGATCTCTTTCAAGATTAAGAGATTTGTTGGGTTTGTTGATACAATCGTACCAGCCCGTTTTTTTACACCTGGAGGTTGATCCAAGAATATGAGCAACTGCTTCAGGATTGGTAATAGACAGCTCGTTCGGCCCAGTCCTTCGTCATCAGCTTGTTTCTGGCTTCGAAAACTAATCAACTTGACGTACCTTACGATGCTTCCATATTTCGCATGCCACTCATCTACTATCTGGTAGTTTCTTGCTCCCTTGAAAATTAAGAGCCAAGTATGATTCCACTTTGTGATCCTGAGATAGAATGGCCCTGGGAACTTTCCGAGTCTGTGGAAAAGTAGTCTGTACGTAACGATGCTGGAAATCAAACCAGACACATATGCTCCTGTCACAATCGCTGTGAGTACTCCGGCTTCATGATACGAAGAAACGTTCGCAAAGTGGAGGAGGACATTCAATATGATGAGCGGGCCAGCAAAGGAAGCGGCAAGTATTCCAGGCCCGGCCATATGATGCTCACCGCGAATAAAATACCCCCAGTGGGTAGTGATTCCCAACAATAACCCCAGCACTGCAAAATTCCGCGGAGATGTGACTGCCATTGAAAACCTGTTGAAGTTGTAGAGTTGGGGTTGAGATAATAGTGACCACGCGCTTGTCAGAGAAACACGGAAGCTGAATGATTATGTGTGGTAACTAAAGAGCTGGTCTGATGATGGTGTAAGAGTTGATGTCAAACTTTATCAGAAGATCCCGTGATACTAGCCCATATCAATGTTACACGAAATAGTTTGGGGTATGTCGTACGTGTTGAAAAGGGGAGTGCTTGACTGATAGAGTACAACAAAAACTATTGACTGCATAGCGGAAATCATTAGCAACGAATCTCATTTTGGAAAGGATGATAGCTAAGAAAAGTACCCACGATTGCGCGACATTAGACCATTGGTGATGGCTTTTAATCACGGGACAACCCTGATGATCACGCGATTTTGCCTGTTCTTCTCTTTCGCGACACTTGGTCGTATTATTTTGCCATCTGATTCAATCTGTTAGTGAAAAGAATAGTATTATTAAGAATGTGACCGGGGTTTAGACCCTGGAAAAGAGCTAGCTTGTTATTTAGTGCATCTATCATGTGACTGTCTCAAGCTGTACGGGAAAGGGTCACGTTTCAATGATGGTACGAAACAAACTGCCCTCGGCCTTGTCCCTACTGATCTTCTTTGCCGGTCTTATATAGTCGGTCTACTAAGGCATAAACTCACGACCTTTATCAAGTTTTACTGGGGTTTGCTGCTGTGCTTAAGACTGCCATTTCACGGGATTTCAGCAAGTTCGAGCCTCTCTAAGCGAATGATACATATCATTAGGGAGACGGGCATGTCTGTGATATGTTGAATAGCCGTTTGAGCACTCTAAAATTCCCAATTATCCCAGGTCTTGGATATGTGGCTAGGATACCATCTTCTGGGTTTTCGAGATTTCCACCCCTGAAGGCCCGCGGCTGATGTGGGGTTGCTCGGTGCTGTCTAGTGGATCTGTCCCTAAACCTTAACCACTACTACTGCTAAATGGGAGTAGAACCGTCTGACGCATGCTAGAACTTGCGCACTGATCTTTTTGAAAAATGAAAAAAAACCACTCTACAACTTTTCTTTGGGAATTCAATCTATACACTGCCGTCACCTTCCAAATGGGAGAGCCTAGCGAAATAGAAAAGCTTGCTTTTGCGTCTTTTTGGGATAAGCGATACGATGTTGCAGAAACACCAAATGACCAGCCAACTCATGAGTGGTTTCGTGGATTCGATAGCCTGAAGCCCTGGCTCTTCAAGCACCTGTTCAATCCTCGTCCTGCCGACCTTGCTCCCATCATCCTGCATTTGGGTTGTGGCGATAGCGTATATCATCACTAGATTCTGGCGTACTTATTGGGAAAGTGCTGATTACAATTGAATACAGACCCTCCCTCATGATCTTCATGCTCTGGGATATACTCATCAAACCTGCATTGACTTTTCGACTGTGGTCATCAAGCAAATGAAGGAGCGGTATGCTTCTGATTTTGGCATTGAATGGAAGTACGGCGATGTTCGTGACTTGCCGGTGGCCCCTTGTAGTGTTGATGTTGCTTTTGATAAGGGGACACTGGACGCTATGATTTATGGTAGTCCCTGGAACCCCCCAGAGTCGGTAAAAGACAACACCAAACGATATATGGATGAGGCGAGTTCTGAACACTTACCCCAAGAGTCAATTCTTTGATTTATACTTAGAGCGAGTTTTGATTGTTGAAGTTTACTAACTAACAAAAAAGGCTGCAAGAGTAATTAAGAACGACGGGGTTTTTTTATACATCACATACAGGCAGCCACATTTTGTGAAACCGTTGCTTAACAGTGATGATCGCTGGGATATCACACTCGAAACATTGTCGGACGGTGCCGGATCATTTGAGTACTATGGATTTGTTCTTCGGAAAAAGACGTAGACTGGATTCATTGTCAGTCTGGTAATCAAATAAATCAAAAAATAGTTGTCATTGATGGCTAATACCGCTCTTCAGCATATTATAACAATCATTGATTAGATTGGGAGTCTGCTTTGAGATGTGTGATAGGTGGATTCCAGTCAGCACTGGAACCATATACCAAAGTACGAGTGGGGGAAAGAATAACATGTTTAACTCAGTATCAACGAGGATGGGATTTCGTATAATATGGAAAACTTAGATTACCAGGATATCTCAGAGTATAACAATGATTGTTACTGTCTCTTGTTGTGTACTTCATTGACTTAATACATCTTGAATATTTCTTGGCAGCAGATTTACCACATAATTTCCGCAACTTTTGTCTCCAAATCACAGTATTGGCGACTGTACCAACGTCTCGCGGAGCTACTCAAAAACCTAAAAGGCATCATGGACCTCTGGATACATCTCAAAGCTCCGGCTCATGAAACCTTTTACGGAGACAGTTGGATTCAGCTCCGTAAGTAGCTTAAATTCGTTCTAGAAAAGAGGATTATGGGCCATACATACAACAGCACTGCTCGAGGCAAGTTTGTCGATAGAGATAGGTGCGTGCCAGACACGAGCAAACGCGCAGAGAAATTGTACTCGGTCCTGACAATACTATAGTTTGGCCGCATAGTAAGGAGGATCACTATCATAATGAGCAGTTTTGATTTGAACTACGTAGAAAGCTAGTATCGTTAAAACAGTGGAGGCGTTATCATAACCACCCTTTTCTCAATATCACTCGACGTTCACTTCATTCTGGTAATGATCTAATAGACTAGGAATCGTACTGAAAAGGTCGCGAAAGTGGTCAAACCACAATATTCTGTCTCGCCGAATGCCTTCACGCAAGTAGATACCGAGGAATTCAAGAACTGAAATTGTTTGAGGTCGACAATCATATGCCAAGTAATCATCAATATGCTAGGATTCGGTTAAAGCAGCCAAAAAATTCTGAGGCACTATATGGATCAGAGCTACGCCCGACTATGTAAAAAAAGGTTGAACAAAATACAACATTGAACGAAGCTCAAATTTGAAAAGTTCAGTTTGAATCGAGACTGGGTTTATTAGTATGTGTTAAACCTCCAAGGATACGTCATTCGTTCATTCAGTATATCCATTGGCTAGATGCTTTTATGTTCTGCGAGATTTTAACATATATCTTGCAGCTGGGCTGAAGGTGATGCTATCTATATTTCGACCGGTCTGGCAATAAGTGGGAGAATAGAAAGTACATTTCATATCCGATTCTAGACTCCCGTCTCCTATTGTTACCTACATAAATAACAGTAAAGAGTTCCGCCTTTTTTGACGATTTAATACTTAAATGTTTCCTCGCCATGTCTTTCAAATCCGTAAGAAGTTTCCACGATTAGCGTCATTACATTTTATTTTCAGTCCCCCAACAACACTCACCAGTCATCTGCGAGGTAACAAAGCAAATCGCTAGACTAATATGATCTAAAACACCGTAGAAGAGTTAAACATCTCGATAAACTTGAGTAGCGACTTCCTGCTAATGCACCATCCCACCAGATACGAAAGATGGCTCGTAGAGGCTGTCTTGATCCAAGTTCTTCATACCGGCTACCTGCGGCTGCAAGCCAATTTGTTCGCACCACGTCAAGCAATTATAAATGCATCAAGTTGGCATCCAAACTTTAGTCCCATCATTTCTTCTCAAGTGTTCGCCATGTCATTCTAACTCATTTATAGATGGTCGGAGTGGATCGTACAAAATGAAGTTTTTCTGGCCTAGCCGCCGAAGTGCTTTAAAGAATTGACGTAGGGATGCTTCTAAATCAGATAATCTTGTAAGAGAGGCACTTAGGACGTGTAGCATGTGGGAATGTCCCAATTTCTGTACGCTTGCCTCCAATCTCGCTAGGGAATTTGTGAGTCTGGAAAGGGTATGCCAAGTTGTGAAAAGAGGACACTGGATCAGTAACATAGTAAGGGTGAGTAATTTTAACAGAAATCACAAAGCTGAGCAATGTCCAAAATTATCCTGTTCCTGTAGAAAACGCAGGTCGTTTAACGATACACCATTTGATGTTGCCTTAGTGTATTAACGCGTATTCGAAAACGATTGAGTAAGTCATGTTAAATTGGAAGTTGCTTTAAGTCCAAGTAGTTTGACTTGAAATAGATTGGCAATGAGGTTTATCGGAGGGGGCGAATTAGCTGACTGAATTAAGCGAAAACACTTTGGATCTCGGATTCACGCGGCCCGCGACAGCTTCTTAGCCTATTGGCACAAACATCGTGTGGATGGATTAAATGTTCTGTTCATTGCAAAGTAGGTCAAAATACCAGCGAAACTCTTTGTGTACTCTTTCGGAAAACCATCCAAATTCTGCATTTTCGTCCGTGATAAACTCATTGCCAATTTCGGGAGGTGCACAAGGTGGGGAAGTCGAGCACGTGGGCACATCTATAGGATGGAAGCCGAAGTCGTACCTACATTTGCGAAAACCAAGTCGGAATAGAGAGAATATATATATTGTTCGTAGTGCATTGAAAATGGTCCTCGACACGTCTTCCTCCACCCAATTTCATAATGCGCAGTTGGACTTTTAAGGTGCTCACCTTGAGCGCGCTGAGTGCTTTAGCATTGGGACATTGGACCCCTCGACCTAACCCGTCAGCAGACTATGTCAACTACACAACGGTCACTGGATTCTTCCTCCAAGATGAAGCTTCTACTGTTCCAGGGACGTTTGACTACGTGAGTATTATAATCATATTTGCATATGAAAAAAAGGGTCTCTGCTTATATATAGGATAGACTACTGCGAATTTTGGGTTGATCAATCGCACGTATCCAACGGACAACGAGTGTAGTAGATCTTTTACTCAATGGCAAAAGTTCGAGCACTACGTCGATACTCTTAACCAAAGGAGTGGTAGGAATGTTGACTACAAAGTGCTCTTCATGGGACGGCATGGCGAAGGTTATCACAATGTCGCGGAGAGCTATTATGGCACTCCCGCATGGAATGTAAGTCATATTCTGACTTTCGAGTTTTTTTCTTGATGATGACGTCGTACTTCGACATTTTTGCTAGTGAAATTCAACCGGGTTTATTTTTAGCAAATTTTTCATGCCTCAAAATCCCGGAAATACTAGAATAATTGAAGCTAGAAGCGTAGCTAATATAAAACTACAGTGCTACTGGTCTCTGTTAGATGGCAATGGAACATCCGTCTGGGCCGATGCAAAAATCACACCCAAAGGACAAGCTCAAGCTGAAACTGCAGCAAAATATTGGGCGTCGAGAGTCGCACTTCAAAAGATTCCGATTCCACAGTCTCTCTACACATCTCCACTCACGCGTTGTTTACAAACAGCTGAAATCACATTTTCTGGACTCTATCCACGCCACCAAAGGGTTGTTCCTACTGTCAAGGAATATTTCCGAGAGGGAATAAGTGGACACACCTGTGACAGACGTTCTACCAAGTCCTATATTCGCAAGACCTTCCCAACTTTCGAAATTGAAAAGGGGTTTTCTGAACAAGATTTATTATTCAAGCCTCACTTCGCTGAGCAACCTGTGGATCAAGATATTCGCACTAAAGCTGTACTTGACGATGTTTTTGGGAATGATAGCAATACTTGGCTCTCGATTACTAGCCACTCAGGTGAAACTGCTAGTCTTTTGAGAGGTAAGCAACATAGTTTCCCTGAAGATGACCAAAAGTGAACCCAACTGATACTGGATGTAGTTTTGAAGCACCGAGTGTTCTCACTGTCAACCGGATCTGTTATCCCAGTTCTCGTGAAAGCCGAGACAATCAAGGGAACAGCTCCAGTAACTTCGACTGTAGCGTGGTCATCGATCTCTACATGCAGCACCGCACCACCCCTTCCTACACCTACAGCATGAGACGTTGACCAAATTATATGATATTCATTTTCAAATACAAGTAATCATTACTTTACACGAAACCAGTCCGATAGGCTGGTATCCGTAACGCTTCATCCTTCATTTCATGAACATAACGCATCTACTGTGCTTTCTCCTGTCTGATCGCACCCTCCTTCTCCATACCCTCACACCCCGCTACGCGTCCAGCTGCCGACTCGATTTGGCCACCAATTCCGCTCGCTGCAGGTTCACTTGTCCTGTTCTCGTTTGCTTTCTATGTGATTGGTCAGTACGAAGCCATTATTCTGTCCAAGATCGAATTCTTACCTTCATTTCTCCAATACCTCCTTGCATATCCTTCTCTCCACTTTGCTTCCAGTCTGCGTTTCCTGTGACACTGCCAATGGTAGACTCTACGTATCCCTTTGCGTATTGAGCATGGCCGCCAATCATGGATGGCTCATTTGAACTTGGGTGAGGTGTTTGTGTGTTTCCCGACATTTTGATGGGGTGCTAGTTGATACGATTGAGACAAGGGGTACGAAATAGGTTTGTATGATTCGGATTATGGAGGGTTTCGATGTTGAATTGAGGGTTGCAGTCGATAGGGATTACCTATGTTCAGACGTGAGGGGCGAGGGGTGATGATGTCATGTCGATGTTTAGCGAGAGGTATTCCGCAAAATAGGGGTTCCCCGGCACTAGTTTCTCTGCTCTGCTTCGTGTTATAGCGAAGCTTTGCTTTGATATCTGAGATTCGTTTTACTTGCTTGGAAAGCAAAAATCGAGTGCCTTAATTCTGATTCTTACTTTCATCCTATCTTACAACAGTATCGTCAGGACCTTACATAATAATGTTACAATTTGAAGAAGTAAAATCACAAGTCATTCTTTCCCCTAATCTGACATGCAAATTTGCTTTTGGCGAGATACAAGCAGTCGTTTGTAGCTTTAAGAAGTATCCGCTCGACCGCTGCTCATGCTGAGCTTTTCTAGGTGTGGGGGCGGCCATGATTTTGGCGGCTCCTTGCTCCGTTTGACTGGCATTTACTGCCAGTATCTGAAAATCCCTTCGATTCACAGTCGAAGAGATCCTACATTTGTTATAACTCATGTTTCAGTTTCTCAGAATCTCGAGTCCGTCGTGGACGAGAAGAACGCCTAGCGTTTCAATCGTAATAATCTCCTCCAGCTCTTTCATATTTCGCAAGGTCTTCGCTTATCATCTAACCAAAAAATGAAAAGTTGTCTTTGGATGCTTTTCGTAATTCCAGAGGCTCGAGATTCCCATCTTTCAAAATGTAAATTCTTCTATCGCATGCCATCGCGTGCCTCACGGCTCGTGAACGGGGACATCGCGCCTATGAAAGTATCAAACTCGTCGCCGATTGAGGTGATGAGGACACTATGCCAATATCTACTCTTACTCCTCGAAATATATGCTTTTAAGCAGGGGCATCCCGAAACGCTCATCGTAATTCGTATCTGAAAGTGCTATCTCACCAACTATGCATATTGCTAAAGTTTTTTCCCCCCAGTCCTTCAGGTAAGGATAGCACTATTGACCAATTTCTTGTTACATCGTACTGGTACGAAGCTAGTATTCTATTGCTTTTTTGGTCCTGAATTGTCTAAAAGTGACTGGCTTGGATGAAGTGAAAGGGGAGTATTTGACATGCCAGGTCGCAGGGGATAACTGAGTGGGTTTAAAGAAAGGATCGAAACGATTCGAATTAATATGGGACATGTCCACCATATTTAGAACCATTCCGTCTATATATAAAATAACCACAAGCGAACATGTACGCCGACCATAAAAATCGCAACCCCACGACAGCTGAAGCAAGACTACCCAATCCGAATAAGAAATAATTGCTTAGATCATGCGAACGAAAATTCAAAAATGTCCCTGACTAGCCATCCATCCATCACATGCAATAAATCACTTGCCAGTAACCCTAATAATCCCAAGATAACACCCCAAAACGCCATCAGATTCCAAGAGGGTTCTCTTAAGAGGAGTTTTTCCACACAAATTCAAGCGGCAATCAAGATTCAATCACGCCTCTCGATACCGCGAACTTTGGTGTTACTTGGACCAGGAACGTACTACGCCAGTGAAAAGGGTGTTTTCTCATCCTGACCTTCGACTTGTTTGCATTCAGAGGCTCTTGCTGGATCGTGGTAACCGACGTCAAATACCATTCTATCGCCTTCATTGTAGAAGGCTCGGATGGGCCCGGGCTTTTGACCATTGGCGTAGTTGGTGGGGGCTAAGCCGTTCTGTGGACTCCGCATGATCGGGAATTCTGTGAATAGCTGTTGGGCGGACAGAGATTGATAGGGTTCATTGCCATATTTGACTGGGTAACGGCCTCGGGAGTTCGCTTTGGCTGGTGCCTGTTGGACTTGACGGCGAACATCAGATGCTTGGAGGTACCAATACTCTGTCTCCTTGACTCTGCTCCGGTACTACATCACAAGAGGTCAGTTGGGCTTTTCCGAGTGCAGAAGTCACATTTCAGATTCTTATTAGGGTGTACTCACATATGAACCCGTTCTTGTGAACTCTGGGGGCATCCAATCCTTACCATGAGGATCGACAGCATTTTGCTGTCCTTGGGGCAGCATTGAGTTCTCAGATTCTTGTTGGTCTCTGATTTATGGGCTCTGGTCTACAGGAGATGAACCTATGCAGTCACCAGATTTGGAACTGTCAATGGATTCCATGACAATTGAGTGTAAAGTCGACTAGGTATGAGAACGGAGGAAGAGATGAAAGTCTGGATCTAGTGCCTCAAGAAGAATATGAAAGATGAAAAAATAAGACTTCGTAACCACCGGGGTCGAAGTTTGGTTAGAGATGAGAGGATGAGTGAGCGCGAGAGTCGTTAGAAGCCATTGTAGAAACTTCTCAGCCATGTACTTATATTTCAGCAAGACGACATTCAGATGCCGTTAATTGCTCGCATCTTCCTCAACTATGCTGAAGAAGGGAAATTCCTTTGTGTAGTAGCGTTACATCACAATTACCAAAGTTTGTCATGAAATCGACCTTGGTCACCAGCTGACAGTTCATTCAAAGATTTTAGTTAATCCGTGGCAAAGACGTTATTGAGCCCGCCTTGTTCAAAAAGTGATATATCACCTCTGGTCTGAACTTTACTGTCTGAACCCCGGCAGGCGTGAACTCACTGATCAACATGTCAACGCGGCAGCATGTTCAACACTGGGTGCATGGATGGATGAACTTCTTTTACTTCCACTTATTTTGGGCGATACGTCTTTCAAAGCCCACCTCCGCAATATGTTTTGAAACATTCAGAAACATTCAGAAACATTTTTTTAAATCGTTGATGAAAGCGCTTTAATCGTTTCATAGCGACCCCATCCATGTCTCAAGTACTGCGGGAAAAGCGAAATGCAATAGCCCGCTCATCGTATCTAGAACCGGTCCGTTATATGCGGCAGTACGATAGAAATAAACAAGAATTCAAGATCCGAACAACTATGAGCTGATTACTTCCAGTTACATTTACCTCCTTTGGCTTACCTTACGAATGAGAGAAAACGACATATTTTGAAACATTCATTTGCGAAACAGGAAATTCAATTTTAAATCAACGATAGACGTCAATGAGACCTATACGTAACATCAAACAATGAGGACAAGAAAAGTATCGGCTTTACGTTTTCATCTCCCATTTCTCGCTTAAAGCTCGCCTAATTTCAGCGCTCCTGAGTTAGTAGAGTCGAGGAGTGAAACCATGAAGCAGTAAAGATACTTGGTCTTTGTTCCATTCGTGGCCGGATATGGTCGATTCCAAACATAATTGGTCTTTGCTTGGCCGTTGTCCTGTTGGCCGGATGCGGTCGAGCACAAACGACCCTTTGTTTCATGAGTCTTTAAATAAAATAGGTTTCATATATCTTTCGAGTTCACAACTTGGCTTGTTAATTACAAAACAACTTTAATTCTACCTCAAAGAATTCAGCAACTATCGTCCCGTCGCTCGGTCAAACATTGATATGGCGGCTCCAGATACAGCCACGATGACGCACGAAAGCAGTCTATTTGACCTCGAGTTGATCAAAGATATGCTTAAACAGCCTTACAATTTGGCACAAAGATTACCCATGATTCGTTTGTTCGATCAAGGTGTTAAATCGGAAGCCGCTGCAGTCGAGGCCGCGCAACAGCTTGACGCCTGGTGTCCCCCAGTTGACCAAACAGAAGAAGCCAATGACTTTTTGTGGAATCTGTGGGAGGTGATGCTTGATATTGCTAGAAGTCCAGAAGTGACAACCGAGGTACATATCGGTCTTATACGCATTCTTGAGAATCTGCGACCGTTCGCAAGAGGGATGCTAAGCGTCTATGGTGTAAGTGCCCATCACATTCATTCCACCACCCAGAACAAAGGCCAAGTGTAACCAAACATAGTTCCCATGGCGTCTCTGGGGTGGTTTCCCCCGGCTTAGGATGGCCTTTGAAGAAGCTACTTCAGGTAAGCCTTCACCGCAACTTCTAGATTGGTCTGACTTTGCCTCTAAGATCCAACGTTTGAGGGCTCAGGCATGCCAGAATTTACTTCAGAGGAAGCAAATATCTTCAGAAATGTGAGTTACTTTGAGGCTCGCTGCTATGGAGCCAATATAGGACGCGGTTATGGCAACTTGATCGATGCCATGAGATCAGCGCTCGAGGAAGACCTAAGCACCACTGAGATAAGCAAAGTGGAACTCAAGATGCAGGTTGCCTGCGAATGGATCTTGCATGCCGCGAATGCCTTACTTACATGGGCGAGGGTCAACGGTGATATTACGGATTTGCCTCGTGGCCACATACAATATCTCGATCGCGGGACTTTGTATCATGGGAAACCCTGGATGTGCCTGGAGCGCTTGACCTTCTGGATCGGCCGTTTTGAAGACATCGGAAAGAATGAATCGAGGTTGAGTGAGGAAACTAGGAATCGTGTTCTTGAAAGTGCTCGGTTTATGAAGTCGATTGAGAGCAGCCCGTAACCTGAATTCTCACAAATTCGGCAACGAAATGGACTCTAGGCTCTAGAACATACCCTTGAGGAAATGTACCGAGATACTCGATGAGGTTTTCTTTTTTAGCTTTATTTATTAATGGAGGGTTTCGTTAGTGTAGACTGCATAAAACTCTTGTGAATCCTCACCTATCCAATAACATCCTAACACTACTATCAACCTGCGTATAGACTACTTGTATCTACTCGTGTACTGCATCTATTGGTGTCTAATTCTTATAACATTCTACCCTCGCTCCAAACGATCGCTACATCGAATAGATAGACAGACTTGATTTAGAGGATACACTCGGTACCGTGACCCCTGACGATAACTTCCTAACTATCTGCACAAACCTTCCGTCTAGATTCTTAGAGTAACGCAATAGCCTCCTGTTAACCTAGAATCGCGTGTGATTTTCTTTCGACTTAGTTTCATGCTATTCTTGTATATTTGCCTGGTACGAGCTCTGCTCACCTGTTTGTCCTAAATACATTCTTTTCTTACTCAAAGGCTCACATTTATCGATTATACCTCTTGCCCTCTAGAAAAGTCTTCTACCTTCGCTTAATTTAAAAGTAAAAGATGGGGAACCGACGAAGATATATCAGAATACATCCGACGTAACTTTTTGTGCGAGCAGGCAGGTCTTAACAATTCAATATTCGATTAAGTTCTATCAGCTAACCCTAAACCTTCTGCTAATTATCTCATACTTTATATTACATCTTTCAAGAAAGTTCTGCTCTATCCAATACTCCCATCGCTTACATCTCCCCTTATCGAGACTACGCCCTTCTTCACAGCTATACAGATCCAAGATAGCCTTCCCTCGCGCCCTCTTCTACCCGAATTTGAAAAACCCACTAAGAATTATCGCCCAGATTCTTCATTAGCGAATACTCCTTAAGATAAATTTCTATCCTTAACTTCGTGACTTCTACCCCACTGAAGTTTTCAAGACCTGTATAAAACCTTCCAGGTTCCTTGACCCTAAGCCCAAGATAATTACAAGCCACCTCGCTCCTCACCCACGATGACCAGTCTTTTCATTTCATGCAACTTATTTTCTAGCTTTCTAGAGATATAGCTACCGAATCTTAATTTACCTATTCTTTACTATCTATAAGTTATTAACCTCTATCTAAGATCGCGTAAAAATGTTATAGCTAACACGGCTATCGGTAGCTATAATATAAAGAAGATTTTAATAGAGTTCTAGTAAAGGTAAGAAGATAATCTCTTCAACTTAAATAACTCAAAGGGAGATAAAATGGGATTTTGAGCTTAGGGAAGTGACTTTAGAATCTAGGTTAGTGGATAAAATCGATGATTATCGTTAGGGAGAGGGATGTTTATTTCTCGCAAAGATGTATGGCGACAGGTGGTGAGGTAAAGAGACAAGCGCGAGTGAACGAAAAGATATCATGTATGATTGACTGCTGGGTAAGTGAAGGGAATAGTGATGTATATACAAGTTGTATGGATTGATTTCGTTAAAGATGATTTGTTGTAGTCAAATGCACATATTAGATATAAAATGTTTCGATGTAGTAAAAGTTGTTGAAATAAATCAAGTGTAATGATGGAATGACTATTGTTGACTACCTGTAGGTAGAAGAAAAGATTGAGAAGCATGTCGCAAACCCAGTCTAGATATGAAAAAAAAAATAGAGAGAGAGAGCTACCGGTCGCAGGGCTACATTTATGTCAATATGGGTTTTGTCCGACATCTGAACTCTGGGACTTCCAAAACAGAGTGGATTCAAGAATGAAGCCCCGATAGATCATGTCACAAAAACTCACCTATATACTCACCCGCGCACGTCTTGATCGTCTACGGAGATGCTTCCAAAAGGGCCAAGATCTATTCGATTTCTCGAAATGCCGATAAATCGGTCACATTACATCGGCTTCATCTGAACATAAGGCCGGCGGTCCTCCACTGTTCATCGGATGATGCTGAAAAAAGGCTCCGCGGACCGCGAGCCATCCAATGTTCGTGAAGACAATCATGGGATGGTGTGCTGGCATTGATAGGATTGCGCTGCGCGTCCGTGGGATCTCAGGAATCAGAACCAATTCTACACACAAGTCCGGGTCGCTAAAGCTCGACCACGTTGATGCAGGGTTTCAACGTTTCACCAGGGCATGATTTTGTGATACAAAATCGCGATAGGCTCCTCCGCGGTGCAAATACATTCCGTCGGACATCAAAACTACGACAACCCAACTTGAAGGCGCAAGAATCATAACGGGGATTCACATGAGGGATTGTGCTTCAGCGTTCATCTTGCTGAGCGCCTAACTCGGATTCGGATAATTCAAAGCCATGCAGCAGGGCTATTTCCAATCCTCCAAATCAAGCAGGAGGGAAAGCAGTGACGCCGAATGCTGTGAAGGATGGCGACATGTTGTGTCTTTTAAAACTCACCGGTACTCTGCGGTGCGATGTCAATCAATTTCACGGCAGATGTAGGCATCATGCTGGGAATCTTCAGTCGAGAAGGCTAGGTTGGTTGAGACAACGTGACGAGTAAGATTGCTTTCTTTCGGCGTAGTGGTTGTCTGTTGCGTATTGAGGCTTTTTCTCGACCCAAACCATCGGGATTGAAGATTCAGAATATTGTTTCTCATTGGAGATTCTGTCTCAACACCCCATTTTCCAGCGAAAATCGCTCGAAGTCGAGTGGTTCAAACGCCTAAAGCCTGTCATCGATAGATTGATGCTTTCGTTGTTGTTGGAAGATGTTGGAACAGTGTGATATCCGCCACCCTATGAGCTGCAACATGCAGGAGGCCAATACATAAGTGTGTCGTGTTCCTATTGCTGCAACTCTTCCTTCGTTCGGGAAAGGAGGGTTGTCCAGTTTTGCGATGAAGAGACTGACTGGAGGAGTTTTCCTATCGTCGTGGAACAACATCGCGAGGGCAATGAACGAGTAGTTGCAGAGTCGACTTTGAAGCCCTATCACACAACAGGACTTAGTTATGATTCCAAAGACAAATTCGAACAAATACTTCGTATACTTAAAGTCTAGCAGGCAGCTATTATTGGCTGCGGTTGTTGAGGAGGTTCTATGGATCGGAACAGGGTGCCCGTGAATCCATCAATCAGCGCTCGTTCCAGGCTACGATCCGCGCCCAGCTGCCGAGATGATTCCTCCATCGTAAATCCAGGCCTTGTGTGGACGTCCCGGCTCACAGGCTCAAACGGGTCCTTCCACATTGGGACCGAACTGCAGTCTGCACGCCAGGGCTCAGGTTTCCCAATGACAAGGGCGAGACCCGTGGTTGCAAGAGTGGAGAGACGGGTAAAACATGCCTGTTTCTCGCGGAGAAAGCGACTGACCAGTTGGAGAGCGCGATATGAGGTTTTCGTCGCAAGAAGCTGGCAAACGAAGGGAAAAGCAGAAGGCCTGCTTCCAGCATGGTGCCTGTAGTTTGCTTGGCTTCAAACCCGGGATTTGGGATCGTGAAGATTGAAGGTTGAAAACAACGACAGACGATGGCATTCAGGATCCGTACGAGTACTTCAGATGCTGCAATGGTGGAAAGCCAGATATCAAGCCCTTCCAAACATTCTGCCAATATTCCATGGGCGCATCCTTTGCGTTTGGCGTTGCCAGCGGGAGGAAGCTGTCCCGGCAATACTGCAGTTCTTCTTCCGGTGCAGGAAGTCACAGGCAGAGGTGTGGTAGCGAGGGATGAAGGCGTGCATGCGCGCCCAACAAAAGTACCAACGTACATGACAGAGATGGGATGCGAAAATGGACTGATCAGAGTTGAGATGGTGGATTAGAAGCGTGGTGCAAGCCCAGTTGTCGTTGCAGTGGACAATCACCAGCAACTCATGCTCATCGAGTTGGATGTACGAGATCTGCGAGGCATGGCGAGACATTTGACGAGATGGTTTCCTCGTTCGTATGGCAAAAGTTACACGTAACGTTGAGGTCGCTGTTTGGGTTGCATGTTTTGGTTTTCTGTCTCTGCAAGACGAAAGTCTTCTCCCGGAGAGCCAACAGTGCGAAGCATTGTTCCACGACCACCACCCCTTCGGCACCTTTTCAGTCTCCTGGTCGGTTCGGTTCGTGAGCACCAGACTCGTGGTGTGACGACAGAGGCACACCGCACGCCATGCGACCAGTTATGGAGGTGTAAGTCGGCTATCACGTCGTTCAAATTGCAGCGATGTCGAGTGTTGAGCCAGTATTCGGCTTACCGCTCTGTCGAAAACGTGTTTTCAGTTTCGCGCCAGCGGTTTTGTGCATCTGATGGGGCACTGCCGGTGTTGGAGTGGTCCTAGTTTCCGCATTCCGCATTGAAGCACCAACGGTCGTCTTTATGCATCGGAGAGAGGTCGATTTTGGGTTATCAAAGTCTGGAGGGCCAAGGGCAGAGAAGAGACGCGGGCGGGGAATAATAATCGAGCTGGCAGTGACTGTTCCCGCAAGATGCTGGTTCGAGTCTAGTGTGCACGTGCCCTGCCGTCCTGGCTTTCCGGGAAGGGGAGAAGTCTCTCGTTCTGTCGCATTCGCTTTTCTCCTCGTGGATGAGCTGGAAGCCAGATGATTGTTCATATTTTCTACTCTCCTTTTCGCAGCTGGTACTGTGCTACTAAAGAGGTCATTCATTCCCTCCGCACCTCTGCACCTCTGCACCTCTGGCAGCGCTCCTGCCCTATCTCAGGCTCTCTGCGTGGTTACAACACCAGTACTGCAGTACTCTACTGCGTACGGTTAGAGCCAGCTCCAATCACTCGGTATATTCCCGTGTCTCGTCTCGCCGTGTCCAATTCCGCAAATTCCACCGGCCAGGCTCGCAAGGGCTCCAGCCAGTCAGTGCCACTGCACTGCACTGCAGTCTACTCCCACTTGCGCTGCAAAGACCAATTCTCCCCACTCCACGCCCCTCACTGTCTGCGACTCCCACGCCCCGACAGGCCACCAAGCACCCCTCGCCCTGTCACCCTAATCAAGTCCTTCCTCTCCGTCCCAAGGACCACTCTACAGGATCCCCCCTCCCCCCTCCCCCCAGCAAAACCCGCCGTGCCCGCTGATTGAGTCGGCGCCAACTCAAAACACCGGCCATCCCTCGAGCCTGCGACTTCAATTCCCTTTCAACCCGCCTTTCTTGTCCGTCGGCGGCTCGTCTGTCGAATCCAAGGAACCACCCCTTCCACCATAGCATTGTCACGATCGAAGACGCCCTCATTTAGTTGAGACAGCCACTTTGCCAGCGACATGGTGATTTGGCCCATGAATTGACCTTGTAGTCTTGTTCTCCGTTACATCTTGCATCCGATCGATTACGAGAAAAGTGCTGCAGAACTCGGGTGGAGATCGGGATCTGAACCACATATTTTTACCACGTTTCGAAACATCAACACCAATCTCGACCTACTTCATGGACCGATAATAACTACATCTTTGTCCTGGTTTGAATTTTGTCAAGCATCAGAGTGGGAAATCATGAGTTCTTCAGCGCAATCCGGGCCAGATGCGCCCACAGAGAAGAAGAAGGGACTGTTGTCCAGGATGAAGACGGTACTTAAAAAGGTGGACGGTTCGAAGCGACTATCATTTTCCTCCAAGGTCCCGGTCGCTGGGTCGAGGTGAGTTTAATTAGGTTGACTGCGTGTATGTCCCCCTCTGATAGCCTGTAGCACAACAAAACCTGCTCTAACTCCAGTTATCGCTCCAGTTGAAGAGAAGCCAGCCCCCGTGGAAGCTCCAAAAGCGTTGCCAGAAGGACCCCAGCCAAAGAAGGTTATTAGATCCGACATAGATGCTGAGCGTGCTCGCAAGTTGGGAGAAAGATTCAGAGTGACCATTGATCCTCAACAATTCTCTTCCAAGCGGATCGAAAAGGAAGTCTATCGCATTGAGAAACCGATTCGCATGAGGATACATCGACAATGTCATAAGTGTAATACAATCTTCGGAGGAAACAAGATCTGTGCCTCTTGTGATCATGTCAGATGTAAAAATTGTCCAAGGTCGCCTGCCAAAAAGACCGACAAGAAGGATAAGAAGGTCGTTGCACCAGTTGACGTTCCCGGTGTGTTGGATCTGGAAGCCGACACGTACTGGGGTTTACAGCAAGAAACCGTCTTGACTCGGCCAAATCCAAAGCCAGGACGACAGCCATTGGTGAGAAAGAAACCAATGCAAAGGGTCAGAAGAACCTGCTGCGAATGTTCAAGCTTGTTTCTTGCAAACGCGAAGACATGTACAGGCTGCTCTCACAGCCGGTGTGTAGACTGTCCTCGAGACCCGTAAGTTCAACCTTTGGCTGATGTTGATTCAGACTAATTTCTCGTAGTGCAAAGAAAAAGCAATACCCCGATGGATACCCTGGCGATGCTCCATCAAAAGATACTAGTATTCCAGTTAAATACTGCTGCCACAAATGCAACAAAGTCTACGCTCCTGTCCCTCATCCCGCCAGCGGCGAAGAAGTCAAACAAGACTGCGTACGATGTGGCCACGAAAGATGTCCAACCTGTCCTATCGCTCCCAGGCTGAAGGTCGAGCCGGAACCCGATCCAGAAATCGTCAAGAAAGTAGAAGCCAAACTAGCCGCCCTGACCGTCAGTCCCACGCCCGCCTGACACGAAACGAGCAAGATGACCCGACATTTGATTCATCCCTCCTAATCAACGAATTTTCACATCATCAGTCTCATAGAAAGACATACGTCCACCCTCGACCATTTTCCGTCAAATTCTATATCCACTTCATACATGAAAAAGCATAATTTACGAGGAGATGAACGCATTAGCATATTTATTCATATTTTTTTTCGACGACATCTCCGCTATACCTATTTTTTTCTTCGCATTGACGCGCATGCTTGCTTGATTCATGGACGTATGGGATAAAATGATTGGTTGAATATATTGGGAATTTTTCGGACATGGAAAGCGTGTGTGCTAGCGAGCGAGCGAGTTTGGGTTTGTATATTTGAGGGGGGTTGTATATACCATGGATGTTTTTTGAGGAATTTTGAAGATGATGGAAAGGATGGGGATAGGAAGAGTCTGGTTTGTGGATGAGTGGGGGAAGAGACTTGATATGAGGATAGGAAAAGAAAATGGGGCTAGGATGGGTTGCGTTTTGCTATATTACCTATTCTTTGATGATAGGGGAAATGATTGAAATGAGAGAATGGCTTGCACCTCACAAGAATCACTTGACTGGCATCATTTCCCTTGTTTTTGGCTTAAGGATTTTCATTTCCTGTCTCTCTGCTACATGATTGCCTGGATTATACGCATCCCCTGCCCTTCCTGCTTCCTTTCTTGAACGCGCTCGCTCCTCTCAACACCAGTCGTCTCAATCGTCTTCACAATGCGTTTGGAGCGGAGCTTTGTCCCGTTAAGTAATAGGCTTAGTGATGATCGGACTTTTGAATGTCTCTGTTGTGGTGGAACACTTTATATGTTCGTGATGTCTTGTTGACTGACTAAATCAACTTCTCTGCGATACTTCAAGTGGACGGGTGAAGTGATATTGTGTTTTTGATGACGTGTTTTTGTGAGTTGTGATTGGATTGTCTGGATGTGTTGTGTGGAGAGGGAGATTTTGTTTGTATATCTCATATCTCTCTAACCTAATTAGCTCTCTGAGAAAAGTGAATTGTAGAGAAATTCCACTCATGTCCTCTCACCTGATGTCTCTCTGCGCTGTTGTTGAAATGTCTTATTTGAAGAGGGAGATTTTGTTTTCGATACTTCTTCCGACGTGGTTGTTGGTAGAGGTCTGGGAGTCTGATGTGAAGTGGGACAATGTGTTTGTAGGTTGTGTCTTTTTGAATGAGTTAGCCAACTTCTTCAAGACAGTTGAAGGATGGGAGAGTGAGGGTATCTTACCCTTTGCTGCGAGTTTTGGCGCCATTCTCGTTGATCTTGATGTTTCTCACGGAGAGGCACATTTGGTTTGAATGGTGTATCTTTGAATGAGTTAGTCAACCTCCTTAACACATTTAAATTTGGGATCTCAGTGATACCATCATACCTTTTGCTGCGATTTCTAGCGCCATTCACATTGATCTTGTTGTCTCTTTTGGAGTGGCACAGTTTGTTTGAATGGATGCCTCCAACTCTCCAAGGCATGTGTTGTAGTGTAGAAGCCCGGCGTAGTGTTGCTTTTGGCCTTTTGTTTGACTATCTCGTTCGAAACGGCACATTCCATCTGCATGGTCGTCTCTCTGTGGTTGGGTGATTCAGATCCTGCGGGGACTGTGAATTATGTTAGTAAATTAATGAGGATGGTGAGAATGGTGAAGATACCTACAGCTCGAAACAGGAGGAAAGCAAGAAACACTGTCTCTTTCGCCAAAATTGGTTCTGTTCTTTTGTGGTTTTTGATTTTCAACTTTTTTTGGGTGTTAAAAAGTTTAAATTCGCTGTTGCCTCTTACGAGGGCTTGACATCTTCCTCGCTTTGGTGAGAAGCCGCTTGAGGAGGGCTCTCAACATTATGAAGATTTTCTCGGATAATGTGGTGGGCACTGGTATCATTTCCTCAAGTGGGTTGGGACGCTTGAGGAATGCAGTCTCGTAGTCGATAAGCATTTTGGTGGATTGTAATATTTGTGATGTTTGTGAGAATTAGAATGTCTGTGAAGTTGAGAGTAATTGTGATGAAGTGAGGGAAAGAGGAGAAGAAAATTTTCAGAGACACGCATTCATCTTAACTATGTGTCTGGGCTTACGTGCTGGGCTAGATGCTAGGTATTCTTGAGAGTGTTATGATGGCATTCGCTTAATTTATGGGCACATAGGGGGGAGGACAAGAAACCAAAATGACACCAAACGAGTAGTGCAAATAGCGATTGGCTTACGCATCGACACTAAAATTTGTCGAAAATTATGATATCAATAACGTATTGACTCATATACGATCCCTTTCACTGCGTGACCAAACACCAACGGATCAGAGCCTACTTCCGAATTTAGTGCTGGGGAGTAGTAATGACTACGGTTAGCTCCCGCAACGAATCGCAGGGTGAGCTTGTGGATAGAAAATTCTAGACACTACACTCTTTCGCGTGTTCGAACTCTGTGAGATTCATCATTGCCTATTGGCTTCAATAGATTACGCGTAGAAGACACAAATTCTTAACTGTATATTTATATTTTCGCTTCCTCTTTCCGGTTTCCTCTGGAATTTCACTTGCTAGAATGTGTGAGTAAATGTTATGTGAGATCTGATGATTCTCGGTTTTGGCAAAATCGATGGGAGTTGTGACTCTACACCCAAGTCATCCTTATAAGTAATAAATATTTCTCTATGTATCTTGATTCTGTGCCCCTCTGAATTGGCCACTACTCAACCTATTATGTTTTTCACAGAAAATCCCACGAGGTTTTCCACGAGGGACCCGCAAGTACTACATTTTTGTTCGGTCGATTGTGATAGAGCTCAGCTGAATTCCCTTCCTGGTCTTGGTGAGGTTTGGTATCCACCTTATAGCCAAGCGTTCTTTCAAATGAAGTGAAACACCAAATAGAGTTCTCAACTTTCTTATCTACTCAAAACAATTGACTAGATCTGGGATATTGAGTCAACCCATTTGAATGAATGTTATAAATATCCACGCTTTGTTTTGCAACCACCAGGGTCTCTTAGCCGAGACAGGAAATAAACTTTCACAACGTGCAGACGGTTTGTTTTACTATTATTCTGTCATTCTGTTTAAACCTCACCCAGTTTTGCCCTCTAAATAATCTACTCCTTTCTCTCAGTGAATCAGTGACATCTTCGAGAAATATTTCACACATCACCTCCGGGCGTAGTAAGCAATACTTCTTCAACCAAAACTTACTATGAATTCTGATCCAAACCAAGAAAGGCTAATATCTCATATTGTATTTTTGGGAGGGTAAATACATCTATCCTCTGTTTTTCCAAGCCGTTTAGTACCATTTGAATTTGAACACTCCTCGAGGCTTAATGAGCTGAACCGAATAAAAAGGAAACCTTACGTTCTGGTGCAAATTGATGGTTCATAGTACCAAAAAATGTTTCCTTGCATGGGACCACAAAATGTTACTGATCATGTGAGTTTTCAGTCGAATCCCGTAGACCAAGCCTCGGTATGGAAAGTGCCTAAGTTTTTGACAATGCTGTGAAAGTTAAAGGTGTTAGCAGGCTTTTGATGGACAAGACCTGTGACTGTGCCAGGCCAACTATTTTCAGAAGCCTCAACACCCCATAATTTACTCCGTGTAACTCAATGACACATTTTGTTCCAGAGAGACCTGAGAGGGGTTAAATAAAGCTACACCGGGTATTACTTACTCTTATTCTTTTGACGAAAGATTCTATGTTTCGGTAATTGGGTAAAATAAACATTACATTCCCACTGTCACTGATGCTTTGCTATATCTACCAAGAAACTGGTCTTGACATAATAAAAGGCAATTTTTCATGCACCTTGGTGTGCACGGGCTATGTGACAGGAGATGCGATATCGACAAGGTTTTGAAGTCGAAGTTGTGAATAGCAACACTCCTATCCACTCACTTTATCGATGTCTTAACATGTCCTAAGAGTTAAGTCTATAATCATCAAGTCCCAAATTGGTGGTAAATCATAATAATAACGTTGCACCTGCTCTCAAGTATGATCGCTGCCGAGCTCAAAATTCGACCCATCACAAGTCCCGACTACAACTTATTATAGTCAACCCAGGTTTGCACCTAGCGCCCGCAATCCTTTCAATCTTAGTCTCGCAAAATACTTAGACAGTAACAATTCCGGTAGTCTCCTCAAAAAATAAATTTATAAATTTCGTCTCTAGAATTCTGGCTAATCAACACTCGCGTATACATAGGGGGCCGAATATCTAGATCCACAACAGGGGATCCATTTAAGCATTGTTGTCTGGAAGCTTGGTTAGCTTGAATCTGCTTAAGCAACTGCCTTTTCTGAGACGAAAAACACGGTGGGTGCAATTAAGGCTTCTTGGCATACTTGGCACACATGGAACCTGCCGTTAGCTGTGGCACAGTCGCGGACCTTGGCTTGGATTTGTACAAACCTCACTTTGACCGTTCATGGTGTCTTCTCACTAGCCCTCATTATACCCGACAAGCAAATCATCTCTGCCTTCGTATCCGTACGCGCTTTGGAATGGGCAGTAGTATCTACCGAATTGCGGACCAAATGAGGCACGGCAGTGGCCAGACCAGCATAGCAATTGTTCCAAATTGCATCAGGAGAAGAAACCGGTCAGGTTCTTATCGTGAAATGTACGAAAAGTTGCATGCTGCTTCTATTTTTGCGAAATCGTTTGATTAATTGATCACTTTTCGTTTTACATGTGCCTTTAGGCGCGGGTTGTACAAAACCACAGCGAAGAGGCCCACATAACCATCAAGGGAGTCTGGAAATCAGGTATATAACTTGAAGGAGCTGCGCTCTTTTTCATTCTTTATATCCTCACCTCATTCTGTTTGGCTGATCATGTTACTCAGAGGCTCGCTTCCTCTTCTGGCCTCAGCACTTTGTGCCGTAGATGTCTGTGGGGCATTTCTTCAGGGACAACATGACTTTGTTGACTTCAATATCACCGATGGCTTCGACGATATTGTTCAAGGGATCGGTAAACGCCAAACTAATGTAGAGCTACGAATATTGCCTCTGGGAGCGTCGATTGTCAATGGTTACATGGAAAGCTCTGGCAATGGGTGAGTTTGGATTGAGCTGATTCAAAGATTAATATTGCTAACGGTCTATAGATTCCGCAGATACCTCCGAGATCAATTGAGATTCAAGGGTTGGGCTGTCAATAGTATGTTGTTCATAATCATTCCCGTCGCATTATCGATATGAAATCGCTCACTATCGTCTCTTTCAATCGGCTTCAAGTAAATTCCTTCGCTAATCTGGATGTGTCTAGTGGTCGGAAGTAAACAGGGAGGCAACATGGTGGACAAGGCACGTCACTCAAACAACATAACTTGTCCAAATTTCTGACCAATTGCCAGAATTTCGAGGCTACTGGTGGTGATACAATCACTCAAGTAACAGAAGCAAGCAAACTGAGTACGGGTTACAAACCGAACGTCATTCTTCTCAACGCTGGTACGAATGATGCCAACCAGAACTTGCAAGATGGATCTGGTGCTCGTATGGAGAGCCTACTCAGGAGCTTATGGGCCGCCGATGATATGGTTCGTACCGTCGATCTATTTGGCTTAACCACAGGATGCAAGGTGCACTTAGTTGCATTTCTCACTTCCTTATAACCCGCCATTATAATTGGAGTCCATCATGCTAATACTTGCCTTCTAAACAGAGCGAAACACTGATCATCTTGTCTTCGGTTCTTCAAAGAGCCGATGCAAACGCAGAAAAGAACCGCATTGAAATCAACCGACAGGTAAGTTGTAGTGATGAAGTCTTACGCTCTATGAGACTATCGCACGATACGTGGACAGTGGGTTTCATGATATCCAGAGCTAACCAGGAGTCATATATAGTACATCGAAGTTGTCAAGAAACTGATGGGCGAAGGCAAGCCCCTCAGGTACATAAGTATGCAAGAGCTTAAGATGCCTGAAAACTTTAATTCTGACGGAATTCATCCTAACGATAACGGTTTTAAGATCATGGCAAAGTGGTGGTGGGTTGCTATAGAATATGCGAACAAGGCTGGATTGATCAAAGCCCCGAAACCATTTGCAGGAATTTCAGGAACCACCTGCGAAAAAGTTGCTGGGAACGCAGCCTACGGTGGTATCACACAGAAAGGTTCAGGCACAAGTGACGGGATCTACTCTCATGATAGCAAGGAGATGGGCTCTATCTTCTCGTACACCAGTGAATTTGATCGTGGCCAGGTAAGTTCCCGAATGTGAAACTGATTTATGACTGACTTGTCTAGTGGTTCTTTCCGGGTCTTTACGGAAGAAAGTATGACGATCTAGTCGGATGGTGGTAAGTTGTCTTCTTCTTTACACAATCACTTATGATTTGCAGGCTTACGATGTATGATAGGATCACGGATGGTGTTGTCACTTTTGCCACATGGAAGAATATGGGAGAGGGAAAGTTCCAAAGGCTTTCAGATATGAGTACCTCCCTATTCTGCAATCCAGCTGGCATTTGGTTCGTCGATCTCAATGGTATGTACAGTCTTACTATCCGTATTTCTATGCACGAATACGCTAACAGATATTTTTAGGCGATGGCTATGACGACTTTCTCTGTGTTGCACCTTCTGGCGATACCCAAGCCTCCATCAATAACAAAGACGGAACAGATACCAAGCCACCCACTTTCAAATTCATCGGAGTAATCAAGACCAACACAGGCTACAAGCAAGAGCGTGTTCGCTGGGGAGATATTGATGGCGATGGAAGAGCGGATTATTGTGTCATTGATGACAGCGGAAACGTGTGGGTTTGGAGAAATGGCGGCACTAGTAAGTCGACTCCTGAATTTCCCCGGCTTATTTGCTTATATTCGCGTGTGTAGGTGACATACCAGATCAATGGCAAGCAATGGGTCTCAGATTTACTGCGAAAGGCATGGGTGACATGAAAGGAGTCAGGTTCGGTGACATCAACGGTGACGTTAGTGATCGTTTCCATTCTACATGTATTGAAGTTAACATGATCAGGGCCGTGATGACTGGCTGTGGGTAAGTGAAAGCGGCGAGACAACTACTTGGACCAACTCTCGAAGTTGTAAGAAAGGCAAAGAGGGCGATGGACTCAACGTGGCATGGTATGTGACTTTTATTACCTCTGTTTTACAAAACTCACGATTCCACAGTCAAATACATAACAGCTTTTACTCACTGGTTCCTCAACAGGCAGCAAGGTTTCTGGAAAGGCTCATCGTCTGGCCCCACTCATGCTGGGGTAGGAGGTACAAGTAACCGAGCCAGGATTCATTTCGCAAAGATCTATAGTTCGCCTTACTTTGGCCTCTTAGGCCGAGCAGACTATATCTTCATGGAGTCTACAAAACAGTCTGACGGCAAATTCAAGTTCGACATGAAAGTATGGAAGAATCTTGGATCTGGTGGCGCTAAATTGAAAGGTTTGACCTTGACATATGTTCACTCACAAACTTTTGCTAACGGGTGTCTTCAAGCTGACGGAAACAAATACTGCAATATGCATGCCCATGCTGACGGACGTATGGACTATGTCTGGACTCTTAGTACCGGAGAAATGACTGTGTGGCCTAATCTAGGCAAGAAGTCTGTTGTCGGTGATGATGTCTTCTGGGGCACACCTGTGGAAAACATGTTCAACCCAAGTGCTCTGATTGGCAAACAACTTGACAGACGCGACTTGCATCTCGTTGACTGGGATAATGACGGAGCTTGCGATATCGTCTGGACAGGTACATTTTTCAATGTTCTGCGGCTTGACACAAACGATCAATGAAACTGACGCTGTTACAATCTAGATCCGGATAACAATAACAAGGTGTCTGTTTGGTTGAATCAGTACAAGACGAAGGGCGCTTTCACTTGGACATATCTAGCCAACCCAGCACCAGTCCTGAACTGCCCTGAGAAAAGAGGGCTGGGGATTCATGATCTTCCCGTTCGTTGGGGTGACGTTTCTGGAAATGGACTAAGTGGTCAGTCTTGTTCTCTTACTATCTACAGACAATTTCTCGATATCCTTACTGACTCATTCTAAGATTATTTGTGTCTGGAGCCTAATGGTCGAACATGGGGATACGTTCATAACACTGATGGAAGCTGGACCTACATTGATCGTAAGTCAGCAGGGTCTTGGAAATTAAATCCCAATGCAGTTTTGAACCGGAATCAATTCTGGAATCTACAGTTGCATCATGCTAACCCTTTATAGAATTCAAGAAAGCCGAAGGCATCGACAGAGCCAATATGCGGTGGGGAAACGTCAACGGAGATGGTGGAGTAAGTCAAGCCATAATTTGGTGTTCCTTTTTCTGAACAAATTTCCAAAACCCTCATTCAAGACGCATCTCTTTATTGGTATCTGTTCGAATCTGTCTGACTAGACTTATTAGGACGATTTGATTTGGATCGACAAATGGAGTGGTGATGCGACCGTGTATATCAACAAGGGTCGTCTAGATACGGGAGGGTCACGCTACTGGTTCAATCCTTCAGGAAAACAATACGGTATGTTTGAACCCGTGTCCTTCATGATCACGCTTGTACACATGCTCATTCTAAAATACAACAGCTGGTAGTTGGGCTGGAACCTGTCAATACTTCCCAGATCTGGACGGCGACGGAAGAGCTGACTTGCACTCTGTGATGACAACAATTGATAACACAGCTGAGACCTTTTTCAACCGCTGCGGACTTTTTGATCTTTCCGGAGACGATGCTGGATGGGCACCTGGACAGGTAAGCGGAAATTCCTACTCTGTTTTTCTTTGGCACAGCTAGAAGATGGCCCCTCTGGTGCTATTTTTCGTTTCTCAAAGATTTGCGAATTGTGCTGACATCGACTTCTCAATCAGGACCCTGGATATGGTAAGTCCTCTATACTATCCCACGGACAACTGCATATACGGTCTTTTCACCAAGACATTGTCTTGTCTTAGAACCCAGTCTCCACAGATTGTGCTCTATAAGATCCCAACTAACAGTACACAGGCGCACTACCTGCGGAGCCTCAATTGCCTGAGATTGCCGCACCACCTCCTCCGCCTCCTCCACCACCTCCACCACCAAAGCAAAATTGGGATGCTGGCAAGTCTGAACAGCCAATTCCTACAGGTGCTTGCGGACAGGGATGCTCTCCAACTGGCGGTTTCTTCTCCGATGCCCAGGTGAAGGGATGGTGTCAAGGACTCGTTGACGACGTGTAAGTCACTTTCTCATCTCCAAAACTTCACTGCACATGCACCGAGAGACTTCGCCATCAAAGTCATGCTAATTCATGCCACAGCTGCAACAGCGATAACCAAGTATTCAACAACGATGTAGGATTCGGTTCTATCCTAGTCTTCGCTCCCAATAAGGACAAAGAGTGCTCCGAAGTAGCTCCAGCCACGGTAGACGAATGCTACGCTTACTATGTCCAGAGTCAAGCAAATTCTGCTGCTGCTTGTGGAACTTATGCGCCCGGGGGTGGATCACCGACCTGCATGTTTTATGTGAATAACGTGGATGGCGAGTCGATGGGTGCTATGAGTATCAGTGGGGGCTGTATTCCAAATGGAGGGAAATTGTGTTAGTTTCGGAGCGTTGGCATACCATGCCGTGTTTTTCATTCTTCACTGAAAAGCACTGAAGTGGTATCTGTATACATTCTCGGGTTGGCGGCTTGAGGAAATAACCCAGGGATGAAGCTTGTAGAGCTTCGACGTTCTTGTGAAGATTTATATGTCCAAGTCAAACTGGACAGCCCACTTTGGTCAAAATATTTCTTATTAGTTCTAATAATTATACACAACTAAATGGTCACATGTCCTCAGGTCTAGCAGTTCAATTCGCTGGTAGATTTGGAGCACACTGTCCTGACTCCTAGCGCTATGGATGGCTCGGTCTCTTTGCGTAATTTTTAGAGCTACTAAAATGGCTTGTAGCATTATCTGGCTTCTTGTGTCACTACGCTCATTCGTGCCGTCGAGAATACAGGGCTCTATTGTATAGTGCTCGCTTAAGGGAGGACCCATCCCCCCTTTTCCGGGTAGGGCTGAGCCAAATGCCCGCTTCCGTCTAGACCATTGATGTCATTCGAAATAGCCATCACAGTACATACACACTGGGCATTTTTCAAATAGCAGATGTGATGGATGTTTACGGGCGAGATAATGGTCGTTGATGCTTATGCTTCCACGAATAAATAAAACTGCAACGGATCGAGGAACATATTCAGAGTTTGGATTGCATGTCAAATCATTACCTGGGTTTATGGGGAACGAGATATAGATAAGAAAGAACATGAACGATTGTAGAGGCAATATTAATGTACATAGACTCGCAGCGCGTCACACTCCATGCAACAAAACTTCCAGACTGTCACTCTGAGCAACATTTGATCATGAACAATTCAGCCAGAATCTTCATTCAATTTATGACTTACTACCAGTGTTGAATTTACAATTGCGTATTGTCAAATAGCGTGATTTCCGGTAGCCATACTGCTCACGTCTCGCGTCATCTGTAATTTCTCACGATGACCTCACATTTCTGTCCAATTAACTCATCATGCGGATGGAGAAAGTAAATATGATACCCGTACAAAATCCATTGCCATTGACATTCTACAGCTTAGGCTAAAAGAGTAAAAACACCAGTTTCACTTTCACAACTACCATTGATACTTCTCCCAACCCAGACGTCTCACACCAACAAAGTAACCATGACCCGCGGCACAGTCCAAGAAACCAAAATCCACTACCGCGGCCAAAACGTCCACGACGACTTCATCGTCTACACAACCAACGTGGAGCTTCTCCAGAAATGGAAAACCGACAAATCAATCCCGCTGGTTGACGTACTTGACGCATACCAGATATTCGTGACACACAAGTGAGATCTCCGTATCAATCACAATACAAGGGCGGAGCTGAGCATTGTAGACAAGGAGCACAAGGCATACTTGATACGGCGTCGCATGCGGAGTTGGATAGTGAGTTTGGGACGCATAAGATTGAGGATGTGGCCGAGCGGATATTGAAGGAGGGCTCGGTTGTGAAGAATAAGGTGAGTTGACTTCTAGCTGGTCGGATTGGGCTTGGCTGATGAGATCTAGGGATCGAGTAAGGAGGCGGATAAGAATCCGACGAATGGACCGGGGATTAGTAGTAGAGGCAATGTTCATCAGTAGGGGTTAATGGTGTCTTCATGTAGGAAGTTGCCCATATCGTCCAGATAGTGTGATGGCAGAGCATGTATCAGAACATAGATAATTCTTTTATTCTCACTCCTGACTTCTTAGGCTCTAGATTTGTAATACTAATGTCATTACTAATACCTTCCTACTACCTGGTTCTACCTACATACTACATCGCAAGAACAAATATGCAACAGTGAATCTGGTACAGGCACGACTGCACCATCACTAAGCCACAGATGTCTCTTAGCAAGATTCCCACATGCGCAATAAACTTCCCACGTATGGTGACTTGCATAGAACGATGGGCTGCTCCCAAGCAGCAGCCCATTCATCACCCAAAATATCATTCCCTTCGGAGAACTTTATAGTGCACCAGGGACGCCTAAACTGACGGTTCCACGCCTCATTAAGCGGTCCGCAGCACTCCAAACCCCCTTTTCATGGCCCCAGTCGGTAGAAGGGGCCCACGACTTCTGATAGATGTTTCAGGTCACGCGATGCTGGGCTTTCATCCCTCGCTGCTTTTGGCATGCAGTAGCCATAAACATCGCCATGTACTTTTCGTATTGAGTAAGGGTATACGCTTTTTTACGCCTCCCCAATAAGCCCCGATACTCCAGATTTTCGGGGCGGCAAAAAACAATCCTGCAACAATGTTGGTATTACAAAGTTGCGCCATAAAAGTCATGATTCGCACCGGCTTGATCCAGATCCATATACTGGTCTAGATCAGACTCAACATAGCTAATCGGAGGTTCAAGCTGAGGTTGCTGAACATCCGGGAAAACATCATCAGCAGGATTTCCATCCAAACCTCTACTGACCTTGAAATCAGCCGGAACAGCCCTTCCCAAGGTGTCCCTTCGGTTCTTCTTTCTGGTTTCGGGGTTGTTGTTCTTATCTCGTCTTCCGTTCATCCACGCTCCAGCATCGCTGGTCAAGCCTTTGGCAACCTCTTCTTGAAATTTCTGCGCACCTCTGAGTATCGGAAGTAGGGTGCGTGTCTCGTACCAACGACCCTTGATATCAGATAGACCCTTCCTAGCCATAGGCTCTAATAAACTCCACTCGTACCATTGCCCGGTTTTGGCCGAATCTGCCACCTCATTTCGGAAACGAAGATCGCTCACCATCCTGGCGGGTAACTTTGGAGTTGGCCATTCGGCGCGGCTCTTGTATGGTGTAGGCATGTCAACGAATTTGTACACGTCACCAACAAACGTGACGATGGATGTGTTCGGTGAAGCAGTACGCTCAATCAACTTTTGAATAATAAGAACAATGATATCGTTTCCAGGAACCCGAATGCGAACTGGTTCGCCAACCCATATCTTCTCCGCACCCAAGAACATTCCCCGGTAGTGAATCTCACCTGGACCTGCGAGGGCGCCTTCGATTCGATCGTAGAGAGAGTAGCTAGAATCGATAACTTTTGCAGCGAGAATACTGCCATCAACCACGTAATCTCGAGGTTGACCTCCGTCCAATTCTCCCCTTACTACGCGATCCCAGGGAACATCGTCGTAGGTAAGATTCTGAATTGCGGGAATAGTGGTATTAGGTACGCTCCAGGCTAGCCAAGGCCGAATCGAGCCTTCATCATCTTTAATTTGGTGTGGTTGATGCTGGTATGGGTTCGAGAGTGGTTGTAACAAATATCGCGGCTTATTATTTTGCAGCTGTCTTTTAGATATAACACCTAGACGCCAGTTCAACCCATTATCAAACCATACAAGCTCACCCGAACGGTAGAGGTATTTGCCATTGGCATCGCCGTCCATACGTTGCTCCGCAGAAACTTTCGCTTCCCCCGAAGTCGATTGGAAACTGTTTCGTGCCTGCATAGGAGGTGCGCTTGGTTTAGCTGCCGCAGCTTGCACTGGCTGCAGTGGTTGTGGAGCTATTAATAACATTAGATACCGAAATTCAGGACAGTATTTACACAGCAAACTTTACCTCTGGCGGGAGGAGCTGAGGCCGGAATAGGCTTGATATCTTTCTTAACTACTGGTTCGGCTTTTGCCTGCTCCTCGGCGGTATCGTCGTCTCCCTCTGGCGAGCATATCTTACAAGAACAGTTCATGGGATCGCCCTCTTTGTCTACAGCTAGCCATAACAGATGATGAAAGAAATCGGCAGGACTTCTGAAGCGTTTCTTGCGGCCTTGGGGATGACCGTAGAGATAGGCATCTTGCCTTTCAAATGTGCCGCCAGCATGTTTTCCTTTCTCCCGAGTCCCGTTGACCTTATCGACGTTGTACTTCAAGTGCTCCCATAATACGTAGCCATCGGGAATTTGTTTAAGGATGTACTGTTTGTCTGGCAGTAAGTGTCAGAAAAGACCATCTGCAGGATGAGAAAGCACTGACTCGCCTGTTCCTTTCCACCCAAACGATGTATTAGCATGCCCCCGAGCTTTCTCCTCCAGTCTATTGCCTTGGGTTCTTCTGGGTCCAGTCGCTTGTAGCAATCGACGTTGCCCTTGGAATCAGGTGTGTCATTTTGTTGTGCTGCGGTTGGTTCGTTGGGTTCATTAACTCCAGATTTCGTCGCGACAGAGAGCACGCCGTCGGATCTGTGGACGGTAATAGGATAGTAAGGTGCCATCATTTGCAGTCATACAAATGGCATGAGGTGCAAAGCCGCAATGGAGCCATGGAAATCTGAATTGGAAGCTCTTCAAGGCGGGATCAGAGCTCGAACGCCTATGACATTGCATGGGTCCACTTTCTTTTGGCGTCGTCTCGAGGATAAAGATGTATCACGTGTCTACGATACGCGGTACGACGCGTCTATCAAAAATGTATGCCCCTGATGGACTGGTGCGAGTGAGCCTCCGTACAGCAAAGGTTTGTCGCAAACCATCACCTTTGCGACACATCGCTTCAACTTTAAAGTTTATATATCCTCTTCGATTTTCGATTCATTCTTCTCCAAGACTTCAATTCACCGGGCCTCGCACCTCTCTCCATCCATGGGTCATTTTCAATAAGACACCCTTTCGCCGTTGTTAAAGCGCCGTTACGCTCGCTCATCAAACTTCACTTTACACCTTGCATAATTGCATGAGATGGAGCCTCGATCTATCGATGTCGACAATGTAGCTTTGATATCTGCGTTTCCATCACCCACCACTCAAAGAACTCCTCAACGAATCGCTGCTTCCACCCTACTAGCAAAGTTCCGTACAGGGAGCATCCAGCACAAAATGGATTCCCAAAAGAGCCCAGAGAATTCTCCTCGCCGATCTCAGTCGTCTGCATCGTCCGCCGAGTCGTCCCAGTCCTCAGAGGCATCGGTCTTCGAGACACCGAAGGCGAAAGAAAAAAAGATGGTCGATCTCACAAAAGACGATGAGGAGGACGATCTGATCGAATACTCAGCGCGACCACGGCGTCGTTTGCGCGAGAGGAAACAAAATATGTCATTGAAGGCTCAAGAGAATAGCGACATATTTACCAGTCGTTCAAAACCGAAGCAAGTGTTGAGCAAAGCAGTCATAGATTTAATTGGAGCCGATGAGCTCTCTTTCAGTCCGGTGGTCAGTCAAAGAGTCGCCATACGACAAGAGATCGCAAATAAAACCGCGGCCAGTCGAAACAGATTCTTCGTAGACAAAAAGGAATTCTTGTTGCCTTTACTGCCCGCTAACAACTATGTGAGAAAACTGGTGGAGAAGCATGATCGCCTTACACCTGAAGAGCTGGCTGAGATACCAGCCACCATACCTTACGAAGAGATATCTTCTCAGCCGAGAGGAGTGCTAGCTACTATGAAGCCATATCAGTTATCAGGATTGAGCTTCATGGTATATTTACATCGTAATGTATGCTACCACACTTGACCAAAATATCCGAATACTAACGATTAACCAGGGTCTATCTGGAATACTCGGCGATGAAATGGGCCTGGGTAAAACCTTACAAACCTTGTCTCTCATTCAATACTTAAAGGAAAATGATCCCAAGACTGGGACTGGCAGGCTGCAAAGACCCTTCCTTGTCGTCTGCCCTCTCTCTGTTTTGAGCAGTTGGATGACGGAAGCAAAGAAGTGGACTCCGGGATTGAAAGTGGTTCGATTTCATGGACCGATCAACGAGCGAGACAAGCTCAAGCGGATTGTAATGGGAGAAATCGACATGTTTGGCAATCTCACAGCGCAGGCGAAAGTGAAGTATAGGTCGAGACGTAATCCTAAGAAAGGTATAATGCTTGACAGTGACTCCGATGACGAGCAGGATGTCGGAGTCGATCTCGTTGTTACTACCTATGACTGCTTCCGCGTTGAGCAATCCTGGTTCAAGAAGGCATTCGTCTGGCGGTATGCCGTCCTGGATGAGGGACACACCGTCAAGAACCATGAGAGTCTCGTCTCAAAGTCACTCCAAGGATTGAAAGCAGAATATCGCTTGATCCTTACAGGAACCCCATTACAGAATAACCTTTCGGAGCTATGGAGTTTGCTTCATTGGCTCTATCCAGAAGTGTTCGGCGAGAATACGAACCAGCTATTCGACAACTCGTTCAACCTGACGAAAGGTCAATACTCAAACACGGTCCTTGACAACTCCCGCCGTCTCCTAGAACTGATCATGTTGAGACGTATGAAGACATCTCCCGGCGTCGACTTGAATCTCCCACCAAAAACCGAGATCCTAATGTTCGTGCCTCTAAGTCCTATGCAGCGTTTCTGGTATGAGAGGATGATTACCAAAGCAGACAAGGGACTTTTGGAAGAGCTTTTCAAAGGTGCTAAAGAGAAAGAGGAACTTACTTCAGAGACTCCGACTCAAGACGATGATCTTTTTAGACGTCTCAAGGAGAATGAGGAACTTACTGAAGAAATGTCCGGAACCGATGCCTGGCAGCAAACGAAGGCAATCTTGGAAGAAACTGTTCAGCGCGAAATGCAACAAGCGAAGCTAGCTGATGGTCCTCGGAAGTCAGATTGGCAGAAGCTCATGAACTTACTTATGCAATTAAGAAAGGTTTGTAACCATCCTTACCAGATAGGCAACGCGGAGCCTGATCCGTACATCACTGGAGATCATGTTATTCATGCCTCTGGTAAGTTCATTGTGCTGGAGAAGCTTTTGAATGAGCTAGTTGTCAAGCAGAAGAAAAAGATCCTAATCTTCTCTGGATTCACTAAAATGCTGGATTTAGTTGAGGAACTGTGTTTTCTTAGGGGTGGTGACGGATCCAGCTATCGGTCTGTCCGAATCGACGGCTCTACTGCGCGTGCTCGCCGCAATTTAGGGATCCGAATGTTCAATGATATGGAAAGTAACTACCGAGTGATGCTTATTTCTACCCGAGCTGGAGGTCTAGGTATAAACCTAGCTTCTGCATCTGACGTCGTTCTCCTTGACCAGGACTGGAATCCACAGATAACCTTACAAGCTGAAGCGCGAGCTCACCGAATTGGCCAGAAGAACCCCGTCACAATCTATAAGCTCGTGTCCCAAGGGACTGTGGAGGAGCAAATGATGGGCCGGATCCAGAAGAAGCTTTATTTATCTGCAAAGGTCACTGAGGCTATGCAAGACATCCACACGAAGTTTGGCGGAGCAAAGAAGGCGAAATTTGGTCGACCAAAAGAGTCCGAAGACAACATGCCACAATTAAGTACAGGGCAATTAATGACGCTGGTCCGACGTGGGGCTTCTGCGATTTCTAGGCCGGAAATTGATGTCAGTGAGATGCTCAGTTGGTAAGTCTTTTTTGTTTTTTGATTAATCGAGGCTCGGGGGTCCAAAATGAGTGGCAGTTGAAATACGATGTGTACTTGAAATATTGAGCAAAGGTATTAACGTATGTAGGGATTGGGAAACGACTGTTCTCAAATGTAAGGATCAACCGGCCGATGTCAATGTCCAAAGAGACGCCATCCCAGACAAAAAGGTCGACGAAGAAGCCGAGCGAAAGTGGCTTACGGAGATGGAACGTGTTGAATCATCTGTATTTGCAGGCAAACAGCTTGTGCGTGGAAAAATCAGCTCCAATCGTGACATTGCCGAGGAGTTCAACAGAGCAGATCGGCGAAAGGACAAAAACACCACTGTTATGGTCGATGGATTTGCCATATCGAAGGAGTCCATGAACTGCAAGCAATGGGAAGCTGTACCAACTATTGGCGACAAGAATCCTATCTACAAAGAGCAAAAGCGAGCCAAAAAAGCTCCAGTCGAACCGCAAAGTCACTGCCAGGTTTGCATTGATGGTGGAGAGCTTATCTGCTGCCAGCTTTGTCCTCGGGCTTACCATATGAAATGTCTCGATAAATCTTTCCAAACGAAAGCCAAGGGCTGGCAATTCAATTGTCCTCAGCACGAGTGTGCGGAATGCGCGCAGAAGACGACTGACGCAGGGGGAATGTTATATCGGTGCAGATGGTGCGAACGTGCATACTGCGAGGATTGTCTAGACTTTGATGAAGCTACCCTCATCGGTGACAATCTCATCGAGTATGAGGTCCTGAACTATCCTGAGATGGCTCAAGCTTTTTACATTCAGTGCGGTGGATGTACTCAAAATTTCAAAGAGTCTCCGGGAAACAAGGAGTTGTGTGATCATGTGGCAGAACAGGCACGACTAGAGCACGATAGAAAATTTGGTGCCGATAGAGACATCAGTACGGCTCCGGAGTCACTTACTGATGCTACAACTGTCGAGACGACTGGGGCTAACACACCAATTGTAATTGACGACGATGAAGAAATCCTGTTGATTCCGACCAAAAAGAGAAAGATGAATGTTCAGAATAGTGGGGTTCCGGTCAAGCGTGGGAAGACGGATGTTGCTTTTGCTTGATAGGTCTACGGAAAGGATTAGGTGTTTGGGATGTAAAGTGGTATACCTCGATGGAACTGGTTGGAGTATTTGGGAGCAAATGTTATTTACAATAGGATCACAGGATGGGGGATTATCTGATGCGGATTTATGGTTTGATATCCATTGTAAGATAGCCCGATATTGAGAGGGAAAAGAGTCTGCGCTAGATGTATGATAGCCTAGATACAGGATTTGATTCACATCAATTGCCAGTTTGTGAGTATGAATTTATCTATTTAAAAAGCATAAACTTCTTTTTCCTTAGTAAAGGAATTCTTTCCTTGGTTTTTGAGCCAGGGTCGATATCTGAAGACGAAACCCAAACTGCCGACTCTTAGGAATTCGAATGGGGTTGATGATGTCATGTTCCTCTCCTTCAATTTATTTTCTTCACGAAGATCTTTGTGATATCCGGAATGCACTCCGGTTGAAATGTTTCTTGCGCATGGAGAGTGGGATGCGAAGTGGGAAGCGGGGGCGCATGCATGCCTCGGGAGGGGCTTGATACTCACAACGGGGATAATGTGAAGATATGGAAGGTAGGGCCGAGGGTTGAAAGTTGGAAAAACGTTGGTGCAGTGATCTGCGATTTTGAGGGTGGGTTGATTGGGTGATTGATACTCGTAGAGGAGAGGGTCAAGGAGGAGCAATTGTTGGTTTGCGAACTAACAAGTGGAAGTTGCTAGTGAGTCTTGATAGTGAAACGTATTAAACAATTAAACAATTACTAGGAAAACTAATAGGATCTTGGAAGTACGTAGGCCTCTCAGACTATCAATGTCTGAGTTACATCCCCGATACCGACAGGAGGAATAGGGTCAAACGGAGGATTCGTCAGCTGGGTAGCGAAGCGAGTGTGAGGGCTGATGTTAGACATCTACGTGGTGATGAGCCTTGCTGTGCTTGGTGAGGAGCAGGAGCTGAGGGATAGTGTAATGGCGTTCAATAAGCCAGCTGATAGGAATGTCTGGAATAAGTAGACGGAGAGAATACCAATAATCCTAATCGGCTTTGGAGGAAGGTGAGTAATGCGGACCGGACCTTGCGTCGTATTTCATACCAAGAGTCGAGAGGATCATTAACAATTCCTTATCAATGCCGTCTCCGATGTTACCGTAAGATAAAAGTAGGAGCATTATACGTAGGAACCCGTTGTCTTGTATCCGCTTCGAGGATGTTGGGGGCAGGGTGAAGTCGTGGTGTCACCTTGTGATACTTCTGTAGATACGCAACACGAAAGCCTTCGTAATAATGGATTTCCGTATGTTATCGCCAAATAATTTTCAATGTTTTGCTGCTTACATCATTTCGTGGCATATTTTGCAGCTCCCAAAATAGGTAGATTGTAACTTTCGAGAACCAGTTAGAAACCCGCCTTTTGTCCCGAGGTCTTGTTATTGGCGAAGATTCAAATGCAAGCAAGCATGGCAGGGTGGCGCTGGCCTGATGGGGTTTATCTCTACCTGCCAAGATTTGCCGACGCTAGCCGGTTTCGGAATCGCGCGGTAGACGGACCAGATTGTGAATATCGGCCCCTGGGCGTTGTTGCTTCTCGATTCCCGCATCAAACTTCACCTGCCATCAGCCTCTCAACCACACTCGTTACCAACAATACAAGTTCCAGACATCCGCAGAATTAGCCAGCACTATACTCGAGTATAGAATATCCGGACGACAGTCGACTTATACATTCGTTTGCGCCGTGAGATGCTGCTGCAATTTTCCCAGCCACGCAACCGCCATTGAGACGCCCAACCTCATACTCGAACTGACATACTCATGGGTAAACGATGGGGTATAATTCTAGACGCAGGCTCGTCAGGAACTCGCCTCCACGTTTACAAATGGCTCAACAACGCGAAAGCACGACATGACGCGAAGTCGCACGAATTGACCAGTTTACCTGTACTAGAAACGAAGAAACATTATACGAAAAAGGAGCGACCCGGCGTGTCGACCTGGGGTGACCATCCCGAAGATGTTGGACCTGAACACATTCAGCAATTCCTCGATCATGCCTTGAAGATTGTACCGAAGGACCAGGTGAAGGACACACCCATATTCTTGATGGCGACAGCAGGTGTACGATTGTTGGAACCTATGAAGCAGAAAGCTCTCCTAGCCAATATCTGCTCGTACGCCCGAGCTCACTCGGAATTCTCATTGCCCGATTGCGATTTACACATACAAGTCATTCCGGGAGACATAGAGGGACTATATGGCTGGATAGCAGCGAATTATCTGCTAGGCGGTTTCGATAGCCCAGAAAAACACGCTCATGGAAAGGGTCATCACACTTATGGTTTTCTCGATATGGGCGGCGCTTCCGCGCAGATTGCCTTTGCCCCAAATAGCACCGAAGCCGAAAAGCACGCGAATGATCTCAAATTATTACGAATGCGGACCGTTAACGGGGAATCAGCAGAATACAAAGTGTTTACGACAACTTGGTTAGGATTTGGTGTAAATCAAGCCAGAGAAAGATATGTCGAAGCATTGGTTGATGAGCATATGCCTGGTACCCACGAGCTTCTGGATCCGTGTTTACCATCTGGTCTGATCACCAGGCTCGACGGCACTCCAATAACAAACAGCAAAGAAAGCGACCCCGTTTTACTTGGTACTGGGGATTTTTCGAAGTGCACGGCAAAAACATATCCACTTCTCGACAAAGATGCGCCTTGTGCAGATAAGCCGTGTTTATTGCACGGTCAGCACGTCCCAGCGATTGACTTTGACGTCAACCACTTTGTTGGAGTATCAGAATATTGGCATACGACACATGAGGTTTTTGAAATGTCACACAAGGATAAGGCATACAACTTCTCAAAATACCAGGCGTTGGTGCAGGATTTCTGTGCAGCGGAATGGGATGATATCAAGAGCGATATAGCACATAAGAAATGGGGGAAGAAGGTCGATGCAGATACTGCACAGAAGGTCTGTTTCAAGGCAGCCTGGCTGATAAATGTCCTCCATGACGGCATTGGAATACCTAGAGCCGGTATCGAAAAAACGGTAGAAGGACCAGGATACAACAAAACCAAGGAATTAGCCGGCGGAAAAGATCGACCATTTCTGGATCCATTCCAAGCAGTCAACAAGGTTAAAGACGTGGAAGTGAGTTGGACTTTAGGCAAGATGGTTCTTTACGCTGCTGGGCAAATTCCGCCTTCTCAATCAGATGCTCTTCCTGTCGGTTTTGGGAGCAATGTCGCCGGGATTCCAGCGGATTTCCAGTTAGCGGGATCAAATTCCGATCCGGTCCCAATGGGTGATGATGATGATTATTTGTCAGATGTAGCTGAAGATCTCGCCGAGAAAGCTCACCGATCAGGGTCTACTTTTCTCTTCCTTGTTCTAATCTTTATATTCCTCGGCTATATCTTTAGAAAGCGAGAAACTAGGCTTCGCTTTTATCGTGGTGTTGGATCAACTTTCAGACGAAAGGGTAGACCTGGCAGTCCCAGAAAGGGCGGAAGACGATTTTTCGGTGCAGGAAAGCTCTTTGGGCTGAATACGCCACACTATGAACGAGTTCTTGAAGATGGAGATGCAGCCAACGAGTTCGAATTAGGGGAAGTGGATTCTGACGACAACGAGAATTCTGACAGCAGTGAAGGATCACGTCTAGGGCGTGCTTCAGGGCTTGCCACACCAAGGATGAACGTGGTACACTTTGACACTGGCAGTTCAGCCACGAGCTACTTTGATTCGACACCTGGAGGCCCGATCGGCCTTGGGCTACACAGTAACGGAAGCGGAACATTACCCAACGCCATGGATCGCAGTGGTCTAGTCGTCAGAACTGAAAGTCGAGAGAGACTAGCGCCAACAATGCAAAAGCTCGGCGCGGGAAGGAGAAGCAGGACAGGTTCACCAACGAGGCAGAAGAGCCCATTAATGACACCACTGGAGGAGGATTGAGTTCCACCTCTGCAAATTCGATTCAAACTCACTTTATCTTCTTGATTAATTAATACTTTTCACAAATTTTCACGAACGGGGTACACGTCGACACGCCTTCCTCCTTTCGCACGTCTACATACGGAGGACCTTCTTTTCTCTTGATCACTTTGTAAAGAAAATGAATCCATCGATCGGCAGACACCTTAATAATATAACACACGCGAAACGGTCGACACAGCAGGACTAATTACTGTTTTCCCCCTGTACTGCAGGGGACTGGAATGAGGACGGTTTACATCATCACTTGTTGCTTGAATGCAATGACGCATGGCTGGGCGTTATTGATTGGTTCTTTGTATATATACACTTTCTGTTGCTTGTTGCGAATGGAGAACGGGGTTGGAGTCTTTTGCTTGGAGATACATTTGGATGGGTGGGGGAGAAAGGGCTTGTATATGATGGGAAGGGAGTGGTGATGGGTGAGGGGCGAGGGTAGGATAGATTAGTGAGAGGGCTGGGGGTGTAGATGGAATGATGAATATTCAAATATGTTCCGCTTTCTTACTTGTGATGTATGGGATTATGCCTCAATTTTACTCACCCAAAATCCGCTTCACACCTCAAAGAAGTATAGTATTCACCAGAAAGGTGAGATACTTCTCTTAACTAATTCTTCAAGAGATATAATCACGTAGAATACTAGGATATAATATACAGCGACCGGACATTAAAGCGTCTTTCTTCCACATATGCCCACACTACTATATCCTGCACAAATGCTGCCTTTTGTGTTTGAGCTGGATGATTTTGCGACACTTTTTTAACGGTCTTGGTACAGGCGTGCTTTCGCTCTGGTTGGTTCCAGGCTGTGTAGCTGTACACGGTCAGCAACATCTCCCCCCGTACCATTTGTTTTACATGTCACAAACTACTGAAAAAATGGCTCAACCTATCGATGAATTCGTCCAAGCAAAGGTTGAGTGGTGGAATCACTCTTTCATGTACGTCCGCTGTCCCAGCTGCGAAGGAATACATCGGCATAACTTTTTTGGCGACACCACGGCTAGGTACCAGCGCGTTGCTCATTGCGGCAGTTCCTGTGACTATTCAATCCACTTTCCAATTGGGGAAGATGATATTGGGTATGAGATTGATAAGGAGAGGGCTCTGTTTGTAGCTGGTGGCGCAGACCCGACTGAATACTTCCAGGTGGACAGAAGCAAAATGCTGGCCGCCTTTGCAAATAGCCTTAGGAGCCGGCGCAAGTGGACAGAGGCAACCGAAACAATTTTCGAGGACGAAGAGGAATTGGGGGTTACCGGAGGCTATAGTATAAAAGCGATACGCATGGTGGCAAGTGATATGGTTACTGGGAATATTGAAAATGTTCGTCGTTATCTTGACGTCTCGGCGGATTCGGAAATTTTTCTCCATGGTGTTGATGCCTGGATCACCAAGGTTGATAGCGACGATGAGCACGACAGTAGCCTTACTTCGAAGGAGCAAAACGATTTGATTCAAACCTCCGGCGAGACCGCTCTACACTACGCTGCGTGTGAGATGTACCCTCAAATGCTTGAGCTTCTGCTACAAAAGAAAGCCGACCCAAATTCCGCGGATGCTAGCGGCCGTGTTCCTCTTACAGAGGCTGCCTTATGGGGCCGAAAAGAGAATGTTCAAATGCTTCTAAACTACGGAGCAGACAAGGAACTGGGATGTGTGCGTAATGGGAAACTGCTCCGAGCTATCGACTTTGCGAAGCCGCTGAGGGAAAACGCCGAAGAACGTTACTTCCGCGCTGGAGGCGAGTACCAAATCTATAAGGAAAATACTTATGAGAGAGACTTGGATCGTAAAGCGATTGTTAGTATGCTCGAGGATATCGCGGGCGAGCAAAGCCAGGATCGACAATTACAATGTTTTGCATTCACGAAATCACCTGAAGTCGACACTGCATTGACATTAATTACCCACTTCGACATTCCCAACAAGTGGAAAACTATAGGCGTCCTGTACCGTGGAGAGAAGTTTCATTCCGTCGCTGCCATGAGCGGTTGGAAGCATAGCAAAGATTCTGATGCAAATCTTCAAATTGCAGGGAAAAGCTGGACAAGGGAGGTTCGTCGTCTCTGTGAATATATCGGATATACCCTGAAGCCACACAATCATGATCAAGTAGAACGGGGTCAATACAACGCCTGTCATGCCGAAAAACAGTTGATTGCGTTCTTTGTCAATAAGCACTTATTCCTACCACATGAGGTAAATGGAAGTGTCGATATGGCGGATCTAAATTTTGACTACATGTCTGAAGAGGAGTATGAGCAGATAGCGAACGAGAGACGCGAGCACAAAAGGCTTCTCTTGGACCTCAAAAACTCGGCGCCATCGAACTCCCTACGCAAAGCTACACTCCTAGTCTGTCGTCCAATATGTAATGACTGCAAGGAATTCGTGAAGCGGATAAATCACGTCCTTGATCTGAATATTACAGTTTTTCATCGTTGTCTGGAATCTGAATGTACTTCATGTGGAAACTAGTAGGCCGCACGATTTAGACACGGTGGCAGAAGTGAGAATTTAGGAGAGGACATGCTAAGTAGGGTAGAGGAAGTTTTATAATATCTGTCTGTCACAGAGTTCATGCATGATGCTGAGCTATCATGAAGTTCTAAGATGAACTCTTTGATGCTTTTGATAGGCTATCAATAATATGACATCTATATATCCTGCAGCTGCATCCAAAAGGCTTCGCATATATGATGCTACTTGGACAACACTCAACAATCTTGTACTGCTCTCTGCGTCAAGTTGTCAACGTAGTAATAATTAAGGCCTAAAATCTTGATTGTGTTCTTTATAACAGAAGCATATCGCTAAAGAGCCAGTCTCTTTATTTCGAGGAGAAGAGATTGTGAGTCGTACATCTAATGATTGAAGTTGTGATGTGGTCGGCGTGGAGTGTAGAAAAAGGGGTTTAAGCGAGAATTCGAACTTATAATGTCGAGGACACAAGGTACCCGCTTTTGGAACGGCTGTCGATACTTTCATGGTGTGAACTACATAGGAGAATTTGAGGAAGGAAATGAGGTGCTATAGATAGGAGCGGGTTAAGCGAAGAGGTTAGTAAGACTTACATCCGATTTTTCGAAGCAGTCGAGGAGAGTGACATTCAGGCTAAGTTGGATCACATTCACAGAATTTATCGAGTTTTTGTGAAAATTAGAGTTCCTAGGCGGCTGATCCGTCCGAGTTCACATGTGCAAGCCCCCTATTATCGAGATCGTCTCCTTGCCATACCCCCAGGATTAAGCGAGGTTACTGGAATGATAGCTCAAGTTACGCATTACGGTACTATCTCAGAGTCGAGACCCTTCAGGGAGAGACTAAAATGAAAACGGGTACAAAGGTACAAAGGTACAAATATGCATGCACGACTCACAAGCCTGGTGCTTTCGTGTGGCCGAAGCTTGGACATCGACTGGAAACTTGTGGCAACGGAAGGAGCTATAGACTGGCTTTTCAGTCGGCTTCTCCGAACAGAGTATTTATTTTTGTATTTGATGAGATTGAATTCTTCTTGTATATTAAAGTTTGTCAACCACGTATCTCGGGGGTTCCTTGTAAGAACGCGCAACCCACTCATCTACATCCTCCACCCGCTACAACACAACCACCACCAAAACTTCAAAAGCAATTTTGTACCTCGCAAACCCCTCAAAACCAAACTATTCCCCCCAACCCATAATGCGTTCCCAAACCCTCCTCCTCACCCTCGTCCTCCTCCCACTATCCCTCTGCTCCCCTCTCCCACACCCAGCCACCACCACCACTTCCAGAAACCCCGTGGAACCCCTCATGAACGCAATGACAGCCGCCATATCCGGGCTCTCGAATCTCGAGACTGCGGCTGGAAAACCCATAGGAAGTCTATCTGCTCCACTTGAGGACTTAGGCCGGACGCTGTCACCGGAGGGATTACCGAAAGAGACGACGGCGATTTTGTATGGTGTGAGTGGGATATTGAGTTGATCTGGGAGTGTAGGAAAGGAAAGGAGGAGGGGAGAGGGTGAAGAGGGTTATGTACGGAGCTGAATGGGTAGGAGATTTTGGGGTTAGAGTGAGGTGGTGGTGGATGAGGGAGGGCTTTGTTTGGAGGTTCTTGTGAGATGTTGGGGTTTTCTGAGGAAGGGATGGTTTTGGTGGGTTTCTGGGATGTTCATCAGCTAATAGTGAAGCCAGCAAGTGAAAGTCTGGAATATCAAGCTATATACTATCTGAGTTCAACGAATTAGTTAAGGAATTAAAAACATCTTCAGGTAAGAGCAAAGCTGAAGTGGTATAATCAGATGATCAAGAGAAGCTAAGAACAGCAATGGAAGGAATGCGAATTTTGTGACACTGGAGCACACGTGCAAGTATTGAAATGTACAGAAGTGATATGTTTTGTATTATTCACCTAGCAAAAGGATATTCCTAGATGAGGATTAGACTCCTAGACTTCCACCAAGTTTTCGCCAGGCAACCATGGCTCTTTGTATTATCCAAGACGCACCACCAAGCCATTACCGACTTGCAACCCACCCCATACCGGTAAATGCCAAACAAATCCCTAGACGCCATCGCTAAAACGTTCAACACTATACCTAAGATCCCAATCCTATGTACGTCCGTCGGACTGACGGTATACCAAATTTACTTTGTTCCACTCCCATCATTAATTCGTTCTTCCTCGAATGAGAACCTCTCCGCAGCAGGAACGGGCACATGTACCAAGTCCTCTCCATGAATATGCGTGCGACCTTGATAAGGATTGAGAACCTCTCTCGCTTGCATATCTGCACGTAGCGCGATCATATCTTCACGCAGAAATTTCGACTCGTCTTCCTCGCGTATGATCCGACCATCGTGGCCTGGACTGTGAACCCCAATCGAAGGCGGAGGGAGACGAGTATGGTTACTGCTGAATGTGGCAGCGCTCACACTGTGATTATCGGTACCGAAGACAGTGCCGCCTGGACTGGCGCTCGAAACGGGACTGTGGGGTTGACGGATTGGGTCGGTGTTGTTATACAAATCAGTCCCCGCATCTTCGTTCTCGGTAAAGTGACTTCCTAATGTGCTCGACATTCCCTCCGAATCACTCATCGTCCCAGGTTCGGTAAGAAGCGTTTGCTCCGACGGTCTTACCCGTCTATCCGGGCCAATTACTTCAGGTACCACTTGTGGTAATGTAACATTATCCGGAAGCGGTCCTGCATATACCACATTACCCGGTGCAATTCTGCGATAGTTAGGCGGAGGACTGATAGGACTTGTCGGCCCAGACACGAATCCAGCAGAAATAGGTGATGGCTGGCCACTGACTGTGGATATGGTATGGGAATCCCCAACAGGTGACACCAGTGGTGTATGACCCTCGGAATCCGGAATTTCGAGATGTCGATGGACGGGATTCACAGCAACGTCTTGTTCTGACTTTTCGACCGGATATTCGTCTTGCGAGAGTGGAGTTGGGAAGCCTCCTGCCATTTGACGTTCATGTTTGCGTCTCGCCCTCTCATATGCAGAAATGCTGTTGCTTGAGTCTTGTGTTGAATGTCCGTATTCGGTGGTACCACTCAATGTGCCTGCCTCACTGTCAAGCTCCGCAGGTAACGAAGCAGGAAGCTCAAATCTTTCATGTGATGCATCAGCACCAACCTCTGTAGCATAGACTGTGCTCCCCGCTGCCTCGTTGACAGGTGCCCCTGTTGGCTTCTTGCGGAATCTGTTGAATATAGAATGTGATTGATCCACAACGATAGGCTTCTCATCTGAAACCGCTTGCGTCTTCTGCTTCCTTTTCCGTCGACATAGACAGAAAACTAGAAGAAGTAACAAGGCCACTCCTGCAACGGCACCAACCGCAATCCCAGCGATGACTCCCGATGAAATTTTCGACTTTGTCTTCGACGTGGTTTCCGGTGGAGTAAATGTACTATCTCCAGGACGTGTGATTGCTACAATGCTAGTGTTTCCAATAGGATCTGAAGTGTGAACAGCTTGATGAATTGAGAATTGATTTCTCTCGTAGTCGGTAATGATATAAGCCTCCTGTAAGAAGGCCCGACCAATGGTATATTCTGCTTCATTTTCTGCAACCTTAAGGGGGAAATAGTTCTTTGTTGAGTCTGCCGAACCATAAGTTGCATTCAACAGTGGACTTGGAAATGTAAGTTGAAGGTCAAATGCCGCGTAAGGCAAAGTGATGTTGACGATGCTTTCTGAGCTAGACAAGTCAGACAAGCTGAATGTAAAGCTCAATTGAGAATTCATAAGTGCATCATGTTGTCCAGGTTTATTATCATACGTATAGATTTTCAATGACGTGTTGTAAGTCAATCCTAAAGTTGTTGCAAAACGATCGCATATCGATTGTGGTAGCCATAGATATGGAGTTGTACTGTCGATGATAGCAGAGACTCGGTCAGCAGTTGAAGCAAGTTGAGTTTGCGTTGTCCAATTATTGCTACTCGCTGAGGATACCACTGTGATAGAGTTTATGCTAGCTTGTGGGTTTTTGCTAGGATTAAGATTAAACGTTGTATTGTGAGGTTGAAATCGGTTGGTGTCGACTCCGCCTAAGGTCAATGAAATGGGCACACCCTTTTGTTCTATATTCTGTGAGCGGACCGTCTTGAGACTTTTATAGTTAACTTACGGTATTTTGCTCCAGCGGTGTAGCCATAACTGTGTGTCGGAATAGCACTATTCTTTTCCACAAGACCACTAATAGCGGGAAGAGAGGTGATGTTTCTGAAATTCCCTGGAACTACTCCCAATCCAAACATGCCCAGCCAGTATTCAGTTGTATTGATAGACCCGATGATGGTGTTGTTGAGTGTTATACCAGTGGAGCCAAACGTTATGTCGTCCAAGCCATATTGCGCATACCCCATACCACCGAACCGACCATCAACTCCCAAATTGTAAAACCCTTGATCTTGCCATGTTGATGAGGTCGCGAGATCGAAAATGGCTCCTCTGGCAGAGGTGCATAGGGAGTCTGTAACAGCAGTGTTAGCCTTATTTATGGAATGCAGTAATACACTTGTCGAACGTTCCATCCTTCCTAGCGTTTATGCTGAGATGAAGTTCTCAACCAACTTCATATGCTTTGTTTGGCTCCCATGGTTCATCGGACAGCAACAATCCCCGCTCGTGATGGCGGTCCCGGCCCAAGTATTAAAACTGAATATAAAAATCCACTTACTTCCTCCAACGCATCCCGAAGGACCTACAACCCAAGTCTCAGAGCTCACAGTATTGACCATAACATCAACCCATTGCTGAGGGGTTCCAACTCTCAACGATATTGCCGACCAGGACCCGTCATATCCGTACCTGTCAGGCTGGTGTGAGTAAAGCTGGTGTTGATATCTTGCGACAGGAAGCTTGTTAAAACTGACCAACTGATCGAGGGTGTTACACTCAAAGGGGCTGTTACCACCTGCTCTGCTACTACAGCGACTGAATATTGAAACAGCAGAAGTCCCGAGAGCACTCCTATCCACCTCGTCGCCGTATTCATTGTCACGAACGATTGCGCATTATCTAGACTCGCAGGACGCCGTGCAAGTATTGCGATCAGAAGAACACAATCCACACGGTGCAGTACAAAAATGAGGTGCTAGGAAGCAGCTAGTGGAGGAGAGAATGGCCGGTGCGAAAGCAGCATCCGAGCAATGGGACACGCCAGTCAGAGACCCTGTAAACGCTGGAGCGGAGTCACTGATCTAGCACTGATCAGGCAATCTGAAGGATTTCCACAGTGGGTTGCCGCGATCTTGGGGTGGTGAGCTGCCCCTAAGCGTACCGCTAGGGAGCCACCAGCGCGGCCAGAGAAAGGCACAAACGATGAAGTGACCTATGATATACCCCTGCCCGGCTATAGACAAGCTACATTCAGGCCAAGCTTTTTGCAGGAGATTTCCGATGCCAAAAGAAAGGTTGAAGATTTGGAGATTTACGAGAAGAATGCGGAGTATTTTGCGGCCTACCCATGTGACTGGGAGTATCTAGGCTCTTCTTACAGCAAGGTTGCAACAAATTTGAATTAAATCGTCATTCAGAATCATGGCGATTCATGAACCGAGTACTCCTCGAAGCAGCCGCAGCTTTGGGGCTGGATAACCTCACGTATCAAAGTCGCCAAGGTTTATCGTGTAAGACCGACGATATCTTACAAGCGCTTTAGCTGAGCGAGTCGCACCGCCTTGTTCATCACTCTCTTGCCACCAAGGAGCCGTAGGGTAGTTCAGAGAGTTTTGACGAGTAAAATGTTGCGTAAAGAGGACTGATGAAAAGTACCAAGTACCTTGAGTTTTGTACTGAGAAATTGGGAAGCCCCAAAAGACCCGAATGACCGGGTAGACGTACGAGTATTTGTCAACTTTGGGGTGTGTCTTCATTTGTGCTGAGAAGCAGCCACGCACATATGATTCTTTCCACACGCCAAGTGGCCACAGCATTCACTCAAAGGGTATCCAATCGGCCCGTTGCGAGAAACAAGGGCAAGATGTTGACAGCTGTTTGCATTCTGGACTATCTCTTAGGTCGTGCTGGATGCGCTCTCAAATATATGCAAGACAATATAAAGCGGCCAATCGCCATCCACATGTTGTGTCTCCGAAGGCGTTCAATTGATGTTCAGTAAGCTGAAAGATGAGGGTCTCTGTCCTCATAGTTTGACAGGTCGACGCATGTTTTAGTATGGTGTAAGAAAAGTCGATTGCCGTGCTTTGCTCTCCGTGTGGTAAGCTATTGGACTTGACGGAGAGGGTATTTTAGGTATTTTTAGTTGCCGACGAGTCGGCCAAGCAACTACACAGAAAACTCAGAAGGGGAAAACAACACCTTGATCTCAAGGCGTACCTCTAGTCTAATTCATCCACTTGCTGTATAGTATCATTCCGCTAACAAATTTTGTGTAATGGCAAATAAGTGGTGTGCACTCACCTCTGCTGATCTCCGATTTTGACTGTAAAAAGAGCTCAAATAAGTGAGAATTGGCGAATGATAGCGGGGTAACATTCTGGAGGTGTACCATATAGGCTTCCTCGAAGATGGCAAAGGTTCCTACGGGGTTGCGAGATGAGCCGTCCCGTTATTGGTCTTGCAGGATAAAATCCTTGATGTTGCAATCTTGATAAAAGACTGGAAGAGCAGGCTGGGAAAGAGGGGATGGTCGCGATTGGCTCTGTTGAATATGCAGAAAGGGTCGTCTCTCCCCTCAATTTTCACAACGTGGAACTGGATCTGAGCAGGAGCATCCTTGGTGGCATGTGGTTTCGGGAGTACCAGACATAATAGAAGCAAAGATCAGAGCAAGAAACCGTAGAGGTGGGTGGGAAAGGGAAATAGACAGGTCGAGGCCATGCGGGATTCGCAATATTTGATCGTAGGAGGACGATTCGATGTCTAGAGAATGCAAAATCCGGCTTTGGTGCTGTACGAGGGGAGGGGCATATTGCTATCGAAGAATTCTTTGGTCAATGTTGGGTGGTGAATGGCGGAAAGAGGGAGGAATTTAGAGAAGTAGCTACAAAAATTCTTGTCTGCCTATCATGCAGAATCGAAGCAACATGTTGAAAAGGGTGGCATCACTTAGAAGTCACAACAGCTTGACGAGCCGTCTTTGCAGAGGGTGGTACCGAAAATCATAAATCAGCCTCATTGCGAGCACAGAAGTCAAAACCCTACGCCGTGTGTCCGGAGTCCTTTGGGGGTTGGCGAAAGTATTACGGTACTGATCGACGAAAACAAAAGATGAGAAGATCCTGTTCTGACAATGGTAGGTGGTGTTTTCAAGAATTGTCAAGAATCGCGCAAGCATAAAGATGAATAATGGCAATCATTACTACATTAACTTTGTTATAAATTAGCTAGATTGATTTATTAATGAGGCTAATCAAGAAAGCCTCGGTAGGGTGGTCTCTAGGAAAGTACATCTCGGGCACTCAGCAGCTTACAAGGAGGATCGCTGTTACGACACTCAAGAACGGACATACCGTGCAGTAAATTTGGTAGTAGGTTAATTCGCTTTTGATTCTTCAAGATGTAGTTTGAGGTAAATCGGAAGGTGCGAACACAATCGTTGTGGTCGATGATAGGCTTGTAGCTTCAGCTAGGTCTCAGTCCAGCTCTCAGTCTTAGACAGTAACGTTAACTACTGGAATGGGTTAATCCCGTATTTAAGTGAGGGTGCACGACAGAGAATAAGAATAAACATGTCACCTCCACGAAGTTTCCGATGGGAAGGCAACCCATTTCCCCGGCCAGCTTGACTTTGCATTTGAAAAGCTGTCCTCCCACACAGCGACGTCGAGTTGTCGCTTGTCACTACCAAGCCAAAGGAAGATGAAATGATGACTTCTTGTAACGGTGGAATAAAGATTGTAATGCTGTTGGACCAACGAGGGCGCCGTCCCGCAAGCCTCTTGACTTTTGAAACGCCATCGAACCTTGTTTTCTTCTCAGCCCTGGTGGTGAGAACCGTCCAGTGGTGCTTCGTATTATAAAGAGTTAACGAATCACAACGGATAGTGTACTTCGTCCCCTGCTTCATTAACCCTGCCAGTGGCCGATTGCGCGCCTCATGGCGTTGACCCAGCCAAGATTGCCTAAAGCGACCATCCGGGAGGACACCGTTCTTGACACCATCATCCACACGCGAACACACCAGCCAAAGAACAAAGCTCTTGATCCATTCTTCGGACCCCTCAGTCAGCCCATGTCCATGCAACTCACATCTCCGATTGCAATGCCATCAGCTAAATCCCAGCTACAGCACAGCACAGGCAGCCTAGAGAACCAAGTGGACTGCCAGGGCAAGCCTCCAGGAAGATGTTCTCTTCACGGCATGGCCTCTCACCAGCCCATACATACGCGAAAGGGGCGCCATTTTAATTTGTGCATACTCGTCAGCAGGTAGTGGTACTTTATTTCTTCACTTCATCCGGTTCATCTGCAATCAATGCTTTTTACCATGCATTGATAGCCAGACAAGAGTCGAGAACTTTCAGACTCTAACCTCGGGATTGCTCTTTATCCCACCCACACTCGTTTTTGCGTTGTACCTTTTCCCGCCTCTTCGCCTCTTGCTTGGATCCGTCCCCGTTCGACAGATCCTCGGATTCAGTGCCAGTCCATCTCAAATGTGTCTCTGGGTACCGACTGTTTATCACCGCCAGGATTGGAGCTGCTCGACCACCACCTAGGTCGTGGAAAAGTCAACAATCACAAAAGGAATACAGGTGGAACACAGCAATTGGAGGAATGCTCTTCTCGCGGAAAAGTTTGCTCTGGGCAATCCAGGGCAGTTGTATTGTTGCAGCCCAGGCATACTATCCCCCTCCAGGTACGCGATGTCTTCAAGCGATTAAGAGAAAGCTACAAGACACTGACTTTAAAGTTTAGTTACCAGCTCTCATGTCTACCTCAATTCATCTTCTTCAAGTTCGACGTTAAGTAGGAAAGTGTTGGCTCAAATCATTAGTGAGACATCAACAACAGAAAGCCCGTCAATAGAAAGCTCAACTACTTCTGCACCTATTTCACGAGGTGTAATAAGCCGGCCGACGACAACATCAACATCATCATCAACGGATTTGACGTCCACATCGACGCCGGTATCGACCCCAATATCGCGGGGGGTAATAAGCCGCACGATAGTAACAGCAACAGATACGAATAGTTATTCCACTATAGCGAGTGCACCTATCAGGTCGGTTGTTCTGCCTCAGTCAAGCGATCCAGTATCGACAACAATAGACAGTTCAACGAGTAATGGTTCAACAAGCGATGGTTCTCTTCCTCTTCCCACTGAGCCCACGCCGTGGATCTCTACTGTCTCAGTGCCGTCTGTGATAGTATCAACCGCCAAATTTCCTTCAAGAACATCAAATGGAACATGGTGGGGATCAAATTCCACGACGACTACGGCTCTCAATACTACAGTAATTATCATTCCATATCCAACTGAGCCGCCATGCGTTACTCTGGCGCCTGGCGAACCTTTGACAATCTGGGAAATCCTTCCCAACACTACCACCGTCACGTCGACTGTATATGCGAACTCGACGATGAATAGCACAAGCCCTCCACCAGAACCGGAATTTACTCCCCCAGTCTACTGTTCTGCCACTGCCACCGGCCCACAAACAGGTTCATTTTCCCCTACTTCTAGTGACAAGACGGGAACCTATGGAACGTCTGAAGGATGGGGAGCCACAACCAAGCCTCCGGCCCCAATAACTACTAATTTCTCGAATTCCCCAGTAACGACAGTTATAACCACAAGCAAAAATGCTCCCACCCAATACACGACTGTCAACCAGATACCGTACCCAAGTCTTGACGGGGATAAAAGCACCATAAATTGGCAACCATTACCGGGACCTCCAACGGGGTTCATACCCACTGCTATACCAATCGAGACTGTCACGCCACCAGCCCCAGGACAGAATAACGGTGGCTCTCAAAATGGTAACGGCGACGGAAACAGTGGCGGGAACAGTGGTGGGAATGGGAGTGGCGGAACTAACAACCCGGGAAATTCCCCAAATAACGGCGGAAATGGAACTCCACCAAATACTGGAACTCCTCCTACGAACAATGGCGAAACAGGAAATCCACCGGATACAGGTGCTCCTCCTGCAAACAATGGTGGAACGAGCAACCCACCAAATCCACCAGCAAATAACAATGGGAATAGCCCGCCTGAAAATAACCCCAAGCCTCCAACGACGACCATAATTGGTGACGTGCCCATCGTGATAACACCGACGAAAGTTATCATTGGTACTCAAGACGTGGCAGTACCAACTGCTGGTACTACTCCTGGAGGAAGTGGCAGCAATGGGAGCGGATCGAATGGTTCTGGTGCCGACGCAGGTTCTAATGCAGACTCTGGTGCCAGTTCAGGCTCAGGCTCTGGTTCCGGCTCTGGTTCTGGGTCCAATGGTGGCTCGGGTGGTGCTGGGACTGGGACTGGAACTGGAACTGGATCGGGAACTGGATCTAACAACGTCAATCCAGGAAGTGGAAGCGGAAGTGGTAGCGGAAGTGGCCCAGGCAATGGTGGAAATGGAGTCAGCACTGACAGCCAAGGAAACAATGTTGTTGTCCAAAATGGGAAAACCTACACAGTCAACCCGTCTCAAGTGATAGCGCCGGGAGGAATTACGCTCACGATTCCTCCCCTTAATCCAACAGCTGGTGCTCAATTTAAAGAGTCGCCAACGACGACGACGACGATTATGGGCGTTCCTGTTCAGTTAGGAAGTTCAAATGCCGTTATTTTTGGGAAGACGTACTCCATAGGAGCAGGAGCACCTCAAACTACAATCACAGTGAACGGGCAAATAATTTCAGTCGGACCGGCAGGACTTGGATTTGCTCAGACAACGGTTGCACCAGCGTCGGCCCTTTCTACTAACGTTGTAATCATTGACGCGCAAGTTTTTTCTGCCATTGGACCTTCGGTTGCCGTCATCGGTGGCTCAACCATTACCTACGGGGGCTCTCTACCTACCAAGACCCAGACTTTCAATGGTGATACCATCACTCTTGCGCCCGGAGGCATATACTTCGACAACTCCAAGGTTCTGGGCGGTAGCGCAAATCCTAGTAATACGCAATTAGGTCTCGCCGGTGGGCTTTCGGTTACAGAAATTGGCGCCACAATTGCTGTCATTTCTGGCATTACTCTAACAGTTGGTCCACAAGCTACACCTGTCGTCACCGTCATAAATGGCCATACTATCACTGCTGGCCCTGCCGGGTTGGGCTTGAAAGGTACCACACTGTCGTATCCATTTAATCCTACAACGAAAGTGATTACAGCGGGTGGAATCACTTACTCTGAGATTGGACATAGCTTGGTAGTCGTGGGCGGGTCTACCTTTAATGTTGGACCTGGAGCGAAAACAACCACCGACGTGTTCAACGGACAAACCATTTCGCTTGGACCTGGAGGCGTTGGATTTGCAACTACTACTGTTCCAGCCGAGACTTCGACGCCTACTTCCGATTCATCAGCAAGACCTACAAGCACAAAGAACGCAGCAGGGGGAGTTTTAGAGCCTTTGAGAAGTGGAATATTTGGTCTATGCATCTCATTAGGATTTTTGATGATTTGAGCCAACAGCACCGGCCGAGGACCATAGCATATAGAATGGGGAGGGAGGTACATATTTGGGAGTTTCAATGGCGTTTGGTGGAGGCATGATGGGCATATACCCCAGGGCAATACTTTGGCTTCTGAGCATTCTTACATAAATGGGTTGTATTAATATCTGATGTAGACATGATTTGACGGATCAATGACTTACGGCGCTTGGGGGTAAAGCATCAGGGGATACACAAAACTAATGAGAATATAACAAACTTACAACTTATCACACTATACACATGCCGCCTTGCAACCAAACGTCTTGAAAACATTTACTTACAAATGAATAGGTTGACGAGAAATGATTTGGATGTTCATGTAAGATGCTCGAGTCCATAAAGAGCGAGAGCCTGTCCAAAAGCCAACTGGAGAAAACATCAAAACCACAAAAGAAACCTTTCTTACTCTGACGCGAGTATGAATTAGAAAACTTCTAACAACTCAAAGGCAACTAGTTGCGCTCACTGCTTAATGACTCGTGATAGGGGTGAGATATCGTCAACACTTCTAGCCTTGAACAAGCGAGGCACTAGACCCAAAAAGATCACGACAATCTCCTACCTATCTTCACGTCACCGATTCACCAAATATTTCTTTTCTCCTACAACACAGACATTCAAACCAACTTTCCCACCTAAAACTTTCAATCATTACCTTTAGACTGACCCAGACATTGCTGGCTCAGTCATATCTTAACTCGAGTTCCAGTCTCTCAGTTATATGCAATCACAGTTTCACGATATTCCCACAATTCCAAACACTTCCAGCGCCTCCGTCCCATCCACCTCCTCCGAACATGGCATCCTCGCAAATGAACTGCAGTCTGCAGACCTGCATGACTCTGTCAATGTCGCAGAGCGTTCAGGTCGCGCAGACGAAGGAGGCGAAGCGTCTTCGGTCGATACCGAGGGCGCCCAAGACGAATTCAGGAGATTGAATTTGAGAGAGAGTAACGAAGAACGACCTAAGCCATCTTTCCAAAGGATATCTGAATATGAAAACGCGTTATCTCCATCACCACCGAGAAAAGCAAGTGAAGGACCTGGATTCAAGGTTGTGAAGAAGAAGGGAGGCAGAACTGATGGTCCACAACTTGACCAATTTCCAAATGGTACGCCAATAATATATGTCAATATCGCATGCAAGACAAAGTTATACTAACTGTTAACAGAGGTTTTGACACACATCTTGTCACATCTACCGGCTGCCTCTCTTTCTGCGGTCTCGGTTGTCTCTCGGAGATTTTACAGCCTAGTCACCACGCCCCACGCCTGGCGCATCGCATTTTCTCGTTTCTTCCCTGGCCAAGATGCGATTGATGCACCTCTGAACACAAATCGACGTGGCTCTGATCTGGAATCTAGGGAGCAGCTCCGCTCTGAGCAGCGCGTCTTCACTAGGTTGACTGGTCTTGCTTCTTGGCGAAGTGAATACATCTTGCGAACACGGTTGCTGAGGAGTCTGGCGCGGGGGAAGCCAGCACAGATTGCTCCTGGCCATGGTGCGTCGACTCGGTCAAACAGCGCTGCCAATAATGCCAATGCGGTTGTCACGTACGGCTCTCAATTGTTTACTCCTGTCAATTATATCCATGCTGTTTGGAACAATGGCAAGAAGTCCCCTCGTTTCATACATGGCTCGGAGGAGTCTGGTGCGGCTTGTACCAGTGATCCAAATATCGGTAAGATTGATAATTGGGGTCTGGCCGATCCACAGGCATTGCCTCAATTTGCCGACTTGTTTATTGGAGAAGAACAGTATGGGTTCGGTGAAGGTCCAGCAGCTGTACCAAACTTGATGGATCTCAGTCAGCCTTTTGGGATGATATATGGTGAGGGTTTCCCTGGAGGTCAGGTCTACTTCAGATCCTCGGAAGAACAACGCGGACGTTTTATCAGCCAGCCAAATGATATCATTGACCATCAACATGGCATTCCTACTTTCCCAGGAATGACTGAGGCTTCTTCTGCAGTCTGGATTGCAAAGTCAAATGGTGTATCACAAGCTACTGATGGCCTCGTTGGTATGATGACTGGATCAACGTTAGGAGTCGTCACTGCCTACTCTCTCGGCGCTGATACTCCGTTTGGCCGGCGCATCGTGAGAGGGCAAATGACAGCAAAATGGATTCTCAGTCCCGGCGTTCCAATCATCGCCATCAAGGTCGATGACTCGTACAACCCTCGGCGCAGAGCATCAGGTAGGATTTGGGCAGTAGCATTGAATGCGTTAGGCGAAGTCTTCTACTTGATCCAACCTTTGGTATCACCTCTTATTGAGTCCAAACTCGATGAGGGTGCCAGTGGCAGGCATGCTTGGAAGACCGGTCGGTCTGCTTACTGGCATCTGGCAGAGCCGTCCCGCCGGGTAGCCAGGGAAGATCCATATAATACTTCGGAAACTCCAGGATCCTACACGCCGCGATCGTCATCCAAGTCCATGCGACTCTCTAAGGGACAAATTGTCGCTGAGACTGTCGAGATTGAGAGGTACCTAGCTTATCCTCCGTCGCACTTTCGCAAGATTTGCGATGGTTGGGACATGCGACGAAGACTAGAAGTTGATTTTGCCGGCGATGATGGCAATGGCGCAGGTGAAGCCATTGTCGTTATTAGCTGTGGAATTGATGAAGGCACAGCACCTGAGATCAAGAGATTCACAAGGTGGAAGGTTGAGCAGGCTTCTCGCGCTGAATACCCGGAGCCAAAAACACCCCCGATGGCACCGAAGACTGTATCCATGGCATCTCTTTTCGGTGGCGGCAACGTTGTCACACCTCCTCGCAATCCATCCCCTGAGCGCTCAGTCTTGTCTTCCATAATGAGTAGAAGTCCAGCAGCTAGCCCATTGAGAAAGTCTTCACCTGATCAGTCGTCGACGCCAGGTACACCCTCGTCTCGCATCATGTCCAACAATCTTATGGAGGAATGGCGGACCTCAATCTTCGCTCTTAAAGATCATGCCATTGACGAGATCACAACCAGCTCGATGGACATCTCTACATATGCTCTGCTCACCGTTGATGAGGATCCTCTTCGTACTGTGAATGGCAGTTCTGAGTACTCCTCGCCCTTTGGAACGCCTGGAGACGCCGACATTGGAGGAGCTCAAATACCCGGCCACCGAGCAAGATTCCTGGCTGTTGGCACTAAGACTGGAGTCGTTCAATTATGGAATATGCGAGGACCGCAATCTCTCAATCCCGTAATGGTCAATGAACTGCAGCCACTGCGTACCATTTACACGGATTCCCCGCAGATATCCTGCCTAGCTGTTTCTGCTCTATACATTGTGCACGGTGGCAACGATGGTCTTGTACAAACTTGGGACCCACTGGCATCGAACATGCAACCAGTTAGGACGCTCAACTCTCGGTTCTCTTCCCGTGCCAGACGTCGGCTCGTTCAAGCAGAGGCGTCGGTTCTTGGTGTAGGCATCAACCTGTATGCCGCTGGCGCGATCGCGCTGGATCCCGATCCGACTGTTCTCAGAGGCATGGTCTCATTAGGAACTCACCTACGGTACTGGTCATATAGCTCGTCTGCTGCAGATCAATACCAGAGTAAGAAACGCAAGATCCGTCGTTCCAACGAGCGTGGAACGAACGGAGGCCCTGATAGATTTACCACTACTGGCAGAGGAGCTTTAATGGACTACATCGCTACTGAACAGGAAGAGCTCAAAAAAGAGAAGCTTCGGCGTGCCAGAGAAGAAGCTCGCCTCGCAGGCAGATTTGGTGTTGGATTAGGGGGGTTGAGTGAGGATGAGGCTCTTCGATACGCGGAGATGGTCTCGGCCGAAGCTTTTCAGAAAGACCAAGAGCGTCGTATGAGTATGAGCGAGTCAGGGTACAGTGCAGATGCTGGCGAATCTGGCTCTGGCTTCGACAAAGCTGTTTGGAGCAGTAGTGCTACTGTGACCCCGGAAGGCAGCATTCAAGGTCGCTCAGCAACTTCACCCCAACTTAAGACCGACGATGAATTTGAGCAAGATATCGAAGAAGCCATCCGTATGTCTTTGATGGACGGCGTAGACGAAGGCGGTCGCTCGCCGCGTGCTTCTGGATCGGGCGGATATGACATACCAATCATGTACAAGGCAAAGAAATCTCGGCGCTCTGCCTCCAGCTCGCCAGCATCAAGCAAGACCCGTGGGAAGAGTAGTGCCTCACGCATCAAACGTGTGGAGCCTGTCGCTGCTGATGACTTGGATTATGCCCTGCAACTGAGTCTTGCAGAAGCGAGGAGTCAGGGTATGGATGTCGACAGCAGACCTGAGGGTGATGAAGTTGACTACCCAATACTTGCTAGTCCTACGTCAAAGGGCAAAGGAAAGGGAAAGAAATTTTGATAGCGTGCTTGATTGGGACTTGAGTTGAAGAGCGTTTGAAGCGGAAACGTAGCGAAGAATAATTGTTTTCGATTACCCTTTTATTCGGATTTTGAGCGACTACCCCCTCTGGGAGTCTGGGATGTTAAGTGCTTTTGTGTTATCTATTTGCTTTGAGCCAGATCTTAGTGGTCTGGTGCTAAAAATGAAATCAGTTTTTACTTTCTATTTTTGACTACATCTACTGCTATATGTCTATCCATTGCTACCAACACGAGCACTATAATTCACGGAGCCCAGCCTTCTCTACTACCCTTTCAACTAACCGTCGCAATGCTGACCGTCACCAGGAGCTAGAAATAGCTAGATCTCAGTAACTTTGCCAGCTTATACTGGTCGGGCGTTCTAGTGTAGCTTCTATCTTCTCGACCGCGACTTGCCACTAAGACGCACTACACCTTTGCTATTGTGTTGAGAGCGGCCAGTGATATGCACCATTCGTTCTGAACCCATGGGCTCGTCCTTTCTTCTGCATATGCCCATTATCAACTCGACACCTCCTCGAGAGATACCAAACGCTTTCTGAGCCTTGGATCCAAAACATTGCAAATTCGTGCTCAGACGAGATGTAATTCATCTCCAGCCGCGCTCCAATGCATGATTTGGAGACATTCGTCATGCTTTTACTTTGTGGTATCCACCACACAAGTGCCACACCCTCTTCAATCCCCATCCCTTTCCAAAAACCCCGGATCATTCCTGACCTTCCCCTCAAACTTTCTCCACCACTCCTCAAAAGCCTTCAATGGCACAACCTCAATCCCACCCGCCACATTTCCACTGAAACTCGCCAGAAAATTGAATGCATTCTTGATAATCCGCTGCGCAAGCACCAACGTATCAGGTTTCTGCTGTGGTTTTGCCGCTACGACCAGCGCTTGCGAGTTTGATGCGCTCAACGACGCCATTTGCGCTGATACTTGCGAGGCGGGCTCGATCGAGATGCCGATCGTGATATCGCCGGCGGGAGAGGATTCCGGGGCGTCCATGTCGACTTCATGGCTGGAGTTGCCGTTGGAAAGGCCGCTGATTTTGAAGATTGCGGATTCTTTGCCGGGACCGATGCCTCCTAGGAATTTGAACGTGGGCTCTGAGGGCCCGGGGGAGGGGAGGGAGATGTAGACTGAGGCTGCGGTGTCGGGAGGTAGTTCGACGCCTGTTTTTGAGGGACTAATTAGCCAGCTATCCTTTCTTGTGATTACGAAAAAACTGGTGTGTCTTGCGCCAGAAGAGTAAATTGGCGGATGCCCTGTTGCTAGGTCTTGCGATATACTCACCTGGTACTAGAAAGACCACAATATGCGAAAACGGCCGCGATTGAACGACAGGTATCGTATAGACAAGTGAAGTCGGTGTTGGCGCGTTCGTGGGAGTAAGAATTGGCGCATGGCCTGTCGGTATCAAGCCAAAGAATTGAGGTACTTGAGGTTGTGCCATATTGTGGACGGTGTATATAGTAAAAACCGAATATGATGATAAGATGTTCGTGTATATATAAAAGATATAGAAAGTGACGCAAGAGGTAATGGCACCAGATTAAATATGTTTGACAGAGGGTGGTGTTGATCTTTCAATTACCGTCGGATTCCATGGCGGGGTCATTTTGTCATTCCCGTTTTTGGCGGGGTCGTGCCTGAAGCTGTGCCGCATCCTTTGTAGGCATCTGCCAGGTAGAAGAGGCATTCACAGATTGTTGGAGTAGCTTTTAATCCATTTTTTTTTGGTATACAAACGCAGTGTGTCTGATTAGAAACATACATTTACAGGATGAAGTCTAATTTGGATTTGATCAAAGAGTGTGATTCGTAAGTCTTTCCTGGAATACCAAAGGAGTGAAGCACATGTGCAGCTACCCGTATTCTGTGACTGTCCTACTCGAGTACACGCTTTCGAGGATTAGCAGAAACCGTCTGCAAGTTGAGGGTCTTTCTTTTTCAAACATATCTATGTGCCTTTGAATATATAATTACAATACGCTAATCTATATTAATAGACTCCCTTACCCAAACGACACAGAATACGACACCTTCACCGCAAGTTTCTATACCCTCACGCACACCTCAGAGTCCTATCCCATACCAATAACAATTGGTCAAATCCCCGAATTCGTCTTCAACGCTCTAGCCAAAGTTCCTATTTCCATAAAGGGCGAACTAGAGGTAAATCGCAACACCCGCACAGTCTCGGCATTCCCCCAAGCTACCGAACCAGAACGCTCAGCAGCTGTAGCAGCGACCTGCGACTACTGGCGCAAGAACAAGACATTCAAGGTTCTAGAAGGCTGGCGGAATGAGCTGTACCCGGTTTACGGACCGAAGAATGAATTGTTGTTCAATGTAGAAAGGAGCGCGAGCGTGTTGTTTGGGACTGTGAGTTATGGAGTGCATATGGTGTGCTATACGCGCATGACAGAGGAGGAACGAGTGGAGAGTGGGAGTAGATCGGACTTTAAGCTCTGGGTACCAAGGAGAAGTCGGACGAAGCAGACTTATGGGGGAATGTTGGATAATACTGTTGCTGGGGGAATCTCTTCTGGTGAGGATCCCTTTGAATCGCTTGTAAGGGAGGCAGATGAGGAGGCTTCGTTGCCAGAGAAGCTGGTGAGGGAAAATACTAAGGCAGCTGGGATCGTGACATATTCTTATCTGAGAGATCCCAGGGCAGGTGGAGAAAGTGGTGTTGTTCAACCCGAGAGTCAGTATATTTATGATCTAGAGCTACCGAAAGACGTAACGCCCAAAATCAAGGACGGCGAGGTGGAGTGTTTCTATTTGTGGACGTGCGAACAAGTCATGCAGAGTCTGGCGAAGGGCGAGTTTAAGCCTAATTGTGCTTTGGTAGCAATAGATTTCTTTATTAGACATGGGATTTTGACGGAGGAGAATGAGAATGATCTAGAGGAGATTAAGAGGAGATGCCATAGAGAGATCCCACTTCCTGGGCCTCATTTAACGGCGAAGTAGACGATTCCTACATGAGCATGGTCACAAAAAAAAAGCTGAATTCAGGATTTGGTTCGAGAGTCGGTTTCGATGGCGCGAATGCAAGTGATAAAATCGAGGCGCAAGGAGTTACTCTATCAAGCATCGATTTATTGTATCGAAATCCACGATCCTAGATCTAATGTAGGGGAGTGCCCAGCTCTCAATTCGCTGTTGAGAAAAACAACACTGTCGAGATAATATGTGACCACAAATACTGCTTTTTCATTCCCCGAACTCCAGTTCCCACCAACGCCTAATATGCAAAGCCGTATGGATCAAAATTCCATGTGACAGTTCGAGGGCTAGTCCTCCAATATCGCCGCCATAGAGCCTTCCAGCGAGTCATCTATTTCTTCATGAGAAGATATACATAATCAACTCGCAGTGAAGTGAGCTTCTTAAATGGCCCTTCGATAGCCATAAGAAGTCCACCAAATGATATGAAACATTTTCTACCACAAAGTCAGCATGCTTGAGCAATATCTGAATTCCAAACGGTAGGAAACGTCTGAGAATTCAAACCCAGCTTACATCGAATCGCCATTTTCCACATCCTCAAACTTGTAGATCTTGCCATGGCAGACATAGTCGAACATATCAGCCATCGTGGATTCCGCATCCGACCTTGCAATATCCCTCCATCCCTTGCCATCATCCTTACTACCATCTAAACTCAAGCTTGTCGCAAGAACTACTCGGATTTGATCGCCAACCGCGCATGGGTATATTTGTGAATTAATGTCAAGCTTGATAGCAATTGAACCGTCTAAAGAAGTGCCAGAAAGTCGACAGACACGGTCGTATTTCTTGTCGTCGAGTCCATTGATTTCAATGTTTTCGTCGAAGAGCTGGGTGTCACCTGCGGTGGCCATGCTTGCTATTGCGATCGAGAAAGCGGAAGACGATCGGGGTACTGAAAGCTGGACACAGTATAGGAGATGTTGCTGGCGGAACTAATGGGTAGTTCGTATGCCGAGGTGCTGAGAAGGAATGTTTGCGACACTGACGAGGTTGTCTTTGTCCAAAATTTTGAGGTTCAAAACGAATTGATGCAAGGCTGTGCCCAGCTCTTATTGGCCAAAGCTGAACAGTCCGTGCGTCAGGCTCTTCAAAATAATTCTGCCCCTCCATGGATCCTTCCTCTCAACCTCTAGTCAATATCCAACAATGTCTTTCCAGAAGAGGGGAATCGCGATACGACAAGCTGGAGTTGTTTCTGGACGGGAAGCACCAGGTATCAACGCTACTCCAGGCTCATCTCCAGCTGTATTCAAACAAGCGCAACCCCCAACAGGAACACGTCCTTCACCCCTCGACGGTCGACTCACAACCTCAACAGGCACCCGATCACTAGATGCGCTACTAGCAGGTCATTCTGCGCTCGCGCTGGGTACATCTTTGTTGGTAGAAGAAAGCGGAACGACAGATTTTGGGGGATCCTTGTTGAAGTACTATGTCGCAGAGGGAGTTGTTCAAGGCCATACCATCCATGTATTAGGCATGCCTGAAGCGTGGGGACGAGAATTGCCCGGACTCGGTATAGGAGATGATGGGAGTAAAAGTAAAAAGAAAGTTGTCGATGAGGATAAAATGAAGATCGCTTGGAGATATGAGAGACTGGGTGATTTCAGTGCTGGCACTGGTTCGAGTTTAAGAGGTGGGTGGTCTCTGCCTCATATGTTGTTTGATAGCAAATACAAAATATTCCATCTCATGCTGATGAGATATGTTGTAGAAAGAAATGTGCCACAGTCAAGTTCTTCCTCGAGTTCGAATCCATCAGCAGTCTTCTGTCATGACTTTGATTTGAGCAAACGTCTAATTCTACCTTCGCCATCGAACATACACTTCGTTCCACTCTCCACACAGCCAGACATGAGCTTCAAAGACCCTGATCCGAAGATATCACCCTTCTCCAGGTTTATCAACCATTTAAGTTCACAATTAGCAAACTCTCCACCGACAACAGTTCACCGAATTGCAATTCCAAGTCTTCTTTCCACCGCACTCTATCCTCCTTTCAGTACAATACCATCGCACATCCTTCAATTTCTTCACTCACTCCGAGCCCTCCTTCGCAAATACCCGAGTCAGCTCACAGCCCTAATAACCCTACCTATAACATTACATCCACGGAGGACAGGTTTGACTCGTTGGATCGAATTGCTATCTGACGGAGTTCTCGAACTTGCACCTTTCCCAACCTCAGCCATCGCCGCAAAACCACCAGGGGCATCAACAGTTCATGAGGAGCCACCGCAGGGTATGCTGAATATTCATCGTCTGCCTATATTTCATGAAAAGGGGGGAGGCGGTGGAGAGGCTAGTGGGTTTGGTGATGATTTGGCATTCACGCTCAGTAGGAGAAAAGGAATGGTCATTAAACCGTTTAGTCTGCCTCCCGTTGAGGGGGATACAGAAGCTCAGCAGGGCGGCTTGGAGGGCGACGGTGGGACGAAGGCTACCAAGGTGGATATTGAATTCTGATAGTGGTTCGGTCCAAGAATAATAATTATCAGCAAAAGTAGACTTCCAAGACGGACCTGTTCACCGCAAGTAATCAGCTCCATAAAACGATTGCACATGAAGTAGGCATGTTTAAGCAGTGGTAGACGCTGAGTCCTGTGTATGGAAGCTGAGAAGCTCAGAATTCTCGAAGCAATTCAGAGCTAGACATAGTTCTACGCGAGGATCACTGCGAGATAAATCTATTCTCCCGATGATAGTGTCTTACTAGAGAACATAAACAAATAGGTACATAACAAGATAAACTACGAAAGATTTCCTTCTCGGCCACCTGCAAGTAAATTCAAGAAGCATGATGAGATTGAGAATACCTAGACCCAAAAAGGAATGGTTACCAGTGGGTGCTAGCGTAGCGCTAGTAAGCGAGCACAAAATTCATGTGCTTCGATTTTGAGCTCTCGCGACCCATTGCAGCAACCATCAACTTTTCACTCTTCACACCACAATTGGTGTGGCCTCCAGTTCATATAGTAAGTCCTGTCCTCGATCCTCCTCTTTTCAATTCCAACCTTCGATATGATTACAAAACCGATCTGTCAATCCCCTGACACCAGTTCAACTGGACATGATGTTCTAAAATATGTTTTAATTCATGATCATCGACCTCAAGTCTCTCAAATTTTCGCTGCCGATTTTGATCATCGACTGTTTGCTGACTTGAAGTTGCAATAGACCTCCGTACCCCGAGGCGCTTCGACCGCTTCAATGCCACACTCTTCCGACCTCGTCGCAGAGCCCGTACCCATATCACTGGTCGCGGGTCGCTATTTGCTATATGATATTGATGTGGTAACTTACCTTCGCAGGACACACAACATCTGCGGCGTATTGATTGGTGGTATTCCCCAAGCGCCACAGCAGAATGTTTTCCAAGGCTTGCCATTAGAGCTCCTGCCTGAGGAAGCAAAATTGCTTGTAGACCAAAATATTGGATACGTTGTGGATGATGCTGCTTGGCATGAAAATCACTACACGACACTGCACGGTAAAGATAGGCAAAACTACTTGGAGTCTTTGAGGGCACAAGGTCTAAAGGCGAGCCAAGCCTTGAACGCCGTGGCGCGACAGAAACAAGAGAAAGCCCTTGCCAGGCAAGCAATTGTAAGAGCTACAAAGTCTGCAGATTCCGAGAGGGAAGAAATTGGCGGCGCATCTCCATCCAAGGATACAGATAAGATGACCCCGACAGAAGCTGAGAACCCCAGCTCTCGACCTATCTCGCCTGCTCCATCTGATGTCTCCAAGTTCTCTTCGAGAGCGTGGGACGCCTCGAAGCCCTTGGCCATGACACCTTCTACTTCCTATAATTCATCGTCTCTGCCAAGGAATCCTAATCCACCACCCGTGCCCATTGCTCCCGCATCATATCCTCTTTTCGCTCATTTACATGCTCGCAAATACTTCATGATGCCGGGTCTCAGGTTTGGTTGTAATTACAACGTTTATCCTGGAGACCCGTTGCGATTTCATAGCCATTTTCTTGCTACAAGTTATGGCTGGAATGAAGAAATTGCCATGCTCGATCTCGTAGGTGGCGGGCGATTGGGGACTGGTGTTAAAAAAGGATTTCTTATTGGTGGGGAGGATGTTGAATCAGAAGGCGAAGGCGATCTAGTCCGGACCTTCGTTCTTGAATGGGCTGGTATGTAGATAAGATAAATTCAACGATCACCATTCAAATTGAGTATTCTCCGCGAAGAATTATACACTCGAATCATCAATTGACGTGAACATAATGTTTCCCCATACTGAGGTCTCTCACATGTTTGAGCCACGACTTAATGCAACGCTACCGCAGCTCGGAGAAGGCGGCCCGAGGCCGTACCGTGGGGTTGGTATCTCATTATTGTACGTGCTTCTCCACCACGTTAATGTATAACGCTATCGCGGTTCTAAATGAAGATGATTTGGAGCTGTAGTTTGCGGATAATCATTTGATGATGAATGGTCATCTTGGCCTCTCACTTGGCATCTCACACCTTCTCTTTAAAGTCACTGAGCGCAACGCCTATTTCGGACGATCCCAACATACCTACACCACAGACAATGGCTGCGACGATATTGGACAACACTGCTAGGTTCGGTCTTGGCTCCTGGACAGCAAACTGGACAGCGTTTAATGCGACTCAATACATTCCATCTGCCAAAGATCTCGCACTGGCGGGCCCGCGGATGTTTATGAAACTTGGTTCTTACCTCCCAGTCTCGGAAGCCGTGGATAACCTCTTTGGGGTACGGATAGGGGAACGTTTTATACCAGAAGCTACAGGTGCGGGCGCAGGAATAGTGGAAGCAGTTACGACAGCTGCAGCTTCTGCGAGGGACGTGGCGCAGACAGCGACGGAAATACTGGTTGAGGTGGACGAGGAAACTATCGGAATCGCTTCCAAGTTCTCGATGGAGGGTGCCAGGAGTTTAGGCAATGTCTTTGGCTATCTCACCAGTAAATGGGCAGTTCTATGCTTCTTCATTGCTCTGGTCCTAAATCGATCCGCCATCTTTGCCTCTAGTAGGAGGCCGAGCGTGTTCTTCCCGTGGAAGATAAGGCTTCTCATACGAATAACCCCGATAATCCTCCTACTGTTCGAATGCCGCGCGTTACTACAATCTATACAATGTCAGACGTCTCCTGACTTCGCTATGTTGCGCTGGGGAAATGCGTCCAAGCATTCAGACTTGATGTTCAACCAAAATGGAGGATTCTTGCATACGATAAGCTCGACAATATTATTTCGATCAACGGATGAAGATTCATGCCTTGCTGTCAATATGATACCCCCAGTCTACACCAAAGAGGAGAGTAAGTCTATGGAAGAGTCAGAGAAACCGCGTGTCGTTCTCACAGGATCGCTCTCTCGTCTGTGGCCACTTTTCCAGACCTTTTGTCTCAGTCAAGTTGTCGAGACCATTTCCTGTGCAGTTCAAGGCCGCTTAGTGTTGGCAGAAACAGGCATGACCATCTTCGAGCATTCGTTGGCTTTCGCAGAGGCGGACGCAGCGATTGGAAATCAGCTAGGTTTTGGTTCTTTTGGTGGCACGAAGATTGCTAAAACCTGGGCAAATTCGTCATCTACTTCTAGCAGTGATTTTCAAGAAATTGCTATCACAAGAAAAATGATCATGCAAAGAGTCAACACTGCTCCCGAAGTACTTTTGGTTGCTTTCCTGTCTGGTATGAACCACTTGACGAGCCATATCCTCGCCATATTTAATATGCAGGGGAGATTGCGACTCCTCAATACCGGTTTCTGGGGGTTGGCATTCATGGCATCGATTGTTTGGGGCCTCTGGACTTTCTCCTTGGATGACCTGTCTGCTCAGTCTCTGCTCAGGTTTCCGACTGTCTGCATTGTGGGTTTCATCCCACATGTTGCCGTACTTTGTGGAATCATCTGTTGCATGGCTATATACGGAGTTGCTCTGGTACTTTCTGCTTTAGCACCTCCTCCAAGCAATAGAATACCTGGTTTAGACCCAGATGATGAAGACGCGTTGCCCGAGCCCGGCTTCTTGGACAGATTGAAGAATGCCCATGAGAATATGCAAGCGAGCGTTCCACTGTCCAGCATTCGGGTGTCTATGCACATGGATTTCTATACTGCGCTCCTGAAGACTGGCTTCAGTATCATGACAATGGCTGCGGAGGCGGTGTACTTAAATGAGAGTCGTGGTGTCAACATCAAAGAACGAACGTGGTTGGAAGATGATCGTCTCCGGGAGATTGAGACTATAGGCGCACATTGGTTAGGTCCAAACTTCAGGCTTCGTGACCCAGATGCGGAATTTTCGGATAACGTCGGACTCGTTGCCGCAAAAGACCAACCCATGGACCTGTTACGAGAATCGTCTAGTGGTTATGCTAGAGAAATCACAGCTCAGAAAAGAGGCGGCGTTCTGAAAGGGCACGAGCGGCCAATCAGAGACGGGGTCGGAGCCACAGAGAGAAGTGGTCGATGGATCATGGCATTGGAGTTCTTTTTGGGTATCAATAGATTGATGCTCGGCTGGTGGGCGTCTATAACACTCAGACTCATGGAGCGAGCAGGTATTGATTATCGCCCTCGATTTCTGGTATGGCTTACGCAAAGGCCCAAGGAGAAGGTCAACAAAGATAAACGCGCTGATAGCACTGATCCTGAGTCTTTGAACTTCTGGCTGCTGAGTCTGGACGGGGAATTGACCTTACCAAAAGACGATCATGTTGATGTCGAGGCGGAGATGAGGAATCGAATCCGGACTAGTGATGGTTCTTGGAACGATGCTCAAGAAGAGCAATTAGGGTCGCAACTATATAAATGGTGGCTTAGTGGAGGATGGTGGGGTGCAGATGATAACAGTGGAGAATTCAAATCAGAGATTGAAAACGACGATGATACCACCAGTGTTGTGTCGTTTGCGACCACGACAGATAATGACGAACAGGAGTGGGAGTCAGAACAAGATGGTCAGAGAACGCCGACTCAAGGATCGCCACAATTTTCACGAGAGGGTACGCCATTTACAGATACGCCATTGAACTCGGCCGATCTTGCTCGACTCCTCAGTCCTCAGACCCCAGAGCAACGGGCAGAAGCCCAAACCCTCGCCGCTCACTTGTCCAGCAACAATATTGTCACTCGGTCTCGTTATCGAGCGATCGTCCAGAGGGAGCGCGCCAAGGTGCTGACATCGACGTTACATCGACCTGCAAATCTACCAGCTGCGTCAGTAGCAAAGCTGACAGCAGAAGAAGAGGTTCAGCTATTAGAGCACCTCCTCATTACATCACGGTCATTCAAAGCATCTAACGCCTCACAGCAGTCCAATTCCTGGGCTCGAGGCGCATCTGGCATGGGCGAAGGTGGTCCGCATTGTGTTGTTTGTCAGTCCAACCCCAGAAGCATCATTGTTTGGCCATGTCGATGCCTGAGTCTATGTGATGACTGCAGGGTCACTCTAGCCATGAACAACTTCGACAAATGTGTCTGCTGTCGGAGGGATGTGGCGAGCTTTAGCAGAATCTTTGTACCTTGAAAATTCAAGTGGCATAAGGCATCTTATTTCGAGTATTTTTAGCGTGGTATGTTTGGAGTGTGAGGACATCGAATATTGTATACGAGCATTGCGGGCGCTTGGGAGGAGGGTTGCATACATATAGGAACACTTGAAAGTAGATTTTCTTGTATGAAATTTTATCACATTATGGAGGTTCGTTTTCCGATCGTTTAGTGTATGTGTGAGTCCCGGCTGTGAAGAAAAAAGGGAGCCGCTGACACACGATCGTCTTTTCAAAGAAGGAAAGTCGTGAAACAGTAATTGGTACCATAATAAGTTATGCTGTACCTTTACTCTGTAGCGTCTAAGACTAGGTGGATTCCCCGAGACACGTAATATCATAACTCGAATATAACACTTCGATGTATTTCGAGTAAGTAGTAGCGTCACATTACTAAATTAGAGTTGAACTATATAGCGCTACTATAGAATAGTTGAAAATTAAGAGAACTAGGTTGTATCGCCCGACAAATTAAGTAAAACAATTAGATTCAAGCTTGTTACTTTTCAAATCTAGCCAAAGACGTTCTTAACTTTACACTTTTATTTTACTTTGTGTTAACTTTGTTGAAACACAACTGTACGTTACCAGCTCGTAAAAAGAACGTCCAGGTTTGATGGTATTGTAGTAATGATCTTGAGCATACGTATAAGGCTATTCGTTTCCTTGAGAGGCTGGTTCTCAGCAAGTGTTTACGCTACCAAACAAGGTACGAGCCAAGGTACCTTGCAAAATTAGCAACCTCTAGGTGGGGGTAGGGTGTCTTTCATGTTAGACAATGCTATTGTGTTCCAGAACAAATGTAAAAGGACTTTGCGCTTCCTTGGTGGCCTCTGGGGGGCTTGAACAAAGACGTTAACAAAGAGACATATTTTAAATTTAGCTGTTTTATCTATAGAAGTAATTGTAAGATCTCCACCATTTTAAAACAGTATTTCTCAAGCTCTATATCATTCACTAGACACTCCGGTAGTCCCTCCTTCAATAAGGTTTGGACTAAAAACTATTATAGCTCACTTCTATAACCTCAACCAAGCGCAAATAACAAGCCTACATCACTCAACATGGCTTCACCATTCGAAACTCTCCTACAAGAGATTAGAGACATGATATACGCAGAGTGTCTCCTAGTCGAGAATATTAAGACCATGACCGGGGATGATAATATTGTTGTAATTAACGGCCATACGTGGCACAAAAACAGTCGCCATACTCAAGAACTTTTAAAATTTAACAGGAATGAGGGAAGAGAGCCTTACGCAATGTTTTTGAACTGGGGAGAGACCACACCTGGCCTTTTCCTAGCCAATAAAAATATCTCGGCTGACACTCTCAAGTATTACTACACCAATAATGAGTTTGTATCCATTCAAGCTTCCTCTTGGTTGCTGAGGCTATGCGTCAACAGATTCATTCCTTTGAAAATAACTCAAGACCAGCGACCTGATGCCTTGCCCTCTGTTCTGAATCTTGAATTATGGCACGACCTTCCGCAACATCGTAATCTAAACGATGTGTGTTGTGCTATAATGCATGCCAACTATTTACCGTTTCTTGTCGACTTTGTTAATACATTGTCGTCTGATAATAGACCAACTACTTGTGATCTAGGTATCACCCCCGGACTCTTTACATACCCATCTATCAAAGAGATTCGCATCGCCCCTTGCGGTAGTAGCAAGTACTATCTCGATCCACGAAAAATTTCAGAGGGACTGCTTCATGATCTCAAGGGAATGAGTAGAATGCATATCCAGTTTACACTCGAGGGATTTAGCCAAGGGGAAATCCAAGATTTTCTAGCTTGTAGTAAGCAATGTGAATGGTCGCTAGAATATCAGTTGTCCGTAATTTCACGGCTCACGACTGAAGCAAGTCACCTCGCAGAATCCCAAGATTATCTCGGTGCTCGCGGGAAATTAATTGTTGCGGCATACATGTGTGGGGTGAATCAGGATTATGGAAGTTATTATTATTGGAATGTATTAGGGAACCTCCGAGAAAGCAACCCAATAGAGAAAATTTTTGCTCTTATGGAGATCTGGGTTGCTAACAGTAAGGTATCAGCCAAACTTGGGAGGCCCCAGGAAGCCAAGAGGTTTCTGCGACTCGTGCGCGAAATGTGCGATCAGTGCACGGAAATTGAAGCCATTTTTGTGGCTGCGAGACTTAGAGATGGTGATTTAGCAATCGCTAAAGCTGTCTTGAATCATGCAATGCTGAAGCGAGCAGGTACCCCAGGTATCAAGAAGTTGTATAAGGAGTACAAGGCACTTCGGAATACAAGGTTCGCTGCTGTTCAAAAGCTTAGAATGGATGATGAAAGTCAGACGTCAGGCTAATGTGCAACTTTCGGAGTCAGACGGGAAAGGAGGACTTATAAGCCTTGTTCTTAATGGCTTTGGTCGAGAGAGGAAACATGGAGTTTATCCGAAGCTGTGTTCTTTTTATTTCAATGTTATCAACCTCTATATGCGAACTACACTTCTGTCTCTCTATGACTAGATCTAGCATTACAAATAAAGCGACAAAACATCCAGAAATCAATGCTAAAATTTTCCATGCACTTTACAACCCATCTTTTAAACTTGATGACATGAAATTCTCATCTACCCCACGCATTCATGCTTGAGACAAGACTCATCTTACAAATCAAACTTAAATTAATAATCGTGTCGCAATTGCAACATAGCCACGGCTTGAGTTTGAGCACTGTGCCGACATTGCGAAATCGCGGCGAGGTTCCAAAATAGTGGTCAATTTAAGCGAGAAACCCCCTTTCCTGACTGCAATGCCATCAACGAGAAGGTTCTCGGGTTTAAAACACGTTCGTTTTGAGAACTATATTGTGGTATACCTCTAAATACCTCGGGCTTTATTTGGAATCTGTTTGTTCTGGTAAATCAAGGATATAACCTCTTTACGTAGAACGAGGATTGAGAGCGAGAAGGAAATCATTACCAATTGCAGAACAAAAGCCTCATAGTTCGAGCACTCTTTCCTATGAGCTAGCTACATGAAAACTGTTCAATCACAAGAGTTACTGGGCTCCTCTTCGTAACCAAACGTGCAATTCAGTCTCGTCTACCTATCGAAGAAGAAATAATTTACATTGCTTATATATGCAAGCATCACATATCTATCAATGTAGCTGTTGGTATCTTTTCTCATAAATGTTCTGCTAGGGTTCCTTTTCTCGACAACATAAGTGGTAATAATCTTTTCACTAGCCCGTTGAATTTTAGTTTGAGCATACATGAACACTTCTAATTCTGTGAGAACTTACATAGACTTTTAGGATATTTTATTACTGAAAATATAAGAGGAAATTTACTTTACTTTATCGAGTTGACTAAATGACTATCCTCTTTTGGCTTACACCCTTATCCGTCCACCGCAATTCCATTGATCGTTTTCCCATAAAATTTACCCTACCAAACCATGTTCAATCCATCTGTCATGCTGCACTAGAGCCCCCATTAGATAACGCAGAAATACATTCTAGTCGGTCCCTTCGACCTTGATAATCCCATCATTTTCAGAGAAGTTCCTAATCTACTGTTTTCAATACTCGAATTCATCCTGCTCCTCCTCCTCAAAATATTCGGCGTCGGTACCAGTTAGTGCGATCAAAGCACCATTCATTTGTTGACGATGTACTTCCAACGTCGGGTTTGGGGTATCCAGAATCACCACCTCTATCATCTTCTCAATCTGGACCCAGTGACATTTCGAGTGGTCGAAGAGTAAACTATGGCTGGGAAGCACATTCACCCGAATGGTTACCAAGTTCTCTCGTAATTCGTTTATGCTAATGCTGATTTCAGAGGCTATCTTTACCGGGTAGAGGTCGAAATTGCTCATTGCCTTGGAAAGCGAACCATGAGCAAGATTATCGCACATTGCCTCGCCATGCTTGCAAAGGATTGAGTCGCCCTTCAAAAGTTCGCCAATGTAGCCATACCAGATATCTAGCAGTCGTTGAATGGTGTATAAACGAACTTGGAGAATGCTTTCTATAGAGATATTAGTATCAAATTGGCAAGGGCAATGTATCAATCTATGACAGAAACTCACCAATAATGCCATCCGGGAATGATCCTTTGAGCGGTGATCCTGTGGCAGTCACTGGTGTCCCTAAACAGCTAATACTGATTTCCATTACCAATTTTTCGGCAAGATCTTCGAAAACTTGTCTTCGGCCAAATACCCAGGCGATGAAAAGCCAGTTTTCCATTCCATCCCGATAAGCTTGAAATTCTTGACCTGCAAGCCAACCTTTGTGAAAAATCTCCACTCGAGAAAGACAATCGTATTTGTGAATCAGTTCAGCCATATTCAAGAGGTCCTTGTATTCGAGTTCTCTCCGTGCTACAGCGCGAGTGTTTAGGTGAGCAATATTGAGAAGGATTTGAAGGGCGACATGATTGTCGGCAGTGAAGTCGAGGCAGCCACCTTCGTGGTGATTAACTGCGTCGTCCAATTGGAATAACTCGTTTCCTACTCGTAAATTTCTCTGTGTTTTAGAGTAATTATCTGATATGTTCTGAACAAGCTGTCTCCAGACTGGACTGAACAGAGACATGACTTGAGAACAGACTCTTCCGTGGATAACTGTCCCATTGGGACCGGTCACTCGGATACTCATGTTGGATTCGGGAAACGTGAAATCTTCGGATGTTGAGAGAGAGAAAGGCGATGGCTTGGTTTGCTTCAATGGAGTACCGGTACTCTTCTTGGTTCTTGAGTTTTCTGCGACCTTCATAGCAGGTTGTCGCATTTCTTGGAGAAACTCATTCGACTCTGAATTTGTGACTCGATTCAAAAGCTCCTCAGATTGTAGTTCGTCGTCAGTTACATACGAGGCAAGAGTGTCAAAGGACGAGCTCATGTTGATGAAGGGGGCCATGTGAATTTTTGTACTTGGTTGAAGCGTCCAGTACTGTGTTGATCACATCCGAGTAACAACAGTAATTCTAGAAGTGTTGTTAATTGCTTTGCAACGAGTGTAAATCTGTCGGTATGATATGCAAAACATGGGCAAGTGTTTCGCAGACAATATAGAAGACAAAACTGAAAAGAAGAAGTGAGCGCTTTTATGTTGGCACATGTCAAGGCTGAACCCCAATGCCACAGTTTCACCTTAGAATCACCAACCACCCATGTGGGTGAACGTTCAGTGTTCACTGAACAAGATAAGTTTACTACCGCACCCCACACCATATGGACTTTATATGTTATAAGTCTACTCAAAGAGATTCAATTATTCCAGGGAATTAGTGTTTCCTCACCATCCTTGGACTCAATGAACAGCGTCAGCTAGTGGTTGTGAGACGGTACTTAGTCGAGCAAGTTGGCGTAGTTTCACAATTGTTTAATTATTTAATTAAGCAGCACCAAATGGAATTTCATTCAGATTCAATTCATCTAGAAGAGCAGCTTACTAACCTTAGCTGTCTGATAATAAATTCACGTGCCCCTTCCTTCCCAATTTCTTTACTTTTCGTCCAGGGTAAACTGAGCTGATGGAATAGATTCCATTCCACTCGAGCATTGTAGCACTCAGCTTCTTGAATGGGAGGTCAGCGCGGTTGTCTAAAGTTGGATGTCTCAGATACTAACCATAAGAAAGAACTATCAGAGCTCAACAATCATCCTTTGCGCTTCAATCCCTGCACCCCAGACACCCACACTCCTGGAGCCCAAGATCTTCTAGGAAAATACTCCTCAGTTGCTGGACTTTCCGATTTGATAACAATAGGTGTCTCTACTCTTTCTCCAAGCGGTTCTCTCTGGCACGCCACTTCACAATCTTGTTGACTGCTGCCGAATAAACCACTTTCATCCCTGGAGGCTACTCTTCTGCCATCTGCCGCAGTCAAAGAAGCGGCCGAAATCGTAAACTGGAAGGGGGGCGGTGGCACATCACTTGTCAAGTTCATTTTTCGAGGTAAGGCGCTGACTAGCTGTTGTGGTCTGAACGAGATAGATGGTGATGGTGAAAGTGTTGTGCGAAACTCGGAATGGTGTGAACCGTTGCTATCTCCAGCGCTCGGAGCAAATTCAAAAGGAACGATGCGGATTGTGGGATCATTACATTTCCCATCATCCACCTCTTGTTTTCTTGGTACTTCTTTTCCTGTCGAAGTCTCGAAACAAGGTAATGCAGTCTTTTTACATGGCCTTCCTCGTTTTCTAGCAATCATATTCTTCGTGTTTCGTGGACAGAAAGACGTTCCGCGAGTACCTAATAGAGTTCCGTCTTCGAGTTGGCGCTTCAGTCGGGTGTATCTCATGCGTGCTGCTGGAGATTTGATGTTGGCGGCCTCAGCTACTGCTTGAAAATCGATCTGGAAGTCATCAGTTTGAGACTCCACAACACAAGAGCTCTGCAAAGTAGACTCACCAATTTCATGTCTGAGTTCTGCAAGCAGGTATAGAGAAACCACAAGTTCTCGTCTAGTTGTATCTTTGACGGCATTTTCTATCCCTAAGAAGCAGTCTAGAACAACCTAGATTAAGCGGAGGCTCAGGTAGGTGGTAAGAAAAGAGATGGTAATTCAATGCGAAAGATTATTGAAGCCAGCTGTGTCTTTCTGCAAGATTGAAGACAACTTTTTATAGCCACGCGTTGGAGTTCCATAGCATGTATATAAGACCAAATTGGACATTCTGGTAGGTGCAGTAGATGATGGTGAAAGTGAAACACAAATGGTACAGCGGACAACAAAGAAATCTTTTATCCATAGCGAGGAGAAACGAAAGAACCCAGTATATCTTCTTTATACCATTGCAGTATAATGCAGGCTGAGCTAAGACGCAAATTACGGCTTCATACTTCCTGCAGTATCAATCATTGATTCAAACATGATGGCTAAATGTTTTACAAACACTCTAGACCCACAGTTGCAGGAGGGCAGCCTGTACCATCCAAGTAAACGCCAGAACACCTATGCCATGCGCCTCCTTTTTCCATAACGACATCATGCGTCTTTCCGTTTTCATAAACGTCCCAGTTTGACATCAGCTGTCTCTTTCAGTGCAGCAACAAGGACACGGTGAGCTCCTAATGCAGCTTGCACCGCATTGTCAGCAAGTTGCTCGTAAGACGAGGTCCGTGTTGCACTTTCGGTTTGGTTTTCATGCCCAATGTCCCCTTTGACCCACAGGTCTGTGATTTCGTCTCGTGCCGGTAGATATCCCACAACACAAGCAGCCACAATTTCCTTGTGCTCTGAAGGGACAGGATCCAAAACCAAAACTGGTGTAGATGAAATACCCTCACTGCCTGAGTCCTTTACCACGGCGGCCACTCCTCCCGCGACAACATCGACACAGTCAATGCCCGCATCTGCGATCGCTGCCGAGGCAACAGTTATACACCCACTTAGAACACTCATCATACCCCAATCCGCCGCTGATGTATTGGATCCTCCAATATCATCTCCCCACCACTGGTCTTCCTCGCCCTCCAGAATAGTTATGATAACCTCCACACCACTCTTTGGCCAACGATCGCCAATAATCACCCCGCGCAACGCCGTCTCAAGATGTACCCCTAGGTCCCGTTCGCTTGAATCTCGTAAGTAACCTTTTCTTTTTCGTGTTGCAAACGGCGCGTACTTGACATGTGTCGTTAAAATTATGTGAGGCGAAAATGGTGCAGATTTTGGTAGAGGTCTAGGGCCGTGGACTGTACAGGTGAGTTTCAAGCCAGAAGTCGATAATGATGCTAATCCTGGGGTGGTAGATTTGGGATTTTTCGAAGCTTCAAGCTCAAGGTAAGCAGACCCTGACGCTGATGGAGTGACACCAGTCTTCAAAACTTGCAAGGAGTTAGTATAATGCGAGAAATCCTTAGGAAATTAGCTTGACTAACATAATTTCCTTAATGCGTTGTTTGGTCTGACCCGCGTAGGCCGTTCTGGTAACTCTTTTGGATCTTTTGCAAGATATTTGGTGTACACTGGTGCGCTTGTCCCACCTGGCGGCCCATTGATTCTCCTCCTGTCTGCCATTGCTTGCGTATGTGAGCGCAATGGATGTTGAGGACCACCGATATCATCAAGGTTGGCAAAATTTGGAGCTCAGGCTCTCAGGAATTGATGGTGGGGCAGACCGCTAGCGCTTGGTCCAAGCTTCCGACCGCTTTCACCCTCTAAATTTTCTCGACCTCAAAATGTTTCGCACAAACTCAACAACAATCGACAACGACGGACGTCAAGGTGACCAACGGAGCGTAGCGTCCTAGAGACCAGATGGAGATCGCAGATCGCGTCTGACCTCCGTGTAGACATCACGGATGGTGCTGAAGTCATGGTTTGTTTGCTGTACAATCGCATGCTCACCACTAACAAGAAAATGGTAAGCTCAAGCATTCTCCCCTCCCCATGTCCTATTCTGCTCCTGATGATATATTTTACCCAACGTTCTTCGGTGATCTCCTGATCCAATGAACAACATGCATCACCATCTGAAGCATCCAAAGCACACTCATCATCTGCATGAAGTCTGTATAGTGCTGAGACTAACGTCGAGCAGAGACAGCGGCCCCAGAATCCGACCGTACCCAGAACATGACCATGCATCTGTACCTGTGGTATTTCTCAAAGGATTCGGAATGTCGTTAGCAGTATCGTAGGGATCTGGAGAATTGCAATAGAACGACGGGAAATTGCCGGTATGTTGCTCCTTATTTCTTTTCGAACCTACTACAATTTCATGATGAAAAAACATTAATCAGTTCTGCTTCTGAACTCCTTGATGACAACCAATATACCAAAACTTTTCTGAACCTTGCAATCAGACTCTTCAAATTCATGTTCCAAGTATTTATTGGACTATAAAGCTGACGAGATCTTGCAGAAACCATTACATGAACCTCAATGTAAGCATCTTTGTCTCCCATTCTTTCGCTGCGTTTCCGCCATGATGACAACAGCTTATCCATTCCACTATCGCGTCCCGGCCGAGCAACCCTCCCGCACCGGACTGGTCATTCATTTGAACGGGATGATAGGTTGTGGAGTGCGTAGCTTCAGTGTCTTTCTCTTCCTTGTTGCGTCTTGTAACCTTGAGGATCGAGACCGGTTGGGGTGCTTGAGTAAACTGGCTTTTCTGAGCAAACAACAAGTGTCATGCAATTAGCAATTACTAGACTGCATAGATTCTTGGTACTGACTTTGCAGCAGGAGGTGTTTACACTCGCCAATCTAGACTGCTCTAGACTCACAGGTAAGCTAAGCTGGCGGTGATGATGGATTCAAGAAAGCCGGAGGTATTTCCGTTGCTTTTCTTATGTACACATAGATTTTTATATGGAGTAGGTAGTGGAAATATTAAAATCAATAAGCTGTTCGCGCCGTCTAGCGCCGTTTGGTGTTTGCAATACATTGTAACAGCATACCTTTAAATGCCAGATACTAGAAACAATAATTATCTTGCTGGGTAATCTCTTCTTGTCCGTTCTACGAGTGATCAATATATGGTAACTTTATCGTTTGCCCAGACTTAACACGTGCGAGGCGCTTGTTTCATTTAGGCGAGCGACCGCCGCTAAAATGTTTTGGTGCTGAATGTTCTCCGTAGACCAGAATAAACACTAAGGAGGGCTGCGTGTCCAATTCCATTGCTCGACTACCGTCAATAGATTCGGCTTCGTCTTGCAAATAGTCTATTAATCTTTGGCAGGCCGTTTATTCGTCACATCGACTTATCAATGCAAATCTTTTTTAGCGTGTACAATTGATGAGAGGTGGTATCCTCCAGGGGTTAATACGAGTGTCAGCTTGGGCTGGAACAAAAAATCGTCTCGAACCGCCAGACTGGCATTTTCACCGTCCTCACCAGTCCAGAGTCGTGTGACGGCAACGTCGATAATTCATAATGTTGCCGCGGCATACTGCGAAATCGGATTCATACTCGAACGGATATCCGCGAGCCAAGGAGAAGAACACATATTCCATATCTCCACACAGGTACGACGAGGACCGGTGGGGACCCCTTTTGATAGCAGTGGTAGCCCAATTGAAGAGTTGGGCATGTTGAGCATTGCTAACATATGCCGCATACAGGTTTCAACCTAGAGCTTCACCTCCAGCGCTTCGCAGAAGACGACAACTTTTAATACGATTAGGCCTTCTAGTAGGCATCGGCTTATTTGCATTCTTCGTCTGGCCAGGTGCCTCCGTAGTACCACTACTTTCGCTAGGTTTCCTATCATCGGGGGAAGATTTCCAGTTGGAGACTGTCAGATATTATGATCTGTCCACCGTACAAGGGACAGCGAGGGGGTGGGAGCGTGAGGAACGAATCCTGCTATGCGCACCACTTCGAGACGCCGAAAGCCATTTGCGGATGTTCTTTGCGCATCTACACAACTTCACCTATCCACACCATCTGATCGATTTGGCTTTTCTAGTATCAGACTCTAAGGACAGAACGCTCGGTCTGCTGTCTGAGCTCCTGGAGGATCTGCAAGCTGATGAGGACCCAAAGATGCCATACGGAGAGATTTCTATCATTGAGAAGGATTTCGGACAAAAGGTCAACCAAGACGTCGAAAGTCGCCATGGTTTCGCTGCTCAAGCAAGCAGAAGAAAATTGATGGCACAGGCCAGAAATTGGCTTCTGAGCGCGGCTCTACGCCCTTACCATAGTTGGGTGTATTGGAGGGATGTGGATGTGGAAACTGCGCCGTTCACTATTCTTGAGGATCTTATGCGTCACAACAAAGATGTTATCGTTCCCAGTATGTCAACTGTTCTGAAATCCTCAACTACAACCTCTAACCTACACAGATGTTTGGCGTCCTCTTCCTGATTGGCTTGGCGGCGAACAGCCTTACGACTTGAATTCATGGCAAGAATCCGAAACGGCTTTGGCACTAGCTGATACCCTTGATGAAGATGCCGTCATTGTGGAAGGTTACGCAGAGTATGCAACTTGGAGACCTCATCTTGCTTATTTACGCGATCCCTACGGTGACCCTGATATGGAAATGGATATTGATGGGGTTGGAGGTGTTAGTATCTTAGCCAAGGCGAAAGTGTTCCGGTCTGGCGTCCATTTTCCAGCATTTAGCTTCGAGAAGCATGCAGAGACAGAAGGATTTGGAAAGGTCAGATCTCTTTGTCTATTAAATTCTTGTAAGACTAACAGCAAGCAGATGGCGAAGCGTATGCAATTTTCTGTTGTTGGTCTACCACATTACACTATATGGCATCTTTATGAGCCTAGTGTAGATGACATTCGCCATATGGAGGTCAGTAGGCTCGTGATCATTTTTTTCAGCACACTCTAACGTCAAGACAGGAAATGGAAGAAGAACGAAAGGCGCGGGAGAAGGAAGAGCAAGACAAAGCCGACCGAATGAAGAAAATTAAAGACCAATTTGCAGACCCTAACAGTCAATGGGAGAAAGATAAGACTGATATCCAGAACGAAGCTCTGAGAGAAAAGAAGGAAAAAGAAAAAGCAGAAGCTCAAAATGTTGTGGAAACACAAGTTCCAGCCGACTCAAAACCCGAAACAAAGGCTGAAGCAAAGGCTGACTCCAAGGTGGAATCAAAAGCTGACGCTGTGAAAGCACAATGAGCATCATAAGGGTCAGCTACTTTCGCTCTTCAAAGGGGGACAAGATTCAAAGTCAATAGGCGCTCCTACTTCTTGTAAACACTTAAGGAAGTGTTGCCATTATGAGAGGCGCTTCGGCCGAGCCAAGATGTCTTGGGAACGAAGGTCACACTAGAAACGTCGTGGGATAATAGACTTGCGGCGCGGGAGTTTTTGGGAACTTCCTTGAAGGATATGGCGTTTAGTTGGGATCGTAGAGGCTGAGGTATTATCTGGTTGATCTCAGTCTCTTGGTCATTTGAGCTGCTGTTGTTTGGAGCTCGTTGTAACGATATCAACATGGATTCTTTGTAAATTTATAGAAGCGATCCCTTACCATATCCCTACAAGGGGACATATATAAACCCAGATTTCATAATGAGACTTGTTGCCAATTCCATACCGCGATATGTGCAATAGTTAGCTAGGTAGGTTCTTAGGGAATTACCTAGCTTATGACATCGGAGGACCTAGGATACGCACGTGCCTCCGTCACCAGCGGACAGATTGTTTCCGAGGGTTTGGACATCTTTGTACAGAATACCGTTTATTGTCACCAAACCCTCACTATCTCCTCTTTCCTAGAGAACGACCATACTACAATAGTGTCGTGATTCATACTTGCCGAGAGCTTGCATAATCTGAATTCAGAGCGCCACTGCAAAGCATAGTTTTATGCCCTTTAATGTACGAACTGCACCATGAGCAATGGCGCCCCAATCGACTCCTTAGTCCTCGAGACAAAAACCCACGAAACTTCCACCAACGAACCTAATACGTCTACATCCCATCCTTCACGCGAATACGACTCGAGGTTCTCTCAGACGAACGGATTTAACATGAAAAATTCAAGGAGGGGGCAAGTCTCTGTGGCAGTGGATCCAGTCGCATTGATCACTACAGAATGTATCACAGTAACATCTGCGATGCGAAAGCATGCAAGGTGGGCGCATTCTTCTGTTTCTGCAATTCTGGGCGGAAGCTCGACACCTATGTCTCCAAGCTTCCAATCAAGGCCGACCACACCCCGCGACGATAACGTAGGCAAGAGAGTGACAAGGCCCGGGACTTCTAATGGCTTCGTGGATATGGCAGACGAAGGAGGCCTGGCCAACCGATGGGGCCTTCGAGGGAAGAAGGGCAAGAGTATGCAAGATAATCCTTTGATGGCGGGATTCGGACGATTGAGGCGCGAATTGACAGGATGTAAAGGTAGAGGCACCATGGGTTGTTGCTCTTCCCAATTGTACTAACCTCCTATAGATATACACCAATTCGATACGCCGTCACTATTGCACCCCTTCCTTCAAGTAATTCAAGCATCTGCTACTTCCGCGCCTATTACCTCTCTTGCACTTGTCGCCATCACGAAATTCTTCTCCTACAATTTAATAAGTCCCGAGTCTCCACGACTTTCAATAGCTATGCAATCACTATCTGCCGCCATAACGCATTGCCGATTCGAAGCCAGTGATTCTGCTGCCGATGAAATTGTACTTTTGCGGATACTGAAGCTTATGGAGGGTATGCTATCAGGTCCAGGAGGTGACCTTCTTAGTGACGAGAGTGTTTGTGAGATGATGGAAACAGGCCTCAGTATGTGTTGCCAGTCAAGGCTTTCTGAACTTTTGCGACGCTCGGCGGAAATGTCGATGGCGAAGATGTGCCAGGTCATCTTCGAACGGCTAAAGCATCTGGAAATTGAAGCTGGCGATGAAATGGACGCCTTGGATGAGAAGACCAAAGAAGATATGGATACTGTAAAGATGGACCCTTCTGCGAATAAGAACGATGCTGTGAAGTCCTCCTTGGCTGCCCCTCCAAGCGAGACTCGACCGTCAACGAGCTTTGAGAAAACGAGAGGTGCTCTGGCAGGAACTAGTTCTTTGGATCTGGGTTTAGCGCCTGCTTCCGAAGCTTCTGATGATACCCCAGTAAAACCATATTCCCTACCGTCAATCCGGGAATTGTTTAGAGTCTTGGTGGATTTACTGGACCCGCATGACCGACAGCATGCAGACACTATGAGGGTTATGGCTCTACGTATCATCGATGTAGCTTTGGAAGTAGCTGGCCCTTCGATAGCAAAACACCCAAGCCTTGCCAATCTAGCGGAGGATCGCTTGTGTCGGTATTTGTTCCAACTCGTACGATCCGACAACATGGCGATTCTCAATGAGTCACTGATAGTCACTGGAACTCTTTTGGCCACTTGTCGTGGTGTCTTAAAATTGCAACAAGAGCTCTTCCTCTCATACCTTGTTGCTTGTTTACATCCCCGTGTCGAGATTCCCCGAGAACCTGGCATAGATCCTTCCCTATATGTTGGAATTCCACAGACCCCTAAACTGGTGAAGCCTCCGCCATCACAGGCAAGTAGTGGAAGGTCAACCCCAGTTCCTGTCAAAGACAGACAAAAGCTTGGCATGGAGGGCGGCTCTCGAAAGCCAGATGCTAGGGAAGCTATGGTGGAGAGTGTCGGGGCTCTTGCTCGGATACCTAGCTTCATGGTTGAGTTGCATGTCAATTACGATTGTGCAACCGATAGGAGCGATCTTTGCGAAGACATGGTCGGGCTGTTATCAAGAAATGCTATCCCAGACTCTGCCACCTGGAGTACAACCAGTGTGCCGCCATTATGTCTAGATGCCCTCCTCGGTTACATTCAGTTCATAGCTGAAAGACTCGACGATGAGCCAAAATACACGGGTTACCCGGGCGTGGAGCACCTACGCGAACAAAAGCGGAGGAAAAAGATAATCATTCAAGGAGCATCGAAGTTCAATGAAAATCCAAAAGATGGATTGGCATACCTCAGTGCTCATGGGATCATCGAAGATTCGAAAGATGCCAAATCGGTCGCGAAATTCTTGAGAGGAACCGCCAGGATAAATAAAAAACAGTTTGGAGAATACATCTCGAAGAAAGGCAATGAGCCAGTCCTCGAAGCTTTGATGCGGGAGTTCAGATTTAATGGGAAACGAATCGATGAAGCTCTTCGCGAATTACTGGAGTCATTCCGCTTGCCCGGAGAGTCTGCGTTGATTGAACGAATCATCACAGTGTTCTCGCAGCAATACTTTGAAGAGGCAAAGCCGGAAGGTGTTGCCAATGGGGATGCAATCTTCGTCCTCACGTATGCTGTCATCATGCTGAATACGGATCAGCACAATCCTAATGTGCTCGACAAAAATCGAATGAAATATGAAAATTTTGCTAGGAACCTAGGGGGAGTAAACAACGAAGCAGACTTTGACGAAAAATACTTGCGGGACATATATGAATCGATTAGGTCGAATGAGATTATCTTACCTGACGAGCATGAGAACAAACATGCGTTTGACTATGCTTGGAGAGAGCTCTTACTAAAGACAGAATCGGCGGGCGAGCTTGTTCTGTGCGATACAAATATTTTTGATGCTGATATGTTTGCAGCAACTTGGAAACCCGTTGTCGCAACCTTGTCATATGTCTTCATGTCTGCAAGTGATGACGCAGTCTTCTCGAGGGTGATTGCGGGTTTTGACCAGGTAGCACGAATTGCTGGAAGGTACGGGCTAACGCAAGCCGTGGACAGAGTCGTTTATTGTCTCAGCTACATTACCTCGCTGGCAACTGGTAGCCCATCCAATCTTGCTCTTAACACGGAGGTCCAAGTTGGAGAGAATAGCGTCATGGTCAGTGAGCTAGCTGTTAAATTTGGTCGTGACTTCAAGGCTCAATTGGCCACTGTTGTTTTATTTCGCATCGTGGCCGGAAGTGAGACTGTTATGAACAACAGCTGGAAGCAGGTTAGTACGCCGTTTCACCTCGAGATCAGACTACTGACAACCTTCAGATTGTGCAAATCTGGTTAAATCTTTTTGTTAATTCGTTGATACCCCCTTTTTTCGCGCCAAATCGTCTCGAAATATCGCCTATACCGTTACAAAACCCGTCACAGATAGTTGATAGGGGACAGAAGCAAGCAGAGGCTGGCATATTCTCTGCGTTCACCTCGTATATCTCTAGCTATGCAGCTGATGATCCACCAGAGCCCTCGGATGAGGAACTAGAAAGTACTCTTTGCACGGTAGATTGTGTGAATGCATGCTCTATGGGGGATGTCTTCGCCAACGTTGTGTAAGTCGTCCATACACCAAATCATGTGGCAACGCTAATCTCAACAGGAACATGCCCGTGGAATCGCTGAAACCTCTGGTAAAGGCGTTGCTGGATCAATTGCCTGACGACCCTACATCAATAGTCATAAGTGTGAAGTCCGAAACCGATTCGCCTATTTCACCCAATGTACAAAAGGCTCCTATGGGGCCACCGTACGATCCTTCACACGTTTACCTCCTGGAATTCTGTACAGTATTGGCTCTGAGAGACAGCGAAACGATAACAGCGCTTGGTGCCGATGTTGCTGAGGCTCTGATGAATGTGATGCGGAACGCCTCCAGCTACCATAATATCATGGTCTCCAGGACCGTTTTCTATCTGCTCCATCTTCTACACGCTAGCTATGTAGGTTTTGCAGATTGTTTCTCTTGTTCACGCATGCTAATAATCGCAGGAACACTCGTTTATTAGAGTACCAGTTGTACTTCATACAGTATCAGCCTTTAAGAAAGACCTCCTGGAAAAATCCTCATCCTTGGTTCTTCGAGGATTAACTGAATGTTTCAAGGAACCTGGTCCCCTGAGGAACGAAATAATGACTTCTCCAGACTTCTGGGTCATTCTTCGAAACCTCGCAGGCACTTCTGAGTCCGCGAAGACCGTTTTCGAGATTCTTGAGGGTGTTGCTGTCGGATCACCGCCCACCGTCATGGCCGACAACTACGAACCCGCAGTTAAGCTGTTGAACGACTTTGCATCGGCTGGAAGCGTTGGGGCTACTGTCGAGCAAAAGAAGGACAAGAGGCCAAAAAGAGGACAACCAAAGAAAGCTCCAGAGAAGCAACCGGAAGTGGACGCCGCAGTTGCCAGGGGTGTGAAGGCGATTTCGATGATTTACTCGTTAACAACAAGGATACCAGTGCTAATGGATCAATCGCATCTCGAAAGCAAAGACGCATGGGCAGCGTACTGGTCGCCGATATTTCGAGCACTTACAACTCAGTGCACAAACCCTTGCCGAGAGGTCAGGCATCAGGCATTTTCTTCACTGCAAAGAACCCTTCTGTCGCCTGAGTTAACCTCAGGAGAACACGAGGAGTGGACGGCGATCTTCGGAGAAGTCTTATTTCCCCTGATTCAAAGACTCCTAAAGCCAGAGGTGTATTCTTCAGATCCTATCGGTATGAGCGAGACACGTGTGCAAGCGGCGACTCTGCTCTGTAGAATCTTCTTGCATTACTTGGTATTACTCTCCAAGTGGGATGGCATGTTGGATCTTTGGCTCAAGATTCTCGATATCATGGACAGATTAATGAACAGTGGGCAGGGGGATAGCCTGGTAAGGAGCACTCGTATTGCTATTTCAGATTTAATACTAACCTTTTCCACAGGAGGAGGCTGTGCCCGAAAGTCTGAAGAACATCCTGCTCGTGATGTCCAGCAGCGGATATCTTGTTCCTCCAAGTCAAGACCCCGAGCACGAAAAGTTGTGGGTAGAAACTTGGAAGCGTATTGACCGCTTTCTTCCTGATCTTAAGAAAGATCTCGACTTAGAAGCACCGAAAGAAGCCGAGAAACCGTTAGTTCCTCTGTCGCCTTCAGCGACCGAGGCAAAACCAGAAGATGTGGTAGCGTCTGTGTCATAGATAAGTGCAATCACCAGTGTATAAGAGATAGGTAAAAAAGCAAATTTGGGAATTTAGGTTTGAGATAGGGGGCTGCTGCAAGGTGCTTTGGGACTCTGGCTGCTAGGTAGAGGGACCCAAACCATTTGGTTCTTGTTTCATAGAAGGAAGCATAGCCAGAGATTGTGTGAAAATTGGTCTTTATCAAGATGAGCACACAGGACATTTGTATAGATCATGGTGGTGGTGGATAATAGACGAGCTTGGGGATACTATGAATTAAATTCTGTGCAATTTCACCCCGACGCCTCCGCTAAAGACTCTACACATCAAGGTAGCTCGTTGGAATTCAACTGTGACAGTACTCATTCCGCCATTCCAAGTCGAAAAGAAAAGTGTAGATCTCAGCTCTGCCTTCATCAACGGTCACGTTCTTCACGTACAACCTGTTTTGAACATTCAAATTCAGCGTTCGTGCAGAGGGTCCACCACATGGAGACCATCCACTTTCCGGCCACTCAGGCTGGCTCTGTGTCAAATTCCATTCAGTTAATCCATATGTTGGACCCTCAATGGTCGCCTTGAAGGCCGGTATAGGGCTGTCGACTTGTCATCTGTTAATAACCCCCACGGGAACGATGGAAGGAGAACCTTACAAGCGGGATAGTAGACTGCGAAATTTGTCGTCGCGTTGACATTTTTTGAGATGTTGATGAGGCCAGTGATCTTTGGGGCCTTGTTATAGGTTAGTAAATGGTCATGCCAGGAAAGTAAGAATGACTTACCACTATGCGGTACTGATGGGTTGTGGGATAGTCGTGCGCTATAGAGACTTGGCATATCTTTCGAAGAGCAGAAGCTGGGTATGTGGGATCGCCTGACTGTACTGAGGAAATCGTTAGTTGCTAGAACAGACATTTTCTACCTACTGTAGTATCCAACCAAAGTAATCGGCATTTCATTCTTGTAGAATGGAATGAAAGAAAACATAGCAGAAGCATACCAGCAAATCCATCAGTGGATAGAATCAGCCTATTTGTTTTTCAGTATAAATGTGTTTCTTGGTTGCGGGCAAGACGGTATAACTACTTCGTGCGATCAGGAGACAGCCGAGCTGCAATTGACCCGGCGGGACAGCCAGTTCCAGCATACGTAATAGAAGTGAGTGTGAAGTTTTCTGGGGGTGGGGTAAGAGCTGAAATGCATTTCAGGAAAATCAAAGTGTATATTAAGAAATAATGAACCATCTTGGAAAGATCAAGTATGTTGAGGACTATGGTCTTGAGCTTGAATTTGGAAAACGAAGTTTTGCTACGTTGCTTATGTATCAATGGGAAGGTTCCATCCCCAACGTAAATATAAATAGAAATACTTTTTTTAAGCAGGCAAAGTATGGCTTCGGATCTATATGCGAAGTAATTACATATAACCAAATCTCGAATTGGTAGTGGTTCACAGGCAATGCGTCTTGGCAATATCAAACACAACTTAGCATAAACAGGAAGTCCCTGTCGCTCACCGTGAGGATATTTGCTCTGTAGGCAGCAGCGACTTAAGAGGTTGTGACATGAAAGCAGAAACCTTGAGATACTTGAACAGATGTACTGAGGACAATCATACGAGAGAAAGCATGTAGTACCTAAGGTAGGTAGTCGCAGTCCTCGAGGCGAGGGAGTGGAGGGAGAAATAGCGGGGCCAATCACAGCCAATGAGAGCCTCAACACTCGCGACCCTCAATTTCTACAAACAACCCCGAGGCTGAAGCTTTAAAGCTGCCTTGTAAATTCATACACAACTTCAACATGGCATCAAATCCTCCACCAAGCGCAACGTGCGTGTCATTGCACTCCGACACGTACATTGCACTGGCTAATATATGCATAGGGTATACGCGCGCAATCTCGAAGAACGCATAAAAGTCGAGCAGCTCAAGGAATCACTCCGTGAACTCTTTGCGGAATATGGCACTATTATCGACATCGTCGCGAAGACGAACTTGAAAGCCAAAGGACAGGCCTTTATTGTCTTTGACAGCGTAGACAGCGCGCAAAAAGCGATTGATGAAGTGCAGGGTTTTGAGCTTTTTGGAAAAGAGATGGAACTCGCCTTTGCGAAAACGAGAAGTGATGCTACGGTCAAGAGACAGGGTGGCGAGGAGGAACTAGAGAGTCACAAGAGGAGAAGATTGGCCGAGAAAGGTACTTGCAATTATCTCGTAGATAAAGTTGCTATGCTAATCCGGTCAATAGACAAGAAAAAGGCAGCAGAACAAGCCGAATCCCAGAAGCTTCTCAAGCGTCCTGGCGCAGCCGCTCCAGAGGCAGCTCGACCCATCAAAGCTACGCGTGGTGCAGGTCTCAAATCGTCGAATCCGTCTGGTGGTGCCGTTATTCCTGACGAATACTTACCTCCTAACAAAATTCTGTTCGTCCAGAATCTACCTGATGAGTATGAGGTTAATGCTTTGACTTCCATATTCGAACGGTTTGAGGGTTTCAAGGAAGTGCGTTTGGTTCCGGGACGGACGGGTATTGCATTCGTTGAGTATGAGAGCGAGGTAGGAGCTATCAGTGCCAAGGAGAATACCGCGGGGATGCCACTAGGCGCTGGGAGCCAAATCATTAAGGTTACTTACCAGAGACAGTAAGGTATGTGTATGCTCATGGCAGTTCATTAAATAGTGGCCATTGAGTAGGATGAACGATTTAAAGACTTCATCAAGCTATAGGACAATTGGGCATACCGAGCGCTACAACAAAAAGTTATATGAATCCATACCCTTGAGCGATGTCGCCTTTTCCCTGAAATGTGATCGCTAATACTACATGCTATTGCTGGCTCCCTACACTCAGGATGCTCGTTACTGAAGCTGACTGTGATGAGACTAGAAAATCACATCTGCGTCTTCATCGTCACCAAGTATATCACCACCGCCACCAGTTTCCTCATTCTCTTTATCCTTGTCCCGCTTCTCCGCGTCCTCGCGCTTCGCCCTCATCTCCGCATCCTGAATGGCAGTGTCTCTCTGCTTTTTGTTCTGTACCTTCTTCAGACGGAAGAATTCCTCTCTGTCTAATTCATCTAATTCGGAGTTGATGTCTGTACAAGAGTTAGTAACTCTTCAACCAGCTAGCATGAAGTCAAATATGCCCATACATTTGATTGTATTTTCTGTTCGAGGAATAATCACATGTTCACTATTTTCCGTTAATGTCTGCATTTAGTCTGAGAACTTTAAATACTGACATGGCGTTTACTATGATCGTTAGCATGTATCTTCGTAGACTCTCAATTGGGATTTGTCTTACCTCTTCTGTTTACAACCTTGATAACCTCATCCAAAATGACGAATGCAGTCTACTAAGTTAGCCAAGGTAAATAGACAACAAGTCAAGAGCCTCACCTGTAAACTTGCGAGTTCAACAAGAGTCTCGACTGCCCTAGCATAGGTTTCCCGGCATCTCTGTACCTGTTGTCCACCCTTTCCAAGACCAGTCAGGCCAAAATCATTGTTCCCCTCAGTTGTATAGCTTTCAAACGCCGGTAAGAATACACCCGACACGTTTTCTTGCTTCGTCCGTACTCTAAAACGTGCGGATTTTGCCGATTCTTGTACTTGATAACCAATGTCTCCCCCAACTGCATACGTAACTTCTGCCAGTGAGAACGCCGCAATTTGCATCACTCTGCCCATCTTGCGTTTTGCCTCGTCGATTCGTCGTGTAATTTCTGTAGCAGATTAGACTCTGGTCGGACATTATGATCTTGGTATGGAATACCTCGGAAACGCCTGTAGTCATCTGTTAGTTATGATCCTGTTCGCAGGATGGATGTACTACTTTGTCAAGGCTTCACTCTTTCTCTTTAGTAGATCATGACCTGTCTGAGCTCCCTTGAGCTTCGATTTCATGATACCCAAGGACTGACGAGTGGGGAAGACCGCCTCTCGATTCTACAGGTGTGATTAGTTGAGTATCTGCGTAAAAACAAGCTGCTCGACATACAGTAGCTCCTGACATGATGAAAGTCTACAATGACAATCGTAAGGAAGCACTGAAAACTCAGGTATACAAGGCTACTCCTATCAAGGAAATTGTAGTATGAAACGGCCGAAGAGTTGTTGTGAAGCTATTCCCGCCAGGCTTTACGATAAGCACTGAAGCTCCCAAAGCAATCACCATGGAGCTCCCACTACGTCGGCCGGCAGGGGCTGGTGCTACAAATCAGCCTTGGAATTGTTGCGGCCTTGCGATTGATATAAGGCAGAAACGCTAATGGAAGCGCATGATTTTCATAATCACCCGCGACTACAGACGCGCCGTTAATCCTCCCGATACCCTTTTACGTGCATTTCAGCGAAACGGCCACGAATTGTTCGCACGACTTCGAAGCAGGCAGGAAATGCCTGGTGAGCTTCTGCCCGCAATGGCAGCTCCGGTTGTCTCGAAGAGCTCGAAAGCGAAGCTGTCACGGGGAAAGCCGGACTTGTATTTAATTGTAAGCAGCAGACATATAGTAGATACCATAGAGCTAACATATTACAGTCCGAAGAAGACACGATTTACGAGCAGGATATCCTTCGCGATCCAGGGACTGTGAAGCCGTGGCTGGCATACATAGATTTCAAGTTACGACATGGTAGTCTTCATGAGCAGGCTTATGTTCTCGAGCGAGCTTGTCGACAGCTACCCCGTTCTTATAAGCTATGGAAAATGGTAGGTTCTATATTTGGAGTTCGGAGCTCTAGCTCTTCCTTGCTAACATGGTATGCAGTATTTAACTCTCCGTATGAAGCACCTAGACAAGCTCAATCCCGCGATATTCGCATCCGAATACGCCAAGGTCAATTCCCTCTTCGAAAGAGCTCTCATCCTTCTGAACAAGATGCCGCGGATCTGGGAAATGTATCTGTCATTTCTACTCCTTCAGCCAATTGTTACCCTTACGCGACGCACGTTCGATCGAGCCCTCCGCGCATTACCAATTACTCAACACAACCGAATCTGGGCGTTGTACAGACCTTTTGCGAACTCTGCTTCTGGTGAGACGGCGCTCAAAATATGGAGGAGGTACATGCAGATCCATCCGGAGGACGCAGAAGATTTCATCGAGTTGTTAATTGAGAACGAGCGGTACACCGAAGCTGTAAAGAAATACATGGAAATATTGAATAATCCTAAGTTTCGAAGCAAGAATGGAAAAGGCCACTATCAGCTCTGGAGCGAAATGGTTGATCTATTAGTCGAGCACGCGAAGGAAGTCGAAACAGGAGATGAGTCCGGAATCGACGTGGAAAGGATAATTCGAAGTGGTATCGAAAGGTTTGCCGATCAGAGGGGGAAGCTTTGGTCTGGACTAGCGACGTACTGGATTACACGAGGTAGCTTCGAAAGGGCACGCGACGTATTCGAGGAAGGTATCACAACTGTGATGACGGTGCGCGACTTCACCCTCATATTTGATTCCTACGTTGAGTTCGAAGAAGCAATTACTGGAGCCTTGATGGAGGAAGCTGCTGTACGATCGGAGAAGGGAATTGTAAATGAGAACGCCGACTTTGACTTGGATATCCGCATGATGAGATTCGAGCAATTGATGGACAGGCGGCCGTTCCTGATTAACGACGTCTTACTACGGCAAAACCCCAACAGTGTTTCAGAATGGAACGTCAGGGTTGGATTATGGGGCTCCAATAATCAGGAAGTAGTCAAGACTTACACAGATGCAATTGCAGCTATACAACCAAAGAAAGCCGTTGGACGGTTCCATGAATTATGGGCGAATTATGCGAAATTCTACGAGAAGGGTGGCGACCTGCGAAACGCTCGGACAATTATGGAAAAGGCAGTGAAGGTGCCCTTCAAGTCGGTTGCAGAGCTTGCTGATATGTGGCTCGAGTGGGCTGAGATGGAGCTCAGGAATGATAATTTTGAGGATGCGATGAAGATTATGGCGAAAGCCGTTCAGGCACCGAAACGATCAACTGTCGATTACTTTGACGAGACCCTCTCACCTCAGCAGCGAGTCCATAAGAGTTGGAAGCTATGGAGTTTCTATGTGGACTTGGTAGAGAGTGTCAGCACACTCGAGGAGACGAGGAAAATCTACGAAAGGATCTTCGAACTCCGGATTGCAACTCCACAAACGGTCGTCAATTATGCCAACCTTCTGGAAGAAAACCAGTATTACGAGGAATCTTTCAAGATCTATGAACGGGGCCTTGATTTGTTCAGCTATCCCGTTGCTTTTGAGCTATGGAACTTGTATCTTACAAAGGCTGTAGACCGCAAGATAGGCATTGAGCGTCTTCGTGATCTATTCGAGCAATCCGTCGAGGGATGTCCGCCCAAATTTGCCAAAGTTCTCTACCTTATGTATGGCAATTTAGAGGAAGAGCGCGGACTTGCACGCCATGCTATGCGTATCTACGAACGAGCGACTCGTGCTGTATCCGACGAGGACAGGGCCGATATGTTCAATTTCTACATCACCAAATCAGCATCCAATTTCGGGCTTCCATCCACGCGGCCTATTTACGAGCGAGCCATTGCTGCGCTTCCGGACAAAGATGCTCGTGACATGTGTCTAAAGTTCGCAGACATGGAGAAAAGACTTGGAGAAATCGATCGTGCGAGGGCTATCTACGGCCACGCCTCGCAATTCTGCGATCCTCGAACAAGCCCTGCCTTCTGGTCGAAATGGGAACAGTTCGAAGTCCAGCATGGAAACGAAGATACTTTCAAAGAAATGTTACGTATCAAGCGAAGCGTCCAGGCACAGTACAACACTGACGTCAATTTTATTGCTAGTCAGGCGCTTGCCAGGGCTAAGGAGGTCGCAGCTGGTGCTGGTGAGGACGGCGACGAGGACGGAAGCGCCGACGCGATGGCTGCTCTGGAGCGCGAGGCCAGAGCGCCTGTCGGCTTCGTGGCAGCTAGCTCGGGGCCTCAGAAAGGTAACATGGCACCACAGAGCTCTGTTATTGAGGCGAATCCGGAGGCTATTGATTTGGATGACGATTAAACTCAAGCCAAACCATGGCTGACCGACTAAACACTCTACAAAAAAAACGATGAAGGGAGATAGTGCACAAAATTCCGGCGGAGTAAGATAGTGCATAAATAGGCGTTTTCCTTGGGTTCGATTTGGAAATCGCTTCGCATATATGGGATAGGACTGGGATTTTCTTACTTTTAAGTGGAAGAAATGGCGTTCATTGGGAAGGACCTGGCATGTAAATGCCCTCAAAGTCTCGTACGATAGTTATCTCGCCTCCTTTGGGTGTAAATGTAACACTTGTTTGAAGCCTTCTCGTGCTTTCAAGCTATCAAGCTGATTCCCATTCTACACGTTCTTGGGTGGTTTGTCGAGTCGCTGTGTCTAAAACGAGCTACTTTGCTGTCCTAGAAATTGAACTCTATGGAATTGTAAGATACCTGCTTTGTTGCGAGAAGACTCCCGTCCAGATTGTTCTACTTGGATCTTCAAAATACTTCGCGACTATTGAGTAACTGTTGAGCAAGAGTTCAATATTAGCACAGCCGACTTTCAGCTATGATGTACTATAGCCCTCTCGGAAACAATGAGAACAGTCTTGCACTGTCTCGGATACGTTCGAAACATAACTCAGCCAAGTCAGTATCGATCTTATAACACCTTTCTTGATTTCCGTGTAGTTTCAACACTCCTTCACCGAAGAACTAAGGAACCAGATCACAGAGAGCATGGCTAGCGATTACGCTTTACAGTCCAAGCAGATGTAATTTGGTTGAATATTATCGCTAAATTTTTCAACCTTTCAGGCGCGACTAAAAATACATAACAAGCGCCTTGTAGAATATTTCTTCAAATCGAAGCTTTACTTCCCCTTCGATCCTTCTTCCCCCACCCTTTCTCAGCCAACTTCTCATGATACGCATGATCCCGATCATGATTCCGATCTACATGCCCATCTCTTGAATTCGGGGTTGCATAGATACTGCCTTTGCGTTGCTGAAACCTTGATGGTGGTGTCTTACTCGCATCTAGACTCTCAATGTCAAAGCACGCCTCTTTGACATCTCGCTTCTGCGTGCCCCATTCATCACCGGTCTCTCCAGAGTACCGTCTCCCAGAGGAACTCGCTGGGCTTGCTGGCGGACTCGCGCTGCTGTCCTTGGCTATGAGATGGCCTTTCGCGTCGACTGTGGGCGGGAATTCGGGTTTGCGTAGTGCGGCGAATGGGTCGGGTGCTGGACTTGAAGGTTTCCAGAATCTGGTGCTCATAGCTGGGGACGCAAATGTTAGTTCAAAAGTTGCCCTATATCTTGTCACGGAGCAGTGCCGCAAAGTTCTTCGTGATGGATTGCCAAGAGCGTACAAGTCCCCAGCCAAGAAGGAGTACATGGGAAATGTAGCAACAACTCACTGTGTTGGGTTTTTGTGGCAGCCATGATAGCGTCTCAGTATCTTCTGGTCCGATTGATATCGAGGCCTTTGATGCAATGTTCAGAATTATTGAGACCTGATACTATGATATTCAATCGTACTTGTAGTAACCGCTTGAACAAATGCACCGAAAGCTCCTCAATAAATCAACGATACTCGCTTTGATAACGATGTATATAGATGTGCGAAGTAAGACGAGTGCAGCAAATTACGTGGAAGATGTTGAACAGAAGGATCACACTCGCAGTTTGTACAATAAATATGTTGATACGTCAGGAGGAAAAAACGTACAAGTACAACACGGGATATCACAAACCCAGCGGAGATGTGCAACAGGTTTATATTTCTCAGACAAATTTCCTTTCTTTGCAACAAGGCCGGAAGTTTCGGGGTGGGCATCATTGCCAATTTTTCAAGAGGCTGTGCGTCTGGTTGTTAGCAAATTTATGAGTGGAAAGGAGATCTCTAAGATATGCCCAGCCTTGGGAATTGCTCGTCGTCAGTGGTTGAAAGCTTGATATGATACGGATAAGCGAATCACAGGGAGGGAGCTACACACTTCTTCTGAGGTGTTTTTTGCGAATTAATATAGCTCAATAGTACTCACTAGGCCGATATCTGGTGGTGTGCTATTTGATTTACACGGCATTTAGAGGTGATGTGAGTGGCGAAAAGGATGTACTGTCTGTCTATCTTCTTCATCCTGTGCGAACACGAAACAGGAGCTAATTTAGATAACCATCTACATGGGATTTGAGATCTGGTAACATGACGTCTGCGAAGAGTTTTGATACTGCAAAAGCAAGATTAGTCTCCAAGTGCTTTCTTGAGTTCTTGGCTCCTGCACTGCCGGAACAAGTGGAGAGCTTGAGCTTGAGCACAGGCCAGATGAGGTTTTGCCATCCCATTTCATATCTTCTTCAGATGCAATTTAAGTTTTGGTGTATCTCAAACCAAGATGCGTGGAAACTCAATTCGTAAGCTCTTGTCAATATACAAAACTACGACGAGCCCGACTAATAATAAGTGGATATTAAAGGTAGCTTTTGGAAGCAGTCACCGAACCGCTTCGCTAAATCTCGCTTCAGAGCACTGAACCCCTGAATCCACATCAGAACAAAACAATTGGCTTCAAGAATACAAGCAGACGTTTTTCTCCATCAAAACATCAGCGATTTCAAAACTTACCCGTCGAAATTGAGATGGAGAACTGGGACAAATAGGATACCGTCTTCCGGGATTGATACGTCAATTGTCTAAGTGATGTCTCAGACGAAAAACATTTCACACCGCGTACAACAGCGCTCTTTTCACCAACAAGTACCTCATCACAGCCTGTTATACCCCAAGTACCAGCGGTTACCAGACACCAACCGGGTTTTCGCATACTGATTGGTATAAAATGGACTCGGTGTCTGATCGTAACGTACATTAAGCATTTCTCCAAACATATTAAACACTACACCGGATTTGTCCCAGTTTTGCAAAGGTTGGAGAATACCAACAATCACTTCTCGCTTATGTTGAGGTCAAATTGGAAACAACTGCTTGCAACACGCCTCAAAATATACAGTAGTCAACTAACGAAATGCAGGAAGGTTGTTGGGATGGAGTCACGTTGTACAGGCAACGAAGTAGGTATACGGCATAGTCTTCATGACGTATTGAGACATCTTCATCACTTGTCCTACTCGGCTCTCCATAACCGTTTCGTTCTTCAATCTAGTGGTTGAGATACAAGGCAGAAGGAAGTTTCTCATCTCCTTCGATTGGCAAGGTTCGACTCGATTATCTTTTGTGGCTTTGACAATCTACTTCACCGTTGTGCTGTCTGCATGTGTGCGACTCGACAGATAGACGTATTATTCGCTTGAGCCTTGTTGGATTGGGTTCCCAACAATGTGACAATGCCAGTCACAACACATGTTGGCATGTTTGCAAAGACCCCGGCTTCGTCCTTTTGTATGGTCTCTTTACGAGCGTTCCTCTCAGGAAGATTAGTCAATCATTAGAGCTCTTTTCTTGTACGATATATTGAACAAGCACTAGTGAAGCGCAGTCACGATGAAAGCTTAGTCGAGGGATATAAGCTTTTAGTGGGGACGACTACAGACTCGTAAGACTTGTTGGGACGAATCCTTTTTTAGTCATGAAATCTGGATGTTTTTTGGAGATACCAAGAGTCTGACAAATCTTCCTGCCTATTCCACTTCATTAGAACTATAATAGAAATTGTCTAAAGCAGAACAATTTAGTGCAATAAATTAAAAGAAAACATTCATTTTTCTCAAACGTTATCTTTTGCCGATTGAACCAATAGCGGCCCTCGTGCCTGCTAAAGACCATTCTTCATTGGAGTGAGGTGTAGCAAGCTACTCTAAATACCAAAAGAGCAATTTATTTAATGTCAGACAGATCGTTTATAATCGTATCATAATAACGCAGAAGTATAGGACTTACTCTGGTACCCTCACAACCAGCAACTAGACATGCTATTACCTGCCTCACAAACAAGCAGTTGGTCAACCAACCAATAAGACGAGCAGTCAATACTCGTATCAAGGAAGGCGTGTGTTACACACACCCGCCTCACACGGGCCTGAAGATCTCATAGGCGCCAAGCACTAACAGCATTTATACAACGGTTATAATGCGTCTTCGCATATGCAAAGGCCTCATTATGCACCCGCCTATACACCGCATTCAAGTCCATTACAGTTGGTTATCAACTGCTACATAACCCTCGAGGAGCCAGCCTCGTCCGCGTTGGAACTCCTCGGTGAGTCCTTGATTCCACTCCCCGCCATTGGCTACTTCGCGAGCTACGTTTGGGCATTGATGTATTATAAGAGATTAGATCCTGAGTGCTGGGAATTGCAAAGTCACATCACTGGATCGAAGCTACGAGTCGAGTGGGAGACACCGGGTGTTTCTGCACCGCTTCGGAGACGAGTGTTCCAGTAAGAACGCGTCCTGGGACGCGCGCATACGGACCTTTTCCTCGTCGTCATCTCCTTGAAATCTCACCAACTCACCAATCTGTCAAGGGATTTGGGATATATCTCCGAGACTGCCTGGGTTGCGGGCCGATATAACCATACTTGAAAAGAGAAGCAGACACGAACACGATTGGAGGAACATTCCCTGATCTTACGAGCCTCGTAAACGTGATTCTCGGTCCGTTCTGGAGTTTCGCCGATCCACTGTCGTTAGAATGCCTCGGTGGGTACCCTTAGTCAGACTTACTAAAACTGGTGAAAGAGCTGGGCAAGGTGAGATGAGTGAGAATGGTGGCTGACTGTTCCGGAAGCGAGGGCCAGGAACAGAGCCTCATTTGGAAGATGTATGATAAGGTTCTAGAAACGGGATACGACGCTCAAGTAGGGCTTTGTTGAGGTTACATCGGTGGCGATGATAAGTGCTTCTGAGAGCTTATGATCCTGTATGTTGTATGCATTTTAACTTAGTCATTGCTGTTGATAAACAGTAATTCTGATATTGGAGTGACTAAGTCGGAACTTCCTGTAAGGATGCTCTGGAAGGCGTTTAAGACAATGAGGAATGAGTCGGCTTGATCAAGCAGTTGGGCAGTGAATGAGACCGAAATGCGAACCATGCGAAATACGTTGAAGTCTGACATTTTTAAGCATACAGACGATTGAATGTTACTAGTAGCAGACTAGTGCATATGAGACATACCCTAATTCAAATTTGTTGTTACAACTGGGTACAATTGCAAGTGTCACAAGTTTCTAGCTGTGTTGTAGAGACACTTCGTCTAAAAATGCCATAGATGAATGTTGCCATCCGTTCATGATAATTATGCAAGTCCCATATCTACAACCAGTTTGGCTCCAGTGACTGATATCTGTACTAACTCCAAGATAATATAACAATAACAACAACAATTCACATTTCCATCTCGTCTCCACTACCCTCGTCATCTCTCCCTCTTTCTCGATCTCTGGCATCACAGGATATCTGTAGAGCATACAGTAAAGCTCTCGTCTCTAAGCTTTTCGCCAGACCTGCAATAACACCGTCGTCTCTATGATGTTGTTGTGCCTGCTGCTTGTATGCCCACTCCCTCAGACATCTCAATCCTATTACCACTTCTCTGCCTAGTGCACCGGTCTCTTCTTCTTCTTGATCCCGCCAGGAGGGTAGGGAGTTCGTGTCTGTCGAGTTCTGTCTCGAATTGCCCACACTCCACGCTTTGGAAGCTTTCATACATCCATCTTCGTCTCTCCACTCCCTAAAGTGCTTCAACGTCCCCACCCCACCCCATTCGCGTCCACCTGCTTCTCCGAAATTACCGAGCATCACCACCGCTTTGGATATCTCCTCTGATTCTCTACACGCAGTCGATACAACGCTCATCCATGTATGTCTCGATACCGCATATGATGCTGAAGTGGGTGGGATTGTTGCTGTACAGAATCTCTCAAAAGCTTCCGCCTCTCTGTTCCCAGTTACCATCTGACCGCCAGCCTGTCTTTCTGTAATCTGTACAGGATGCTGCCTCAGACCTTCATCTCGATAGCCTCTTTCTGGCGCGGGTGCAGGATATAATTTCGGCATTGGTCTGTCGCTCCCGGACAAACGTGGACTCGAGCTTGATCCATCTCGGGCATACGCTCTGTTACTTTCAATGACGGGACTTACACCTCCAGAAGGAGACTTTGGGACCAGAACTCGAGAGCCAGATGTAGGGGAGCCCGAAGAAGGTTTCGTAGGGTTTTTGTTGATGTAGCCATCGCATTGGTGACCGAATTTCACACAGCGAAGACATGCTGGTTTAGTTTCATCGCATTTTACTCTTCGAATTCTATTTCCCCGTTCGTTAGCATTTTCAGAATTTAATATAGAGACATCTGTACGCAAGGTGGGGTAGGTGGGGTCCATACTTGCAAGTCTGACATCCAGTCTTTACCTTGGGCTTGCTGGCTCGCGTCTTGCGAACCTTGACTTCCCCGCTGTTCTCAGTCCTATCGCCCATATTTCCGCACTTGTAACCAGAAAAGTCGAAGATTCAATGCTCGATAATGACCAAAGGGGGTTCAATTATTGAACCGAATGTCCTGTGAGAAAAGGTCGACTTTCCCTCCCTTCAAATAAAAGCAAATCGTGACCCCCAACGTAATCGTATTCAGCAAGCCAACATAAGCGACAAATCGAAGACTGGATGGGCAGGATGCAGTGCTTATAATTGAATATTACCACGTCAAACAATGCAGAATGCCAAGAGATCGCGAGTCAACAGGACGAGGTGGAGTAGTGAGGCGCGACTTCTTAGAAAAGTAATTGTATACGACGAGGGGGTGGAGGTGGTGGGCTGGGAGAAAAGCGTCTGATATACCCTTTCTAGCCAACAGCGCGAGCGAACAAGCGGAAGCAAAACTTACGAAATTTCATCGTACGTATCAACCAACCCAGTTCCCCGTACGGAGTCTGCAAGGCAAGTGCAGTGCAGTGCAGTGCAAGCTCCAAGTCATAACGAACAGCAAAAGTGTATGTAAATTGGAGACTTCAAAGCGGGTACTCGAATATCTCTCACAAACAACAAACCAACAGGAGATTTTTCACTTGGGCCACGATCCTTGCGGGCCAGGGTGTGGAGGAGACGTCGTAAAGCAGATTCCAAGGATCTTACGACCAAGCAAGACAGAACGGACAGAAGAGGACGGCAGATCACCATTTACCACACTTTACCACACTTCGATAGACGCTTGGTAAACTCAACCCTACCAGTGCCCCTGCTCTGGAGTCTGTAATTTGTTAGTGTCACCGTTTGCTCCAGCAGACCGGGGGGACTTATCATCTTGTACTGGACTCCGTACTCGAGTAACCTGCAGAATGCGGTTATATGATACACCCGCGCGCCCCTCCCCGCGTTGTCGGGTCAGAGTCTCAGAGAGGTCAGCACAGCAGAGAAGCGACGGTGTCAGAGCTACGAATGAGTACCTTTGCCTGTGAGCAGGAGGAGCTCGCTCTCGCGCTCACTCTCGCGCTCACTCTCACACATGTCGCATCTTTTAGCCATTCACAGGAGGCTTCTCGAACAAATCCTTCCACTAGCACTAACCCCACCGCATCCTCAAACGCCGTCTGACAGGTTCCTTCGTACAGGTAGCTCTCCCGTAATCATTCTTGCACACCCACGCTTTGTCAGGCTGCAGGCAGGTAGGTCCAGCGTCAACGCCGTCCAGGACTCCAGGCAAGACTCGATAGTCCATGAGGGACTCCACTCCTCCGCTCACCAGCATGGCCGTTGACCCCAGGGCTGGAATCTTCAGAGGACCACACCACGTTATCTGCTCCATCTGGCAATTGGCGGTGGCCGGCCACTGGCAGACGAGCGCGGTGACCACACACACAGCAGTCGCGCAGGAGTCTTGAGCCTATTCGAGCGATACTTGTTGTCCAGCTTAGCCACGCTCTGGCCAGCGTCCCGGGATGGTACGGTAGGGCGGTATGGCGGTATGGCGGTATGGCGGTATGGCGGACTGGTTACGGGGGAACCTACAGGAGGAGACTCAGAGAGCAGGTCAGTTCAAACAAACGAGTAAGCGCTTACTATTCGCTGGGCCGGCTGCCACCATGGTTGGAAGTCGCACGACAGGCCGATCTACTCGTATACAATTCAGAACGCTGGTGACTGGCGACACCAGCTCGAAGCAGACAAGTGCGACTCGTTCAGTCTGTACGCACGGTGCGCCGCCTGGTGCATGTTGGAGGGGGATTACGAGCAGTAGGAGACTCTAACTCGAGCCTAACCACAGCCTAACCACACACGGTAAGAGGACGGAAGGACAGTCACATCCGAGCAGGGTTAAGCGACGAACCTTGACCGAGTGACCTAGCCTCCTAGCCCTTCCCCTTCGTGCACTTCGTGCCCCTCACGCCCATGTCCAGAGCTCCATGGAGTCGTGCCAGCAGCCCACCTCCACGAGAGCCTCACCGAGTGAAGCGAGCAGCAGAATCTGAAGGAAGTATGAGAGGTTAATTGTGGAGATAATTAGATCAGAAAAGTGCCCAGGTCGGCGACGATGGCAATCCTAGAGCGTAACAAGTCAGAATGCAATTTGGACTCGGCAATGGGGTCACCACCTCCGTATGGTAAGACGAAGTGCTCATTCTTGTCGGGATTCTGGCGTCTCTGGTTAGGACGGAGTAAATATGCATGTACAGGGCCAAGTACATGCGTCTATAGCACTATATCATCATCAAACGCTGCAAGAAACCGGCAAAGGAAAGGCCAAAAAAACCAACAACAACGCGAAGGAGCCAACAGAAACCATTTTGCAATTGTATTTAGAGCCACAGACGGCGCGGAGGAGATACAAACGCAAATCGTGCCGTGAAGTATAAGTCATCGTTTAAAGAGCGCTCTTCTAAATAAAGATATCAAATTCTTTATTATTTGACGGAGTATCACTCCATCTGTCAGCAAAATCCTCGCTTCCCAAGGTTTTTTTGGGAAGTGACCGTGCCGCCTTCATCATCTCTGCGTAGCTCGTAAGGTCGTAAGTTCGGTCATGGTAAGCAATGCAAGCCCCGTTTGAGATCAGATTGCCGTACCGTGTAAGTCCAAGTCACCGATCGCCCGCACCTCCTCTATGTCAGCTGGTTTACAAACACATCTGTACTTTGCCCTGAAATCCCTCGTAGGAAGTCCCTTCAAAATCTCCAGAGCCTTCTTTGCTGCTGCAACTTTAGCATAGCGACCACTCTCGGCTCGGCCCTCCGCAACAACTGTCTCATGAACGATGACAACTGCCGCAGTCTTTGGCTTGCTCCCATCAATAGAAGGTATGTCTTTTCCAATAATAGCCCAGTCCATACAGCCCATGCTGACCTGGAGAAAATTAGTCAAAAAGGTGGTGGGCTGCTTATTGGCGTAGGTGTCGTAGATACTCATATCCTTGAAGTACCATTTGACGTGAGCATCGAAAAATCCTTCTACTTCCGAGTAGTTGTACTCAGAGTCAACAAACATGGCCCCGACGTAGGCTTCTACAATATCTGGCAAGCACTTTGGCGGCGGCCGAACAGAGATCCAGTAGTCCGGAGAATAATCCTCACGAGCTTTGCCAGCACGTTGTGCCTCATCCTGTGCCTGGGTTTTGGCTTCGGTGATTTCCGTAACATAGTCACTGATCTGTTTTTGAAAGGCAGTATTGAAGATCAGTAAATGCGTATGGAAACCAAGCTCGACGCAGAGACAACCCAAAAACTGATTTGACACCATTGCCATCTTATGCTCGGTGAGCCACTGAGGGTCCTTTCCAGGATATTGATGAAACAGAAAGTTGATACAAGCCATATCTAAGAGAGCGTCCCCGAGAAACTCTAGACGCTGATAGCTAGGGATTTTCTCGTAAGAATATGGGTAAGAAGGGTGGATAAACGCCGATCGGAGCAGTCGTGGCCAGCGAAAGTGGTAAGGATGCGCGTGCTCGACTTGTCGGGCAAGGTCTCGTTGCATTTCAGTTGCAACCTTCGTTTGGAACTCTGGTTTTCGATAAAGCTTGTAATAGTCGGACCATGAAGTGACGCTATGATTCTCGCTACAAACAAGTTCAGTGACGGCTCTGACTGCGTTGTCCATATTTTTAGGATCATTTGTAGACAGTAGAGCTGCACCGATGAGAGCCTCGCATACATCTGCTATTGTCTTATCCCCAAGCGCGTGGCTCTTTATTACACTGATCTTTTTCCCCCTTCTTTCCGCTTTCAGTACTAACCCCTCAGGATACCAAGCATCACGACTGAACGTTTGAGATCGTATGTATTCGTAGAGTCTGAGTTTGATTGCATTGCTGCATAGGTTTTTGTTGCAAATCAACATCATGCGGTCGACGTGGTACGCATATTCATCATGATCGGGATGGGTACCGTATAAAGAGATCGAGGTTGCCATCTTCAAAAAGCAATCTCCTAGAAACTCTAATCGCTCATAGTTATTGCCCATGCCGTGCTGAAAATTGATCTTCTTCTCATCATGATCGCCGGAGTTATCAGAATCCTTAGTAACAGCCTCTAAAGCAAGATCGGGACGAATATTCAACTTAAGCAGCTCACAGGCCTCAAGAGCGACGAGGTATGCTTCGATTCGGTGGATGATGGAGGGAAACAAATAGGCCATCGAGACGACTTTAGCAGGTAGCTGGGAGAGTTAGTCATGATCTCAAAGGGACGATTGTAGAACTTACGGCAGATATTTTGAGAATCTCGAAAATAAGAAAGCAACGTGTCGCCGTTTTCTTCTCCGTTGTCTCCCTCTCATCCAGCATATTTCGATTCAACGGGATAAGTTCCGCCTCGAAAACTCGCTGATTGGGATCGAGGGTTACCTGATGTTTCTTCCACAGACTCTTACTGTATTCCATAATATTTTCCGCCTTTTTTTGTTTGTCACGTTTCCGAGGGGCACAATTATCTGGGACCGGATCGAGAGGTTTGTACTGAGGAGCGACTCCTTTGCACCAGAACTTGCGTGAGCCCTCGTAAACATCAACAATGTACTTGTCTTTGAAGAATTCATCCGGTTCATTCTGCCAGAATTTGAATTCATTCACTCTTTTAGTTTGGAATTGAAGCTGATATTGGTGCACTTCTGTGAGGATTTCGCAGTCTAATATGTTGGAAGGATCTCCGTCATGGTTTAAAATACCATCTTCCTTCAGGGGTGCCAGGAAATAAGGCATTTTCGAGGTATCGGACTCGAAGGGTTTACTGAAAATATCTTCGAACACGCACAGCGTAAACGAGTTGATTTGCGTGAGTAGTTCTGAAGACACCTTGAGCGGCTTGGAAAGCGGGTTACATTGAACATAGGAGTGTTTTCCACCACCAAAGTGAAGGGGGAATGAAGGAAGAGCTGGCATGGGTGATCTGGCAAGAAGAACGAGAGGCTGTGACTGGCGGCCGAGAGATTCTGGGCTATTGAGTCGTAGAACCGACACGAAAAGTTCATCGGCTATTTCTCCAGAGGACCATAGCTTTGGTTTAGTTCTCATGTCGTACTTTTCCCGTTTTTTGGAGTCAACTGCCAGTAAGGCATTGCGCATCACGGGTAGTTGTTTTGTATATATTGGGAGCAAAAACTCGTCGAGGTACTTTCCTTTGATGAGAAGGAGACAGGTCTCGAATGCTGCAGAGCATTTCGCAACTTGCTTTGTTGAAGCTGGACGACCAACAACTCCTCTTATTGGTGATTCTTCCGGAAGAACAACTTCACCAATGAATTGCTTGTTCTGAACCGTAATCACGTACTCAGCGTGTAGGTTCATATCTGGTCCATGAGGAAGGGAGTCCACGAAGTTGGCAAGAACCCTTAAGCTCGACTTATATGTTAGTTTTGCGCCGGTCTTTGGGTGGACAAAATTTCGATGCGTTCTTTCTTTGGCCAGGAAATGGTCCATGTTAAAGTCGTTACCTGTAAGCTTACGATCCTCGGGTAACTGGTTACAGAAATTCTTCAGTATGCCCTCGTTAAGGCGAACTTCGCGTATAGTCTTTTGGTGATCCCAATTTCCAGACTCAATCATGTGAATGTACCGAGAATTTTGATGTCGAGCACGCCCTCGGGACTGGATGTACTGAATAAGGGTATCATACAAATCAAAGCGGATAATTAGATTGCAGTCTGGAATGTCGAGGCCTTCCTCTGCAACGGATGTAGCTATAAGACAGTTCAGGAGGCCCTTTCGAAATTTCATCATTGTCACCACCTGTTCTCGAAACGAAGAGTTGACATCTCCAGCCTCACTTACTCGAGTACCAACTAGTACACCCACAAATAAGTAAGGTGTGCGGATGTTATTGTGAGAAAGTAATTGGTAGAGCACACGAGCAGTGAACCGTTGCTTCACAAAAATGATACACTTGTCATCCGTCGGACGTTCAAAGCGTTCTCTCAGATATGAAACAAGGATAGAAACTTTTGATGACAGATTTTTGGACACACATGTGTGGCTCTCGAAATCCTTGTAGTCTGGTGGTTCGAAGACGTGCGACTTGACAACAGCTTGTAACATTTCTAGGTTTGCTTGTTGTTGGTGCAGCACTTCCAAAGGAGTATTCTTCCGCTCTAGATACTTTCGTTCGGTCTTCGCCTTGAGCTTTTTGAACTCTTGATCTTCGGTGCAAAATCGCCACAACTCGTCAGAGCACCAAGAGCCCAACTCTCGTGTGGCTTCACCCGCAAATAGGAGGAGTTTCTTGAGGACCTTACTATCTTTCAGGTGAGTATTCACTTGGCTCAGCAGTGGCGTCTCAAATTTGGGGCGGAGCGGCGCATATGCTACGACCTCCTCTTGCATTGACGAGGCGGCATGTTGCAAAAGACTAGTATCCGCCGCGGTAGCAATCTCACAGTTCAATAGGGCCTCGAGTTCAGCGGCGGCTTTCTTGGGGTCAACTCGAGCATCCACGGGCGAAGCTGTCATCCCAAAGACTTTTGGCAGTGTAGATGTTTTGGGTGTCTGGAAATAGAAATCTTTGATGATTCGGGCATAGGGGTGGTCTTTTTTGGCGTGATGAGCTTCGTCAAAGATGAGGAGATTGATTCTATCCATTGATATATAGGAGTGGTGGAGACATTGACGCAGGACCTCTGCGGTGCAAACAATGACCATGTTCTTCTGAAAGTTCTCCTCCCAACGTGCTCTTTTCCACGAGTTCGTGCCCATGTCACCACAGAATATATCCATCGGCTGGCTGAGGTTGGCCTTGAGAACAGCATGCTGTTGAAAGAGCAGTGTTACCGAGTCGACGATAAAGAAGGCAACACGTTTCGGTTTCCCTATAGCTCGGTCTTCGAGCTCTTGGGCAAGGATATGCCGCAAAAGGAGCACGGCGATCAAGGTTTTGCCGGATCCCGTGTCTAAGACTGCGATTATATTCTTCTCCTTTGCTCTCTCAAAGAGCTCGTGCTGATATTCGCGAGGTGTAGAAATGATTTCGCGGTTTTCGTATTGGTTGACGAGCCATTTAGTAGACTGACTCCCTTCTTCCTCTGCGCTCACCTTGATGTCCTTGGAAGGGTTCCGGATCGATTCCTGAACCCAACTGTCAGCAATGGCATGGAGCCTCCGCTTTCTCTCTGTCAGCTTTCTTGGCCCTGTTGTTGGATGATCATCTTCCTCCTCCTCATCATCATCTTCAGAAGAATGTTCTCCATCATCTTGGGTTGTCAATTCGGTGGCAACTTTCTGATCCTTCTCCGAGGCAGGGTTGTTCAATGTTAGGAATGCATTGGGCTCAGTAGGAGCGGCGGTAGTATCTCCTGTGCTGGCAGCATCTTTGGGATGGTGAAGCTGACGCTTTAAATCAGCAATAACATCTACGGTCGATCTCTGAGGAAGGATAGGGTTGAAAGGGTGCGGAGTTGGAGTAGTGTCCATCGGCAGATCCATTCTCGGAAGCGACTGGAAGTTTTCAGATGAGCCTTCGAACGGATTCTTGTCCTTTGGAAGACTGGCAAGGTTCGTGATATTGTTGAGAGATTGAGGAATCAAAATTGTTGAAGGTGAAGGGAAGCGCAGTTTGTCGACGAAGGTGTCCAGAAGAGAAGAGATTTCGGATTGGAATGACTCAGAGAGATGATTGTCGAAACTTATCAGGGAGTGAATTTCTCGTTCGCTGCCTATGCTGTGAAGGGAACCGACATTGTAGTCAACAGAAGCCGTGATGTATTCGTTGCTTTCATGAGCTGAGCTGATCTCGGGAGCATCAATTTGTTTCAGCTGCTCTAGAGTCACTTGAGATATATCAATCGAAGTCCATGATAGTAACGGTAATTTTGAGTTGCTGTTATTAATTAGTGCTGTTTCTTGGTCAAGTATTGGTAGCAAACAATCATCGGTCAACAAGCAGAGATCCTGCAAGTAACCGTCCCGTGTCATGTTGGAGTAGACATTGAATAGATCGGGGAATAAAAGAAAGGGATTTGATGTACGTGTACACAGGTTGAACGTCGTTATTGTGTTTTACCTCGTTGCATTCCGCAATCAGATGGTGGCAGGTCTTGAGCTGGCGGAGACTGATAGAGAGATGGAAGTGGGGGAGAAGACGCGAAGGAAAAGGTTCAATCGCGTGGCGCATCGTGATGTCTCGGGACCTTGCAGCCCCACCAAAGCTGTCTTGAGCTCCAGACCTTCTCTTACCACGACATATTTCGCAACCGAATCAACCTCCACGAATCTCATTACGGATCACTAAGAAATGGCAGAACAAAGCATTAAGTCGCTCTTCAACTCTGCTGAAAGTCAGAGAAAGGCTATCGAGTCCTCTTGGGACAGCAATACAGCGGAGTATCAACAGAACCTCTTCGCCGCCATCGAAACATATTCCGAATGTCTGAAGGTCGCCGATCGACTGTCACTCTTCAGTCCAAATGAGACGCTCGAAGATCTAGTCTCTGGTGATCTCCAGTACGTTTTTTAAGCTATGATGCACCGGAATATATTCTGATCAACTCAGATACCTCCTCATCAACTACCATCTCGCCGGGTTAATCCTACGAGTTTCCAGCCAAGACCGCAAATCTACCCTCCAAACTGCTCGAACTCTTTACGAAAAATACCTTGGACAGCTGGATCAATATGGAATACTCAACGAACAAGATAAGAAGCTGTATGATAGGTATTTAGAAGAGCCTAGTTCCTTTTCTACGATCGCCACATCAGATCCAAATGCGCGGCGGAATACCAAAATTGCAAACTTTAAGCAGGAAAAGGAACTCAAAAAGAAGCTCGAGGTACGATGCGATATAGCACTTGTGGGTGGATGGTTGGAGGGGTTTACTAATCGATCCTCAGTTTCTCGCTCAAAACCCAGCCTATCTTGAAAATGACGAAGACGCTGTCCGTGAACTCCAACTTACGAATATAAATCTTTGCACTCACTCCACTTTCCAATCCCTCGAATCATTAAATCTCGAGGTTGAGATTCTAGCCATGGCCCCTCCGACTCCGCCTACGGGCCCCGAACAGCTTGAGCGAGATTACCGCGAACGGATGGGCATACGAGGAAAAGATGCGGACTATTCCGACAAGCTCGATCGTCGAAATGTCTTATCATCAGCTAATAAAGGCCCAATTCTGAGCTCAGCGGGAAAGCCACTTAGACCTTTCACATTACTGGAAAGTAGGCAAACGATTAAGGACGGGGTGTTCAAAGCTGGCCATAATCTGCCGACGATGACTATCGATGAGTACTTAGAAGAAGAAAGAGCAAGAGGTGGCATTATCGAGGGCGGTGGGGAAGCGAGTGGGAGGTCACCTACACCGGATGAGGATAATTATGTAAAGGGGGACGAGGAGACTTTGAAGGCTCGAGAGTGGGATGAATATGTCGAGCAGAATCCGAAGTAAGTCTGCAGATGTTTACCTCAGTGGAAAAAGCTAATCATTACAGGGGCTCTGGAAATACCTTAAATAGGGGTTGATTAATTGTATACTTATAAAGAACCTTCCTTCGGGTTCACACAGGCGTTTCAGTCTTCTTCCTATATTTATTGCCGACGCTATACTCATGGAAATATTGGCAGCGATTAGCATAGACTAGATGTCTTCAAAGCCAAATCTCAAAAATGCCCTCGCCAAGGCCACTCCCCCATGAAATCTGTTGCGGACAGTCGAACCATCTTGCCGAACCTAATAGACATTGTGTAAGTTCTTTGCCCAGCACTAAATCCTTCCAACATCATGATTCGAAATTCCCTTCGGTGATTGCTATCAAAGTATTGTACAAATCCACACTAGTCTTTATCTTTTGTGACTAACGTGCCATCTGCAGACTATTCGATGAATATGTCGCGAATTCCGACATCTTTAGAATGTCATCTCTTGTTACCTTCTACCATGTCCTTCCAACGCTGTCTTATCGGCGTATCCTCGACATTAAACAGCCCCCTGTGCCAAGGCTTAACGTCAATCCAGCTCTCGTTGCTGGCCCGAAAAATGTCGTCGCCGATATCTAGGACTTCTTCCACCACCTTCATCCAGTCATGATACAACTTATCATCTTCCTGAAACCGTCCCAAGGGATGAATGACTGCGATGACACTGGCAACGAATCTGCGGAGCTGGTTATGCTTCCTCTCCCCCTCGTATTTCATATCCTCGTATTTAGTTGACTTGGGTGAAGTGATCCAATATATATCTCGAGCTTGGTCTGGTGTAGGCCAAAGCGTATTCCGTATTGCCACTTCTTCCCAGCAATCATAGCGCAGTTGTTCGATGCAGAAATTCTGGAAAGACGGACTTCCTAACATCTCTCCTAACATCCATAACCGTGGAGTGTGTAGCACTTTCTCCGCTACAGGGTAGAGTTCTGCCGCAGCGTCTGTCAATTATCCCGAATACAACCACGATAGATAATTGACGAAATCCGCGCGCTTGATGTTTGAGAGAGTGATTTTGTCTCGAGGGATTGATTGTGACGGTGTTGCAGAAACACTGCTTCGGGTGGATGATAATAAAGGAATACGATGTAGCTCGTCTCCAAAGATTTCTACATCCTCCCACCTCCTGACTTGTAACGGCTCTTGTTTTATGTTCGGGGTTGGCAAGGCGCTTCCGCATTGACGTGGTGAAGCTGGCGATTGGCGTTGCCTGCGGTCGAGCAAACGTTCTGCAAAAAATGTGGAATTCAGAATCAGCAGATCTGAGCAAACATGGAATTCTTCTCCCTCGACAATAACAACCATGGTTGCGCGGCTGCCAATCAAAACACTAATTTCTCAACACGTCAGCGCACTCTCAACTATGCGGGAGCCACAGGACTTCCTATAAGATTGAGCAGGAAATTGTGGGAACGAACCTAGTGGTGACCTCTACATGCTCCTTCAGTCGTTCTTCATTCGTGCAATCCGCAGAGGTGGCATGTTGAAAGCCAGGACACTGACAGTGGATGCCGATGTTCTCTGCGTTGGGCAATGCAATATAGGACCCCGCCGCGTCAGTTTTCTTACGCTTTCGTCCTCTAGTCATATTTTATTCGAGTCGTAATTATAGGGTTGGCGAGGCTGATGGGGTCAATGACTAGGTAGATATCAGCTTTGTTTTGTTTATACTAGACATTGTCAAATACCTCGGGAGAATGTGGCGACGAGCTGGTAATGCGGAAAAGTGGCAGAATCGAAGCGACTCAAGAGCGCATTTCGATCTGTCTAGCTGTTGACCGTCGTCTGCTCAAAGAACTTTCATCTCAGTGTTCCTTCCTCAGAACATTCACGCGGCCCAACCTAGTTGAATGGGCTACTTCACTGCACCGATTTTCGTCAAATATCCACTTCTCAAAAGATGGTGCATGTTCTACCTCTGAGTCTCAAACTCTGGGAAGTCTTCAGTGGAAACAACTCGTCCGTTTATTTATTGGACTAGAAAAGCAGGTTGCTTTCATCAGTGTTTTGCAAGTATGGGAGAACCATTTACGCCAAGCTTCGCTTACTGAACCCACAAATGCCCCCTTCAGATTTCTCGAAGCCTGTACCTCTATATGTTTACAGTATGTGGATTTCATACTCTTTTCACTACATCTCTGCTCTACTTGTTCTTGAAACTGTATAAAGCATTTTCTTGCCAATAATTCCGATGTTTTACGTTCGAGCTGCAACGAAGTGGTTGGTATCTCATGCTGTGGTCACTTGTGTTACACATCTTGGTAAAGACTCATTTGAATTTGGGTTTGAATCCTTCTATTTAGTAAAACATTTTATGACTTTTGGTACAGAGAATGAAACACCTCGAGGTTATGAAGAACAAGCTCAATAAATTGCAGAACCATGCAGACCAACGACCACGATATCAACACCGCTGAAAAGACCACAAACTCCAACCCAAAACTCTTTCCTTGGCCCTCTCTTTTGATCTACCTCCCATCTCGCATAAAACATCATCCAATCACCTATTTCTGAGTCATTTACAACACGAATGTAAACAAAACGAGACCGAAGAGAGCGGTGGCGCCATAGGAGATTGAGGCTCTTCCGCTGGCGTTACTAGACGGCGGGTTGGTACCTGCTGGTGGGGATGTAGCAGTAGTCGAAGGTTGAGCGGCGGTTACTGAAGGTGGTGTGATAGTACTATTTGATGGAGGAGCGGCTGCACCAGATGCTGAAGGGGAGCCAGTTGGTGCGGCAGTCGAACTTGATCCTGCTGGAACAGAGGTTGTCAAGGAAACTGCGATTGAAGAAGAACTTCCACCAGTTTGAGTTGCTTCGGCAGTAGCGGCCGTTGCTCTCCAAGTCGTGGGAATTACATTGGCTGGTAGAATGCCGTTCAATGGCTCGGCGAAATTGTCGCTGCAAGACGAGTCGAGTGCGTCAAGTAAAATAGGATACAAGCTGTAGTTCATGCACGCTGTCCACTCATCCGCATCTGCTTGGGTTGCCGTGTTGCAGTATGTAGCGCAACCCTCGTCATTTCCACTCCATCCTTCCTGTCCACAACAAGTGATAAAAGCAGTTTGTACTTGCAGGTTGGCTTCTTGATTGGCGATGAGACACACATTTGACCCCAAGATAGGGTCAAGTGCAAGTTCGCTGGCTGGTTGAGAGCAAGTAGTCATTTTGAGGATATTGGGCTTGGATGGTGGTGAGATGAGGATGCGAGTTAGGTAGTGAAGGATGTTTAAGCTTGAGGATGGTGGATTTCTTTGACGAAGGCGAGGAACCTGACCTTTATACTTCTACATCCACATATCTCAACAAGCTTGCCATGATAGAATCTCTGATGGGACAATACCGGTACGGCGAAGTTGAGGCGGAGTGGCGTGCCCTGGGCTGTCAAAATGGCGACACAACTCGACGAAACACCAACAAATGCGTTATGTTGGGGCAATTTTAGATCAACACAGCTTTTGATCGCTGGGAGGTCATTATGAGGGTCAACATGCAGCTTATTTGTTGGCGAGCCGGGCATCATCGCCACGATCCTTTCGCGAGCCAACCAACAACAAACCTATTAACGTATATTCTGCCTCGAATGAAAATAAGTTCAATGCAGATAGCACGTATTATTTGTGGATTGACAGTTTGTTTTCTTTAAGATTAATTGTTGTATTGGGATTCATATCCAACAAGTCGAACCAGTTCTTGCGCCATTCCAAGTTGCAGCCAAGAAGCTATTCCTGGTCTTGAGTCAAGACCCAATTTGCAGTGGCCAAATCATCACGCTCAGGTGATATATCCTGTAAGAACTCATTTTGTGCTGGACTGAGTTACAAAACACAGTAGAGGCGTCAATCAACTGACTAGAGTTGACATACAACAGTGTTTGATATCGTGTGACCCCTCGCTTAAACACGCCTCTGGGGGCCAAATTTCTAACTGTTAAGAGCAATACCATAACAATTCCATACAAATTTAATTTCTCAAGAAAGAGTTGGTTTTTCTCACAGCCAGTCAGCCAACTCACAACGACACAAGCCCAGGTTTAAGCCTCCTACTCGTCCCCCATATTTTTCAATCTCGCGGCTCCCCGTTCCCGCTCTCGCTACCGGATAGATCAGCGATATGCAAGGTCAAATAGGGCTGAGGCTCTAAGCGCACTCGTAAATATGCGTGTCTCATGATGTTTGTTACTCTTGGCGTGGCGGCGACCTTTGTTGGTGTTAGTGATCCTTCAGAAAGCGTTGGCTTGAATTGGTTGTGAGTGGATAGGATACTCGAAGACCGAAGACGTGCAAAGAAATTTTGCTGGTAGCATTTCATGCGCCGAGGACTTTTCGTAGGCTGAGCGTTTTATGTTCCAGAGTGTTAATGTACTTACGTGATCACTGAAAGAAGAGAACCACACAAAGTGTTAGTTCTTCAGACGAATTTGGCGAAGATCACAATTCGGTGTTCTTTCAAAAGTACTAGGTATGTTATGGCGCAACTCTAGAAGCTAGCTCATTCGAGTCTTACCATGTACATATGAACAACAAGCGAGGTTTGTTAAAGTTGTTGCAGGAGTGAAGACACAACCACAGCCAATAGCGACCATTACTTCGATGCTATAACAAGCCGCAGCATATCTTGGCTGTTGGGAGGATTTTCGTTATGTTGGTTGAATGCAAAGCCTGGGTAGATTCATCATGGTTGATAGCTCTCGCTTAAGCTGTCGAAAGCAACATGTTGAAAGCTAGATTGGCAGTGGCTGGAGTTCCGTGAAACCATAGGATCCGTTGTGCATTACAATCATTTTTTCAAACAGAGTAAAGCCGTTGATCAGAAAGGAGACAACAAGTATGTCCACCCTCCATAACATATTACTTCTCACAAGTTCAGACCGTGAGTAAGGCTCTGAGACACCCTTCGAATGCCGAAAGACATGTCAAAATTCCAATAGCCAGCCATGAAATTAGTTTGGGTGCTGGATTCAGAGAAAGAGTCTCAAGAATGACTTCTAGATGAGCAAATTTGGTTGGGTATTAATGTGGTAATTATATAGGAGGTGAAAATTTTCTCTCCTGGAAGGCCAACTGTAGGGCAGGATTTTGAAACAACTTCCAGAAAGCTAATGGCTAGTGTTGTCATTACACTTTCGTACACAGCCTTGACCTATTCCTATACTAAAGCTACCAAAAACAGCAATCCGACGACAGCCAAAGCGCCGAACGAAGCACGCGACTTCGACATGGTGGCCCCAGAAGCTGTACTACTTGGTGCCGCCGCGCTGGTGCCAGTGGAAGCGAATGATCCAGTTAAAGCGGAAGTTGCAGTACTTTGTGGAGCGGCAGTATTTGGTGTGCCAGTCGAAGAAACTCCAGTGTTAACAGGCCCGGTGCCCGTCAAAATAGGTATAGAGCCAGTGGTGCTGGCCTCAAAATCGCTGTTGTCGTATTCTGACAATACGCTGATGTACGCACTAGAAGCTTCTGACCAGTACGAAGAATCGAAAGTGACAGTAGTGACTGCTCCCCTTCCCTGTTCCGAGAGAGTTGCTGTCACGGCTTCAGATGGCCATGGCCAGGTGGTTGCAATCTTACCAGTTGGCTTTCCTGTTCTTGTAGTTGTTGCTGTTCCATTGAAGATTTGTGGGTCTTGAAGGTAACCTTCGTTCAGGAATATGCTAATACCCAGTTTGTCAACAAGACAATTCGACAAATACACGGCATCCGATGCGGTCTCGACACCACAGTAGACAAAGCAGCCGTCTTCTGACTCGAAGGTGTTTGCCGCTGTACAGCATGTGCTCAGTGCCATCTTGACAGGTGTGTTTGTTTTCAAGTTTGGAAAGGCGCAAACATCAAAAGACTTATCATTGACGAAACTTTGGATTGGCGGACAAGATGAGGATGCCATTATGACGGATTGTTTGCTCCAAAAGACTTTGATTTGTTCCACTTGTATAGGACTGAGTTGATTTGGAGAGCAGAAAAAGTAGATGCAATGATATTAATGTGTTTTGGTGGAAAACAGAGCCGGTAGAGACAGTTGGGTCGCAATTGAGACCTGTGGAATCAGAAAAGATTCGCACAAGATCGCGGGATTCTCATAGATATAAAAGGGGTTCTGAGATCGCGATTTGCAACTCCGTAAGCAGCCAAGACTCCAAATACGGCACAGCTGGGGCCACCGGGAAATTCCCCACGGGGCAACGGGACTGTTACCTACCGAGAACAAATAATTGCTCGATGTATGATTCGGCCTTCTTCATGATGAGTTAACTCCTGTCTGGTAGTAAGAACCTGGTACGTCGTGCATAGCCCTATATGGTGCTTTCACAGCCTAGTCTGTAAAAGTTTACACTGAATAGTACTAGTTTAGAGGCACCGTACTCTGTAAAAATTTGCCCTAAACAGTACTAGTTTTGTAGACTAGGCTTTGAAAGTACTATACAGGGCTATGCGCGACGTAGCAGGTACTTACTACCGACAGGAGTTAAAGAACCATCTGAGCGCTGGTTTTCGACAAAGCAAAGGGCTGACCAGCACTGAACTTATCGAGGAGCAGTTGGTTTCGTCTGTCCGGTGAGGTTCGCTTCAGTTCGCAGGTTCCCTAAACCACCCAACTCTGGTAAATTGCCCGATGAAAACTCGTACCACAATCGGAAAATTGCAGTGCGAGTCGCTCTTTCGGGCAGAAAATTGATACACTGAAAGTACTCCTGTCGAGATGCGCTAGTAATTCGTATACAAAAAGCGTTCCGAGAATGATATTCGCCTATACGGGCAACTCTAGAGAAATTGAACATGTCACCAGTGTCAAAATCATTCATGAGTATCAGCCCGGCGCGAAAAGGTCGACATAGGCAGTAGAAACTCGTCCAGTAATAGCCTTTCTTACTGTTATCTGATTAGCCAACATAGACAGCAAAGTTTTAAAACAATTGGAAGGTATTTTAGAGCTGGAAAATGTTGGCATATTGCTGTCTTCGCCAAAGAAACACTCTTGCAATAAATGAGTGCTCCCAAATAGCAGACACGAGCTACCTAGGCATTGATTAGCTATAACCTTCAAAGCTTATTAGACTTACAATCATCCGGAGTTATTCATTACCATAGTTCCTTCAGTAATTTGGCTTCGACTATCAAATATAAATCTGTCCGACGCACAACAGGTAAGCCGCCTCAAACCGGCATGTTTTATTGCACACCGCAAATCTTCACCATCTCCCATGACATCTTTGGTGAGACCTCTGGTTGGCTTCTGTGGAATCTGCATGCTCCTCAATATAGTTTGTATCTCCCAAGGATTGGTTGTAGACGTTCAAGCTGTTTGTTTGTTGCAAATCGCAGATATGCAGGAAAATCGTGCATGAAGCCACTTTCGGGGTTGTGGTTGGACGAGGAAAGTGCATCCTTGTAGAAGGTCACTGAGCTTGTTTGGGTGGATGAGTCGGATTATGTGACGAGCACCTGTGGCCATAGTGGTGGATTGAAAGGGAACAGTTCTCAATCGTATTAAAATGGATCACAGAAGTATTTATGATGTGATTTAAGGTTGAATTAAACTCCCAAACTAGAACTACAGTAGCTTCATGAAGCTGCTTGTCGGGTGCACGGGCCACTTGCACTGGTCATTTGAAGCTCTTTCGACGACAACACTTCTTCCCAAATATTATATCCTCCTCATAAAATCAAAGTACAGAACCTGCGAAACAAACAACCTCCTTCCCTGCATAAAAAACAGGAAGCTTCCGAAACCCTTGAAATCTCCTTCTCAGCTCTAATTATTTTGGCTCCCACTTTGGCTCTTCTTCAAGGCTTCGTCCTTCTTCTTCCTCTGGGTCTCTTTCCTCCATTTTTGGGCATGGCCATTATAGATCCATCGACTACCAACTGCAAAGCAGAGCGAGAAAGTGAAAATGACCCACTGCAAACCGAGAAGCGTCACACCTGTCTGGATTTCCAATATCCCCTGCCCATTATCGCCAACCCACTGCAAGGCATCAGCAGCTTGTTGACTTCCTGCTGCAGTGGAAATTGCCAACGCGACACCAGTCCACATGACTGCCAAAAAGACTTTCTTGTTGAATTTGTGAGTCTTGTATTCACGTCTCCGAGTTCGAAGTATTTGGATGTATATGAGGCCACAAAAGGCTAGACAGAAGAAGACATAGGAGGCAAGCACAACGTTGGTGAACACGTTCCTTTGGATATGTGCGGTCAGGTCATAGAGCGTGACGGTGCTCAGATCCTTGTAGTGAAGAAACAATTTAGACAGATCCGTTCCGTCTTTGCCGTGCGTGCCCATGCAATTCCTATCAACAGAAGGGCTCGAAGTACACATTCCTACCGGCTGGTGTCAGTTTATCAGTTCACTTAATAGATAGGAGAAGGGGCGCATACCAAAGTAGCCAATTCCGACGGAAACGTCACTCGCGAGGTATGTAGCCTCCGTGATGTTGACAATTTTCCGCACAACAGACTCTTGTTTGTTATGAACACGGACGAGGTACAGATTTGACATCCCAGGCGTGTTGGTCGAACTTCCGGCTAAGATTATTCCGTAAAGGATGATGACGATAACTCCAAGGCCATATATCACATACGGAATGTACGCTTTGACGAAATCGATAAACCAGTCTAACTTAGATACCTTCTCGTCTTCGGAATTTCCATCGCTGCGTGTGTTGCCATGACTAGGCCCATCCCCTCTACCAGGGTAATTCATTCTTCCGTTTGAAGAAATTCCTCTCTCGGTGGATACAAACTGGCTTCTGCGGTTAATCTCGTTGCCTCCGTGTGGGTTGTTAGAAGGGTCTTTGGCGCCCCAAGCCTCACTGTTTTCAGAGCGGTCCGGTTGACGGATAACTTCGTGCCGGGGAGAACCGTCTTCTTCTTCTCCGAAAGAGTCGCCGTTATTGAGAGGGTTTTGGGTTTGATATCTGTCGTTTTCCGTATCCTCTTGGTGGCTTCCTTCGTCGTCGTATTCAGACATGTTTCAGTAATTCGAACCCTCCTGACACACCAGCACCAGCAGGTATATATACCTCAAAACCACAGACTCAACTTACTTCATCACTCTGGAAGCAATCAACATAGATTAAAGCCAAAAAAAAGAAAGACGAATAATGACACAAGCCACTACAAACACTCAATCCAATCCGAGTTTGGAACCTCAACTTCATCCCAGAGCATCAACTATATTTCAGAGAGCAATCGCAAACACAACCACGAAACCATTTTGCTTTCAGGAAAGCTTGATTAGAAAGGCTCATATTACCGAGCTCTGGTGATTGCCAAATGTTAAATTGTGAGAACGATATTTGAGTCATGTTTCTTCATTTGTCGGCAAGCCTATAAACGATAATACGACAAACACTTGATTTCAGAATGAGTCGTACAGACTAGGAATTTGTGCGAATTTGTAGGGCATTATACAATGTTAGTCACCGCATCATAGATATTTAGTCAATGTTACTCAGTCGGGTGAGATTTTCTGATCAAGCGTCTAGTCAGTATCTGGTGGGTACGGCAAGAGCAAAAATCTCACAGTAACTTATGTTGCATTGCCTATAGACAGATATTCTAATATCTCAGCCCATTCCAAGGCCAGAAGAACCATCTAAGCATATCCATTAGCCTTCAACCACTCCAGCACAACCTCAGCATCCCTCTCCTTATACGCAGCTCTCGTCAAGATCGTATCCTTAATAACTCCCAGTGTACGATCATATCCACGATTATCCTTGCCCTCGAAGAACTTTGCAATTTCCTGTTCCATCTCTCTGGAATCGAACTTGGACAAACTAGTCTTCAGGAAGCGATCTAGAACAACCATGTTCTTCGACAGAGAATCGTAGATGGCTTGGAAGTTGTCTTGGATGTATTGCCAGAATGCTGCTCGGGTTTTGGGGTTAGCAGCGAGTGCCATACCTGCTGTATGCTTGTCTTGAGTTGCGACTTCCTCGAATACGAAGTCTAGATAATCTGGAAGCAGGTCGAGGCTTTGAAGACGTCCCATGGCTCGCAGAGCGATTTCTTTTCCATCGACGGAGAGGGTTGTTTGCCACTCCTTTTTCAGGGCATGATATTCCGGAGCATCCCCAAGGCGCATGGCGATACCAAAAATAGCAGCACGAAGATTAGAGTTGATAGCAGACTTGTCAGACCCACTTGTGTAGAGCTCAAAGCGCTTTTTGGCCTCGGAAATAATCCTGATAACGGTGTTAGGGAATAATTCAGATGAACAAGAGGAAATAAATCTTAGTGGAGACTTACTTTTCGTGGCCATTCAAACCGGCACTGATAACGAGTAGCGAGCGTAGACGTGTTGTGAGAAAGTCATCATCAGGCTTTTGCTCGATGCCAATTCTTTCTACAGCAGGTGTAATCAACTTGAGCGTGAATTTTTGCAAGCCCGCATGGATCTCCTGATTATCAGAAAATATTGACTTGACAGTTCCTAGAGAATCTAATATCTGCGACCAAACCAAATAGTCTGTTTCCGACTGGAGACCCTCAGCAAAAGCCAATAGTCCTGAAGTTGTGGCCTGTCCCGAAAGAGCCAACGCGCCAGCATCACCGACCAAACCTGGGCATGATGAGTGGACAAACTTTAAGTATTGGAGCAGTCGAACATACCAATTTTGTCCATAGTGCTCAGCTGGTCAATTTGAGAGCCCAATTTAGCCAATCTAGCTGGAGGATAGTTGACACGGTAGAAACCCGCATTATCTTTGTTGATCTTGTAGAATGTATCATCAATGTCTCTAATGGTATCCTCTTTTTGCGTAAGTGCAATCGAGGTCGTACCTTTCGTCCCTGTTTTACCTTGAAGCCCTAGAGGAACCCACCAAGTCGTCGTATCCTCATCTGGCTTCACATCGCCTGTGGAAAGATATCTCGATTGCTTAATTCCAATTTGTCCTGGTTCTTCGGCTACTGTGAGTACAGGGAAACCGATTTTACGGACCCAAGGATCAATCAAGCTGTTAATGTCTTGGCCCGAAGCTTCACTTAGTGCTGACCACTGGAGATTATAAGCTGAGAAACAACGTTCGGCTCCACATCTTTGACAAGCGTGATAAGCTGGTGATATGAAGATCACTTACCAAGTCATTTGTGGTAGCATTGCCGTAAGCATGAGCTTTCAGGTAATTGGATACACCTTTCAGGAAAGTTTCCTGGCCGAGGTGGGTGGCAAGCATACGAATAGTAGAGCTACCTTTCAAGTAACTAATTGCATCAAAGACTTGGTCGACATCTAGGCCGTCCCGAACGGGTACTTCTATTGGGTGGGAGCTGCGGAGAGAGTCCAATGTGAAAGCAGTTTGCATGCCTTCCGAGACAAATTGCGACCACTTGAATTGTTAGCAAGATTGTCGTGGCGACAACTCCTAGAGTACATACGACGTTCCATTCCGGATGAATTTTATCTGTAGCCAACCAACCAACCCAAGTAGCGAACCCTTCATTCAGCCATAGCTCGCTCCACCAGTCCATGGTCACAAGATTTCCAAACCACTGGTGGGCTAGTTCGTGTGCAACTACGTAGGCAATTCTGTTTTTGTATTTTGAGTCAGATGTTTTCTCGTCAAATAGAACTGCTGTTGTCCTGTAGGTTACCAGACCCCAGCCCTCTGTAAAATTATCAGCAATTGTTAAAGCTCCGTGAAAGTGAATAGTAGTACGAACCCATTGCACCGTGAGACTATTTTAGAACGTTAGCTCTAACTCTAAGTGCCCGGGGAAAAACTGGTGTGAAGATGGTTGACTAAACACAAGCGAGAGATACGTACAAATTCGTGAACAGCCAGTAGATCAGACTTGGGAAGAGGGTATTCGATATCAAAGATCTCAGAGAAGTAATCAATGATTTGAGGAGCGTGATCAAGAGCATACTGAGCTTGACTCTTCAGTCCTCGGGTAGTATAAACTCGAACCGGCAAGTGTTTGCCCTTATACTTTCTCTTGGTGAAGTCTTCAATATACTCGAAATCACCGACAGCCCATGTGAGTAGATACGTGCTCATGACGGGAGTTCTGTCGAAGGAGACGACCTTGAAGCCGTCCTTGGATTTTCGGGTGCCCTTCTCGGGCATGTTACTCAAAGCAACTTGATCGTCTGGCAGCTCGATTTCAAAATCAAAGGTAGCTTTGAGATTGGGCTCATCGAAGCACGGGAAAGCTCTACGAGCGTCACAACTCTCGAATTGGGTAGAAAACATGACATGGTCTTCTCCATCTTTAGCCACCGATGGTGCTGGGGCAACAGTGGGCTTGTATTTAGAGCGGTAAAACCCTGCCATATCATTGTTAATGGTTCCCTGAAATTTGATCACCAGGTTTGCGTTTTCAGCAACAGGAATTTCATCCGCAAAGGCGAGTGTTGCACGTTGCTTTGCTGAATCGTAGGAAGTACCCGTGGACTTGAAAGACTTATCTCCAGACAGAAGCTCTGCACTGTGAATTTTGATCTCATGTGTATTCAACGTGATATCCTTAGAAGGCTTCACAATTTTCGAGAGAATGTTCACGGTTCCCTGGTAGCCAAAGGCACCTCCCATCTCAAGGTCGTGGATGGAAATATCATAATTGATGGCTTTGATATTGTCAGGGAGAATTTCCCGGTCAGCCACATCGGATGGAGGCATGGTCGAGAGGGCGCGACTTGATGTTGGAGACAAGTTCTGTGATCTTGAAGAAGTGGGAGTCCTGTAAAGAGTGGAAATAACAGAGTTGATAGAAGGTGCTCGACGACAGTGCGGGGTGTATAGACGAAACGCAGTCGGCTTGCGATGAGTGCTTGGTGAGAATGGTCGTAGATGAGGACGGGGGAAAAGATTCCCTCTGGCAATACAAACGGCGTTGGTTGATCCGAATTTCATAGATATATCTCGTGGATGCTCGAGACTGACCGAGATGCCAGTAGTAGTAGTGGCGGCCAATCTTCCAACCGACCATTATTTAGCTGCTCGCCCAAGTGGCAGGTGGTCGGCTCGGGGCGTCAGGGTCGGGCATTTTGGGAAGGTCGGAGGCCTCGGACGGGTGCTGGCGAGAATGCGGAGCCGCTGCTAGCCGATTGGAGAGCAGATGACAAGGCTGTCGATGATTGGCTTTCGTTTTTCAGGCACGAAGAAGGCTGATCTGATCCCAGTTGACCGGCTGAGAACAAGACTGAGCCCAAGACTGACAAGCAAATGACCCATACACCCACTTCAACACCACTTAGATCTATAACAATGGCGGCAGGTCAAAAGCTGTATCCTCGGGCAACGGTGAAGAAAATTGTGAAGGCACACTCGAACCGCAATGTCTCTAAGAACGTGGACGTCTTGGTACGTCGAGACGCGTCCTGCACCTGGAACGACTGTTGACGCGACTAGATATTCCTCGACTATGCCCTGTTTCTACAAACGTACGCAATCGACTCTACAGCTCTGCGGCTCTAACTAAGTAGCCAGCTGTTATCCAACAAGGCTAATAGCTCCATAGTTTGATGAAGGAGGCCACGATCAATGCCAAACAAGCGGGAGAGCGCGGCGTCAGCGCGAAGAGTGTAAAGAAGGTGACAGAGGTTAGTATTCGCCGTGCCTGACTTCAAAAGACAAGTACTGAGTCTCGTGCAATAGTTGTCTCTAGCAAAATTCAAAGGATGAACCGTCCTCATCTGTTTCTGTGCGAATCGTTGCAAACCGTCAACACAAAGAACATTATCCAAACAAAACATTGAGCAGGTGAGACAGGAACAGGATAGATGCTTGATTGGGTAACAGGCTGTTGAACGCTCGCGACCATCAATATTTGCAGTACTAGATCCCAAGGCCGCTGTCTTCAAGTTGGGATGTGAAGGGCCAAAAGCTCCATGGCCGGCGAGGCTGAGGTTGTTGTGACAGGGGGCTTCGTTGAGGTAACAGGAGGTCCGTCGTATAGGAGCGCATGCAATTGCAATCGCTACCTCGGTCGAATCGTTGAAATTCCAGATAGACATATATGTATGTGAAATAAGCAAACTGCCATAAAGACCACCTGCACCTGAGAGTCTCCCTGAAAGTTTTGCGTTTGTTCCTTGACCTCTTCAGGCTTCCTTGTGCTTCTGCCGACTTCGCTTAGACCACTTCGACCTACTTCAAAATATTTGTCCACACCCTCACCTCCAACCATAATACAAAACAAACTCATTTTTCCCTAAAATCCTAATCCATCACCGTTTCTATAAACGAGTATCCGACTACTCAACACACATCCCGCGTAAATACCTAAGCAAAGAACCACGCACGGCTCTAACAGAGTCCTGAACACAAGCTCCACGAATTTGCGAACTCTACGAATTCCTACTCCTAACAACAAAATGGCTGCTCCTGCGACTCAAAACCCACAAGTCAAGTCCGAGTCTAAATCTGCGAAGAAGAAGAAGGCCAAGGTTGCAACCACTGATGCTGAACCAGCTGCCGCACCGGCAGCTGAGCAAGCTACCAATGGGCCCACTGAAAGCAGCAGCGGAGATGGTTCCTACGAGAGTCCATACATCAAGGAATTATACAAGTGAGTAGATCGAAAAAATATGTTTACCGCAACCGACTTGGTATGCATAAGGCAGTGGGAACTAACGTGAGTCAGAAACATCCGCAACATAAACAAAAAGATCGTAAGTCCCTCTACCAAGCTTAGCAAACCCACGATCTAACTCGTGAATCAAAGGCCAATGCTTCTAAAGTTGACGGTATCGTTGCTGAAAATGCTGATAAAACCCTTGACCAATTGGTCGCAGAGCGCAAAATCAATGCCGACCAGAAGGCGCAAATTCTAAAGAAGCCTGGTCTCGCACAGCAACTCCAACAGTACGAAGAGCAGATTGCGCATTTCAAGAAATTTGATCAAGAATACAAGGCTGCGTCGCAGGCAGAGAAGGCAGCATTCGAGAAGACTCATACAGATCGTGCGAGCAAGGAGCTGGAAGAAGCTGTCAGTTCAGCAAAGGCCGAGGGCGCGAGTGCAGCACGCGAAGCACAAGAGAGCAATCTTTTGCTGCTTTCGCAGTTCCTGCGACTTGCTGCTATTCGCAGAGGGGAAGATGAGGATCCTGAATTAGAGGAAAACAAGGCTTTGGAAGGCTTGCTTGGAAGAGTCTATACTGGTGATGCTGCTGCCGTTTCTTCGATGCTCAGTCTCATCAATGGCTCCGACGAGAAAATATATTCCGTCAATGGCGACCCATTGTCCGTTTCATGTAAGATTCCCCCAAACTCACGACGGCAAGTAGCTAATATGCCCTGTTATAGTTGCGGATATCAAGCGTATTGCACTTGCTCAAGCTGCCCCCTCTACTCTTGAGAGCGCCGCCGACCCATCAGAGGAGGAACCCACTGCTGTTACGGATTACCCTGTTCAGAGTGACCCAACAATTGCAAATGCTGGCCTCACAGAAATTGACGAACCCTCTGCCACCGCTGCTCCTGTCAATGGCACCAGCACTGCCAATGAGATTGAAGGTATTCCACAAAACTCCGGTTTCGGTGGAGAGGGAAATGCTGCTGCTAAGGAGAACTGGGATGCTCAAAATGATCTCTCTACCTCTCAGGAGTGGGTAGAGGTGCCGCGAGATGCTGCCGAGACCGACACTGGCGTTACTGCTACTCCGGCTGCCGCAACCAATACGCAGAGCTGGGCTGATGATCAGCCAGAGAGCCCTACTCAAGTAAGTGAAATCTATTACCATGCAATCATGGATGTTTAATTGCTAACTAAATATCTTTAGACAACTGCAGCCCCTCCAGCCACCGAAGACGACGGTTTCCAGAACGTGCCACAACGATCACGCGGACGTGGTGACCGTGGACAAGGAGGACAATACCGTGGCAACCGTGGTCGTGGCGAGTATCGTGGCCGCGGACGTGGTGATGGACGAGGAAGAGGCGGTCGTGGAGGTCCTCGAGGAGGTCCACGACGTGGAGGTGAAGAATCATAGATCATGATATCTCACCCATTATCGCTTGGGAACACCCAATTCTGAAACGTCACACTTGTAATATTTCCTTGCTTTGTTTGCAGCATCATACGGCGGGCGAACGGGTTAGTTATGGCATTGCATTTTGTGTTTTATGAAGGCTGGATAGCCGGGCTACTCTCATCGCATGGGGAAAAAAGAGCGTTGCGTATATTACGTCCCCCTTTGTATGTTTGTCGTACCTTTGTACTTTTTCTTACATCTAAAAAGGAAGAAGAAAAAGATGATTGGAATGGACGGCTTGGTGTTACAGTATATCAGAAGTTGGCTTTAGAGCCTGGTCTATAAAAGTCAATGAATGATGATTGTAATACAACTGCGGGTTTTCGTGATAGCTAAACAACTTCCCTGAATGACAACTAGAATCCTCAGTCGTTAATAATTAGATTACTTTTTAAGGGTATCATCTACCTAGACCTATGAATATTAACGCTCTTATTATCAAATGGCTTATTCCACCTTTTATAACGTCTGAAACTTACCAGACCGCCCTCATTGAAATAAGTACCCATGAAGTCATCACTGCATATGAATTTGTCTTATTAGAAGAGCTTTAGAAAATCAATATGGTCTATTCAATCTCACATGTTCGAGTCACCGCTTTCGATAAATGTTTGACCGCCTTGTGTATTGCCGACCCACTGCAGAATAATTTCTTGACCCCTCCAGAAAAGACAAGTTAGGTTTCTTACAGCTAGAACGCTATTTTACCTGCAACATAGACCAATTTAGTTGTCGATTAGCACGTCATAGAACGATAAAACTTCTCAAAGTCGAAAAATTCTACATATACCCATCGTCTATAGCTGTATCCGATTCCTACCGTTGAGCGCCATCTCGAAATCTTTAAATTTGAAAACTAAATTAGCACACCCTCAGAAGAATCCTCAAAGCTATTCAAGCCAGAAAAAAATCCACGCCGCTCGATCAGTGGTTCGTCAAAATGCCACACACCAACCGCAAAAAGAAGAACGGAGGCGCAAGCCAGAAGAAAGTCGTTGTCCACACCAAACGAAAAGAAGTTCTCGATGACGAAGGATGGACCCACGTAGTCGACAAACCTCAACCCAAACCCGACGTTTCAACCACTAATTCCGAAGCGAAAGAGAAGCAAGAACTGTGGGCTATAGCTGCGGACTTTAAGATTGGAAACTCATACTATGTAGACCGAACGCTGGAGGAATATGAGGTGGAGTACTCTCGGGCGAGGAAGACGTGGGGTAAAAGCGAGGCGTGTAGACAATTGAAGATCATATTAGAGGGCAAGACTGAGGAGGAAAGAGATGTGTCGAATGTGGTTTGTTTAGGTCTGGGGAGTTTGCAGAATGCGAGAGGGGAGGGGAGGAAAGCTAGTTTCTTACAGCTTGTGGCTCTGTCGGATTTTATTGAGGCCCTAAGTGAGTCTTGCAGTCAATGAAAGTCATAAAGGGTGCTAATGATGTTTTTGTAGGCAGTCAGGAGCTCAAGGTTACCTTCCAGGACCCGGCCTTCACGGATCTTGATATTGAGTTTCTTAGCACTTTAGACTTCGCAGTCCAAACAGATCCAGATGCCTTTGAGTTGATTACTGAGAAGACTATGGTGTACGCGATACATTGTTACGCGGACATATACGAAAAGGTCGCAAGAAGGGGTGGAGGAAAAGTGATCGTATGTACGGATGTGGAAAAGTTTGGTGGACCAAGCTCGTATGTATTTTCTATCTTCCAAAAGAAGAATCAGTTCAATTTTAACATCAATATAGCAGCATTTCTGATTCTACGATCAAGATTTTGGAGGTGATGGTGGACGGGTACGAGAAAATGGAATTCCCACAGATCAGAAGCGATTTCTCGGACACCAAGATTTACTGGAGACGCTCAAGTGACTCGGCTCCGCTGATCGAGGAGGCCGAAATTGCAAGAGATGTTGAAGTTTCTACTGTGGCACAAGAGAAGAAGGAAGTTCCTGTAGAGCCTGCAAACACGCCAAGCTCTGTCGCCGCACTGGAAGAGAAAGTAGAACAACAGAACGAAAATCCTGTTGAGGCTGAAGTCACTTCTGATATCGTATCTGCACCAGAAGTTAAACTTGCGGAAGAGAATAAACCCGTTGATGAGCCGGGGGATAACCCTACCGACGTCGCTACGCCAGAAAAGGAAGTAGAGCATGAGGTGGAAAATGTCGTCGAGCTCGAGGATACGCCTCAAATTGTAAGTGCTCCAGAAGAGAGATCGGAAGAAGAGGAAGCCATTCTTGAGTCGGAGGCTACCCCTATTAACATGGCGACGCCAGACAAGAAAATAGAGCATCAGGAGGAAGACGAGGTTCTTGAGAATACACCTCATACCGTAACAGCACCAGAAGAGAAAATAGAAGAAAAAAAGAAAGCGGTTATTGAAGCGGAAAATACCGTTATTAACGTGGTTGCGCCTGAAAATAAATTAGAGTATGAAGAGAAAAATAATGTTGTGCTCGAGGAGCCATCTCAGATCGCAAGCGAACTAGAAGAGAAAGTAGAGGCAGAGAAGGAAGCTGTTGTGGAGTCTCTGGAAGCACCTCAGATCGTGCCTACACCAGAAGAAAGGGTAGAAGAAACTTTCAAGGCTACAGATGAATCAACATCAGAACCAACCGAACCAAGTCATCAAATCTCTACACCAGAAGCATCGTCATCCTCTATAGCAGAGCAGATCTCATCTCAACCAACTTCGGAGGTACCCGAATCGACTCATCAAATCCCTACACAAGAAGCATCAACATCTTCTATACCACCACAAACAACGGAGTCTCCATCTCCATCAACAAACACAGAACAATCCACAGTAGCTGATTCGCAACCGATACCAGTAACCTCGCAAATTGAGCCTGCTACCCACGAAGCTCAATCCAACCCTTCACAACCAGTACCCAAACCAGAAAATGAGATTCGAAAACAGGAAATGAATACAAAGGTATGACCTACAACGACTTGCATTCGCAGAACAGAGATCTGACGTATTTTTCACAGAAATCATTAGTCTCAGGCTGGTTAACATGGGGAGGATTATGGAATGCATTTGCTTGATATCTTCGATCCAGAACGGGGCGTATATAGGGTGTAAGGGCGTCTTTGTATATGGCATTTGATATCGCTATGGGTTCTGAGTTATGTTATGTCTACAACAAAACCTTGTAACCTCGTATCTATCAAGATCTGCGAAATAACAAGTATTTAAACCCCTAACCACATCTACTTCTACCTAACCAAGTTCCATCACACTCGTATCGTTACACCGGTACTCGAATACACACAGCAAGGCAAAAACGACGATCTTCCATATTTAGCACCCCTACTGAATTTAGCACGTCTGGTGACGAATAAGTTCCGAGACCCTAGTATATGTGCCTAGGCTGGAAAGAAGGTGTTGAGGTTAGGGATTGTCAGGGCTAAAAGGTTCAGGGTGTCACTGGTGTCGTCATGGGGGTTATGCGATGGATGTACTTCACCTCCAAAATCCTGCTTTTGTAGTAGAAGAGGAGGGAGGGTTTGTTGAGAAAGTGAATCGGTGTTGGTGAGTGAGACCTTCGAATGAGGAGAATTTGAATTTCAACTGTAGATTGATGGTGAAGTGGAGAGAGATATGGTCAAGCGTGATTCACGTGATTGATTCAACGCCACAGTATACAGTTTGAATTCATGGGTGGTGGAATTCACATACGAATTCAAAGAGAGAGGAGATGTTTATTTTTTAATTCGTGTATTATTGTCTTATTATCAACTATATACTCCATATCCATCCTTTCCATGCCGAATATCCCTATCGATTGATTTCCCGCCTATGCAAATGACATGCATTCCATTCCCATTCCATTATCCACTACCGCGCGAAACGATATGCAAATGCCAGAGAATTTTCCCATATTAAATCCTCCCACGTTTCACGGCCGTGTGCCATGTATGCCTTGTATGTCATAATCCATATGTGTAAATGCGCGATTTTGCAAGGAAACCCCGTACCTTAGTGCGTCTCTGAGAAGCGAAAAAGTGCCAGAACACGGTTCAATTTTACAAGAACGCGGCAGCGGCAACGGCGACGATGAGAGCGGCAACTTGGGAGCCGGCAACTGATGAGGCAGCGCCGGTGTATGGGAGAGGGGAGGAGGTGGCGTTGGTTTGGATTTGTCCGTCTGGGATCTGGGAGACGATGCCGCCGGTTGGGGCGGGGGCGACGGCGGTTGGGACTTGGACCTGTCCGTCACTGATCTGGGAGATTGGGGTTGCGACGGTGGTCGGGACTTGGATCTGTCCGTCGCTGATCTGAGAGATTGGGCTTGGGAGAGCAACTGGAGGGATGGAGGTTGGTGCTTGGATCTGTCCGTCACCGATTTGGGTGATTGGGGCAACGGCGGAGGTGGCTTGTGGTTGTCCATCGCTGATCTGGGAGATTGGTGCGGAAGCAGCAGTTGAGACTTGAGGTTGTCCATCACCGATTTGGGAAGCAGCACCAGTGGTAGATCCAGTGCTTGATCCAGAGCATGGGAGAATGTCGAGGTAGATTGGGTTACACTGAGCAGCCCAATGTCTATCGTAGAGGTTGTAGAAACCACCGCTGTAGCATTGGTAGAAGACAGCAGATCCACCGAGAGCCAATGAGCCATTGCCACAAGACGACCATCCAGCAGTGTAGATGGCACCGGTCTGAGCTGGCTTGTCGAACTGGAATTGGTAGTTGGCGGCAATGTAACCTGTACGACCTTGGGAGTCGGTGAGGACACCATCGGCGAGGTCGACAGTGAGGACACCTTCAGAACCGCATGAGTTTTGACGCTGATTAATATGTTAGTGACAAGTCCGATATATGGAAAGTGAGTTCACATACCTTAGCGTTGGATGAGCTGGTGGTCACATTGACGGCCTGGATCTGGAAAGATCCAGAGTGTGAAGGTGAGCATCCCTGAGGAGCAGATGTCTCTGGAGAAATGTTCTCGGTAACACCTTGTGGACGAGCATAGGCGACAGCAGCCAAAGCGGCGAGAGCGAATGTGGTATGCATCTTGAATAGAATAGCGAATGTAAATTAACGAAGAAGGATGAAGAGATGTGCGAGTAGATGAGGTTGATTATTAGAAGATTGATAGCGAATGACAATCTTTCTGGGAGGGAGGGAGGACAAAAAGGAAGTTTAAGTGTCTCACGAGGTGAAAGCTAAATAGCAGAATGAAGGAGGCAGGAGAGCTTATGTAGTGTGCAAAGGGCTAAACTACCAACCCAGCCCACCGAATCCACCATCCACCCGTGGAGCAGAGAGCACTCGATGGTTCACTAACGACCTGTCGCGTTGGTTACTGTGGCATCCATGCATTCTGCTATCTTTCCCTGCGTGTGGAGCTAGGGCTAGTTTGGTATTTAGTTGTAAAACGTGCATGTTCACCTCCCTAGCATGACGCGGACGAGGAGGACTATTCTCAAAGAGCATCTTAGAGGCTGAGAAAGAGGCGGCTAAGAGGCTTTCTGGGCCAATGAAGAACTACGGAAGACCGTCCACGATGCACGACGGCTTGGGATGTTGAGGAGGATCGATATGGAAGGTTGAATATTGATGAAACCGAGCATTTTTACCGGTCTTCGGTGGTTGGAGAATTCGATTTAGGGGGGACTAAATTCGCTTAGAGGCGCCGCAAGCTCCTTGTCGTACGGGTTTAGTGCAGCAGAAAAGACAAAGAGGCTGATTAGGTCCGGCGGAGCTTTCACTAAAGGAGCAAGTAGTCTTGTTGGATGGCTGGAGAGTTGAGGATTTCTACCAGGGAGAGGTTACACTGCGTGGAAAATACGAGTGGTCGGCTTCATTAGGAAGGGAGCCATTTTGGGACCAACGCAGTAGTCGTTCGGCAAGCCAAAACACCATGAGATCCTCGTTGTATCGACGCTTTGTGAGTGAGTCCCATGATGTCGTTGCCACGTTGAGGTTCGTATTGAGATCGGGATATACGCTGCCGTGGATATGGCGGCAGATGGTGACGAAGAAGAAGATATTCAAAGTCTCCAAGACTCAAGACTCAAAACTCATCACTCCACCGAGGGCAGTGGGCAGGAGAGCGGGGAAACGCCACTGTCAGGTTTATGTCGGGTCGCCCAATGATCCTGCCTGTCAGTGGCAAGAGTCTGATCTTTACCAGATTGGACAATTGAAGTGCATGATCCTACCTGATTTGACAATGTATCGTGGGAAGCACGAAACGGACAGGTTGCAAACCCAGAATCTTTGAAACTCTGCCAAAAGATGTGCATTTAATCTTGCTTCACCGCACCAGGTCTGCCATCAAATTTCCACTCTCAACACTTCGACGACGGCTCATCGTTGGTCGCAAACGGTCGGTCCGAGGTGATGATATACTTCCAGATCGCCCACTCGGCGCATTGAAGTTTCAACCCCCTTGGCCTTTGCATCTCTTCCCCCTGAAGTCCCCACCCGTAAGCGGGCGGACGTTTTCTCCGCAAAACAATGATCCGCACTTCTTATCGATTGGAGATATGATAGCCAGGACTGGGGGCAATTACTGAGACCGCCCATCCATGTATACATTTGTATAATCCGTCATGAGTTATTCTTTTTGCAAAGATTCCAAGCTCGCGTTGCGACTGCATTACGAATTCCAAGTGCTTGGGAACTTGTGCGCGTTACTGCTAGCACGGCGCCGTTCATTACCCCTATTCCAACAATGCAGGCTAGAGTGAGATAATAATAGGTAGTCGCTCGACAAGCCGCTTGCTTAGTCTGGAGCTGGCTGCGGGAGCAGACGACGAGTCTACGACCATTCAAAATTTGCAGAATCTAGAGATTTTTTAATTTCCAGGACAGATTGCTGTCTTATTAAATTGAGATCTAGTTCTTCAACTTTTTATTCCATCTCACACCGCGTGAAAAAAGCATCTTCCGGCCAGATAATCATTATCACATCAACGCCCTCAACACAAACGGCACAACCACACCACTCCCACTTTACTAACCGTACTCGTACTGCTCCCTACCGCTCTGACACTAACCAACCCATCCCAGTCCACCAACACGCAAACATTTTTCGTAAGCTCACCCGCCTAATCTAGCTCAATCTTTCCAACAAAATCCCACCTCCCATCTCCATAGTGACAGACGATTATTTACAATCCCATCCGAATCCGCGATTATTCCTCAGAAGCTGCTCCGCCCATGGCCCTTGCGTTGCCATGCCAAGCCGCATGTTGCTCTGTGCATCCGGAGATCGCCCGCAAGGAACAACGCCCGGAGTGTCCCCGCCCCCGCGATATTGAGACCGCGTGGGATGCATCATTATTGCGTGTTCAGAATCATGAGTTTTGGAGATGTCCAGCCACGATGTATTTGAGATGGGATATCGCCGTATGCACGTCAGCGATGATAAAACGGCTATTGCGTGATCATTTATTTCCCAACCTCTGATTTCTTTGTTTTTGGTTTCGATTTGAGCTAGGGTTATAAACTGTGGTTGGCTACGAAGCGTTTCTTTTTCATGTGCGACTGGGCAAGAGAGGGTGACTTTTGGATTTGCTTCTTTGCATTTAGATACAAATATGCCGTAAGACCTAAGGGCATACTACCCTCCTTGCGTCAAGTTGTGGTAAATTATATTTTCTAGATTCGAGGAGGTTGGAAAGTCTTGTTTTGGTTCATAGTAATCGGCTATCATGGCATGGCAACCGTATCTCAGCCTCCTAACACAACTGGTCTAGAAGCATTTGGGGTAATTTACACAAGTTAAGGCTTAAGCCCAGGACTCCGGTGAGATGGTTGATGGGGCGAAGATCGTGAAGTGTGTTATACAAGTATGGTTCTAGTTCTTTTCGTCGGGAAAGAGAATCACACCTATAGCTTGCGAGCCTAGCTCCCCGAGATATCTCTCATAATTTGGGTAAAACCCGCCTACTTATCGCATAAAGGTGTCGTTTTGCGTTACAGCTATTGCTTAGTCTCTACCTAGACATTTACATCGGTTTCCTGGTGGACAGAAGATGTGTTGATGTTGTTTTGATCTCTACAGTCTATGTATTTAACGGTCCACACACTCCTCTCAATTTCAGGCAACCAACTATAATAGAATATCTTAAATGACTTCGTACTTTAAGAAACGCATTGTACTTCCCCGGAAATCTTTCTTCCACTTACTGCCAGATCCTGCTCACTCGATTGGCTTCGGCTGCCTTGTGGATCTCCCTAAACATATTCTTCAACTCCGTCAACGCAACTGGAAAATGCTCTCTGCGTCTACTCCTGGGTGCTTTAGGTTATTGATCGCCTACAGCACAAGAGTACCTTCGAGAGCAACAGCATCATATCCTTCTTTGTGTCGATCTGGCCGTGAAGGAAACACAAACGGGCATGACATATCCTGTCAATAGTTGCTTCTTTCTTGTGCTCTACTCATATTCTCGTAACACTATGGTATCAAAAACCATGGGTATTGCTTTTGGACATGTCGTTCTCTTGGGGTTGGTTTCCGAAAGTAGCTGTAAGCTCGCCATTCGTTTTGGGTACGGTGCAATACTGAGAGTATGGTAACCATGTGGACTCTAGAAACATTGTAATCCCCAGAGACACATATGGAACGATCGTTCTCGAGAACAGCGCTGATGACTTTGTGGTATTGAACGGTTTCATCTTGAAATTGCCGTATTTATATCTGGCTACCATCAGTACATATATCAGACTTGTTTGTTCTAGAAACGAATTTTACTCGTCCTGCAATATTGATGACAATGCTGTCATTTGAACAAGCTGATTGACGGGAAATGACGGGAAGCTTTCAGTAGGTCTTTACCATTTTGCTGTTTGTATTGTCTTCTGGAAATTGATCTTTGGCTCCGAAAATGCTAACGAAACGTAGGAGATATGTGAACTAGACGCAGAGAAATGCATTACGGCAGGCGCTATAGTTGCAATGTCTAGACTCCATCAATATCTGTATACCAGGTATAGAGAGAACACATCCATATAGGTACTTCAGCTCTTGAAGTGTCCATCACTCAATAACCATTGGCTTGAGACTGCCACTTGGCAGACTTTCGGCGTTAAGAAGGTCAAACGGTAGGAATCCTCAGAACTTGTTTCAAGAGCACGATGAAAACCGACATTATGTAGGATGGCCTTGATGGACGTGAGATCTAAGTTGGTAATGCGAGATAGGCAATTACAAACAATGCCCCTTGAATCTGGAAGGATCGCATGGAGAACAAGTACATTGTCATGCAAGGGGCCGAGCCTGAAGGCTGAACGGGAAGAGAACTAAGTCGTAAGATGATAAGAATGAGTAAAAGGTCAAAGTATATCTTCAAAATAGAACCGCAAAGACGATTCGAGGTTCCCATGAGATGATCAAATAACTATTCTCCTTGAGCTCGGTCTCCCCGCCACGTCTAATTTTGGCTAATCCCCTAAATTGGGCCGGCACAGCACAGCCCCTTGCATTTTCGCCCTCGCTCGCCAGGTTTCAGCATTCCCCAGCCAACGCAACGCCTATCCAATGACGTTCGATACAAGGCCGAAAGGCTGCTCGAGAAAGCTTGAATGGGACTGAAGAAACACGAGTTGCTGACTTCGTATTTCGAAATCTCACCTGCAATTAGAACTTGCTGCGGCTTCCTGTTTCTTCTATATTCTTTATGAGCTGACGATTGCACGATATACCCCCACTGAATGATTGCTTTGCTGCGTTTTACAGATTCAAAGAAATAATAGAGTTGTGCCATTGTTTGTGTAGGTGTTTAGAACGACGAGGTGAAAGACATCCAAGCCCAATTTCGCCCCTTTGAATCCGAACTCGCGTTACAGACGCAACAGATACATTTCACATTCACCCATTCCTCAAGATGGACCGATTCGAGGACCCTTATGACGGTCGCCGAACACCTCCCATACAATCACGATTGCAACAACCTCAAAACTACGCGCCAGCAGGGTCATCACCACCACGTAACACGAATCCAGCTGCTCATCCAGAGAGTTCTTTCAATCGATTACGAGCCGAAAGGAGATATAGCAGTGGCCGCGGACCAGCAAGTCCCGTCGAAGAATACGCTGGGATAGAATCTCCTCCTCCTCCACCACCACATCGCGGGCAGAACGCTAGACATTGGGCGCAAGAGTCGGGGTATAATACAAATTCGCAGTATTCAGACACAACATCTGGAGTAGATAATTTCGGTCCGCAGGCTGCTGGTGGTATGACTGGGATTGCATACAGTGTAGCGGATGCGAATGCAAGGGAGAGCGGTGTTGAAGCGATGAGGAACACTCCTGGTTACGATCCACAGAGGGAGATGCACAACTACGATCCGCAAAGAGAGGTGCTTGGCTACGAACCGCAGAGAGGAACACCCGACTACCAAGACTCACCATACCAAAGGCCTGCGATCAGACAGGACATGTCCTCTGCTTCTTTGGCTCCTCTGGGTGCCGCGGCGTTTCCGGCTGGGTTAGCATCACCACAATCACGATCGGTAGTTTCAAGGTCGCCTAGCAGCTTTAATCAGGATCCATTTTCAGATCAGTCAGCATATCGATATTCGAGAAATGTTGATCCAAATCTCACCGAGTTCGACCCAAATAGCATCGCGGACGATGGCGATGATGGATTGGAGTACAGGAACGGGAAGAGGACATCTATGCTCAACCTAAGTAACAGTCAATCAGACAGAAATTTACCAATAGCTGCTGGGGGTGTGGGAGGAGCTGCTGCCGCAGGAGGAATAATGGGTACACTTGGAGGCCTTGTCGGAAAGGGTGGTACAAAGCAATACGACCCAGTGAGCGGACCTTATAATCCTGGGGAATACAACCTGGGTGAGACTGGTACGGGGCAGGAGAAAAGCGAGTGGCTAGCGAAGCAGAAGACTGGAAGCAAGAAATTGAAGATTCTGGTGATCATACTAGCATGTCTTGCACTTCTTGGTGCGATTGCTGGTGGTATCGTTGGTGGTATACTTGGAAGTCAGAAAAAGAGCGCGGAGAAAGCGGCCAACGGTCCATCTGGTGCTTCAGCGGCGGAGGACAATAAGAGTAATGGCGATTTGAGTAAAGACTCGACGGAGATCAAGGCATTACTCAACAACAAGAATCTACATAAAGTCTTTCCTGGAATCGATTACACGCCAATGTATACTCAGTACCCCGATTGCCTACACTATCCAGCATCTCAGAACAACGTGACAAGAGACGTTGCGGTTCTTTCTCAGCTTTCTAACACGATCCGATTATATGGTACAGATTGCAATCAGACCCAGATGGTTTTGCACGCCATTGACAGACTTGGCTTGAACGGCACCACGAAAATATGGATGGGAGTATGGCAGGACAAGAATGCCACAACAAACGCTCGACAGTTGCAGCAAATGTATGATATATTCGACTCCCACGGGTCAGCTTCATTTGTTGGCGTCATCGTTGGTAACGAAGTTCTTTTCCGAGAAGATATGACCATCACAGAACTTGGAACGGTTCTTGAGAACGTTAAAAGTAATCTCACAACTCGAGGAATTTCCATCCCAGTAGCAAGCGCAGATTTGGGCGATAAATGGACACAGCCATTCGCAGATCAGGTTGATATCCTCATGGCGAACATCCATCCGTTTTTCGCTGGTGAAGAGTCTACTGGTGCAGCAGCGTGGACATGGCAGTTCTGGCAAAATAAAGATGTTCCATTCAAACCGGACCTCTCCAAGAACTATATTTCTGAAACAGGCTGGCCTGCGAAAGGAGGTAAGAATAACCCTCCCACACCTTCCACTTTTCAGTTTACTAATTCTTTAATCACAGGTAAATCATGCGGTGAAGCCACCACCTGTGCCGTTGGCTCCGTCGCCGGTATCACAGAATTGAACAACTTCATGGACGATTGGGTATGTGGCGCCTTGGCAAACGGCACCAATTACTTCTGGTTCGAGGCCTTCGACGAGCCCTGGAAGATCAAATTCAATGAACCCGGGAAGGAATGGGAGGACCAGTGGGGATTGATGGATGTGAATAGGGTTCTGAAATCTGGGGTCAAGATCCCGGATTGTGGTGGCAAGACTGCACCTTGATTTATGGATACTTTGTCATTTTGAATTAAGGTTTTGGGCATTTAAGGCGTTTTTGGGACGGCGGCGCTGTTTACGAGGAAATGTTGAATGCTATTTGGAGGTTTGGATGTTAGCGATGTAATGGGGATGCAAGCATGAGCGTATACGATGATGCGAGCGCTCTTAAAATAGAGATACCATCCTTCTCTTTTCCTAGAAAGGGTTCAAGGAAAATCATTATGACTAGTTCAGTTACGCGAGTCTTTGGCAGTTGGTAACGAGATATGCAGAGGCGTAATTGGACTAGTAGTATTTTGTGTATTTGTATTATATAATTCTCGAGATCGGCTTCCTCGGGAGCATCAGATCTTGGAATTTAGAGAAATGATAGAAAGTTTTTGGAAACTTGGAGAGTCGTTTTTTGGGCCTTAACAGTGACGTTTAGATCTTGAATTGTTTCTAGTGTAGGTCAATGTTTTGATGGGAGATTAGCGGGAAAACGAGAGCAAGATATATTAGAGACAAATCTTTGAACACAATCGACATAGTACCTAAGCAATTTTGCTTTATAGGTTGGCTCATTCATAACCTCGCACAAACGCGTCTTCATAGACAACCGGACAGGAGACGGATAGAGGCGTCTAGAGATGTTGAGATGAGTATTGAACTGCTTGAGTTCAGAATCACAACAAAGCTTTCATTCAATCCAAACCCCCTAATCGCTATAAACAATGAGCACATAAACTTAACATTCACCGCAGCTCTCCAGCTTCTCTGCTCACTCTTCCTCTAAAACACAACTCCGCAGCACCTCTAGCAGCAACAAACTCCGGCCTCGCATCCAGAATCCTCACCGCTGTAATCCCAGCCATCTTCAAACCGTCTCTAATCACATCCTTGACCTCCTCATCCCCCACACACTCCTCATCACCAGTCATCACAACCACCGTCTCCCACTCCTCACTGAACCGTCCCTCCTTTACAAACTTCAAAACATAGTCCCTCAGTTTCTCCACGTAATCCTTCTCCCCTCGTGCCTCACCACCCATATCCCATAGCGCCACTGCGCGGATATCAGAATCCGCGAGATCAATCGCACCGCGTAACGGTGCGGTATGAAAGAGCATCGCTTTGGCTGTATACTCGACGTGAAAAACCTGCTTCACTGGTAGTCTTTGGAGTTCATCATAGCAACCGTCCCGATCCTCAGGGTGTTCACACAATCCTAGCCCGTGGCCGGCGAAGGCGGCGACTAGTTCACGGGACTGGAACAATATTCCGGTTTGAAGAGGGATGTTGAGGTAGATGGCCGTTTGGATAATGTCGTCGTTGTACAGGGCCATTACTGGGGGATAGCTTATCACGACTGATTGAGTTGATTTGAGTGGGTGGAGTGTTAGAAGTGAGCGCAGCAATTTAGCTAGAATTCCAGCGTCTGATGAGGCGGGAAGACCGAGTTTCTTTCGTACGTTTTGCAGGAAGACGCGGGGGATGTCGTCCCAGAGGTCTTCCATTGTTGAATATGGGGGACTGGTGGATTTTAGAGGGCTGATGAATGAGGGTGTGTAGCAGGGAAATTTTACCTGATGTGTTTTGCCGACGGCGCTGAAAGTCGTTTCATCATTGATATGTACTCGTCAGAGCCCTCGACACGACCGATATCTTCGAATGATCCGTCCGGATTTCTCAGGGAGAGGGTTCTAAATTCTGTTAAAAGAGGCATCAGAAGATGATTGGCGAAGTACGTACCCATGGGTTGCTGTAAGAGAAATACCTACCGCTGCCCTCAATTCAAGTCCATTCTTCTCATCACCGCGAGGTTGAAATTTCCACCGTGGAATCATGTTCCAGAGATATGTCGTAACGACGAGAGGAATGACGAAGATAAGTCTGGTCATTATTGCCTCAGCCCTGCTGTCGTGGTTCTCAAGTTTCGATAACTTGAGAATGGCCTGTTGATATCAATGTGGAGACGTTATCTGAGTCAAAAAATGGGTTTTGCTTATTAGATATTAAGATCGTTCAAGCGTGCTTTCAACCATTTTGAGCTTGTTTTGATCAAAGAGTATCACTTTTAGCCAGAAGGCTAGAGATTCTGGAAGTGCCAGGCAGCTTAGCAAGGCTGTTTTACGTGATGATCATGATTTTCATAGCTAGTTTTCTGGTGTTGTACCATGATCAATGATATCACATGTATTCATTGAGATGGAAGAAGTTAATAGCCACGATAATGTAAATGAGAGCGATCAGAAGATTGCGACGTGGAAGGGGATGTACATCTATCACGTGACTAAATCAGTAAGCGAGTTCATCTTGTTTGGTCACGGTCACGTTTCAATTTCCTTTGCAACCTCTGCATCGTGTTACTACCTTTGTACTTATATATCTCAATTCGACGAATTGAGTTCGTCAATTGTTTACCTCCGTAGTTATCAGTCAGCTCTCAGGATCCTTAGCGTGGAAAGGCTGAAAACAACGTTCAACCTGGAAGTCCATTGTTGCTAAAAAGTGAGTCAACTCCACGCGTGATTCTCCCAAAGATGCAGCTTGCTTGACAGCACAGAAAAATCTCTTGGCCGAATCCTTCAAACCGTTATCACTGCATAAATACTCGAACATCTCGCACACAATATACTTTCCTCCCTATCACATCGTCGTGGTTCAGCCTCAAGATGTGGTGGCGCTGAAAACGACATTGGATTGGCGAACACACGGGTAAGAAATGGGGAGATCGCTGCAATTTTCATCCGCCATTTCCCTTCACCACCAGTTCTTGAACCTCAGAGGTTGTTAGGGCGGAGATCAACCTCCTATTGAAGTCAAAATTTCCTTCTTTCTTGTTGATTTGCTTAGAAGTTGTGCGTTTTTTGTCTTGTGACTAACAAATAACTAGGACAAGGGAGGTTATCCATAGTTCAGCTCTTATGTTGGAATTCATATGGAACTGCAAATTGAGTTTCTAGTATTGAACTGCGGTCGTGGCCTCAGGGTAAACAATGATTCTCCTCCCGCACCCATTCCCTTGGCACTTACAAGGCTCTTCTCAAGGCTCAACGCCTTTGGTAAGGATGGTACACCATGATCCATGGGCACGAAGACAAATTCCATGGATGTTATACTGCCATATGCTTTCCAAGTTGGAGAGTCAACAAGATTCGCAGGGGTGAGACGCAGAACACCACACCTTCCCCTGCTATAGCTTTTCAGCTCCAAGCCCTGCCTCGGTTTGATCTGGAGTAAATAAGTATCCCACCCGTTTCCTTTGCCGGAAGAAAGAAATACCTTTGTCGCTCTTGTCACACTAGCATCTCAAAATGCTTCAACTACGAACTTTGTCATGCCTGACGCTTTTCGTCTCCTCCCTTCTTTCAAGTTATGGCGTTCATGGGTTGGGAATTTCTGATCGCGAGGTTCATTTACAGTTGGGTCCAAGAGATCCGGCACCACCAGAAGCTGCACTCTTCGAGATGAAGCAATCTGGGAATTCGGAACTTGGTTCAATGCCGCTGAGTGGGAGAGATCTTATAGCTTCGTGGCTCGGGAAAAGAGATTGTTTGGACGCTGGCTATTCAGAATGTGTTAGTAAGTAATTTGCTACATAAACTCGTTCGTTCTAACCATGCCCAGCGTCATATGGCTGCTGTCCGACTGGTGATACCTGCTGCCCTATTTCTTGCTGTAAAGCGGGCAAAAGCTGTTGTCCAGGTTCGCGTTATTGCGCTGATCCTGGCGACAAGTGCTGCGGCACTTTGGGAACATGTCCTTCAGGTTGGAATTGTTGTGGGGTAATAGGATGCTATCCAAACGGTGGTGAATGCTGTAGCAATGGCAGGTATTGCGATCCTGGCAATAAATGCTACATTGTAAATGGCTTCCACGCTTGCTGTACAAATGCAAGATGCACAGCTTATGTTACGGGTGGTGTAACATCGACGCGTAGAGGCTCTCAAACCAGCGACGACGACCTATCGACGACTTCGAGATCGGCTGTCTCAGTACCGACAATTACAAGTACAGATACTACGACAACCACGACTCCTTTGACCGGTACACCACCGACGACTGTAGCAGTGCCTGTTGAATATTTCTTCACCATTACCTGGTAAGTAATCTTTCATCCTTCTATATCTGCTTCTAGCTAACTTTCAATCAAGGACATACTGGTACTGGTACTGGGTTTACAGCACAACGAGATCAACAGTAACGACTAGTTCTACATACTCCACAGTCACCACAACAGTTACAGTGACCATACAAGAAACAAACTCTGCTAGTGCTAGCTCAAGTTTCCGCGCCTTGTCTGCTACATTCCCGACGACTGCTCCTCCTGAGGCATCATCCGTGTACTCCGCTACGGCTTCTCCTCCCTCCATACTTGGAGGAGCAGGAAACGAAACTTCAACACTTCCACCTGTGGTCGTGCCTACGAATGGTGGCGGTAATGGCGGTAGCGGGCCGGTTACGGTGACGGCCGGCTCTGTTGCTACTGGCGTTCGGAGTGCTGCTACGCACATGGCATCGAGTGTCACTTCCTCTTGGGTGATGGCGACGTTTTTTGGAGGATCTTTAATTACTGGGATTTTAATGGTTTGGCTTTGATCGTCGATAGCAGAATGACTATTCAGTTCAATTGTGGGCCGCGCAGGGAAATGTAAGTATTAATTTGGTATGTAGTAATGAGAACAGATGACATATATCATTAAAAGAACTTGTCGATAAGGCTCCAGAGTTCTTTCATAGATCTGATTTGGTTTCAGATACATGAAGAGACCTTAGACACTTAACATCCATAATCCTTGATCATATATACCATGTATACCATGTCAACGATTCCCTTGCATATTCCTTGCTAAATCGGCTGTCTCTAAGAACTCGCCTTGAACATACTATCTTCGTCACTTAGGACTAATTGTTGTTCACAGTCGGCTTCAGACATAAAAGCATCCTTGCTATTTTCAGCAAAGTCATGAATAACTACGGGTCTGTTGCCATGAGCTTTTCTCGACAACCCAAAGTAATTTTTTATACTTTCTTAATCTAATCCAAGACATAAAAACAAGCGTTTGTTTGGTGTTGAAACCAACCGGAACCTCATCCTGCATCAGAACTCTCTACCCCAAGTCACATACGCTCCATTTCTGGGACCGAATAGCAAGACCAATCAACATACCCTCCTTCCCGTGAAGAACAGAATTTGAACATGCCGTGCTAATATTTAATACCAACAATGACCCACCAAAATTACTTCATTAACAAACAAAGTTAAATCTAAAACACACCAAAGCTTATTTTAGCCACAAGCTGTGAAATGGGAAATGCCGAAGCCACGTATAAATTGCGCTGAAGCCACATGCAGAATGTGGACACAGATCTGGCAGGATGCAGTTGAGTTTCTGCAAGATCGATGATAAGCGAAAGAGCACTATAGGTCTAGTTTCATTCGATGAGATGGGCTTTATTTGAGGCTCTCATTTGTGTAATTAAGTTACTTGGCACTTGATGTATGTGGGTTTCGATGTTTAGGGTCACGATAGTGACTTATTGGATTTTGAAGACGTGTCTGCAGAGAATGAGTGACAGAGTGATATGCGGAACTTACAAATAGATATGCTGTCTGTCCAGTATTCACAAATAAGATGTTTGATCGGAATGTAAAGAGGAGGGGAAGGAAGATGTGGAATGGAGAGAAATTTCCAAGTCAAATCAACGAAGCGTTTTGAGACTTGTTGTGTAGGACTTCAAGACCGAAAAGAAGTATCATTTGAAGAGAAACCCTTAGGTTCAAATATGCTGAGATATCTAGCCTCATCGTCGTGGTGTTGTAATCTTTACAATCTTCGATGCTTTTAGTCTCACACGGGTTTCTAAATAGCCAGGTCAATGATGCTCTAAAGCCTTGATTCCATATATTTCTATATACTTGGCATCTTATCCTTCTGTTTTACTCAAGGTGTGGTATTAGACACGGCCAATAATTTCACGTAATTCGGCGTGCCGAGTCCAGTCGCCGGATCCCATCCCTAGAAAAGTCCACAAGTCAGTAAAAATACCAAGAGTAAAATGTCACAACCGAGGAAGAGACTTACAGAAACAGCAGAGAAGCCAGCACCAGAGATACTACCACTACACCCACCAATCTTCCCCGCAGAAATATCATTCGTTGCACCCGCAGCAACACCATACAACCAAGGATTCAAAAAGCCCAATCCCTTCTTACCAGCAGCAAGTCTGCCACTATTGATTAACTGAATCACGCTCGCAAATGCTGGTGTGGCAGCACTAGTTCCGCTCACACCAGACGCGCTGCCGAGCAATACAACGAGGAAATTCGTTGCTTGAGCAGAAACATCAGGGTAAGCACGACCAGTGCTGTTGAAGTATGGAGACACGCTGTTATGTGTGGTGTCGGTGGCAAGCCACTTGTTGACGGTAGCATTCTGGTAAGATGGACGAGCGAAGATCTCGGAAAATCCGCCACCGCCGCCAGACCATGCGCCTTCTGGTGAGGTACCGGTTGTTCCACCGACTGTTGTGACGAATGGACAGGCTCCAGGGAAGATAGTCGTGAACTGTTTCTTTCCGCCGACGGTGCAGGAGCTTCCTACGCCTGAATCTCCTGAGGCTACGAGCACGGAGACACCTCGTGCGCCTAGCTTCGCAAAGAGGTTACAAGTGTTGAGGATATATTCTGTGGGTAGTGATGCGGTATCGTCTCCGTAAGAGATTGAAACGGTTTGTGGGAGTGATGTGTCAGGTAATGCGAGCATGTAGTTTAGCCATTCCAACCACGGCTCGTTCGTGTTCTCTCCACTGCCGAGATATGGTCCATTTCCGCCTGCGCTGTAATAAACATTAGGAATTCCTGAAGTGATAGCTCTGGCGTATTGGACATCAAGGTTAGCTTCGACAATGTTGTTTGTTACATCGGTGGTCGGGCAAGTGCCTCCATTGAGCAGTTCGCAAGTGTAGGTCTCCTTCTTGTTGGCAAAATAAGCGTATTTGTTCATGAACGTTGTGAGATCGGACTTGACGGGGTGTTGCTTTAAAAAGCCAGCAATGCCCATTTTCCCGAGGGTCTGGTTTGCCGCACCCGCGAAACTGTAGAGATTCGCAAGACAGGTTGGTGTAATGCTTGATCCTGAGCATCCCGGAACAGCGGCAACTGCATTTGCCCCTTCCAATTCTGCAACATTGAAGTTTATGATTGGCTTTACCTCGCTGATAGTAGATCTCAATTCTCGCAGGCCGAAGAAAGTGGTTGGCTGAACCATGCTGACGTGCCCGTTGAGAAAGTCTGGGAGGCTGTATTCGAGCGTCCGCACAACCCTGTCCTTAGTCTCGGAGTGAACTATTATGTCTTAGAATTATATCCCAGAAAGAAATAACAGCAAGGATTTGACAGAATATGGCAAAGAGGTAGGATTTGTTGATAAATGAAAGGAGGTGACATACCGAATGAAGCATATTCTGTTTTCAGCAGTTTCTCGATTTGACGAAGACTACCTTCGATAACGACAGAATCTGATCTGGGCGAGAATTCTGCAATGTCCCTCAATCCCTCCTTGTTCAACCAGTCCATGACAAGGTCCTTAGACTGTTGCTTTGGGGCAACCATAGCATCAATCTCATGCTGGGCCAGATGGTTTCCATACATCTTATCACCTGGAGTTGATATCTGGGACAATTAGCCAGGGATTTGACAAATTTGTAGAATTGGAATAAGCCATACTCTAATGACTGTCTCATGGAACTTGTCCATGTTCTGCTCCACCAAATTGATTCTCAGCTTGATTAACGCAGCATCTTTGTCAATCTTGTGGGCAACATCGTGCACCCAACCTACTGGAGGCGCAGAAAGCTTCTCCTTTATTGTCGTAGTAGGTATGCCGTATGGCGACGCTATTACCGACGTGGAAATAGTAAAAACTACAAAAAGACTCTTGAGGAGAGCCATGTTCTCCAAGAAAGGTTCGATAAAGCTGCAAAATTAATTTCGACAGAGACGCGCTGCTTCTTATCTATTTCCATAGCGGGGATTGCGATACAGGTACTAGAGCTCTACTGATATTGTACGTTGTAGCACCTGCCGGTATGTAGTGCATGTTGAACCACTGATCTTGATGGATCGTGCTTGGCAGGTGCCAAACCCCTGGCAGAGATACAACACCTTCCCTCTTGGCGCCATCCCCGTTGTCTAGCCGCAAGCTTGTACATGAAGCTTATCATTATGATAGGCGGTAATTGGACGATCAGCAGCGGGGTGAGCGGCATTGCGAGATCTGTTGTGCTGGGCACGAAAGGTTAATTGCAGGAATTCCTGTAAGAGGCAAGTGGGAATCAACTCCCTCGGCATTTGTGGCAAATATGTTTTATCCATATGAGGAGATACATCATACAGGAAGTGGCGCAGATTGAGCGACAGATACGATCATTATGCGATGCGCGTAAATTGATAATCTGCTCTTATGGTTCATGGTTGCAAAGAATTTGAGTCCTAAAGCAAGGAAAGTGTCGGATGTCTCCATTCCTTTGAAGAAGTACAACGCCGCTAGACACGTGCGTACGGTTTAAGGATTGTCTGGCAATTTCTCCCACGATGATTTTGATTGCGTCGACCAGTTTAAGTTGGATACTTTAGCTGCTTGGATTTGAATCCACATCGTAGAACTGCGCTGTCAGTTCAGACCAACGTTTTACCGCCTGCATTTTTGCAGAATCTCGGCCATCCTGGGTTCATAGACGTGAAGTATAATAATACAACAAATGCGAAATATAATTTATTAATTTGAGGTTTGTTTGGTGTCTTGGTGAGAAAACTAATGATATATTCTCCGAAGAGAAACGAGGCATTCTCCCTTGGTGGTACTAGGTTCTGACCCTGCACCAGTGCTGCGACTTCGATATTATCAGAGATAGTTGGTGGTACGCTGATGAACCAGCTGCGTGACTTCAACACATTAAAACTGTAATTGAAAACTTTCCGTACTGGTGCCCCCAAGTGGGACTAGCACAATTCACATAATGCTGTCTTTCGCCTTATAACTTCAAGCTCGTATGTATTATGTGATGGCTCGGTCGATAAATCGTAAATTGGTGCAGCGCAGAACATGGAGCTACTCGAACGAGAGGAAGACAGGCCTGATTTGGTGAGAGTAGCCGCTTGTTCTTGTGGGATATCATGTCTGAGTCGAATGTTTTTCTTACGATATGCACACCAAATGCTGATCAAGACCGCTGAAATGACGATCGATCCACAGACAGACGTAATTGCAACAAACAGTGATCCCGATACGCCAGCGACTGGGGAGCTCGAAACAAGAGAGCTTGCTGAAGATGGCCTTGATGCCGTCGAAGTATTTGGAAATGAAGTCGTAGGATTAGAAAGTGTCTGGAACGTCTGAATATTCGATACAGATGTAGATAATGTCGTCCCCAGGGTCGCGGTGGCAGTGACAAAAGTTGTGGTTGTTCTTGTCGCCTATGAAAACCAAACATTAGTCTACAATCTCAAAAGTATGCGCGGGGCTGTAAACATAAGAGGCACGAGTTTTCATATGGTACAGCATGAATGAGAGAAGGACTTTCAGAACACACTGGGTGGGATGTTTCTGACAAATGAGACCTTGAAGTTCTTACCGCGTCTAGTGTTGAGAATGCAACCGAGAATGTTGAAGTTGATGTTGAAATACTGGAAGATCTAATAGATATAGTAGAAGAATTCCAGCTTCGTCTATCTCCAGTTGGCGCAAGAGTTGATGTGAGCCACTGTGGGGATTGAAGAATTAGAATTTTTGAGACCGTCTCTTTGAATGGTGTAGGAGCTCGAACCTCTTCCACACGGCGTGGATTCACTGGTGGTCGTCCATATAACGTATCCATTGTTATATTTGTCCTCCATAAATATAAAGTTTGCCTCCGACGTCCGTGAGTTATGTCAACACGGGACTTTGTCTTAATGTGGTGATGGGTGTTGTCCGATCGTGAGAATTCATCCTTCCCTCGTTCGATGAGCGGAGAAGTGAGTCAGTACGAGAAAAAAAGGAACAGCAGCATATGAGCTATACAAAGGTCGGCAAGTCCTTATTCCGACCAACATACAGAGAAATACCAGACCACGAACGGCGGCAAGGGATGGCTCTAATTGGACTATTGTTCCCATCTTAGTTTGCTGGACCCAAGAGGATTTGAGGCTCAACAGTCGACCTGCTGAGCCATTACCTGACATAGAGAGCTTCATGTTGGCAGGTCAAAATCCTGATCGGCACGACTTATGGTTATTATAATAAATATGCTGGTTTCCAACTCGTGGCTGTTCACATTTAAGTTGAGAATGGTGATTAGCATCTGATGATGTTTAGCAAGATTTTGTTGATGAATGTCACCAATCGTGGTGTCAGATTGATAACGATGCAGAATGTTGGAAATTTGTTCTTTGGCACAGGATCATGAACACGTCACCGACGTGTTCGCTCAATTCCAACATAATCTTAAACGAACAAGGTTGGCGAATAAAAACACATGTTGCCCTTCTGTTGCATTCAAACTTTTCTCTGGAATCAGATTGGATGAAACCGTGTTTCTAACTTAGTCGAGGTGTTGGTATAACTAGTTTCAGAAAAACCTCAAGGTCGGCCAGTAGCCACCGTTCGAATCTTGTTTTTAGCAGCCTCGCCATTCGTAGTCTAAAGTTTCTGTAGGATCTCTACTCGGCCGCCTTGGGTCTAGTGAAGTGAGCAGGTGTAGGTCATCCTTCGTTGTTCCAACAAAAGGCTGCCCACAACCGAACATTTGGATATGATTGGTAACCTCGAAAGAAGGAAGACTGACGAAGCGCAGAGAAGCTAAGAATAGGATGCCAGCATGTAGCCAACAGGCCCGGGTCTACTGGTAGGCTTGTAAGTACTTCCGGATTTTTTTTTTGGAGAAGTGATTTTGCTAGGACCTGTCAGGTTCGCCATGTGGCAGGAAATCTCCTAAGCACATCCTCGAGTACCAGAATGAAAGAATCCTCGAGTTTTTACTTGTTTGTGACTGTGGTACCTCTGCTTACCTACGCAATTGGCATTGTCGGCGTTAGGGGTCCTTGTCTAAATGCTTTGACAATGCTCGAGAAACGGATTGCTTCTAAAACAGAAGCGAGGACATCTGAATGAACCAACGGACCCGAAGAGAAGAGGAAATGAGAAAATCGTGAATGTCCAAGCACAAGGAAGAGGCATGCCTTATCGTATCCATTGTGTGTTCTGGTCGAAGCTCAACCACTGCAGTTGGTGTTTCTGCAAAGATCATAACATCTCGAACAGGGATCGATTACGGACAGTATCCCGGACCGCACGTGAGAGCATAGAATACTTATGTGGCGCTTGAACAATCCCGCAGTTCAACCGACACCAGCACAAATGACCTCAGCCATCCCTCAGTTCCTCCTCCCCCTCAACGAACCTACCAAATTCAACTTCTCGTAAACACGCGTTTTCGCGTCGGGCCCTTCCAGGAAGCTTAGAATTCCCTACGTCTGCAAATCGCGCCAGTCTCACATATTTCCTAGTACCGAACATTTCCCCCTCCCGCGAGTTGAAGAACGATACGCTGCAGAAACATACCGACCTAGCCCCTCAAGGCCGATTGCAAAGGAGAGTCTTAATGGCGAAGAGATATAAAGGACCAGAGTTCTCGCTTTTCAGGAACCTGCCGAAAGAGCTCCGTCTTATTATATGGGAATTCACGATCGTTCCGCGGGTTGTCGCTCTTGAATGCAAAGAAATTACCTCAACGCATCTGGAATGGTTTCTGGAGGAACTTGGCTGGGATAAAAGACTGCCATTGTGTACGGCTGGCGAGATCTCGTGCTTTGTCGAGGCCGGTCTGGACAGAGTCCGGAAGGAACATGATGTGTCTCGATCTGGAATGCAACGTCTAGACGATCAAGTACACGGAGCCATCAACCTGCTAGTCGCTGGTAAATCTTGGAATGCAAGCAAGCGCTTCAATCTGAGAAGTATTGCTGCCGCATATATACTTGCTGGCGTTGAGTCCAGATATCTGCCAGCGCTGTTAAAGTTAACGGGAGAAATGGATGTGGAGGTACTTTTAAATTTTACCTCGAATATATCTCCAGATGATAGCCCCCCCGCACTTAAAGAGAGGGTTCGAGAGCCCTATGATGGACATCTCGATAAATTTGGTCTGCTATCTCCTGTTAAAATCTTAAGGTCAGGTTCTGCTCCGCCGGGAATTCTGTCCGCTTGTAGAGAGTCCCGTGAAGTGGCCTTGAAACGTTACAACATGGCCTTCATAACACATGAGCGACTTCAGGGAATTTATTTTGATTTTCAAAATGATACTTTGTTCCTGGGATATGATCAATTCCAAGATGCCGATCAGGGCTTTTTCCAAGTCAATTCTGTGGTGAATATGGTAGAGGGGGAGTTCATCAATCTCTTGTGGGATTGCGTAGATTCTGATAGCATGGATCGTGTCAAAAAGCTTGCTTATCTGGTAAGAGCCTTTGATCCGTTGTGTAGTCCGCGCTCCCCATGATTCATGAACGCCCACCTTTCCACCGTAAATCTTCTCATTGCCTATGGACATGATTTCGAGAATTACGCTGGGGAGTAGGAAGGCATTTTTATTGATACACAATACTGATCTCGTATAAATAGGTCAATCCGCAAGCGACAGGAATAGAGGAGGAGGATGTGAGTGATCGTACCAAATGGGTCGCTTTTTTGATCAACGCCTTCCCAAAAGTAGAGAAGTTTACTCTCGTCATCGATCAATTGGTCGAGAATGGCTGTGAGTCTGAGTACGGACCAATGAAACTGATTGACCCTATTCACGTGGACCATACCATGGCCAGCTATAATCAATTCGATCCTAGTCTCGCTTTGAGTCTCGATCTACCGGAACCCGAAGAAATCGAAATAGATGATGTTGAGGTTGACCCAGACGAAGTAATGGAAGAACTCGCGTATACTTTTTGGGAGAAAGACGAAAACGAGTTACCATCAGCTCCGCAGTTCGAGTATAAGGTCGCGATTAGTGAAAACTATGCGTACGATTTTAATGCTTCGAGGGAAGCATGCCAAGCAAGGATTGATGAATATTGCAGTCAGGAAGTTGAGATGTATGAGGAATATTAAGATTGCTTGCTCTTGAGGCTGGACATATATTAAACGCGTACCGAAAACTGCATCATGCTTACAGATTAATCTTCCAGAAGACCAGTCAAATTTCGCTCAGCAAGAATCGATTGTTATCTAGCCAAAGCTCTTAACCACGCGTCAATGAACTGGTCATCGAGAAAGTTACGCGAAGAGCTATTTCAAGTTTCTATGTCTTACGAGCGCAGCATTCAAAAGGCTGGCGGCTTCTATAGGACAGCGGCTATTGCACATTGGCTTCGAGGTCGCAAGATTGCATGCGCTCCGCATATTCAGTATGTGGTCGTATCGAGGAGTTGCTAAAATGGTGGAGGGAATCTCTTACTTCTGTCTCCTCAGCCCGCCTTCATTTACATCCCCTGAGCCACTTCGAACGAATTTTTGGCTACACTAGAGCAGAGCTACGTAGCCCAGTTCGTCGTCACGAATAATCTCTCAAGTTTATTGTTGCGAATCAGTATGTGCGTACGGAATTATTCGAACCATCTACCTACCTGGGTACCGATGTTGGCATTCAATACACCTAGGGTGAGAATCACTCCCACGTTATCCAGGAAGCAAAGTCTAATTTATTCAGAAACCCAAGCTCGAAATTTCTATATTAGCTACCTCACTGGCTTCACCCAACACGTCTTCTTTCTTCACTTCTATGGACTCGTCCTGTTTTCGCTCAAAGATCCAACCTTCAAACAACACAGATCATGGGAATATTTCTATCCAAACCATCAAGCCATTCCAGTTCGCCTGGAAAGAGCAAGCCTAAAGGCCGTACACACGGACTGACCGCTCACCAAAAGGCAACAGAAAAGGTCCACGGCATTTCTCGCAGAAAAGGGGAACGAAATCCAAAGAACTATCGATTATGGGTCAACGAAGACTTGGTAAGTCCACAGCACAAGAACTATAAACTAGCGACGGAATTACCGCCTTTGGGCGCAAAAGGAAAGGATCGGGATAAGGCCGCCAGCAAGAGCAGTTATAGCACAGGAAGTGGGAGCTTTGCACGAAGTGGAGGTAGAGGTGGAGGTGCAAGTGGTGGTGCTGGATTTATTCAGCCTGGTGGAGGGTTTGCGGGTGCTTCTAACAGACCTCCGGGTGGCCCAGGAGGAGGACCGGTGGTAAGTATGCCAGGTGGACCATCTCGGTCTAGAGGGAGTGTTTAAATAGATGGAATCGGTAGATGTTTCATCGTTTTAGTTGGAGGCAATGAAGCTCGTTGAATAAGGAGCGTCGCTGTGCAATACGTGAACGTTCTCAGTCTCGTTCCAAGGCAGCAGGCTGTGTTCGCTTCAAGCATTTTCTGCTTGTCACTACCTAAATAATTAGATACTTGGTAGGTACCTGACTACCTACATATCTTGCTATGAGAGAAAAATGACTATCTACGTTAGGTCGCTGTTCTCCAACTTAGTCCAACAGTCAGTGGGTTTACGTCCTGTACTTGCCCTATGGCAAGTTGCCCAAGAGCATGATGGTGACCAACCACATAGGTGTAGAACAACACTGCTATTCCGCTGAAGCTCTATCCAGAATACCGATCTGGTTGTTTAGGTGCAAAGTAGAGTCAACTTGAGTGTGCTGTAATACAACAACTACGCAACGTTCCCCACACACCGCACTTCGGAACGCCTCAAACCCAGCGACCTCTCATTCTCTAAGTCATTCACTAACCCCACCAATCCGCCCATCTCTTCATCAACCCGTTCATCCTTTTCATTCACCAACCTTCTCTCCCTCAACTCCCCCGCTCAACATCCCCTTTATAACCCCAAAATCGCACAATTCCCCCGCCCAATCGCATGGGCCACAGAAACATATCCACATCATGTACGGCGTCTCATAAGCAACCATTATGTCCGCATCATAAAATTCCTAAAAGAGAAAATGGGGAGGCTCCCTGTTTAGAGACTAGGACGACGCCTCCGGTGTTGTAGTCATCTTTTGCTGGTTTGAAGTTTTTGGTAGGTGAGGGGATGAGAGATGAGATTGCTTTTGGTGGATAGCTGGTTGGATGTTTTTACACTTTCGATGGCTGGGTGCCTAGGACCTACTTGATACTTGGGTATGTGCTGTCACGATGTATAATGTAGTTTTTGGTAATCTATGGACTATGAAAGACCTTCTCCTAGTTTTTACTAGGTACATAGGTATGAATATCGTCAACATGATCAGAAGTGTTTGTCAAATCGTAAATGCTTCAACTATGAAAATAACCACCAATCAACATTCAATGATGCTCTTTGAACCTCTCATGATCACCGATAGCTTTGCAAAAAACCCTTTATTTCCAATAAGCCCATCAAACTTGCTATTCCTCCAATTATTTGTCGAAAATGGTGTGGGCTTCTTCAGAGAACATTCATGGCTATTTTGATATTCTAAGCTTCGGCTAACAGCGCAATACCTGGGAAATGAAATTTGAAATATTAAATCGTGATTAATGAGTCGTCTGATGAATAAACTCAATTAGTCCTTGAATTAAGTACCGTGTCGTCCTTATGAATACAGTGCGTTAACACGGATGGTTTAGAGGTATATTGTGAAGCCTTGAAACTGGGTCACCAATTATTCTTTAACTATTCACCGAACTTAAAGAAAAGTTCTTGTATATTCAAACATGGGTTGGATCCGTTTGAGTTCACATCGAGGTGTGATTGTTCGATAATTGTGTTTGGCATTTTTGGTAACTATTTTCAACAATCTTTCTTCACAAAAGTGAGTTTTCGCACACAATACCAATTTTGCCCTATTTCCCAGATCTTTAGATATAGAGAACATAAAATGACGTCCATTTTCAAGTCGTCGCACAATGACCTCCTTTACACGACAGCCCCGAAGCGAATTAGCCGAGGTTCCACAAACTCAACGACATCTCTCATGTCTCACACCTCACTCAGCTTTCATCTTGTCAGAGTGATTTATAACACAGCTTCCAAGAGGCGCTTGTTTTCTAAAGCAAACACCAAGATCTCGTATAAATACCTAGGTAAATCTCACTACCAAATCCCCCCATTTCTCCTCTTGGCCACGCAAGAATATTTCCACAAATCACAATCTCATACCAAGAACCAACGATTCTGAGGTATGAATATATAAAACTCACCTCAACCCTCAAACCTCACAATAATTCTTTCTTTGCCAATCCCTCTCTCATCTCCAACCCTCCCCTCATCCAAAATGTCCTCATCCTACACCAACCCCATCCTCCCCGGCTTCAACCCGGACCCCTCCATAATCCGCTCCGGAAATTTCTACTACCTAATAACCTCCTCCTTCGAATACTTCCCGGGGATCCCGCTCTACCGCTCCACAGATCTCATCTCCTGGACGCTAATCTCGCACGTACTAACGCGACCCTCGCAGCTGAACATAAAAACCGTCGAGCCAGGCGGCGGGATCTGGGCGCCCACACTCCGCGAACACAAAGGCGAGTTCTACGTCACAGCAGCTTGTTTTGAGCGGTATAGACCGCAACTAGATGAGAGGGTGTGGCCGAGGGGCTTTTACGTGAAGACGAATGATATTGAGGGGGAGTGGGGTGAGCCGGTTTGGTTTGATCAGGTGGGGTTTGATCAGGATGTAAGGAGAATCACATTATTGAAGAAGTGTGGAAAGAAATCTGTATTGATATAGAATAGCTTTTCTGGGACAATGACGATACAGTCTACCTCTCCACCACCTACCGCAAACACATCCGCACGGAAGTAACACCCCCGATAAAAGACTTCGCCATCCACATCACCACCGTTGATCTCGCAACCGGCCGTTCCACGTCCTTGCCCAAATGCATACGCGCATCCACGTCTGGCGTAGCAGAGGGCTCTCACATTCTCAAACGCAACGGATACTATTACCTGTTTACAGCCGAAGGCGGTACGGAATCCGGACACTGCGAATGGGTGGCACGGTCCAAGGAAAGCCCGTTTGGGCCGTGGGAAGTAGGACCAAGCAACCCGTTGTGGAGGAATGGGATAGGGGATGAGGTGCAGAATACGGGACATGCTGATTTTGTGGAGGATGCGGAGGGGAATTGGTGGGCTGTTTGTCTTGGGGTGAGGCCTTTGAAGAGTGGGGAGGAGTGGAGGAATTCTGTGTTTGGTAAATTCCTATTCTGTTTTCCAGTTCCTTTGGGCAAGATTCTGATTTTTCAATAGGAAGAGAAACTTTCCTCACACCAATGACCTGGTCCAACGACGACTGGCCAGTCATAAACTCCAGCTCCCCAATAACCCTCCAGTCCTCCGGCCCAGGGAAATACCAACTCGAGCACAGCCCCAAATTCCGCGACGATTTCACCACTCCCAACCTGAAACTAGGCTGGTATAGAAAAAGTCCCTCTTCCCTCCCCATTCCTCCCTTCCCAAACTAACATACATATACAGACACCCCCCTAAAACCCGACATCCTCACCACAAACTCCACCCTCACCCTCCTAGGCTCCGCCTACACCGTCTCCAGCCCCAGCACACCCACTTTGATTCTCCGCAAACAAAGCTCTCGCGTCCAGCTCTTCAGCACATTGTTGCGATCCTACGTCCCAAACTCCGAACGCACAGAAGCCGGCGTAGTGATTTACTGGAATCATTTCTCGTACGCAAGTCTAGGCGTGCGCTTATCCCCAGCTGGAAAGAGAATGTTGCGATTAACGCACGAACAACCCGCTGGGAAGGAGGTGAAAGACGTGGAATTAAGGGGTATGGGTGGGGATATCACGTTTTTTATTAAGAGTACGGAGGAGGATTATGTTTTTGGGTATATGGAGAGTTTAGGTTCCTCGGGGGATGAGCAAGGAGTTCAATGGTTGGAGCCTATACCGAATACAACTTTAACGATTGATCCACCGATCGGCATGGCGTTTACGGGGATGATGATGGGGCTTTACGCCTTTGGGGAGATGGAAGGGTGTCTCGTGCCAGCGGAATTTGGATGGGTGGAAGTTTCCTGAAACGGACCAGAATAGTTCAACATCCACGGCTCCAAGAAATTCAAATACTACCGCTTCCAACGTTTTCGTTATTCACGACCTTCACTTGCTATTCTAATAATGTATTGATGATTCTTTATATGAGTAGGAGATGGGGGTGGGGCAATTTCTAAGTAAGTAACAGCCAGATCACGCCCAAGGCTATTCCTTAGCACGTAAAAAGAAAGCTATTCCCACCACTCCTAAACGCACCTCCTCTCTTCATCATTACTATAAAACCGTTACGTAGCTGCCTTAGTAGCTCATATTAGTTGACGAAAAAAGTTGACGAAAAGCCTACTCATAAACTCCACGTATTTCAAAAAAGGAATTCCATTTCACCGAGTCTCTTACCTCCGCACACTCAACACCTCATCAAACTCTAAATCCTTTCGTTATACATGTCCTTATTAGTATAACTAAAAGAATACAATCTTTTACCTCCTCGAGTGTTAGGGACCACTGAGGAACTTACGATCATTGTGATGGATAGGTGAAGAAAGAAATAGGATATCTACTAACATCCATGTCGAAGTATCGAACGGTGAAGCGTTATATATAGTCATTGATCGGAGAAGGAGAGGAGTCGTCGAATCGAGGTAGGTTGTGCGATCTTCGTGGTGTTGCTGGGTATTGTCGTGGTGGGCTCTAGAACCACGCGAGTGTGAATAGCCTCAATCTTCAAGACAGGCGTTCTTAGCTGGAAAGGCTCGAAATCCATGGCCAAATAGTCCAAGAGGTTCCCCTAGAGGTAGTGTAATACTAGGGGAGAACTTCTTTTGCTATTCATCCTATCAAAACGATCTATAATATAAAGGATATGTGTGCAATCAATCGACCAATCCAGGTATCAAAAGAAACGAACGAAACCGAAAACAATTTTAACCGCTTCTGCCCTTGAGAGAAAGCGAATTATGTACTACCCTTCCATAAAGCTGGCAACAAGCCTATTATCAAAACCCAAATAGAATTTCACGTTTTCAACAAACTCCAGCACTCCAGCACTATCCCAAAGTAGACTTGACCACCCAAGTCTAAAACAAATAGGCCTAAAGGCCAATCGACTGAGTGGAGATTTCCATGCCCGCAGTTCAACAAGCTAATTCAAGAACCAGCGCTAAGATGATGAGGAACTCTCGATCAACCGCCGAAAAAAAGAATTTACATTTTAGATGAGGGCAGTAGAGCAACCCTTGTCGAACAAAGGATTTAGTTGTCGGTTTCAACCCTGATGGTCGAGAAGTGAATCTGACAAAGCTGTTCAAGTTCAAGAGTCATCTCGTCTCTCTCTCTTAGATCGGTCGTTCCAAGTCCTCTTCCCAACACGTGTTTCGAAGTGTGGTGCAGTGGTTGGGACATCCTTGCCGGTTGATTCCATTACAGAACGTACTTTGTTGCGGTAGGCGTCCACTATCAACCATTAGTTTTCGCCGTTCATAGAAAGAGCCTAGACTTACAAGCTTTCTGCAAAAACACCGTCTTATCCGCAAACACTCTACTCTGATGCCATGTCATCCTGTAACCCAAATCGTTGAGTCGAACTTCTTTGGTACGAACACTTCGTCTTATCCTAGGAATTTCAACTTCTCCTTCCCCACCATCAGCCAGTGGCACTTTCGTAGTGTTCCGGCCGCGTTCTTTGCGCCCACCACGTGAGCTACCAGAGGCTTCGACCTCAACCGCATCGTCATAATCTTCATTTTCAAAGAATCGACTACCTCTTGCGCTAGGAGGCGGGCTTTGCATCTCCAGTGGAAACCAGCTTCGAGGGTAAACCGAATTACTTCTTCGAAAAGAATCTGGAATCTCCTTGATGTCAACGGTGTCAAGCGTGACCCTCACTCGTGTCCTAGCACCTTTGGTTGGATCGTCAACGACAATAAACTTTCGTTTCTTCGCCACTGGAATATCACCAAATAACAAAATCCGCTCTTCTTCATCAAGTTCTGCCTTTGCATGAGACCTCGACGATGCAGTAATCGGGCCACTTTGTGAAGAACCAGGACCAACATGTTGCGCATACATGGAAGGAGCTACGGAAGCACCACCTACATTCTGACTTGGAGGATAAGACCCGGGTTGGCCTGGATACGCATGAGCTTGTCTAACATCATCACCACTTCCTGGAGTGCCATTAGGAGCTTGATGGTGGTGGTGAGTATTTTCATCGGAGTAATCATCTTCACCTATTTAGGAAGGAAGTCATTAGCCTCTCGCTTTAACCGGCAAGCGAAGTGCGATGCAAAAAAGAATGGGGAAGCAATACAACAATGCAAGGACAAGATGTGTAGGGTATTGGGTGACGCCAGGCAAGCACCGAAGTGCGATATGTATTATACAGGAAGCCAAAAGTGCTCTTCGACCCAAACAATTTCTCCATCCCCAAGATCCCCCTCCCGTTCAACAGGCAATTTCGCACGAAGGTATCATAACACAACAAATATATAATCACAACACAATATTACAGCTGGTGAAACATACCGACTTCATCACCTGCTTGTGCACTTCCATCTTGATGAGCGTGGTGGTGGTGCATACCAGGTCCCATTGGACCACCCATGTTTGGCTTTGGCATGCTTCCGCTGCCAGGGCCCATGTTTTGAGCGGGTGGCATCCCAGTTGGTCCTGCGGGGCCGGACATGTGAGGAGGGTGAGTTGGAGTCTGGCTGTTCGCCTTGCGGTTATTGATCTTTGCCATTCTTCGAACGCGTCGACTTCGTAGTCGAGGATCTTGATTGCTATTTCTCCAGCTGTCGACCGCTCTTTGGATCAAGCCTCGTTTCCCGCGCAGACAGGGGTTCAATTCAGCCAAAGCCCAGCCGACTGTGTTACACTCGGTCTCGTACACTAAGCGATTGCCTCGGTACTGATCTTTGCTGCAGCAAGCGCGTGGATACACGCAATTCTCCGTTTTGAACTCTGGGGTCAAGGTATCAACATTGACAGATTCCACGTCGCACCGAATTGTGTATTCCATCTTGACGCGATCGCGAGAATATTCAAATGCGATCCATTGAACACCGTTGTTGTCTTGGCGTACGACCAAAGGCGTGGTTGCAGGAATTGGACCCGGCGCGGCATTGGGGTTGACACCACCCGCCCCTGGAACATTGTTGTTCTGCTGCTGTTGCATTTGAGCCCCGTTTGTAGGATGTTGAGGGGGTCCCAAGGGCGCGGTGGGCTGACGGTTCATCTGTGGCACATGCGGTTCCATCTTTGTTCTTGGACTGCCGTTTATACTTTGCTGTGCGTGTTGGCCCGGGTGCTGCTGCTGTTGCTGCTGCATCTGATGTTGGTTTGGAGTGTGCGACATTAACAAGTTTGGCTGCGAAGTCATCGCAGGGTGTTGTTGTTGCTGCTGCTGATGTTGTTGTGGATGTGGCGCGCCATATGGAGATGGATTTCCTTGTGGCGGCATCGGTGGTGGGTATTGGGGTTGTTGAGGCCCTCCATAGTACATCTGCGGATTTTGTTGCAGCTGCGAAGCAGGCGCGCCATACATGTTGTGCCGTTGATCGTGAGCTGAAGGCGACGCGACTGACGCTGGAGAATTCGACTGCGGAGTATGGTATGAGATTGGGGGATATGGACGCGACCCCATCTGAGCCGCTGCCATTATGTCTGGAGTCTCTGGTGCTGGGATCTAATTAGCTGACGCGATCTTGCAAAAAGAAGTATCCCTATCATCACGTACCAGCTGAAGAATAGGTTCCTGACGCGCTGGGAGTACTATATGGACTTGGGTGCGTCGAGTAGTATGGCAAACCCTCCTGTGGATGCTGTCCTCCAGGCCCAGGCGCGCTCTGCTGTGTGTATTGGGGTAGACCGTGGGAGGGAGGGTATGCGTTGGAATGTTGAGCTTGAGGAGGAGGAGCCTGTTGCTGATGATGTTGCTGATGTACAATGCTCGAGGGTCGCGGCTGCTGAAGGTGATGGGGAGGAGGGCCCTGCTGCGCGTGGTGGGGATGATGCTGCATCGGAGCCATCTGTTAGCAACGATTCTGTGACTCGACTGCAATGCAATGTTCTAGGACAATAACCATTAAGAGAAAAGCAAGTCGCGTCGCGATGTTTACTTTGATACTCGAGATGTAAGAAAGAGGTAGTGAATCCTTGCGACGAGGGTCAACTGCAAAGACGCGGTCCCTTGAGTCCGATCTTCTGCTTTTGAACGTAGCGCCGCCACTGGAAGGAAAGCAATGGGGAAGAAACGGTGATTTTCCAGGAGGGAGTGCGGCGCGACGGGGGGTCAAATAACAAGGAAAGATTGCGAGGGTATTACCTCCGTCGAGAAGCCTTGCTCTCTTACGAAATAATCTTCAGATGATGGATAAGAAGAGGCCAAGCGACAAGGCAATATCCGAGTTTTTGCGCGAATCTGACCGGGGGGGTCTCGACACTTATGACTGAAGTGGAGTGACGAGGACCGCCAAGGCAGAAGAGGCTTAGGGGAAGTTGAAAGGGGATATGGAAAGCAGAGATAAAATTAAGCAAGAACCAGGCGCGGAGAATAGCAGAAAAGAGCATAGACAAAGACTGATCGGAGCGAGGATGGATATGTACGAGTGAGGAACAGGAGTAACCAGGTGTGGGGGGTGTAAGGTGAGGTACGGACAAGGTGTGTGTGGTGTGGTGTCTGGCGGTCTGGTACGGCGATGGCAGTGGTGGTGAACGTACCGGATCTTGCTGGTTCTGGTGGTTGTGCTCGTCGAGATGCTTGTTCGTTGCCGTTGCCGTTGCTGCTGGCGTAGGGCGCGGTGATGATGCTGGTGGTGATGGATGCTGGCGCTGATGCTGGCGCTGATGCTGGTGAAGGCAAACGGCGAGGGTGTCGGGCCAGTCGTGATCGTCTTCGAAGGATTCGCGAATGGGATTCGAAGGTCGAGCAGGGCCGGCAGAGGCAGAGATTAAAGAACCCAGGGGCAGCGGTCAGGACTCAGAAATGGCAGGCTGCTCAGCAGACGACGGTGGGACGACAACGCATGGAAGAAACGTGACAGGGTTTATATCGCATTGCGGCAAGTCGAACGAGGGACGTCGGCCAGACAGGGGCGAGGGGCCAATGGGATATACGTCGAGCAGGCCTGACCGACAGGAGGCGACGGGGAACAGACCTCGAGACACGCTAGCCGTTGCGGGCGTTAGCGTCGTGGCAGCCTGAAGGACAGGGGCGAGCCGTGAGAGGAGAGAGAGCGCCGGAGGGCAGGTGGATCCGGCTGCAGCGTCGTGCACATGTGCGCCAAAGGACCAAAGGTGGACCGGTGGGTGGGACTGGAGAGGAGAGGCGTGTCGCCGCCTTTGCCTTTGTCTCTGTTTCTCGATTCCATGCGAGTGCGACGCTTGTCCAGTGTCCTCGCGCTTCAGCGTGAAGAGCGGTGGAGGAGCTCCCTTCAGCAGTCGTGTTCGGCGCATCCAGCCCACGCGATGCCCATCCGTCACCACCACTGACTCACTGGAGCGACTGCCGCAAGACAGATCGCCCTTCTGGCTGCTGCTGCTGCTGCTGCGCTGCTCGTCTTCCACTGCAACTGCACCGTCCGCACCCGAACGAATTCCTGGATTGTGTGCATCGCTGCGCCGTCGTGCCATTGCCTTCTGTATACGCAACATCTCCCACCGATGCACGACTGATTCATGAGGTCTGGAGAAGCGCAGACGCTGGACTCGGTACTGCGCTGGACGGGCACGCTGAGGTCTTGCCCGACCGACCCAGCACCAACTTCAATCATTTCCAGCGTCTGCCAGTGTTCCCTCCCCCCAAGCCACAGCTCGTCCTCCACTGAAATCTTACGTGTTTCCGAGTGCCACCACCAAACACACCCACACCAAACGAACCGCATGCTTTTGCGCGACCGTTAACCGAAGCCCTGTTTTGGTGATATTCAGGGGCCTCTCGATCCCCACCCCAGGTCAGTGCGGACCACGACCATGAACTCACTCGGGCCCCTTGGCTGCGACCCGCGTGGGATTGGGCAGCAAAGCAACACCCTGTCTCACAACCCAGAAACGCCCTGATCCATGGTGAAACGAGTCTACGAAAGTCCCATCAAGCTTGCTTGTCGCCAGCAGCTCGAGTAGGGGACCAGCGCGCCCTGCAATCTTCTGGAAAGTGTCGTCGAAGCCACACCTCATCGAACTTCATGCCCCGCAAAACACGCTACCCCTGCGCACTTGAACAAACAGAGCGTATCTTGCGAGTTGGGCAGAAGATGCCGTGAAGCAAAGCAATTATGCTTGTGTCGCCGTAAGAGTGTACAAGCGCGAGAATACGTCTTGAGCCAAGTGCTCACCACAGTGATAAAATAGAACGAACAAACGAATGCTCCAATTCAACGAACAAAAAGCAACTTACATGATCTCCCCCCACAGCTACTCCGGGTTCCTCTTTGTATCCACCATTTTGTCGATGAGACATCTCCTTTGAAATCACTGTAGAAGCAAGAACCTGTTAGCCACAAATCCGACGACAATCCAGCTTCAAGCCACATGTCTGTGTCCGCGGTTGAACAGGTACATCGTATCCAGATCAATTTAGACTACAGCCTCGGAAGAATAATCCAATATGCAGTCTGCATGGATATGGGAGCAAAGGGTCATCATTACTTACCTAGCAATACGCTAATAAATAACAAAAATTGTATGATTTTAGACTCGATTCCTTGATGCAGCATAGATTAACTAGTAGCCTGATCTTAGAAAGTGACTATAGTGTTAAAGAAATTAGCAAGTTTCCAATTAGACTGATCTGTTTTCAAGTACAAAACGATCTTCGAAACGCATGACACGGCGGTGCATTGTGGAACAAAAATAGAACATATTCCAAATGGACGTGCCCCGGAGGCGATCATCTTATGGAAACACAATGCCAAAATTGGGGAAATGAATTCAATGCGACAAAGTCAAGCATCTTTGCTTAGGACTCGGGAAGAATCTTCGCCATCTGCAATACCACCAAGCGCTGAAAAAGGCACCTCGAGTCTTCGCATCGATGTTAGGGCGAGCAAAGCCAACAAAGGTGTGTCCAACGGTCGGGGATGCTAGCAGATCTGGCGTGATACAAAATCTTCCAACTCGAGTAGAAATCGCAAAAGCGGCGGGGAATTGTTATTGAACTTGTAGTCGAAAACATGCATAGAACAATGACAAGTTCCGGCGTGCCTATGACCAACTACTGGGCCGAAAGCAGAGCGTTCGCAGACGCCAAATCTAGTGCGAACAGACAAGCACAAGCGCTCATTCGACAAGTCCTCTTCCCACGTGTAGAAAGTGACTATTCAACAGTAGGGATGCAAGGAGATCGAGCTGTAAACAGTGGCTCCTTTGACGGAGGCTCGCTCATAGCTTCAATAACACTCGAAAACAGTGTTGAGCAGCAATAGCTCTTCTCCTTAGAGAGCCAATAACTCGACAGCCAGTGGAAGGATGGGGGAAATATGAATAGTAATAAAAGAGAGAGCTTACTCAATTTCTTCTCAGTATAGCGGTAAAGAATTTGGCATGCGAATGCTTGATCCTATTTTCCTGTCAGCTTGATGATATAAACATAGCTTGCAAGTAACTCGACTAATGCAAAACTAAGAAACCTGCATACTTCGCGCAAAAAGAATCGATGACGGGACAGGGAAGACAAAGTGGTTGATAGATGACGCAATGAATGCGCTGACAAGGCTGAGATGGCAGCTTCCACAAAGAACATTCTTTGGTGGAAGACCAGTCAAAGAATGGTCGACGTGCTTGGAGATATAATATACAAGCATGGGTGGTCCATTGACAGGAAGCCAGGGATGATAGCCCATCAGAAGCCAAGAAGTGCAGGCGTCGGCACATTAATTAGAATGGGATGGGGTGCAGCGTTGAACGAGGGAGCTGGTCATGCAGCAGCCCTTTGATCATGGATGTCGTTTCGCTTGGACACCCGCTACGCGGGAACAATAGCAGGGGATGGGTAGAAATGCCACCACATCATATGGAATAGATTTTTAGGAAGATTATCTTAGACGTACCTTCTCGTATATCGCCTTGGAATCGAAGAACGGAGATGTATCAGGGGGGCTTTCTTAAGTGCCGGGTGAAAGTATGTCCTTTAGCTTGCAAGACTGGTTCTCTGTCAATTCGTTAGCCCTCCATCAAGCCCGCAGATGTACATGCATAAGCCAGTCTAAACAATTCTAGACGCAAACAAAACTTCTTTCTCATACGAGACACAGAAGGGAAAACTATCAAACTAACAAGAGAAGAGGAGCGTCTAAAAGCCAGCAATCAAATTAGAGACTGTGTGAGGTAGGTGGTGATTGGCGAAGGGTGTGTAGAGTGGTAAAGGGAGGTTGATAGTGTGCGTGACCGAGGATACGCTTTTGCAACCAAACCAATGCTCTAGGAAACTCGAAAGACCGAGGTCTATTCGGCGTCGACAAGCGCACGTAGTTGTACGCCGAATCTGCGCAACGCAAACGCTGCTCAATTCCAGACCTTGTGATTCCTCCGCGAATAAACAGTCACCAGTAGAAGCAACTCAAAGATCCGAACCCAGTAGATCGGATGAGAAATGCTCGTCGCGACCGGGAAGAGAACTGGAAATGTGGAGTATGCGAGGATAGATGCCGCTGGGGAACGTGGGCGGATATGTGTGGGAAGGGAGGCAGCAGTCGGAAGATGAAAATATCGAGTCTGTACTACAACTATGTCAGCGCTGCGCAATGCAGATGTTGATTGAGAAATTTGGCACCAAAGCAGGTGAGTATGGTAGGGCTGATTTCTTGTGTCGCAGAGGTGATGCCGATTGTTATTTTCGTGCAGGGAGACACTCCAGCGCGTCTGTCATCTCGGTGATCTGAACGTTGCGGAGTTGTACGTGCGTCGTGCAAAGAAAGAAAACACGAGGTCGCTAAAGGGCACGGCGCTGGCGCTGAGACGCGTTCCTGACGACGTTGAATTTGACGTTGAAGGCGTCGATACTGACTCAGGTTGTTCCCAGACGAGCGGTAACAAACAACACCAGGAGCGCGAGGAAAACAGATGGATAGGAGAACTAACCTAACCTGTGCACTGATCCGTGACACCAAGGGAACAACAGCTGCTCTGGCAAGTAAGACCGTTCCGTGCTGGCCTGGAGCTGCGAGACGGTTGATATTGATGTTGATATGGCGATAGACTCGCAAGTCCTCTGGTCCGTGGTGTTGATGGAAGGAACTTGGATGGTGGAGCTGCAGCAAGCAGGCACGTTTTTGTCAGCCGAACGAACGCCGAGTCCTGAAAAAGTCGAGGCACCTGTCGATTCCGACGGCACGTGTGAAGAACGTGATCCGGTTTGTAGGTGATGCAAGCTCGTGGCAGATGATGACGACGGTGTCACCTCGAATTCACGACGTTCTAATGTAGTGTCGATTGTGTCGAAGTCGTCTTGTCGCGATGGTTCTCTCCCCACGGGCACAATTCTTCTAAACAGCTTCGAGATGTCAAAGTTTAGGCCAACGGTATTGCATGCGGGTAGCAGTCGCAAGGATAGGGGGCGTGTTGCGCCCGTGGAGAGATCCTTGACCTGGATCGCAGTCGATTCAGAAGCTGCCGAAAGCTTGATTGGAAAGTGGCTCGCCTGGTCGCGAGGGGAAGCACCATGCGATGCAAGAGAGAAAGAGGTCGAAGGGCAAGGAAATCATCTAGGATGTTTTGCCTAGGATGAGGGAGCCAGCAGAGAAGCAGGCACCTGGTCTGGCGTAGGAACGTTTGTTGCGCAGGGTCAAGGTGACGGTATCGACAACGTTCGAAAACGTGGGAAGCGAGTCGTAACTAGAAAACAAAAAGCTTCTCGAAGAACCTTCTTCAGATAAACAATAAAAGCGAAAAAAGAATAGTCAAAGAGGAAAATCCAAATAACAAAATCGGGAAATACGGAAAGCACTGCTCCTTTATACACATCAACAGCACTAAACTATTTGACATCGCGATTTTCGAATTTTCGACAGCGGCGCCCGATAAAACGATCGATGGTCAGCTTCCCGAAATGCTTGAAGTCCGGCTATTTTATTTTATTTTGCTTTACTGTTTTACCTCGTATGCTTCTAGTACTTACTGCCATTTTTTTCGCAGCTGGATGTACAAACAACCTACTCTCATATCCCGTTAACTATTATTTACTGGTTAAACGTGTTTCAGATTTTAAGGATGGTCGCATTAAATGTACAACATGCTTCATACAATCGGGACCAGTGTAGGAAAGGGTTTTGGCCCTAACATGAAGTCATAGAGCCAGTACAGTCAGTACTACGGCTAATGTGAAGTGGTCTGCTTAGATTCTCCTGTACCAAAGCAAATGACTCCTTGAACCGCGACAAGCCAGCCGCTATCTTTACAAGCTACTTCGAAGTACAAGTCCTAACACATTTATGTCGTCATCTGCGCCCCGCCGCAACCTCTCAGCTATGTACATCTCGATCTCATCTTGCTATAACTCTCTAAGCTCTCCAAGCTGTTGAGCAACAATCACAACTATGGATGCGGCACTCACACCCACTGGTGCAACGCTCCTCACCCCCCTTTCAATATCTTCCGTCTCAGCTCGATGCAATAAGACGGGCTCTTATTATCTCAACCGCCAATAATAACTGTCGCTGACTTGGCTTTCGGAACAACATTCTAATTATCACTCTATCTGACTTACTTAAGTCTAACTCGTACCTGGCTACGCAATTGCATACCGTAGGCTCGGAGGACGACCTCGAAAGAGCATTATCATTTGATCAGCGACCAAGTTTTGCCACGAAGATCTTGGCACGTAACTTAAGGGCCTAACTTGACCACCAAAACCATGAAAAGGACTTTCTGTCACCCCTTACGCCGACCCATGGAAACATGGCGTTTTCGTTCTACTGTTACCCCCGCTTCCTTTCACGCGTTTCTCTTCACGCGCTTTCGGACGGTACGCTACAGCACCTCATGACCGCGGGACTCGAGATGCCGTGCGAATTCGAAATACTGGAGCGGCAAGGTGAAGTACATGATTTCCAGTCCCGTCTTGCTTATACGATGTTACGCCGCGAGTCGTGTTGCTAACGATAGGACTTGGAAATTCATGCTTCACCGTCTCGCTCGTGGCGCCGGTTGACAGCCTTCCGAAGCTGCAGATATGTGGTGATTGTGTGATATGATGCTGCACACATTATTACGCTTCTCCAAATAAAGGCTCATCGAGACTTTGAACGGTTGGCTCGCATAGCATGATTGGCTAATACCACTAAACACCAAAAGTTTGAGGCAGTCAGAATGGTTTCACCGCCCCATGATTGTCAATCAACCTCCCATTTCGCTATCACAAGCCCGCCCTTCATTTGGCAGTATCTGGCCGAAATGTTTGAAAGACATGTGTCATGCTCGCTTGGAAGTGTTTCCTCCTCACGATCTCTCAACATTATTTCCTGCGTTTGAACGGCCCTTCAGCACCTCGAATCACCTCCCGCTCCAATCAATACCCCCGTCGCCACCGTTTTACCCGGAATAAGACACTTTCCTTTGAAAGGAGGTGTTCGGTGGAAAGCTCTGATTCGTTTGCTCATCTGCTGGGCGAGCTGGGCAAGGCGCTCGATCGCGATGATTTTATTGCGCGAGTTGCAAGTTCCAGAGACGGTGTTGATGAAGTGACGTTGGAATGATCAGTGTTAAAGATATCCAGCATGTCGTTCACCCATGGCCGGCAGATAGATATTGCCAGGCTCGAGACGTCGGCATCGTGAACCATTCGTAAGGCTGCCTCAACCCTCAAGGAGTTGAGGCCTTGCCTGGTAAATCGGAGAATTTCACTTCCTTGAGGGTTGTCTTGCGCCAACATGACATGTCAAGGTGGGAAGGAGCCACGGTGCCCAGTCTTCGAGCCTCAAACGCTGCAGCTCTCAAGCCGTCTACATCAAGGGTATTGTTTGTACTCGATCAGTTCAACAATGGATATATCAGGTACTGATTAGCCAGAACTTAACACTCTACTTCCGCTATTCCACCACGTAATTTCAAACAACGGGCGAGAGGCAAGTAGTGTCGTGTCATGTTAACACATCTCTTCTTCAATCCTGTTTCACCACGTAACTGATCGCAAATATCACTATCTGCAGGTGATTTAGTCTACACAGATGAGATACAAGTATTCATAGTCCAGGCTTACATGACCTTACGATGCTTGTCTAGTCCCTTCATCGAGCCGTTGCAACTTGCAAGGTCTGCCAGAGCAGCGGTGTCAACAGGGGAATCCAACGCCATCAACCTTGATTCCCCGTTCCGCTGGTCTCACCCATCACCACACCGTTGAACCCAAAAGCCCCTGTTGACAGCTCTAAAGTCGCGACTAGACTTGCGCGATGATGCTTGTGTGAGCGAACGTCAACATCAACCTCACTTTGTGACTTCATAAAAGCGAATGATCCAGGAGACTAAGCTACTCTTCCGCGGTAAATTAACACGGCAACTCGCGCGATCAATTCGGATGATTCATATGTCAAATTTTGTTTGGCAAACGACCTCGGTTCGGGAGTACTAACCAAGTTTCTCTCGCGCCGGGAAGAAAACGATCTAGACTTGGGAACTTTTAGTTAGACATGTCGTTCGGATCAGAGTTTCTTTCGGCAAGTTCCATTCGGAATATAAATTCCCTGTTGATCGACATTGAATCTTCTCCAGTTTCTCCTCAATAATATGCTTCATAAGCAATAATTCTCCTGAAAAAGGCCGCAAGAGTTCCGACCCTTATTGATCGATACTATCTATGGTTACATCTCCGAAAGCTAAGCTCCGCGAGCTTCGAAATTCAAGTTTCCTTGACAGATCATATCTTTTACGAACGCTTGGCCGGCTAATGATGCCTCTCTTCGTTTAACTTTCAAGCCCCATCTTTAACTTTAACTCCATCTGCATCACAGCTCATTTACCAGTCTGCTTTGGGACATTATGCCCTCATGTCACTTTTTAGGAGATGCGTCTAAGTATGAAACGGGAAAAGTTGGTTCTCATCATATCCAAATCCTTTCCCGAAATGCAAGAACGTTTACAGTCGCTTGAGACCAGAATGTCGTTTCGCGAAATGGGCGCCCAAAGCGCACCGCACCGTAAAAGCCTCATCTACCAAAGTTCTAAATCTTTGGGTGCCAGTGTTTCATTGATCATATCACAATTTTCAGATCCCCAGATCGTCTCAATCTCTGGCGCACAAGCCGCGAATGGTATGAACGCGCTCGAAAAGTCTCCGACTTGGAACGAAATGTTCTGTGCGAGATTTTTACTGTTTTCATTTCGATAGGGAAACGTCGAAACTGCAATGATCATCACATCTGAAGGATTACTCGCACATGCGTGTACCTCGAAGCAAGGCCAGACTTCGTACAGTACGTACCGAAATGAATCATACTTTGTAGCTGCATGTAAAACATGCAGCTCTACTCCACTACTTCGTAGACCGCTATGTCTCTTTCTCGTTGTCCAAAAATCCCATATACCCCCCAAGATCGGATATAGCAAGCCCCAACTCTACAAATCAGCATCCCCCATTTCGTTTGTCCAGGCGCATCTCCAAGATCTGAACAACACAGATCTCATATCAGCAAGAGCAAAATCTATATCATATCTCTGCCACGTCGACAATCATCTTCCGAGACATCCGGCTTCTGACTTAAACTTTTCACAATCAATGAATCCAGCCATCTGTATTCTTAGCTTTTGCTGACGAAGACATAATATATCTGAATCCCGCTCCCATTTTCTCATTGGGCCGTGAAAAGCGGCATGCAAGACGCTGAAATATGCACTCACATGATTTCCCACTCGGTGTGGAGATGTCTTCTTTTCTCGCAACGATCGGCGGATCCATCGTTCCTTCCCGCGAGCCAATCAGCCTCTCTCTTGCCTGTTATATCAGAAATAGCGATATTCACATATACCCTCCAATACGAAAACACATGCACGCGAAAATGTCGGCATAATCTCCATCACTGTAGCATTCTCGGCACCTCTATTCTGCCAGTCTTACGAAAATGCCAGTTTAAGTTTCATGATTTTGTACGTACAGCTTTGAACGCCACGGGCTTTACACGCCTCGTTTATACATTGGGGAGGTGTGACCTTCCATTTACATCTTTAAGCCATTGCTCGGCAGCGCCGTTTGGAAAGGAGGTATGACGACGACTTTTCGAGGTTTAGTGCGGTCATACGGGAATGAGATTCTGGTACGACGAGGGATGGATTTACTGAATTGATTTGGCGAGTGCGACTTTGAGGCCGTTTGTGATGGATCGTGGTGGCTTACCCCCTTAGGTGAGCGGGATGAACCGTAGTTGAGGGTTTGGCCATGGTGTTGCCCCTTTTTTGCAACGGTTTTCTGACCCGACGGTTTGGTTCTTTTGGGATCCTGGATGGGGTGTTAAGAACTGGGATTGTGATGGTGAGGCCGATTTGAGTCTTTTGCTTTGGGTACATCACTTTTCACTCGAAAAGTGAGATACAGTGACGATTTCCCTAGTATTATCTCAAGAAGGAATTCCATTCGTGTCCGGTATAAGTGAATCGTGTTTTCCAAATATCTCTTCAAATCAAATCCACTTCCACTACAAATCGTCAACAACGCTCGTTAAACGTTCATCACGCCACCCAGGTGCCTCTTTGTAACTCTAACCTCAAATAAGCTTAATACCAATGTGATATTGAGGCACCGCAATGAGGTTACATTCTAAAGAACTTCGAAGAACGGTATCTGTGCCTCACGGATTGAGGCTTTACATTCTGTAACCTTACGTACACGCCAAAGCGAGTGTGTAGGTGACTGGTTAGCTCATACGAATACTGTATTGGGAGACGAGAGGGATCTGTTCGATTGATGCTATTTGGCTTGGCTTAAGTTAAAAAGTTAGGGTTTTGAACTTGAGAAGTGATCTTTGGAGTTTGAAAAAGGGGTAAGGTGGTGTCACTTAACGTAGTCTTGGGAATTATTTGTATGTTTCATTTTGGCATGACATCAAGCTGGCTGTAGAATTGATTTCAAACCTGGTTCTATCATTCCTAAAGCTTGCTTCAATTGTGTGAAAGAGTTTATATGTAAGCTCAATGGAAAAGGTGTAATTTATTGAAAAAATTATGTTACCAAACATTTTGTGAAATTGAAACACACATACCTAACAACTAAGAATTTATATGCAAATGCACAGGATCTCACAAGTCTCACAGATTAACATTCATCTTTCCAAAGATGATTAGGAAGGTCCCAGTTTCAAGACAAGGATGAGCTAAAGTGTTACATGAATTAAACAAACAATCATCACCAATTTATCTACGGACACTTCAAGTTACCTAGACAACCAAGTAACTTAACTTAGTAGCAGTAAGCTCAGTCCTCGCAAAGTGAGAACAGCATTCTACCTATCTAGATTCATGACTGCGTTTATAATTTGAGCAGTAGCTCGCAGGACATTTCAGGGTGATTTAATGGTCTTTCTCGAAACCGGCAATTAAAAATTCTTAGTTGAACTTCTGCGTTGGATAATTACCATCATCGATTCATCGGTTTGTCACTTATTTCTAAAATTATGAGAGCTTAATGTACGTTTCTCTCACTGCCTTCAGACTCCTCAATGTGTCGTCTTTGCCACGCGAATAGGACAAGTCCTGATTGCAGAAGTGCTTCTAGACTCCTTCAAAAAAGGAAATAGGCAACAGAAGAAAACCGACACTGTCACGATCCAGAATTATAGAGTCATACACTTACATACATCTATATGATTCAATTTTACCTGCTAAACTATTTATTCTTCGAAAGAGAAATATTTCAACAACTTACATCTGTAACAACTTACAACTCATAAACCCATGATTTAGAGATAGACGTTTTCCAATATTGTATTCCGAAGTAATGAAGTTTTATAGTTTTCGTAACTGGAGTTCTTGATGAAGGTATAGGAACTGATTAAATGGTGTGTTTTGTTACTGCTGAACTATGTATCATGTAAAACAATAAAGTCAGTTTCGGTTTTGAGTATACTTTTCCCACACGGCAACACTTCAAGCCATAGAACCCCAACATTCTCAAGATATCTTAATTGGCCATATATATACTAATGTAGTGATCAACCTTTTATTTTATTCGTTGCTGATAATTATTGATGCAATGAATGTTGTTATTGCCCCACTATTACCCCAAGTCTGGGGTTACGAATCGCTTGACCTCCTCCTCCTCCTCATCATCATGACAATTGCTTTCACAACATTGACGAGTTCAATCAATAGTCAATCAGTGGATATTTCCTTTTAAGAGCTTTCCAGTACTTCAAATATCAAAAAAAAAAAATTTACTGATCTCTCTGTCAAGTAACATAACTATCGGTGCAGCTCTCACCCATGTTCTCTCGAAATCACGACATAACCCCGCCCATCACATCATCCGATCGCCCAACTCTTTACCCCCAACACGTCTCCCAGTATTGCTATACACGGTTCATTCCTGGCAGTCCCCTAAGCTTTTCTGACTCAAGAGGAGCAAGAACGCCGAGATGCTTAAGGTCTGGTTGGCTTGACGCCTTCAAGCTTGAATGAGACCGGGGTTTGTGAGGATGTGTGGATGCGGTTTGTGCAGTAGGTTGAGGTAAGATGATGGAGGAGGATACGTTCGATGCTTGGATTCTTGGTTATCTTATCGCGGATATTTTGTTCTTATTGTTTTCCTTAAAAGTTCTGCGGTCTGTCCCCTTTTGTTGCAGTTTTTGAACTGATTTTGCTTCTCTTACTTCATCCCGACCTTCATCATGGCTTCAATAGACCCAGAGAAGTCGGCTCACGAGCAGCAGTTTCATGCTTCTACTGTAAAGAGAGCTGACGATATTTCTCCGGCGTCTTCAACACATGCCGATGAGGCATATGAGCTCTACAAGAATGGAAAAGGATTGGACATTGATCCTGCCGAGTACAAAAGAGTCCTTCGAAAGATTGATTTCCGCATTATACCTATTTTGTTTGTTACCTATATGCTTCAGTATCTTGACAAAAACTCGATCAATTTTGCCAGCGTATATGGATTGAAAAAGGGAACACATCTACAGGGACAAGATTATTCATGGCTCGGTACGTCAACCGTAGATGGTGTCCAATGCCTGCTAATACTAAGAAAGGCTCGATCTTTTACTTCGGATACCTCTTTGCACAATTTCCAGCAGGGTACTTACTTCAGCGTCTTCCAATTGGGAAATTCTTGAGTCTTGCAACGATCGGATGGGGGATAGTACTTATTACTACACCGGCTTGCACATCTTTCGCGGGGATAGCTACGAATCGGTTCTTGCTCGGTGCAATTGAGGCGACTGTGAATCCAGGCTTCGTACTTATAATGAGCATGTGGTACACAAGTGCGGAACAACCTTTACGGCTTGAGATTTATTACTGTACCAATGGAATTGCCACTAGTAAGCTTCTTCGGACACCAACTGATGCTGACCTCCAACTAAAAGCTTCGTAGTGTTTGGCGGCTTAATCGGCTACGCGGTGGGCCATATCACAACCGGTCTCGCGAAATGGATGTACGTCTTTTTGATATTCGGATCGGTCTCAATTGCCTGGGGTATTGTCTCCCTCATCTTCCTTCCAGATCTTCCGTCCACCACCAAATTCCTCACCGAATCCGAACGTCTTGTAGCCGTTGCTCGCGTCGCGGCAAACCGTCAAGGTGTTAAGAACCACCACTTCTCCAAATACCAAGCATGGCAGACTGTTAAAGATCCGAAGACATGGATTCTTTTCGTAATGGCAACAGGAGCGCAAGTACCAAATTCTGCGTTGACTAGTTTCACAAGCATAATCGTCGGATCATTTGGCTTCGACACTCTTGGTACGCAATATCTGCAAATTCCAGGTGGAGCAGTTCAATTTCTTGCACTTATCGCTGGTGGCTTTGTTTGCACCAAATGGCCAAACAACACACGCTGTCTGACCATGATATTCGCCAATAGCGTCTGCATTATCGGGGCTGGTTTACTCGTAGGTCTTCCGACTGATAATAAATGGGGACGTCTCGTGGCTCTCTGGTTATGTTACTTCCAGGGTCTAGGATTCAGTCTCAGTCTCACAATGGTGAGTAGTAATGTCGCCGGTTACACCAAGAAACAACTCACTGGAGCGGTTCTGTTTACTGGATATTGTGTTGGAAACATCATTGGTCCACAAACATTTATTGATAAGGAAGCTCGTAAGTTTTAGACCACCTGCACTCTTCTTCTTCTTCTTCTTCTTCTAGCTTTATATTCGAAATGAAACACTTGCTAACAAACGTAGCAAAATATCACAGCGCCTACATTGCGATGCTGGTGGGCTATACTGTAAAGCTTGCGATGGTCATTGTTTTATATATCTACATGTGGTCGGTGAATAAAAGCAGAGATAGAGCGCAAGCTGAAGGTGGAGTACTTAGTGAAGAGGAAGAAAGAGAGGCTGTTGAAAAGGGAATGTTGGATGTCACAGAAATTGACAACAAAGGTTTTAGGTATATTTTGTAATTCGGTTGGGCAAAAAATAAAGTATCAGAAAGATCGACCTTCAGTTGTGATCTTGCACATCAATCATCAGTGTAATGGATTGAACGCGCTTGGAACAACGCGCTTGTGAATCAGTCTTGCACGTCATACATCAATGTGATCGGTTGAATTCACTTATAGCAGCGCGCTTGTGATTCAGTGGTGAATATGAGCTCCTGCTGGCAATGCCAACAAACATAATTAGTTGAACTTGGACCTTTTTTTCCACAACCAACACGACGACCTCCATATTTGCGACATCACGCGCATCCTATTGCACAACCTCCTCAACAAGGCAATCTCAGTCGGTAATTATTTTAAACTTAACACCAGGTCGAAAAGCCACAGATCACAAAGACACAGGTGAGCTGTTCAGAGTACTCTTTAGGTAGTATCTAGTCTTACTAAGTTTACTAGGCAGGCGGCCTGACAGACGTATTGCGACTATGGTGAACTCAATCGCACTTAGTGTCTTACGCGGGATCGTATATCCTGGATATGCTGAAGAAACGACAGGCGCTACAACCTCTCCCAGTGAAGAAATCGCGCCTGGTTATGCAGAAGGCCGAGATGGCACCAACAATCGGTGTAACAAAGACGAAACTGCAGTCTCCGAGGTGTCCGAGGATGATAGCAGAGATGGAGAAATACTGCAAGAATTCTTGCCGTTCCCACGACTTCCGGGCGAACTACGAATCATGATTTGCGAAGTGGCTATCTATGCACTTCCTGGTCAAGTCAGACACTTTCCATCTATTAAGAATCCTCCTTCGTGGTTGTTCGAGGAAAGACCGCTCGCATTATGTACGGCTTCCCAAGATGATTTTGACTCAGAAAGAAACAATGGCGGCATATAAATCGTCCAGAGGGTTGATTATCGATCCGTGTTCTAGTTTAATGACTCTAGCCGAGGCTGAGATCAATCCATACAACGATATTCTCTGGCTGGAGGATCCTCATGACTTCAGAAGAATTGTTTGGGCTTCACCGGGGAAGCTTCGAGATACCGTTAAGCAGATACGAAGTATTGGATTTCATGAGGACAACCACGGTGGCTGGTTTCCCGATGCTGAAGATCCTGGGCTTAATATTCGGGATTCTCACCTGCCTCTTCTTCAAGATATCTTTCCTAGTATGCAGACCATTTGGGTGGTTCCCGCGAACCAAGCCCTTTGGTCGACACCTACAGCTGCGCCTTGGTGAAAAAAGTGTTCTCCGCCGGTAAATTGGTACGAGGCGGAAAATTCCGAGGTGTATGAAACGGCTAAGCCTGCGGGCCTTGGAGCTATGGGCCTTCTTCTACCTGAGATGATTACGTTCCCAAAGATGTGGGACGCACATCAACAGCATGTCAAAAGCTCCAAGTCTGGTTACGTGCCTAGGAAGTGCCCAGAAATCAAAATGATGCATCTTAGGCCCAGACGGTGGGAAGATTATCCTGTCCTTTTCCGATAAGTCGTGACTAGCGGCCATGGACGGTTAATGAAGGAGGTTTCCCGAGCAGATTTGTTTGGGTCTCTTTTTTGCAACTGATATTTAGGAATTGTTATAGATATTTTGAACGTATAGGTTCTCACAAAATGATTTTACTCATGGCGAGCTTTCCGGTGATTTGAGTATCCTCACCTTTGCTATCCTCACCTTTGCATCATTGTATGGACGAACGACATCTTTATGATGAATATTTCTGTCACGCCCATTGTTGGATTCTGTACACCAAGAGATAACTGACAATGTATTGAACATGATCAAAGTGAATCATATGAATTCGGGCTTTGTTCATGGTGATTTCACATAAACGAAAACAAGAAAGCTTTTGGTATCCTGGCAGATCGGTCTCAAGCGAGTATTTACATTCACCATGGATTATTGGTATACTACCCAACACTGTCAATCTTGGTTGGATCCTTTATTTACACACAAGAACTACCAGCACTAGGCCCATGATCATGGCTTCACCCGATCGTATGCAAACGCGAAGTGGCACGCGAGCTTTGCTAAGGCCTAGCACTTCGCAATTCTGTTGTTTGTATTCATGCTAATTCTAACTGACAGTGCCGCTTCTATTGGACAAAATGCGCAAGACTATGCCCTTCAAGCCGCGAACCAGCAATATGGCAGTCACTCGTCGTATTACGCGTTTTCTAATGGAAACACAAGACCATTCGACCAAAACAGTCAAGTCCCTCGAACACAAACGAATCCATTTCTGACGTCTAATTTTTTCAACATGCCGCCGAGTATGCAAGCAAATGAATTTCCACCTACCAACCAGTTTACTGTTCACGGTACTCAGACGCCATACCACGAATCTCCTCAACAGACGTATCGATCGTTTGATCCTCACGCTCCCTTGACACTCGAGCAACAGCAATATCTCCATGCACAGTTCGCTGTGACCAGGGCAGCCCTTTCGAGCGTTGGGACACACCCACAGCAGAGATACAGTCAAGTCAACCCCACTCACTGGAATCAACCACCAAACAATCAATTTGGCGAACCGCTCAGCCTGCCACCCACGATCCTAGCACCTCCTGTTCTTCCCAAGATGTTTCGTCCAGAAAATATTGTGGAAACATTTACACTCGTCCCCAATCAATCAAAATCCGACTTTGAAGAGATACTGGTCACCCGCACAAAAGTTATGGGGTCGGCGGAGCCAGGTCCCAAAGCTCTCATTTCATTCCATCTCTTTCCACGCCTGCCGTATGTAAACTTTCCCGTCATTCTTCTTTTGGAATTCTTACTTTAGTGCCTGGTAGCAATCTTGGTCATTAAACACGTTTCTTGGCTGTGAAACAAGCGAGAAAAGCATATGCTAACATGTTCCAGTGTCGAAATCCGAATGCGAATCTTCGTTACAGCACTATCTAACATTCCTGGTAAACACATTCAGCTTGTCGCCATTCAGAGCCCCACGACAGAGACTTCATTCTTCAATCCAGCGAACCCACCTTGTCCCATCCGCCAAGTCTGTAAAGAAGCTCGCTATGGTCTCTTCAACGATTGCATTCAAATCAATAATATCCAAGATTGGAAAGGTATAACCAGACCCATCGCATTCAACCCGGACAAGGACTGTTTGGTTTTCGACTGTGATGTTGGAGTTGACAAGTTGCTACAATTCGCCGAAATCGTAGGCGTCGAAACTGCTCAGAAAATTCAAAAGATCTGCAACATAACGAATCAACATAAGTTTGTTCCATTTAATACTGAAGCCGAATCCGTCAAGCTATGCAAGGTTCTCGCTGCTTTTCAAAGCTTGCGAGAGTTGCAGGTCTTACTATCCGGCAGTTTAGTACCAACCAGTATTTTTGTGGATGGCCAGCTTTGGGACTGGAGGCTGGGAAGGAAAGGGTATAGAGTGGAAGAGGTTAGCATGCCACAGGGGATGGTGAAGGCTATGCAGACGCACACGACCTTCAAATTCATGGAAGCTAGGCAGTATGCGTTGAGTAAATCATGGGAAACATGTAATGGCGTACCGAAGGTCGTGATGATGGACTTGATTAAGGAAAGCGATCCTGTGCCGATGAGTTATGATAGTTTTACCAACTATTAATCATACCATCTGCGATAGAACCGCGGGGAAGGATAATTGCTATTGTAATAGCCGGCCAAAATTGCTATATTTGTAGAAAAGGTATTCCAGTAAGACCTCCAATATATCAAATTGGAACCTTTTCTCCAACGCGTGCTAGGATAGGGGATAGGCCATAACGCAAATCCTCATTGATTTCAAAACTAATCTCAAAATTCAGTGTTACCTACCTAGGTGGATACATTTGCGTTACTCGCCAGTACCTCGCTTGCCAAGCAGCATGCAGAAGCTGTTATGCCCTGGCCGTTGACGAAAAAAGATATACACAAATCGATAGGAAATAAAGATATACAAACGAACTGTGTTCGTTGTCCGATCTAGTTTACGTTATCTCAGCTGTGCAAGGTACCTGCCATCGAACACGGAGGGTTTGCACTGCCCTAATGGGAATTTGGAATACCTTCTTAGCGAGTCAGCCCCTGGGTTGCAACACACTTTAGCTTAGTACATAATCAATTTCTTCGTATTCTATTGAAGAAGCTTTGAAGCTCGAAAGTGCAGCTAATATGGAAACCGCTGGGTGATACATTCTTTTACCTGGTATACGTGTCGTTATCTTTCGACGTAGAAGATTATTCTCTTGAAGTCACTCGCTTCATCTCATCGTTGCCCCTTAAAATCTGTCATGTGAAGAGACATTCTTTTAAAATCTATATTCAAACTAGATAACATATGTTGAATATGTCATACCAAAATGATGCTCCCCCCATTATTCCACTATAAATCATCCAATCCAGAAAAAGATGTTCGTCGTCTCGCTGTAATTACCTCCACCACACCCCTTCCAGCGATACCCAAACCTACAACCCATTCCTAGCCAAGAAATCAAAAGTGAGTTGAAATCCAGCAGTAGCATTATTATGAAGCGGCAGCGCATGTCCTGTGTTCGGCTGAATCGCAACCTCAATAGCAGTAGCATGAGGATACGTCGTGTTCCTAATCTCATCCGCATCCGCCAACCCATTGCAATCACCCCGACATATATAAAAGTCATTCTCAGGCAACAGATATTGCACGGGAGCTTTGAACGAAAGCCCGACGTTTCCGAGGAGCGAGAACGCTGAAGCGAACTCGCCGATTGGAACGGGCTGCTTGATGGAATTGCCGTACTCGAGCATTGCTGGTGTATATGCGGTTTTGATATCGCCGCCGAAGAAAACGTTTTGGATACCGTTCTTCCTGGCAACGACGTATCCGCTGCCTCCTTTGTAGGGTGGATTGCTGGTGCCTGCGTATTCGACGCTGAAGGTTGTGGACCCAGTTTGCGCAAGGAATTGCTGGTAGATGTAACCGGTGATGATTGCGCCGTCAGTGAGGTTGCCATAGTTGGCTATGAATGCGGAGGTAAGGAAGGATCCGAAACTGTGGCCTATGTGTACGATTTTTTCCGGTTTGGTCAAGTTGTTGAACGCTGCGTCGTTTGGTCTTGCCTGCTTGGCGAACGTGTATAATGTGCCGTTATAAGCCATCAAAGTCAATTGTCGAAGGATCTCAAGTTCCAGAGGTGCTTGAACTACCTCATATGCGTCTGGGTGGTCAGACTGACCAACGCCCAAGCGATCATATGTCAGAATAGAATATCCAGCTTTCAGGGAAGCATCAACGTAGGAGTGTTCCGCTGGTTGAAAATCCGAGTCCCAGTATCTTGAATCATAGTGAACTCCATGAGTGGCGATCTGTATGATATCTTTCTTCTGAGAAGATTTCGGGACGCACAGTTGGGCGTGAATTTTGAAAGTGCCGGATGTTGTTGTATTCTTGATGATGTTTCCTACCCCGTGCACAGTGCTTCGAGTGGCATCATAGATTGCCCATGCTGTTGCTTCAATATCGTTGTTGACTCTGGGGATGTCGTAGGTCGCACTGGGTGCAGTTGCAAATATCGGAATATCGAATTGTTTGCAGTTCCCGTTAGGTCGCTGAGATGACTGGATAGGTGTAGCTGTAATGCTACTGGAAAGAAGCCAAACGGCTGCAGCAAAGACAATGGCCATTGTTTAAAACGAGCAGATGATGTCAAGTAGAGTTCGATGGAGTCTCAATGCGATGTCTCTGCAAGAATAATAATCTAGGAGCTGGCGCTCAAGTGGTTTATATAAATCTAGCAAACACACAACTTCTTACTTGTTTTGCCTCGCTGATAAGCCATAACTATCTTACGCAATACATGTAACGGACTTCGGCCAATTTGGTTGTGAGAGACAGTTGCATTCTCGTGAAAACCTTGTGAGGTCAATGCAAAGCGTAGTATGTGAGGTTCTAATTATCACGGCATGACAATTAAGTTGATATTCAGCCTTGGCATGAAGGCTCGGAAAGATATTGACGCGTCTGTGGTAAAACCAATATTTCAAATACTAAGCAAAGAGTAAGCATAGAGTTTCTTCATCCAATAGAAAACTCACAGAAGACACCCAGCATTCTCGCTTAAAGGGGGCTTCACACACCACGTCTACACCGAAAATCAGTTCTGCAATGATTACTGATTTTTCTTTCGCACACCTTGCATTTCAGTCAATATACTTCAATAGAGTATACTTTTCGACTAGCGACCGAGGCTCTGGAAAGTCAGCAGAAAATGGTGGCTGAAGAAGATGACGAAAAAGTAAGTTCTTGGCAACCTACTTCTCTGATCTTATGTTAATGTCACGGCAGTAAACACCCGCAAATGCAAAAGGGCGCAAATGTTCAGCTTGTCAGCATCGGTTCCGTCAAGAAGAAAGTCAAGGGCGTGCTCGCAATGATGAATTTGCTTAATCGACTCAGCGACAATCTGTCAGACTTATTTCAATATCAAAGGTTTCAACAATCTTCGGAACATTCGTCTGTATGTGCTTTCATACATGACCTGCACCTCAATTGCAAAGACTTGCGGAAGAGATAGTCATGTAAAGTGTCTAAGTCAGATAGGGAGTATGGTTGAAACAACCCGAGCTAGGAATCAACAGCATAATACCAAAACTAGCTTGCCTTCGTTAAGTATTCTAAAAGCCCTGCTCCTGACTCGTTTAATTTAGAACAGATAGAGTAAAGTTTCCTGCTATCCTGTTCCGAAATTTCAAACTGTTGGTGAGTTCTCGTCAATCACGACACCGAACTGCTTCGTTGCCATACCATAGCTGCCTTTCACCGCCTCACTAGCATACACCCTCATTTCCTTTTCGTAAGCCGCAGTCACTCCCTCTTTCCATCCACCTGCTTCTGTCAGTAATCTGCCTAGTAATGCAGAGTCTCTGACAGCAGTATTTGCTCCAATCCCGCCTGCTGGGGTCATGCTGTGTGCGGCATCTCCAATGACCGTTACTCGTGGCTCATTCTTCCATTCAGGTACGCCAGTTGGTGTCGAACAAGTGATCTTCCAGAACGCAGCTTCACTTTCAACCATCTCCGTAAAGAGCGGTCTTACTCGAGGATGCCAATTTTTGGTTAACTCTTTTGCTATCTTGGCTGCCTCAACACCGACGATCGAGTAATTGTCGTTAGGAGCTTGGATAACGCCGGGCTGGCCTCCCATTGTCCATCCAAAATTTATATTCGGATCGTTCATTTCATCTGGCCGCAGGTTGGTGATCGCGAATACCCTTCCTTTGGGATTGCTCTCGTCTGCTATTCTCCAAACACCTTCACCTAGGCCTTTGAATGCCGTAGTAGAGGCTTGACCATGAATACCTCGAGCACCCGTATCATAGGTCTTTATCTTGCCATCAGATACTTGTTTTGCCACTTTTGAGTAGATTCCCTCCCCACCAACCAACATATCGCCTTCCACAGATTTCGATCCGTCCGCAAAGATAGCGCGAACACCAGAATCTGTCAGTTCGTATCCGGTCACGTTATGTGACCAGTGCATATAAGGCTCACAGCCATCGAGAAAGACTTTACGCATATCTCCTCGTGCAATTCCTACTATTTTCCCGTCACGTGAAGCAAGAGCGAGTGGTTGGTTTTTTGATTCCGGATCCGAAGGCTTTTCTGGCTTGTATGTTGGCTTCTCCGGTTCGTTGGTGATATCTTCTCCAGTGATTGCATCCAGGGCCGCAAAACCCATTCCTCCAGTCTTGCCGCATTTGTCCCAGAACATCTTCCATGTTTCTGGGCTAAGTACAGACTCTATGGCTTCTAGGCCTTCGGCTGAGAGACGTAAACGGTATCCCTGGGCGCGAAAGGAGATGGAGGCATCACGCTCGAATATTAAGAATGGGATATTCGCTTGACGAAGGGACTGAGCTAAAAGTAAGGAAGCGAGACCTGAACCGGATATGAGAATGGGTTTGCGGGATTCTGACGCCATACTGAATGATCTATATCTGGATTGGAAGCAAGAACGGTAAATGTATGAGTAGACAGAATTCGTGTGTATATGTTTGACCGTTGGCTGGAAAAAAACCCTCGAGAGCATGTGAGCTTTTTATTAAGAGAAACTTAGGGCTTATGTATGTAAGTGTCTCGGGTTGTGTGGTGTTGATATGTAAGCACACGCATACTTTCCAAGAGAGGGTGATGTCAACACATTGACCAATCAGATGACACAACCTTTCGAATCGGTGTTGCAATGCCAACCGGAACACCAGGAAATATCATAAGCAATTTCAATATATTACAAACACTTCATTTTCTTCCATTGCATTGCATTGTAGTTCTGAAAGAAGACTGTTTAACATCTAGATGTACATGCGGTCTCCCGCTCGGTATCCCACCCAGGCTTGGCAATATCGTGTACATCAAACAGGAAAAGACAACAATGCAACATCAATGAGTCGAGCATAAACTATTCTTAAAGGTAAATTAAGGCAACCTTGAAATACCCGCGAACTTTGTTTTCCAAAGATGGGGAGGGGATTATACGGAGCTCTAGAACTGTTTCCGGACTAGCGTCTCGTCAAACTCTATTCTCTCGCGCAAAAGTTGATATTCGACCAACCTTGTTATCAGCTGATGTAAAGCTCTGGACAGATAACTCACTCTATGAGATCGTTTACGAGGCTGCTTTCGCAAAGAGCCGTCATCAAGTCGCTAGTATTAGTCCGGAATAATCGTCAACACAAAATTCTGAGACTCAAAAGCGAAGGTCACATGATGGATACCTCCAACGAGGTATGTATAGACTTGAGACAGGGCTTCATACCCAATCATCAAGCTCGTCTAACAGGAGTATAGAAACACCATGATACCCACGCATTACCTCCACACGCAATATGTGACATGTATTTCAAATACCAGAAGATGTCCGATGCCGCTGTGGACGACGATGTTGAAGTGGTTGATTTCCAACGCGGCTTGACTGATGCTCAGAGAAAAAGAATCATACCAATAAATACTGTTCCGTCGGATATGATTGCCAAGGCTCAAAAGAGTTTTGCGGGGATGGGAGAGAAAGATTTGTTTAGAGATAGCGAGATTTTTGCAAGTCCGGCACCTTGCACGGTTTATGAACATCAAGATTTTCCAGGTAATTTGAAGAGTCTTAAAATTGAATATCTGTATCTAATCTCTTCAAGGTCTACGATTATTCCCCGGAATCTTACCGCCAGAATGTCAAGTAATGATGATAGACCGACTTCTCCATCGAGACCTGTCCAATCCCCTTCACAAAACCAACATCCACCACGACTACGAAGTTCCATATCCGCCAACGTCCACAGATACATCTCAACCCCAATCATTCTTCACACTCCCCGGCTCCTCGAAGACCAACATCTTCACCCCATTAAACCCACTTTCAAACCACAAACCCCTAAACATCGTTCAAGTCCTGCAAAAGAAACTCCGCTGGCTCACACTAGGCTCCCAATACGACTGGACAACCCGCTCCTACCCCGCCGTCTCACCTACGCCCTTCCCTCGAGACATCGCAGACCTCGTAACAACCCTCTTCCAAAACGCATTCACGCCCGAGTCCGGCGTCGTCCTGCTCTACAGCGCAAAAGACTACATGCCCGTCCACCGCGACGTATCCGAGGAATGTCAGCGCGGGCTCGCAAGCTTCAGTCTGGGCTGTGACGGGCTATTCATTATCGCTCGCGACAAGTATCCCGGGGAGGACGATGCGAATGAGCAGAGGGAGCAGGAGATGGTTGTTATACGGGTGAGGAGCGGGGATGTGGTGCAGATGGATGGAGAGACGAGGTGGAGTTGGCATGCGATGCCGAAGATTATGGGTGGGACTTGTCCGGAGTGGTTGAGTGAGTGGCCGGTGAGAGCAGGTGGGAGGAGGGAGTATGAGAGGTGGAGGGGGTTTATGCGGGGGAAGAGGTTGAATATTAGTTGTAGGCAGGTTTGGGGATGAGAAGTATTTTCACTAGTATTGATTAGCATTGGGTAGCATGTAGAAATATTGGAATGATGCGTACTCAGCTCACAATATTGGGTCATCGACCAAGTGGTTTTGATTTGTTGCAAAATCTTTGTATCAAGTTGGCATACATGTTTTTACTGTTGTTTGGAAATTACCAACACATCACTATCATCTCATGTCAAATAATCTCCCACCAAAAACAAAACAAACGCAAACCCCGCTCCACCCCCCTAACAGTAGTTTTTGCTCAGGCTGTTGGTCTTTAAATTCAGTTGTGATTTCAAACTCTTTCCAACAAGTGCCAACATCAAACAAACTTTCAGCTCTGAATCACCTGGTCACCTGGTCACACCTGGTCACAAGCAAGTAAACCACACAAACCAATTTCTACAAACAGGGTTTATTTAGACGAGAGTTCGCCGCTAAGTAATATTTATAGAGCCAACATTCACTATTGTAGATTTATCTAGCAACAAGAGCAGGAGGAACATTCGCCTGGGACCGTGTTTTGGGTATGTCCCAAAGCGGAAAAGCTAAGTGAACGGAGGTTGTAGATATTATGCTACAGGTTTTAGCAGGGTCTGTTGAAAATGTGGATGAGAAGGATTCTGATTATGGCTTTTGATCTTCTTTGGACAGACCATAGTTTCTGTTTGCAGCTCAATCTTGGTGACAGTTTTGCTACAAGATGTCTTCTTGTCGGACCCCTCGTTTCTGTAACTTGGGAAAGTACATTCATTCACACTACCAATTGCATTCCCATCTCAGACTAGGATGTTTTCGGCTTGGGATACGCTAAATGAGATGCCCTGCCTGGAAGGTATGGGATTCTTTGAAAATTTTGAGAAGCATTCTCTCCAATCTAAAATCTACGAAGCCACATCATCCCACAATTCAAGCGCTAAAGTTTAAATAAATCACCTCGATCTACACCCAGATATTCTCCTCGATCTTTCCCTTCGCTAGACAAGAGTATACTAAGTTTTCAACATGAGTAAACAATCTGTAAGTGCAATATCATCTGTGTGCCAGTCGCACTTTCCCTGCTGGTAAAAGAATGAGAAAGCTGCTAACGTTGGTATAGAGTTCGGAGCTTGGAGTTTCCCACAAAAACCTTGATAAAGACAATCTTGCAGACGACCTGCAAGATGGCATAGCAGGTGACAGAGCAACAGAGTCGAACGATGAGGAAGTAAGCAGACATCCGTCGCCCAATACTCCCCATACCATTCGACGACCGTGGAATAAGGGGTAACAACTGTCACAGGCGATGACAGCAGCTATAGTTTCAGAGGCTGAACAAGACACCATCTTTGTTCAGTCAGGATCGGAGGCAGAGAGCTCAGAAAAGGGCGCTCGGCGAGTTCGACGAGTAAGCAGAGCATTCAATGATGTGCCATGCCACCAGAAATACAGAACTCCAGTACATATCTAACATATGTTGAATGCACAGAGTACAAGTACACCGGACGTTCAAGTAAGCGACTTTGGAATCACCGCCGTGGAGATTCTTTCAGAAGCCTCAACAAGAGCCGCGAAAGAAATGGCATTGTTGACGCCAAAACGAAGACTCGAATTCAGGATAGATAGGAGACAGAACAGTTAGTACTTACCTCTCGCCTTGATCCATTTCTTCAGAACTGACCTCCCACCCAGAACCTCCGAATTTCAATAACGCAAATACCAAAACCGCGTACAGCGAAGGTGCGATAGCCTTCATCATGGGTACCGAAAGACCGGATAAGTGCGAAAAATGCGCTCGAGGAAATGGTCGGTTTGCTCTGTGTGTGACTTGTACCGATCCAGATGGAACAAAATACTTCAAAGGTGCTTGTGCCAATTGTCGATGGGTTGGCCAGCCGAATAAGTGTACATTTCACTCAAATTACCAATCGCCGCAGGCAATACCCAAGAAACCCATGAAGAAGAGCGTCAAGAAGGGAAGAAAGAGGGCAGTATCTGTGGACTCGGAAGAGGTAGAGGAGGAGCTGGACCTGGAGGATAATGAATCGGACAGCGAGTTTGAGGATAGCATGGAAACTGAAGATGTAGTCGAAGAGGAGGTTATAGATGAACGGCCTGTAGAACAAGAAGATGGTCCAGTAGCTGAGCCAGAAGAACCTGCAGATCAAGAGGCCGAATTGGAAGAGTCTATTGATGAAGACGCTGAAGGCTACGATCCAACGACTCACCCAGACTACGACCCTCTGCCTTATCCAAACGGTGCATGGTCACATCGGAATTGGTTCTACCCAAGAGGCGGTATGGTATTTTGGCCAGGTATGGATGAACAATTACGGCGACAGCACTCTCATATATGTTATCGACATGGCTGGCCGGTGCCGGATGGATATTGAGATAACTCGAATGTGTGTTGTTGTTGCCTCACTGATGGGGTATGTGAGAAGTGCCGAAACCTGGGGATTTGTTGGTCTGCGAGTTGGATAAAATAGGTGTAAGCCGGGAAAGTGAGGGTTTGGAGGGGTTGTACTTTGTTCGACGATAGTTTCACACATATATTGAATATATTTTGTACAACATTTCCCGACGACTTCAACAATCCTGTACAGGCCGAGCTGTCCGAAAAACCAAGTTCAAGGTATCCCCCCAGCGTAGACCTGCAAGACAGTAGGAGTGGTTGATGGTGCTTCCCAGGTTTGGAATGTGTATGGTCTTGCAGTTGTAAATCGGATCCTAGGTCCTGAAGCAGCCCATATACCAACAATCGAGGTAATCGACACGTGCCTAGAAGAAATAATCTTTGATACGACAAGCAGCTCAGTATACCTGTCAAGTACCAATCGTGCCGGGTAGGAACACGATATTCACCAATACCATAAGCCAAGTCCAGTTTTGGACCATCACCCATTCTCATCTGATCTAAGCGCAAATTGTCAGCCATGCAAGAATTGCCTCATGCTTTCAAAATGATCATCTTCCTTCGGTCTCTCAAAAGCCAAGGTTATTAATCACCCCTTATTCGACGTTCCAAATTCTGCTAAATGATCAAGACTCTCATGAATTGAGCTCACGCCAGCTCGGCAGAAGTAGACCATACACCAGTTCCAACTTAAGTCAAAGGTAACTTTTGCATATATTGTGCTCGCTTTTCTTACTTGAGATACCATTCTTTGTCGTTCACGATTTCACTTGGCTGGTCCCCATCCAAACCAAACCCTCCAATTACGCAGACGCCCTGCTTCAGCTGAATGCCGTAAGAAGTGATCGGTGATGCATCGAGGCATTTGAGTGGCGAGCGTTGTACGATTACTGAGTCACTGGCGCAATTCCACGTCACAAAATTTGTCAGACGGGATGAGGTTCAATCCCATCAGAATTGCGGTTCCGATTGACCGTTTGTGTGACTTGAATCTCACCCGTCAAGCACTTGGTGTCAGCTTCGTAAATTGGGCGACTTGGATGGTGTTCTTGTCGATTAAAATTCGATTGGCGTGATGTGATGAGAAGATAGGCGGTCACTCAGGGCCGCTGTAAAGTTGGTGGAGTACGAGTAGGAGGCAGCAGTCAGCCAAAGACCATAGCGTCTTCCTAGCTTCAACTTAAAATTGTTGCGGGGTGCCGTATCTGGTATACGCTTCTTTGCGGCCAAGAAAGTAAAGCTCAATTTCGTATGATCCTTTTACCGGTATCGTAACGTGGCGATGGCTTTTAGCGCCCGCCTATTGACGTTGTAGATCTTAGACGATACTAGAGTAAGAAGCTTTTAGAAGTAAAGAGACAGAACTGCAGAGACACACAAAGTAGACACAGGAATGGTCGGCATAAAACAGCCCCTGTCGCCCTACCCGTCTGGTCATTCTTCGTCCGCCACAGAGGAGCAGTGCCGGGTTGATAGGGGCGGATAGCCCCCGCGCATCTCAACCACGGGCACTCCTCAAACCCCACCACGCTTCGTGTCGGGCTGCAGGTGCATATGCTGTATCTGAGTGCAGGAACATCCTGATATGGTGGTTGCTTGAATAGGTACGAACGCTACAGGTAAGCTCTATTCCATGTTGCGCTGAGCTTAACATCCTTATTATTCGTAGGTTGTAAGGTTTTCAGGCTGCCGGTAGTGCAAATACATTGAGAGCTTACCAATACCCCCAAAAGCAGGTATACTGCGTAAGGTTTCGAATCTCTGCAAGCATGCCTTGAAAATGAGAAGCTCCGGAAAAGAGCGACCTCTCTAGGGACGATTGACTCAACTGTTTCCGAAAGATCAAGGAAATCAAAGGAGCCAGGCCCAAAACTCGCATCGTAACTTCAAGATGGCGTGTTTTGCAGATCTACCAGATCCTTGGCCGGAGAATCGGAGTCCTAAAAGGCCAATCTTTACGAGCAAGCGTCGCTGATTGGTAAGAGATTATAAATAAAATTTGGGTCGCACCTACGGCCGAGGGAGAGGTAATTGGCAGCTTCATGGTGTCTTGGAATCGTTGCTTATGGTTGTACGGATTACCATGTCCTGTCACCGCAGCTTAACCGCCGACAAAGCCGGACGTGCAGCGGACCTGAGCACGCATCTGGAAGAGCCTGTAGAATTCGGCTTGGAAATAGCTGGATCCCAGATACCTGCGCCTGGCAACCTTTTGCGCTTGAGGCTATTCCTGGATGTCAAAAACCGGTGTGGAATAATTCCCAGCGCCGCACTGCCGGAATTCCAAAGTTAACTTCGGCACCTTGCCCCAACTGACGGTAGCGAACGAGCCTAAACCATTTCGACTCGACGAACCATTGCACGGGCAATGATTCGTTCCCACATACTGGACTTTCTTTTGGAGCCGCTGGGATGACGCTGGTTGAAGCCGTGGGCAACCTTCACGGGCAAGGCGATTACCTTTGTTGCGGGGTTAATCTCTCGAGGTCCCCTGAAAGCCCCCCCATGTTGACAGCACGGCCGCTAGGACCGAGCCTCTTAAAGGTTATCCTGCGCCGCATTTGACATCTCGAGGGGCCAAAAATTGTCTTTTGAAGATCCCTCCAGCTGATATCGAATTGTCGCCAGCACGTTGTCCTCGCGGCTGTGGACATCAAGCGGCTTATCCTTTGCCCAACCTCACGGAATAGATGAGTAGAATCATTAGACCATGAGCGAAGCCCTGGCTAAAGGAAGCGGGAAGAAAGTTCCCGTCTTCAAGTTCTTTGTGGGGAGCAAGTCTAAGGTCCGAACGGGATGCGCTACGTGCAAGTAAGCTTTGGTCGATCTCATATTCTGATGTGGAAGGCTGATGTTCAAACAGGATACGACGTATTAAATGTGACGAGTTGAAACCTGGTATGAATACGGTTCCGAGGCCAACGTGTTTCTCCAGCTAACAATATGGGATATGGGGCGGGTTGTAGGACTGGTTTCTGAGTTCAACATAGAGCTCCAGCCAGTCCTACGTGCGCTCCAACCCTGCTCGTAACAGCTTGCAATAGATGCACATCTACAGGTCGCCATTGCGATGGCTATCCGGAATTACAAACGAGGAAGAAGCGGGGGAAAAAGACAGACTCGAAGTCATCTCCTAGTTCGCTGAGCCCTGTGGCTGTCGATGGAGCATCAGTGGTACCTTTTCTAGCGAAACGGATGGTTCAAGCTACTCTACCTTTGTTTCCGGATTGCTCACCTCAGGAGTCTCGACTTCTGCATGTCTTTCTCGGACATAGTATTGAGATCATGAGTCCCTGGCATGGTGGCAACTTTTGGCAGGATCATGTACCCAGACGAGGTCATTTTGAGTCCGCCACGCGGCATGCTATGATTGCAATGGTAGGCCTCGCAACTCGTTCCTGCTCACTCCTATCCGCAAAACTTCTTGTTTTCAAATAAGTAGTCGACATATGCTGATCGTGTTTTGTAGGCTGCAACCCACGAGAATATGCAATTTATGAGAGACGCGATACCCAATGATCCGAGAATGGAAGATTCAATTTGCAAGGCCCGCAAAAATTATGCCCTTTACCATTACGCAAAGTCTGTCTCTGAGCTCGCTCGAATTCTCTCGGAAAGACAGAATGGCGCGGAAGAAATTGCTATGATCAACTGCGTCGTATATATAGTCGTTGACTTCTTGTGGGGGAATGTGGCTACGTCGATAGCTCACCTCCACAGTGGTAGCGAAATTCTTAAACAGTACAGAAAGAAGAAGCCTAAGGGTCGGGTAGTCCAGGAAGATTCTCTGGAGGCGAACCTTATGAGAGTGTATGATACAATGGGCCATCAAGTATCAGACGTTGCGGTAAAGGAAGAGTCAGACCTTGATGGTGGTTCGAATTCAGAACTTACTGATTTTGATAATTTTGTGGATGCACGAAAATCGATAGAAAAAATTGCCACGGATGGCTTACGCCTTGTTCGACAGGGATCTCTGGAAGATGCTGATACTACCACCTTAGAGCGGAGGGCAGAAATCCAGAAGATGGAAAGTGTGCATAAGGGGAGGCTTGAGGTTTGGAGAGCCAGGTTCGAGGGCGTTTTGACAAAGTCCGAGCTTGATCACTCCAACAAGGACGATAAGCAGACAAAGGAAGACATCAGTACAATGCTCCTGCTGTACCTTTCTTCTATAGTGTGGCTGTGGGATGGTGGCTATCCTAAGCAGGCTCAGCCATTAAAGATGTTCGGCCAGCTAATCCACGTCTCAGAGTTGCTGCTTGCTGAAAGTAGAGATTCCGTGGAAGATCGGAACCGCATTCGAATGATTCTTTTCGATACAAGGGTCTGGCCCTCGTTGGCCATTCTTGCTGCCAAGTGCGAAGATTCGGATCTGAGAAAGAGAGCTGTCGCTATTTTGGCAAAGACCCGTCCAGTCCACAATCAAACGACTGGAAGTACCACATCAACATCTCCCACGTCGACTGTATCCAGCTTGAATGTACCGGATATCGTAGAGGAGAGTGCAGGAAATTGGGGCACCTGGGTGGAGATGACTTCCGCCAAATAAACGTGGATGTGCTTGTGACTTAGCAAAGTACGTCGACAGAAATCTGCGGCCACAAGCATATAGTATGCCCCAAGGCAAAGCCTGGATTGGGTGGCAGAGATCTCGCTACTTCAATGTTATCATCTTGTATGGTACAGCTTGAATGAGGGTCTTACCACGGTTCCCAACATCACAAAACCACCCAGTCTGCTGTTCTACTGGCTCTGACGATAGGACTGTGACGTGTAACGCCCGTTGGATTCGGATGGGGTAGCTTGTTGCCCTCATACCAAGCAGAAGTGCTCGAGATCTTTTCTGATCGTGATTTCGTGCTTCCGAGAGGAAAGGTCTTCGACTAAAGATTATTTGCTGACGGACTGGTTAAAAATATGAAACACATCCTTAGCAAGTTTGTAGTTGAGGGTTGATGTGTGCCGACGAGCCACTTCACATCCATGACATTGCGGACGACTACTACGCATTGCCGCGTACGACATAATTCATACCGACTCTGGGACGTTATATTAGCAGATACAAGTCCTGAAATAAACAAATACGTACAAATTAGAATTACCATCAACGCATGCTGCTCTGTCCTTGCACCTTTGAGAACTCAGGACGGTGAACTTTGCAAGTAGAGTGCCATGATACCCAAGGATGACTACCGCCAACCTAGCATAGATTCATCTTCAGTAGCCGAGAACTTGCCCGGCATTCTACACACGAAGCGATACTGCTTTTGTGGTAACAGCCAAAGAAGTTGTAATCTTGGGAGTGATGTACATCGTTGGGGGAAGACTCGATCAATCCGTAATGTTTGACTTGAAGTTGATGGAAACTGTTGGCCGAAGTTGGGACATCGTGGATCAGAGAACTTTATTCCGACGAGGTTTTCCGGAGGTCTATGAGGTTGTAGTGCGGTAGGTTCTTGAAGTGAGTAAAGATAAGTATTTGTGTGTGAGTCGCGTCGTGGAAGCCTTCGAAATTTGACGTCGCTTCGAACCGCGTACAGACACTTTAGCAACAGCAGCCAGCATTTTGTGGTTTGGTGCAAATGATGTGAAGAGTTCAAGAGAATTTGCTTTCGATTTTGTTTGCGTCTCTAGGTCATGTCGATGGTCATCTTTGGGTCTGTGAGGGGAGTGAACCAATTGGAAGGCTTGATGATATGATGAAGTAGGCGGGCCGCAGCCGGAAACTTCCCTTTTGAGAATCTGACATCCAAAGGTTCCAAGGTTACCTGTGAACAGCCGCCGTAGAATCCATTACCTAGCTAGTCGTACTCTTCGACGTTATTACCAATGTGATTGTCGTATACTGAATTATGTAGAAAATAACTCAGTGCTAATGAAGGAAGTACAGACAATCTGGCATAAACACAGTTCGATTAACAGTATATATTTGAATGGTAGAATCGCAGTTCTATGGCACTGAGCCAGGCACACCAGACGGTTCCAGATTTGTGAAAGTGCAAGTAGTACTAAAATATGATCTGAAAGGGGGATGTCAAGTCATGTCAAAGTCAAATTGTTAATGACTTGGAAAGAAGAGGTAAGAACGCCAAGCCTGCCTGCAACACATTTCCTGATTGGCCCACAGCCAACGCTCTCAACCTCAGTTGCTCGACTCGCGGGAATCTGCATGTTCATTACACACCATTTTCTCGACTCCTTCAGGTTCACCACCGCATGACAACGCAACGACGTGGTATTCGATCTGTCTCAATGCAGCTCAATGCTATGAGAGAATGCTCTCGTACGCCGCATGGCTGAAATTGAAGCTTTCCCGGCTCATTCCCCGCATCGCACTGCATGGCGGAGCTCACACCTCGAAATCCACCATACAGACAGACAATGCTCTGTTGGTGTGTAGCAATTCCTAGTCGACCATCCGTCGTTCTCACGTCCGTACAACCCAAAGAGAGATGCTTGTAATTAGAGCGGACAATTGGTTGAGTGTGGCACTTGCGCTGCAAGACATCGAATCCTCCACTACCACTGCAGGTCGCATAACGGTTACTCCAAATCCTCCGAAGCCAAATACGAGGCACTACATCACTATGCAGAGCTTTCCTCTCTCTTGGTCTCCCTCCTCCACCACCGACTCAAACCAATCTCCGATACCATAATCCAACCGCCCATCTTCATCGAGCAAGAACCCGGGGAACCGGGCCAGATACAACTCCGCCACGCGTTTCTCTCGCTCGCTCCTCAAGCTGAATACGTGCTGCCGCAAGACTTTTCTACGCTCCTTAGACATGCCTTGAGATAATTCTTTCCGAAGATTGTTGACTTCGCGCGTAAGAGCTGGGGGGCATGGTTTGCCGGGTCCCATATCGAGTTGTGCTCTTTCGAGATGAAGGAGTGTGTTTTGTTGGATGGCATGCTGGGCGGATGGTGTAAAATAAAGAGGAGGAAGACTACCATATCTGACTTGTGCGAGATGTTCGTGGTGGCAGCTACTGCGAGCCGTTGCATCGCTGCGATGCCAATGGGTTCCGAAAGCTTGGTCTGACATATCTGCAATCGTTATCCTATGTTCTTGACAAATACTGGAACTGTCAACGATTCTGACCCTACCTAGCACTGTTTGGTTGATTTTGTGCAGTTGAACAGTTCACATATCATCTTTCTGCTGGCTGAATTTGACAGACGAGTTGTCAATACTTTCACAGTTGTGAATGGCTTGCACAATGTCGTCTTATTCACTTGCCTTCCTTCTCCACACAACTTCCCTTCTACATTTGTTAATCATCGCCTCTTTTCGGTCGATATGTAGAGATTTCTATCTATATTTGAGACCCTGACAATGGACTCTGTGGCCCGATCTCAAGTGACCCAAGGGGTTGACCGACGAAACCAGGTAGATGAGATTGAAGATTCAATCTCCATCATACTTCGGGTACTGTGAAGCACAAAAATACCATTTGTGATTTTCAAGTAACACTGGAGGTGGAATGGTTGTCGAACAATTTCCCACCAATCTTTCTCAGGGACTGTTGCTCCCTAGTTATACGTATGGAGTAACACGATATTGTGGGATCTGCAAAGTCATTCACTCCTTCCGTTAGTATTGTACCGGCATTTTTACATGCTCATGCTCGAGCGCGTGGTCCTCGAGAAAAATCTAGCCAAATCACTCTGTGTTTCGATGAGGCGTGTCTTTGTCATCACCAAAAATCCTTGATCGTCAATCCTTCCGTTAGTTATATTGCTAGTGCATGAATTGTCGATCAATAGGAATACCAACTTCTACAGCAAGGTGGCCAGCACGACGATGGGTTCTCTTAAGGAACAGTGCTGAATAATCCCAGTACTGCTTGGGTGTATCGCGAAAAGCCTGTTAGTCTATGCTGCTCCATGTCAAGGTTTCGCCTCAATGCGGCAAGTCCTTAAGCGCGCAATTTTTATTTGGATCGCCTGCACATAGAATGCACATCAGGTACTACGCTGCAACACCTAGGGCCCTGGCACTGCTGCACTATTGGTGGAACTTCAGGCTTGTCTTTCGAGATCTTAATCGTATCGACGGTTTGGTATCCAGATTAGGAACCAAATTCGTTTATCCCCACACATTGCAAAATCAAAGTTGTGTAAAGGTCCAGCGCTCTATGCGAATGGATGTCCATCAGACATGTTGCAAATCCAGATCTAGGTGTTACAGAAATTCCATGTCCGTTTATTAAGGATCTGTCGATCCAAGACATCCAATAGGATCATGGATTACTGGAGCGGAGGGGTGTGACTTACCTCTAGTGTAAGCAGACCCAATTTGTTACCGGTAAATATATCCCAATCGAATGGCAATTAGCCGATGATAAGCGGCGAACTGTTACATTAATATATGGATAAATATTAAGGTCAGTACCTAATTTTTGTTATTTTACCTCTTTTCAAGTTTTGCTAGTTTCATTGAACACTAAAAATCTTGTATATCATGTAACTAAATTATAACATAAAAGTCTACTAGACATCAATTATGAAGGATTCAGTTAGCCCAGATTCATCCGTTAAGGAATTTAACTAATCCAAATCCGTTTATTAAGGATCCATCTATTCAGATCCGATAATGATCTATCCATCGGGAGCATTTGTGCAAGAGATGGCAGCCGTCACAAGGTGCATACTGAGATTGCTGGATGTATATAAGGCTAGACATGACCCTTCATTTTTGAGGCATCGACTTATCGACTTCGACACCTGCCTCAATACTCCATCCTCTTCAATCACCACCTTGATCGCTTCAATCTCACAATAGTTATTATGCTTTCTATAACCTTTACCTGCCTCGCCCTTCTCTCTTTCCGCCTTGCATTAGCACTCAACACTGATTGTGCACCAGTAATGCCCCCTTCCACTTCTTGACACCCAATTGCTAACAACTTATCTCTAGGGCGGCAATTTCGACCTCACAGGCTGGAACCTCCAACTCTCAACCGGCGACCCCGGCAAGCCAGACACCATCCCAGGCTCTCAGCTAGCCGGCTGCAAAGGATACCAAGACAAATCGACCTTCTACACCGACAGTAAAGATGGCGCCCTCGTCATGAAAGTCATCGGTTCCCCCGCGTCTACCGGCTGCGTAACCACCAAGAACAGCAAGCACTGCCGCACCGAACTGCGCGAGATCAAGCCTTCAAGCTGGGATCCTAACGCCAAAACCAACCGTCTCAACGCCACTATCCAAGTAACCAAGGCCGACGACAGCAACTACGGAACAGTGATCGGTCAAATCCACATCGATGACAGTATCTCCACCAAGCCCGTCTGCGAACTGTACTACAACAAAGCCGGCGTCATTACTATGGGCGTTGAAAAGACTCGCGCGGGTGGTTCTTCGATCTACACGCAAGTCGGCAACGTCCCGGTCGGAACGAAATTCGATTACGCGATTATCTACGAGAAGAACGTGTTGGGTGTTACTATCAATGGGGGGAAATTGAAGACGCTAAGTACGAATGAATTGGATGCGCCGAAGAGTTATTTTAAGGTGGGGAATTACAATCAGGGGGATTCGGCTAGTGAGGTTAGGTTTTATGCTATTGAGACGAAGCATTGATGGGTACGATTGTTTGTTGGGTAGAGCGCTGCTAGGTGGGGTTAGGATTGATGAGGATTTTGGAAGAGTGAGGGTGCGAATATGTTTGGAAGATGTGAGGTTGGTCTAAGTTTTGTATCATCTGAAATGAGATTGGTCTTATACAGATTGTTTCTTTTTGTTCTGACCATTAGTCCCGCCTCTGCTAGTCCAAAAATCTCCCAGTAATAATAGCTGACAAAATGGTAAACCAGGGTATTCGTGTATGTATGTAAATGCATCAAACTCCTTCATGCATGGTCTCAATACAGCCTCAAGTCCTCGACACTTCTTCCGCTGAGAGGCTTGAGCCCTACTATCCTCCTCTTGTCTATGCTGTGCTTTTCTTGAACGTCTGGGTCTTTGGTACCCAATTCTTGTTATTCGATGTCGACATTTGTTGTCTGATTTTTTGAACTGTATCGTCTTGCCTCACGCAGGAAGCTTCATCTCTAATCAGCAAAGTTGCATATAAAGATACTACACAGCATACCTCATGGAAATAAGTGCTCGACTCAAACTGCATCAAGCAGCTATTACAAGTCGATGGCCGAGAAAGCTTAAATTCATCTCGACCCTCATCCGCCTTCTCCACATCCGGTACATCTACTAATTCTACATTAGCTCAAACTCAAAATCTCTAACGAAGCTCAATTTACCTTGGGAGTTCGAAGAAGACCTTCGCCTAGAATAGACCCGCAATACATAGCCCAGCGCAGGGAGACACATGACAACTAGCGCAGCTAGTCCGATCATAGCTTCGGCAGACAACATGATGAGAGTTTCTTGACCGAAGAACGACGCCACATATGAAGAATACTAAGGTTAAAGAAGAGTAGTGGATTTGCTAGAGAGCTTTGGAGCGGGGTCCTAAATATATAAGAACGGTCCACAGTGAGTCTCCCGCTTTACGAAAGTACTTTTAACCCTTATTATGGAATCAATGCTTGGTTACATAAGTCAGTATTGAGGCTCCGAGCTGGGCAGCCTTGCGGCGGTCGAATTTCTAACCGTCCACAGGGAGATGCAGATATTCGTTCGTGTAACTTTGTAAGCGAAACACCTGTGGTCCTGTGAGAATGCTCGGATTTTGGACAAATCCTATTATCCCGGTGCCCATTACCTGATGAAGACATGCACATGCGCATCGGGTTAATCGGGGACACTCTCGCCTATTGATTCTGGAATTTACAAACGTCCGGATTTTGGACAACCCCATGCTTATCTCCCGGTCGCCAGGAGCGCTGAAGTAATGTTGCTGATGGTGTAGACCAATAGCACACTTCAGAAATCGGTGACCCCTCGTAATCGTGGTGGTGTTGGTGTTTGGCCACGGCCGCAGCGGCTGTGTGTCTCGCATGCAACATCCAAAATCTGCCCAATCGACGTGCATAAAAATTGGACAAGCCCCAGCCAGAAGCGCCCGACTCCTGCTTCTACGCGACCACGCAATGAGTTGCGGGTTTCTCTTCTTAAACTTCTTAATGTACATTAGCAATTTAGCAACAAATCTAGAATGGTGGGATTGCCCACCCGAGAGAGGGTCAATCTTCCTCCTAGTGGGCCCCAATGGGAGGCTCACCGAGCGAAAATTCGACACCTGTACCTAGGCACCGAGGAGGTTCGAGGGAGGTCATTGGAAGATGTGAGGAGGATCATGCAAAGGGATCACGATTTTGATGCTCTGTAAGGTTCTTGCGTTGGGTATGGAACGAGTTGAGTTGAGCTAAGTGTGCGCTAGGAAACATCAGTGGGAAGCTCAGTTTAAGAAATGGAAGTTTACAAAGAAACTTAGTCCGAGGGACTGGTGTTCTGTCAATAGTATCATTACCAAAAGATCGCAGCAGGAGAAGCGATCTGTGGTATTGCTCAATGGAATGAGGGTGGATCCTTCGAAAGTACGGAAGGAAATCTTGAGAAACCGTGGGAAATCAAAGGATTACCAAAAAGGTATAACTCGTTTTAATTCCCAATTTTGTTGCTAAGAAGTTCTTACTAAATGTGGACAAAAAGGTCCAAATCGCAACCTACCGGATGGAGTTATCATTCGGACTCCATCTCCAGAACCATACATGCGGATAGTAGTCGAATGTCCGGCAGTAGATGCTGGTGTGCAGCCAGAACCGCCGGCGATCTCAGTCATTACTCCTCCTGCCAACTCTTATTGGGAATTCTTTCCATATGTCATAGATATTTTGCCATTTTTCCAATTTCAAGATCGTCTTGAGCATAGTATTGGTTATTTCCCGGAGCTCTTATCGAACTTAGATTTTATGTCGACAATGCTGCTTGCTGAACATCCAATTTGCGTCGACAATGCGCAGGTCCTTAACAGAACCAGTATTTCCAGTTTCCAGATCGCAGAAACCACCTTGCGCCTCATCGCTAACGGCCACTTGTCCAAGGTTCAGATTGTGGAATTTTTCAAAGCGTTTGCGAAAAGCGTGCCAGTGTCGACTATTAAGTCAATTCTTTCCGAAAGAATACCAATGGTTCAAGCGCTTACTGCTGCGTTCCTTGAGGTGGCTGTCTCCTTCTGGTGGGCTGATGTATTGAGGCTGCTCGTCGATTGTGGCATCGATGGCACATCACTGATGGGGCTTAAAGGTGGACGATTATTGCAGCTTGCGCTCTCGACCAGGCGAGGCTCATCGTTCGCTGGAGAGTATTACAGCAGTATGGATTCAAGAGTCCAAGTTGTGGAGTTCCTAATATCGGCAGGAGCAGAAGTGAACCCTATTCTCTCTGTCGCCAATCCAACATCTGAAGCGTCGCCTTTCCTTCACGCTCTAGAAAGCCGTTATCTTTCTGAAGCTAAAATATTATTCAAAGCCGGAGCTTGCATGCCTTTATCCCTTCCTTCCCCCATAGCAATGTCATCTATGAGTGAAGCCGCAGTCCGATACGGCGACTCTGAAATTGTGGAACTGTGCCTATCGACTGAGTTTGATGCGGACGAATTTTACATTGATAATGTGCCTGCCTTGTTGTGGGCGTTATGTCGTAACGACAAGGTCTTTGACGTTCTATACAAGTCGAGCTTTGTAGACGAAGGACTCAGCACACTCAATATCCTACTGGCGGCTGAGGGAGGACTTGTTGCCCTGGACCAGTACTTGACAACGCATGAGATATACAACAATGTGGAGGGGCAAGAGTATCTTGTGGACGCCCTTTCCAGGTCTATAGAATATCTGGTCCTCGCGGAAGAAGTAAAAGTTCGAATCGCTACGGAGGTCCTTCTCACAATCAATATGGCTAACTTTGAATCGGACGAAAAATCTCTTGAATCCAAGCTGGTTGAAGTTGCCATTCAATTTAGCGAAACCGAGGTGCTAAAAACACTTCTAGCCCAAGGCCTCGACATTGAAATAGTGATCTCAAAATGGGGCGACTTCTACTGGATACGGAATGACCAAGGCAGATTTTTGAGGCTTCTGATCGACCTGGGAATAGACATGAGGAAATGGGGCTCTACCCTCCTAGGTCGTGCCGCTCACAATTTGAAGGTCGAAGAATGCCAGCTCCTACTCGAAAGCGGAGCTGGCATTTATGGCACTGGAGACAACGAATTGTACCCTATTCAATCGGCGTTGACCGGTAAAAAATACGACCAATCTAGACCGCTATACAAGCGCAAGGAGACAATAGTCCTCCTACTTACGGCTGGGGCTGATGTCAACTGTGTCTCTTCGTCTTGCCGATGGTCCCCTCTTCATCTTGCAGCCTGCCTTGGCGATATCGTAATCTTCGACTTGTTATTCAAGGCAGGTGCTCGAATCATGTATTTTCTCGACCATTCACGGTGCTTAGAAACTAAGAGACAGTGCGGCAATGTGTACGTGGATTGCCTTGGTAAATGGAGAGGAAGAGGACTGGAAGCGGAACATGAAATGATTCTCAATCGGCTCTTAGACTTGGGAGCACCGCTGCAACCCGCATGTCCTGTACTTGGGCGGAAACATGGCTCTGCGCTCGTGAGACTCGTCCAGCTTGGCGGCTCGATGCAACTGATTAGCAGGTTCGTGGACGCTGGAGCGGATGTTAATGAGTATGATGAAGATGTGTGGGAGGAAACGGCACTTCAGGCAGCGGCATCAGTATCAGATATCAAGCTGGTTCGCTACCTACTAGCCCAAGGAGCAAATATCAACGCTCCACCGGGATACGCGTATGGCAATACAGCATTACAAGCTGCCTGCAAGCGACCTGACCCTGATATTCGGACCCTAGAGTTCCTCCTGGAGGAAATGGCGGACGTAAACGCTGAACCAGGTCCTTTTCGTGGTGTCACGGCTTTGCAAGGCGCTGCAAGAGAAGGGCATATTGAGATCGTAAAGTTGCTGCTACGGGCAGGAGCAAATGTCAACGCTGCTAGCGCCAAAGTAGATGGGAGAATGGCTCTGGATGGTGCAGCAGAGAACGGACGTCTCGATATGGTCCAATATCTTTTGAATGCAAGAGCAGAGAGCGAGTATGGCGGTGAAACTGGATACGACAGAGCCATTAATCTTGCAGAAAGAAATGATCATTACGCTGTAGCGGATCTGCTCATAGAACAGTCGAGAAAGCTTAGTGATAACTTTGCGGTCGAGAGCGTTATGAATAGGAGGGAAAGATACGAGAATCATCTTGACAAATAAAACTTCGTGTTCGCATTCAACGCATCGCTAGTAATTTTCCAGCTGGAAAGTCCGTTCTCTATTTGTATCTAAACACCGAAGACCGCGCCCAACGCACCCTGTCCAAAAGGTTGAAAATCAAGCATTCAGCTCTTGAAAGCTCGTGTATACCTCTAACAAAAGAAGAAAAATGTTTAGAAGCCGATATAGAAACATTTCGATCCAACTGAGCCCTTAAGTAATGGCTGTTCCTCGTTTCCAACTTTTGTGTTTCCGACCATCATAAGGTCCTCAGCTATAAACGACAGCTGAAAAATAAGCCGTAAACACCGGCCACCCCAGCGTCAACCGACATCAAAAAACTCCGCCCCAATCTAATTTTGTATAAACATATGCGTAAAAAAAGCCATGAGGTGGCAGAATGTTCTGCTAAACACAGTAGGGTTCATGCCCGCCGATGTAATGAATTATCGAGTACAGAGTGCGCGCAATCGCTCGTGCGATACGTGTTTGATGGAAAGAAAGTCATAAAAATGTACAATGTGAGGTCAGATCGTGCGATTTGGCTTATTTGCCTTGTTCCTCTGTAGTAACTCCAATGTGTCGTAATTCTTCAGGCTTCCAAGTTCCTGGAGTAGGGTTAGCAGTGTATATGCGAGCCAAAGGCTATCTTCACATACCTTCGAATTCGTGCTTCACAAATGCCATCGGATGATCGTAGTCTTCCGCCCCCATTTGTTGTACACCAGGACTGAAGCTGGTGATGGGTAGAACGACGACATCCCCCACTTTCTTTGCTTGGGTCATTCCAGTGAAATCTTTCCATGTGATATTGCCTTTGCTGGTGGTCATATCAAAGTATCTCTCGTCGTTGAGGAAATCGAATATCACATCGGTCCAGACCGCCGGGCCAGTGAATTCGATCACCTTGTTATCCTTGAACCCCTTCAAGGTTCCAGCTTGCTTTTTCTTAAGAGTCTCAAGAGTGATGTTTGCTACAATTTCTCGCAGAACCGGGTGACCCGGCTTTGATTGTATGGTCCACTGACAGAATTGAATCCTTCGAGAATACCACTCAGCCCAATCTGGACGGTCTGGGTCGGCCTCGATCCCAATGACTAGTCCAATAGCCTCCCGTGGCACGCTCTCAGGTAACCACTCTGTTGCTGGTTTAAGTGCATGCGTATCGATATCGGAGTAGATGCCACCTCTGGCCAGCAGGATTAGGTAGCGGAAGAAATCAGCTTTGAGTACGGGCATCGGGAGTGCATTATAAGCTTCAAGTACCTCTGGCACCGAAGCGTACAGATGTCGCAGTAGATGAACGGCAACTTGGTCTGTGATCACCTCGTGGATGAAGCCCGGGTGCTTCTCTGACCAAGATGCTTCCGCTGGTCTGAAGTTCTCTCCAAAATCGCCCGATGCCGGTGTGTATTTCCACGTCTGCCAGATGTATGCTGGGAATTTCGACTCCACATCATATGGAAATTGGTATAGAAGCTTCTCTCGTAGCGGTGCTTTCGCAAAATCGGCCAGTGGTTGCTGAGCGCCCTTCCCCTTACGCCCATTTCCTATTTGGCCGGCTGAGCTTGATGTCGAGACCGGAGTCGTTGGGTTGTTGCCCGTCTTCGTGTAATCGTCTGCCATGACTCTGCTGTTTCCGCTACTCGAGGAGACGTCATCGGTGTGTCCCGGCGAAGGATGTGATCGAGTTACCAGGAAGATCATGGTGAGGAAGACAGCAGCAGCCATCAGGGCCCGTTTGAAGGTCAGCATGATGGGCAATCGCGAGGAACGCCTTTATGAACGAAAGGCGTCAAAACGAAAGTCGAAATCGCGATGAAAGGTGGTCTGCGAGAAGAAAAAGGAATGGTCTGCGGACGAGAATGTCGACTTGAGTTCCTCGAAAAAGTATTGATGGAGGACCTGAACGGCAGGGGGGAACGCCCTGACCAGATTGCCAAGGAGAAAGTCTGTGGTGCAGCGTGTTTGAGCGACGCTCACAGGCCACCCTGGTCCGCAATAATCAAGGGATGATCCGTTTCAAATGCTTCGAACAAAGTGAGGAACCAGACGATGACGAATACCGACGACCAAGATGATGTTCCGGTATCGATGCCGGAATAATGATCCTGCAAACAACAGCGTCGATGATTTGAGTCGGCGAGTTGTTTAGGTTTCAGATTGTGAGTAGTATTGCTGCAGTTTGGATTTCGTATTGACACGACTCAGTACTACCAGACTTCTGGTACCAACTTGATATGGGGGGATTGCTCCTTCAGATTCCGACGTCGCGGCCTCTAGAGAGCTGAGTGCAGCCTTCCGGATGTGGGTGTCTTACTGGTACGCCGCAGCGACCGCAATGGTGGTGAAACAATCTGTTCGGCTGATGTTTACTCGCAAGCGTTTTGGCGTGCTTGTGTCGGCGTGGTTCCCAAAAATATCTCGGGTTACAAGACAGGAGACCGGAAGTGGAGGCGGATGGGTTGGATACCGTGCCTGAAGTGTGACGGATAAAGTGTTGGTTTTGTTGAAGGTGTCTCCAGTCACGAAATTTCGCAAAGAACACCTGCGGTTCCAACAATCCAGGCAAACGAGCGAGTAGGTGGGTAATGAAATGCTGGATAGGAAATGAATCGGACTCTCTTTCGAGGCTTTGTCGCAATTAAGTAGGTAGTAGTAGTAAGTCTCTATCTCATCCTGGGATACATCTTGGATACATTAGCTCTTAATAAGCGTCTCGGCTCTCAGTTCCACTGGTAACAATCATCGGTCTCTGCATGTTGTCTTTCCTCATTTGATCCATGCCGTCCGATATCACAATTCCATTGTCCCATTCTTGCAGAATAGCATGCGATCGACCGCTTTCAAGATTCGCATCAAGTATGAACCAATCTTGCATACGTACCTACCGCTTGCATAGTCGAGGACAGACGCGCAATATATACTGCAGCTAGAGCGTGCGTCGGTCCGAGGAGAGTCTTGTTCTATCTTATCTATCCCGACCTCCCATATTTGGCACGACCTCTCTGCACCTTGACTTGGCTTTGAGATTTTGAACAGATTTACTCCGGAAATGGCTTTGCGAAATAGCGTTAATCGATTGCTGCCAAGAAACTGCTGAGTTTGTCTATTGTTGTTGCATTCGGCTGCCATGTGCCTGGTTGCGACAGATACCTTCAACGATCTGCAATCTATCATAGCTGCATAGAAGACTTTAACCACCGTTTCAAGGTTGCCTAGCAGCAATTCATCCGATCTGGGCCTTGAGAAGCAGCGCTGGACCGATCCGTATTTCTGTCAAGAGGCTCTCTGTCCAAATTTTATAAATGCAAGGGCAGCGGTAAGTCTTTGCCTGAATCCTTTTCAGTAGCTCGTCTCTCGTCTCTAGATGATCATCTTCTTATAGCAACTGCGTGTTCCAGTCTATTTGATGTTCTGCATAGCATGTGCTCTCCGGGAGGACAACTCGTTGAAGCCTAGGCGACAAACCAATACCAATCTACCGCTCAGTTATTGGGACTTTGGGCGATGGCCCGGCCTTCCTTGCTATCCAATACGCGATCTTTAGACACAATTCCTGACGTCGATGGATTGGCTACCAGCGTAAGAACCATGGGTAAGTAGATAATCTCTGCGAGAAGCAATACCAGACAGGTGGGAGATGTGTGCTGAGAATGCTGGAATGTCAAAGATCCACATATGCTAATGTAAAGCAGTCAGGTGTAAGAGTCCCCCAGGATCTGCTTTTATGCTGCGGCTGCAAAGAAATCGTCAAAGCTGCGCCCGCAAAAAGTTCTCGCGTTATGCAGAGTGTATCTTCAAGTGAAATGTATTTTCTCTCAAGTATTTACCCACTGTCATCTTGGAAGCATCAAATGTTTCCCTGCCATCCAGTTCTGACCATGTTATGTTTCTGATTTCTAGCTCTTAAATGGAGCCAAGGGACCAGCAAAACTGGATTCAGGTACATCGACAAACACTTATCTTACAGAACACTCAAATCTAGATATCTTCAAACATATGCGAAATGGTGGATGGCAAGGTCTTCTATATCAAACACATCGTAATAAGGGCTCTTGATATCGGAATGATCAGAGTTCGCTCCGCAGATCTGTAAATGCTCTTTGTTCATCTAAACGCTATAAGCGGCACAGTGTCTTTAGCAGAGATGCTCCAAAAATATGATTTGACCAAAGAATCCTCCGCAAGTCTCTAATCTTCTCTTTGTTAGCCGAAAATTTTCCAAGTACCCCATTCAGGAAGAGCGCGCCTCAGACACACGTGCAAGTTCAAACAAACAGGCTTACGGGTTGGAAGTCCGAAACAAAACCTGCCATAAGCCAACTGTTTGCAAAAACAAGCCTCCGGATCCTGCGTGCCTTCGATCGAGGGAGAGGCTGTTAAATCACGTGTATCGGGAACCAAGCTGCCGTCGGCCAGACCGAGGGACAATGAAAACCATACATGAGTAATGGAGAGTGACAAAGATAGAAGCTCGAACCACAGAAGAATTTTCCGTACTTTAAATATATAGAATCAACCAAGCATGATTCTTACCCCTCCCCAAACGTATAAACGAGCGTGTTGTGTATCTTGGTACAGTCCTGTACGTACACGCTTTCCATCCCAACTCCCCACGCGGGATGTTCTAGCCTACATCGTGGACGCCAACGTCATAAAAGCTTTTAGGCCGAAGAGCGACCAGTACGGTTAGGAACCCCACTATCGGTCTCAAACTACCCTCAAACCAACCTCACCTACCTCTTTAGTCCTTCCCTCTCACCCCTCAGCTTCCTTTCAACCTTTTCAATTCCTCCTCTTCTCGACTTCTCGATCGCTCCCTCGCAGTTTCACACCCATTGACGCAGCACAACCACATTCGCAGCCGGAAAGCAATGCTAGTGTTCTTGTGATCGGGAACCACGAATTCCACGACATCGTCAACTCAGCACAAGCCCTCAAGTACAACCACCCTGCCCCACCTTCCTCATGACCTTTTCGGTGTCGCGAAGTGCCACGACGGTTCTTCACAAAATCCATTCTCACACCGAGAGCACGTCCTCGACGAGCAAACCGCGAAAGCCGTCGTTCTTTTCCCGCGAGTCCAAGAAGGGCAAGATGCCGACCGCGCAGGAGGAAAAGGACTTCGTGGCACATTTCGCCGAGCAAACGCACACGCTCGCCCCGGAGGAAATCGCAAAAGACCCCAGGAATAAAGAGCTGGGCCATAGCTCTCGGTGCTTGAGTGTGAAAGATTTTGAGCTGGTCAGGACTCTAGGAACGGGTGCGTACATTGCCTATCTTTATCTTGGTACTCGGGCATTAATGCCGTGTGAGGGAGGGGAGTGCTACTTGCATGGTGCTAATTTATGGCGATCTTAGGAACCTTTGCGCGCGTGTGGCTCGTCAGACTGGCTAATCCTGCCGAAGCTGATCGTCAAAAGGTGTTTGCTCTCAAGGTTCTGCGGAAGGTTGAGGGTAAGAACTTCCTTTACGCCGATGCCAAAAAGTGACTTTTGGCTAATGTGTGCCCCCAATTGGCAGTCATCAAACTCAAGCAGCTCGATCATGTCAATCATGAGCGCGCGGTACTCGCAGAAGTCGCAGGTCATCCATTTATTACAACATTAATTACTACATTCTCTGACCATGATTCCTTATACATGCTTGTAAGTCCATCTTTCCCTTTAGATCGGGGAATTTACACTAACGATTTTTAGTTGGACTACTGCCCTGGCGGCGAAGTATTCTCCTACCTACGAAAGGCCAAGCGCTTCGACGAAAATACCGCAAGATTCTATGCTGCCGAAATAGTACTCATACTAGAATTCCTCCATGAGACAGAAGGTGTTGCGTATCGCGATCTAAAGCCGGAAAATTTACTCCTGGATGCGGAAGGTCACATCAAATTGGTTGATTTTGGATTCGCAAAGAAACTCGGCAGTAGTAAGTCTCGTATGCATATTTTCAGAACATTACCAGCCATGTGTGATCATATTTACAGGTGAGAGCGTGACGCTGACCATTACTAGGGGAAACGTACACACTCTGTGGTACTCCAGAATATCTTGCTCCGGAAGTCATCCAGTCCAAAGGCCACACAACGGCGGTAGACTGGTGGGCTCTTGGGATATTGATCTATGAATTCCTGACGGGGTATCCGCCGTTCTGGAACTCCAATCCTATTGAAATTTACAAACAGTAAGTGTTACACCCTTAGGCACAAATTATTCTGACAGCGGTATCTTTTAGGATCGTTTCTAAGCCTGTCCACTTCCCTGCCGAACCAAATCTGTCGGAAGAAGCAAAAGATATAATTCTCCAATTTTGTGTGGTCGACCGAACTCACCGCCTGGGTAACATCCAAGGAGGTGCCGCACGAGTCAAAGCACATCCTTTTTTCAAAGGCGTACAATGGGAAGATGTTTACTATCGCAAGTACCGCGGTCCCATCATTCCACCTGTCAGATATCCTGGAGATACACAGTGTTTCGACCAATATCCGGACGAGAAAAGTAGTCGCGAACCATACTCAAAGGAATTGGAGCACAAATATGAAGACTACTTCAAGGACTTCTAATCGGCATCATCCTAGATATGAACCCGCAGGACGGATCAGTTTAATTTCCAATATTGTTTCAATAGACGACTTGTATCATATACCTATATATCTATGGCGGGGATATCCATAGGCGGACATACACGATATGAAGGGTTGGGTGGGGATTATCTACATATACGTGGGTTACATATTGTATAGATGGGAATGGCGTTTGGTGGGTGTTTACGGCGTTTAGGTCTAGGAGATATAACATGCCGATTAAGATGTCCGGACCTGCCATGTAGAAGACAGTTGCATTCTACGGAGTAGAAGGTATTAAAAGTTGAATAATAAAACTTCTGATGATTACTTTGTCGCAAATGGGAAATTTTAGCTGAAGACCGATCTCTTGTAAGGCTTTCTATTCTACAGCAAACTCAAAGGGCAATTGATATGGCGATGCAGACCTCAAAAGTTGACAAGATAGGCCCTCAGACTCCGACAGCTCCTTCCCTGTGTTACCGCGGTGTTGTGTCCAAGTACAACAAACAGATGGCAGCTACTAATCAGAGGAAAACTAGCTCTCGAGTATACTTTCCTCTAAGCACCAGACCAAATTCACAGTGGTGTATCGAGTCAGTATTGTGGGGATCGTGGAGACAGCTGGGTTTCTGCATATTCTTCGTCTTTGAATGAGACTGCACCCAGCTTTAGGTACTTTGGGTAAGGTCATTCTTGCCTGTTTTTTCAAAACATCTCGATTCACTATTTTCACCACAACAACCTGGAATATTTCAATAGCAGAGAGACGCGACAGGACCTCCGATATGATCGATTCGGAAATTCTCTGAATCTGTTATCGCGATTCACGACTAAATTTCCATCGTCACAGCAATTTCGCACACTAGCGATTCAGCACGACGTTCGCATCCAACCGCGGTTTCAGATTTCTATCAACACAACAAAGCCGCCATTCAATGACCTTTGAGTTCGGATCCGGTCAACCGGCCCCATACAATTTCGCGATGGAAAGTACGGTCAAATCCTTCAAGGAGCCGGATGCGGCCTTCTACGCTGACACACGGGACGAGCGAACAAAGGACTTGGAGTGGCAGATCGAGAAACTGACGGAAACGAAAAAGGAGACTGCACGCAGAGAGCAGAGAATAAAGGAATTGGAGGCAGAAAATAAAAGGTTGGAAGCCATGTTGGCGAATAATGGAGGGGCATCGACTGCTGACAAGGAGCATTCCACCCCGGAAGTTGACAAAGATCTGCGACACCCGAGACCTGATCACCAAGTACAACAACGCTTGATCGAGGTGCAACCCAACTACGAAAGAGTAGATTTCAATGAGACTGAGAGACTTCAATTGTGTTTGGAGGAAACAGAGCGCAGGATGTCACAAATGGATGGCGATCTGCGAAAGCAAATCGAGGCCCTCGACACAGCACTAAAAGAAAGTGAACGGAAACAGGAGCATCAAGCCAGCAGGGACCAGAGCGCGATAGATCAGCTTGAGAGTCAATTGTTAGAGTCCATCAAAGAACAAGAAGATGCCACAAAAGGCCAGAAAGCCCTTCAGAGCCGATTCGATAAGCTTCAGGCAAGACTAAAGGAGACGATAGAGTCGCGAGATGCTCATTTGACTCGGGTTGAGTCGTTGGAGGCAGCCTTGGAAGATGCGAGAAGTGAGCTCTATAAAACGGTTGAGAAGAAGGACCAGGAGTTAAAAGCTCGAAAAAAAGAGATAAAGACGTTGGAGAGGGATCTCTCCCTAGCGAATGAAATAACCGTTGACCCAGTATCATATGGACCAACAACGGAGGATATAGAGCTGATGAAGGAGGAATGGGCCGCTGAGTACAAGAGCACTGATCAACAAAAAGACGAAGAAATTAAAGTACTCCAAGAAAAGGTCGCGACTTATGACGGGATCGCTACCCAGAACTCTCAATCATACTCGGACTTGCAGCTTGACTATGACAACTTACTCTCTCAATTCAATGCTATGAAGGAGGAGAGTGGACATTTCAATCTCGATCCTTACGCCTTCAATCCCACAACTTTACCCGCAAGTATGGAGAATCTTGTGGGTAGCGAAGAAGGAGGAGATGTCGAAGTGAGTGAGTTGGTCGATGCTGGAATTCAGACAGAAGAGGTTCGCGGTGGAGGAGAGTCTAAGGCAGGAAACTATACCGAGACTGGGACCCAGACAAAAGCCATTAGCGATAAAATAGTGGTTGTTCCCGGGACCCCAACAACTGTCGTCGTTCATGATACCATCACAGTCTATGGTACTCGTCAAAGCACATTCCAACATATCGCCGAGGTCAACGTCGGTGCGTTTCGATACGTCGCTCACAGTCTTGCTGCTGTCTCTGGCAAGATCTCAGATCTTCTTCCCTTGGTTCGATCGGTGGGTGATGAGGCAGGTACAACTTCCGAGAATCCGGAAGACTCTTTGAACAATATTCCGGAACCTCGCGTGCCATCTAACAACGAGGACAAGCAATCTCCTCCTGCTGAAATTGCGCCCACTTCCTCTCTCTGGGACCAGCTCCGACACCCGCTTTCCTACCCCAAACCCGAGGCTATCCCTCTTCTCTGGGACTTTTTTTTCCAAATCGCCGTGCTGTACTTCCTATACGTCTGTAGGATGGTACTCAAAGAAAAATATATCTGGATGGAAGCAAATAACATCACCCGTAGCTATCTCAGCGACTTGTATAAAGCTCGCAAACAATATGGAAGAGGCGGCCTGAGTAACATCCTGTTTGGGGACGAGGGTGGAGGCTTAACTAGGTGGTTGGTTATGGGATGGGTTGATATGTTTGGTTTGGGGATTAAGGGATTCCCTGTGCCTGGATGAGGCGGTACTGTAGCGACAAGGAGGAGACTATTGATTGTGTTTAGTTTTTGAGAGAAGGATACCGGCGTTAGGGTTCTGTTTTATGGATATTTGTTATTGACTTGCTGGATTCGGATTAGAATATCTGCGTGAGGGTTTGTATCTTTCGGTCTGCGGAGTTGTTGATACCCTTCACGATGGGATTTTGTATGCTACTCGTTCTTTTTGAATTGAATGTTATACTTTAATATTCATCTGTGATGTGAAGTCAAGGTCCCGAGTGTTGACTAGAGGAAACTGATTGCAATCTTGCCCGCACAGCGCGAAACCAGCGGGCTTTCGTATTTTAAGCTTGATGGAAGACCTACAAGAATTATGTCCCAGAAGCTGTCTTCGTAGTCAACGAACCGCCCAGTCGGAACATATTCGATAACGGTTTTTTTTTAAAAAAAACTCCACTCGATTTTCATATACATCTTGCCAACGGGAATTTGACTATGCTGAATGGAGGAGCAGCCGTTGAATCACACATTCAAACCAAATGAAATCTAACTTAAGAATAAGCCTACCGAGTACTAACTACACCTATGTCACCTAGATAAATCTCTTATCGGTCTTCACATCCTCCACCGTTCCACGCCAACATCTCAAATCTCGTGTCCTACCTGCATACATACCCGAGCTTATATTTCCTGATCTGGATATCATCAGTCCACCGACTACCGGTAGGAGAACGGACATCTGAAATAGCTTTCTTGCGTGTTCTAAGCCACAGGGCCGCGCACTCTTGAGTATTGGTGGCACGAGAGTGAAGTGGGGAGGTTGTTGGATGATTGGAAGAGAATTGGAGCTCTTTGTGGTACTGTTTTAGAGATGAGGATTAGATGAGCTTGGAGGTAAATGGAAGGTCGATAGGATGGGAGGTTGTATTTGAGTTTTAGCTAGGGAAATTTAGGGTTAATAACAAGTGTTGGTTGCTAAATCCGACGTTCTACAACCTACACTCGATTCAGGGTCACAAATTGTGAATATATCTTATTTTTTAAGATAAAACTATGTTTTAATTGTCTGTTCAAATACTAGGTTCTTTCTAATCTCATGCTAACCTGTGGATTACTGATTAATTGAACTATTCAAATATTTAAATAATTGTAAGTGATAAGTCAGTCATTCCCCTCTTCTCCGTTATCCTGTGATACTTCAAATCGGCAAACGGAACACGGAAAACAACAAAGTTATAAAAAGCATAAACATATCAAATAAGTCGGCGTATCGGTCTCTCACCTCGGAGCCTCCCATCGATTATTCTTCCGTCCCGTCTCACGTCGTCTCGACAATTACAGTTCCAACCCTGCCCCGTCTCGGATAGCCCAATGAAATAAGGTTCACAACGCCAACGCTCCTGTGGGTCGCTTACCACACCAGCGTCATGGCCTAGACTCTGTGGATTTGTGAGGGAAAACGAGCCGAGGATGATTTGGATTTCTAGATGGAGCATTCGAAGGCTGATTATTAAGGGTTGAGGGCGCTTTTTTGGAGATGGGAGGCCTGAGAGTAGGGGAGGAGGGGAGAAGTATATTATCTGGTGTTCTGGCGGTGGTATTCTTGAGTTTCTTTGTTATTCGTTGAAAACGTCATCGAAGCTCGTCCCGCATCACTATCTACATCTACATCTACATCTACATCTATACATTTCAATCGCAGCAACATATACTCCACCACACCCTCAGAAACACCATACAAACCTCAAAATGTCTGACAAACTCACACCCAACAACCCTGACGAATCAATGGTTATCCGCGAATTAGTCCCAGGAGTAACAACGCTCTCCGTCCCCTTCGCACGATTCGGAAGGATCAAGTTCGGTGGTCGCGCAACAGTTGGTACGTACCTTACCTTCCTCTCTACTCTCCAACATCCAGCAACTAACCTCTTCTCCAGTACGACTCCAATCCGGTTCCCTCGCCGTCTTCTCCCCCGTCGCCCTCACCCCAACCGTCCGCTCGCACCTCCAAACCCTCGGCACAGTGCAATACATCACCGCGCCCGACATCGAGCACCACATCTTCCTCTCCGCCTGGTCGGCCGCCTACCCATCCGCACACATCATCGCGCCCGAGGGCCTGCCAGAGAAACGCGCAAAGTTGAATGCCAGCGACAAGAGCGTCACGCTGCTGGACTTCGGCACCGTTTTCACGGCCAAGGGAAAGGAGAACATCCGCGTGACGGAGGAATTCGACCGCGAGTTCGACTACGAGTTCGTGGACGCGCATCCGAATAAGGAGATTGTGTTTCATCATAAGCCGTCGCGGACGCTTATCGAGGCCGATGTGCTGTTCAACCTCCCGGCGCGCGAACAGTACTCGAAGACCAATATTGATCCTAGTGGCGGGGTGTTTACCAAGTTAGCGAGTGCGTTGCAGAATACCCAGGGCACGGCGATTTGGCAGAAGAGGGTGTTGTGGTATGTGTTTAGTAAGGCGGATAGACCGGGCTTCAACAAGAGTATTCAGCGGATTAACTCGTGGGATTTCGTGAATATGGTGCCTTGCCATGGGGATTCTTGGGTTGGGGATGGGAAGTCTGTGTTCCAGAAGGTGATGGCGTGGCATTTGGAGGGGAAGAAAAATTGATTACTCTATGATTGTCGTGAGGGGAGCAGTGTTTGAAAGGGAAGTTAATGGGTAGAGGCATTGGAGGGTCGGATTGGGAGTGTTAGATCTTTCTTTTGTAAAAGGTGATAGATTTCCCATGTACAAATAGCCAGAGACATTTTGCCTCATGATATTGAATATTGAACTGTTCCTCATCTTCTGCTTGCTTGGTATGTTTTAAAAGGATACAAAGCTTCGGATCCTCAATGATGAAGGCTCTACCCATTCAACCATCATTATTACTGGCCATCTCTCCTGACCAATCTCTAACATCACAGAGCACAACTGACCCTTCACGACTCTTATGTAGAACAAGCAGAGATTGATTTCCTCTTCCTGTACATAACCAATCTTTCGAAAACTCTAAAAACGTAACAAACAGTCTTCGACGAAATACTTTAATACGAAGTGAACTGACAAATTCTTAAACGTTCATAATTGTGCCAGGTTAATCATCGATATATAATTTATATGTCAAACACACTCCTCTAATGACATTAATAGTGACACATAGTCGGTGACCCTAAAGGCATGAAGAAAATGAGAATTCGCAACACTTTCAACTCATCGCCGTGATACATTTGAAGAATATCTGTAACGCCAGAAACATTTCCCAAGTTTCTTCCACCACGCGATTCCTAGTCGTCCAAAGTTCTTAAAGTTGTTTGGAAAACACCAGGACACACAAGTTACTTTCTAATCCCCTATCCCGTTCCACCAGCAATTGAGAATCCCGTTTTCCAGTTCCACAAGCGGCTGGCAATACCGGTTTCCGTTCCACCATAGGTAAGACCACACCGCGACATATCAAGATCGAGAGGCCCAGCCAACGTATTTCCTTCTATGGCGGAGAAAAACAAGACCTGAAATATTGATCGTCTGCTAGGTACTTAGGATGAATGTGTCAACTTCAACAGAGGGCATTCAAATAGCCTTGGAATCCATTGTTTGACGGTAACGGGCTCATCCATACATTTCAAATCCGAACCGAACTGTCCAGGAGAAGTGCTACATGAGATGTCAGCTCTCAAAGGTATAGCGCAAAATCGATTTCCTTGAGGTTGGCCATGAGGAAAGGCACTGTAAAATCCGTTTGCAAATGTAGGAGGAAGTCCTTAAAGCCGAATACTTTCCCAGTCGTACATTGAATTCCGGTCAAATCTTGATCACCTGAAAGCCGAGATGTATAGTCTAGGTACTGTTGATCTGGCCAATGTCAGGTTGCGAGAAGCAAAATCAGGCCGTTCTTATAATGTTATGTAACGATATGGGAAATGGCTCATCGGTGCAGTCCGGAGTTGCAGTAGACGAGGTCGGTATGATCGAAACCACTCGTGGGAAATGCTCTGGGGACAAGTCGATAATTTCGTGATCCTCCTTAGACTCATCGATGTGTAACTGAAGCTATAAATCATTTCCTATTGGCCTTTTCAGTTTGTTGAATTCTCCCCAGTTGGTATACAAGACAGGGTGTGGTCGACCGATAGGAAGAAGTTTACCTTCCGCAAGGGATTTGATAGTTGGGGTGCTTGGAAGTCCAGTAGTAAGACCAAGGTAGACATTCAGCCACGAAGTCTCCTATTGGTATTGCGGATTCCATTGGGTCCATAAGAGAATGGTCCTGTCCGGAAGAAAGCTCTGTTGGTTAATAGCAAAGTAAGAAATGAAACGTATCCTTGGAGATGATCCGATGTGGCAAATATGTGAAAACTGATGTGTAGCAGATATTTCGTTACAATAAAACGAGGCCTGCAGGTTATATACAACAAAAGCCGCATCGCCTTGCTGCCAAGTTCCTTGCGGTCAAGTCCGGTATACCAACCAATTTGAATAAGCGAGGGGGATGGCAAGTTCAAATGCTACAAACCCAATTTGGATCCAGGCAGCAAGGTCCGATGGGTATCCTAATCAAGACCATTCAAATCGAACCGAAGCGCCTCCTGGCCTACAAGTATGCAATCGCCGATGCACGAGATATCCAATTCCGCTTGCACTAATAATGCATCCTTCATCGCCGTAATCCAGGTTCGTAAAGGCATTAAAAGCAAATAACCGATCTTTGAAATAAACCTGACCGGTCTCCTGTAAATTCCGCAAATAGTGATGGCACTCTTCAGGATGGTACGCCGGGGAAGACATGGTTGTCTGAATCCTGGACTGAATGGCACTTCTGCTCATCCACTTTTGTAGAGTGCAATCGGCAACTCAAAAGTTATGACAAACGCCATTAAATGGCCGTCACAGTGGACTGGAACCAAAACTGGAAGATCATAGGGCGTATGCGCTACAGGAATGAGCTAGGCTATCCGTGGTCCATGGAAGATAATAAAAAACGCCAGAAAATGCAACCCGGAAATGTTCGCTGTGTGCACAAAACTCCAGTAACATCTGATGAGATAAGGACTTAATTCCGGCCGCCATGGGGGCGACCACTTCCATGGGAACGATGTCTATCACGTGGGTCTTGGTCTCGTTCTCGTTCACCTCCACCTCTCCTGGGGGCTCCTTGGTTGGCTGTTGCTGTTGAGGAGGACGACATAGGACCTTGGCTGTACTGGGGCTGCTCATATTGTCGATTATCCGGATAGTTGTCCACTGGATCAGAATAGCCGGCTACAGCTGGACCTAAGCAGTCAGAGAGTTCTCTTCTACGAGGAGACGAAGTTAGGAAAACATGTTTATCGTTGTACGTACTCTGTCGACCATAGTATGCCTCGCTTGGATGAGCAGGATATGAAGATGCCTGTCCCTGTGAATTTTGAGGGGGATAATAACCACCTGGATTACCGCGGGGATCTGGGTAAGATGCGGCAGGTTGGGCTGGGTAGCCCGTAGCTCCACGTGGAACTTGTGCTGGTGGTAACGGGCCATTTCTTCCTCCGCGGAGACTCGATTCACCTTGTGGCTGCTGGTTAATGCCATAATCTGCGCCAGCAACGTAAGAATAGTTATCAGGTTGGTGGCCATATGCAGTAGGAGGGGCACCGTATGAGCTGGGTTGGCCGTAACTTTGTCCAGGTCCATATCCTTGGGAATATACTTCCTGTGATTGCGTCACGCCGCCAGCGGCAGACGATGAAGGATATCCTCCTGTGGGAGTCGCAACAGCAGCCTCGGTTGGGCCATAATACTGTCGGGATTGATGGACTGTGGAGTCTCGATACCCTCCCACTAAAGGTGTGTTAGAATTCCGAAAATTACCACTCGAGTCGCGAATACCATTTGCAGACTGTCCTTGTGCGGAACCGTCATTCAAAGTTTCTGCACGTTCTTTGTCCCATCGCTTTGAATCTGCTTTGAGATCTGCGATCATCGCCTGTGGAAATCAGCATAAGCACTATTATGATGTGTTATTTGATGGAGCGTAATTACGGTCGTGAGATTCCGATAAGCCGTGATGAAGTAGCCGGCGATTTTCTGTCGGGTTTCTCTGTCCTATTTACAGTTAGATCGTTGATGCCTGTGATAGTGATGATTCAAGAGTAGTGCAACAAACCTCGTAGGTGCCTGGCCGTACGAGAGCATCGTTCCCAAGATACCGACAAATGTCGGCGGTGATGACTTCTCTGTCTATCCCATCCTTGGGTACGAAATACTCATTCGAACGGACCGAAGCAGCAGCAGCACGCCTGCTGTCGCGCTCTCTGTCTGCGTCTCTTCGTCCTGACATTCTGCTAATCCAGTGGGAAATAGGGTGTAAGAAGGAAGAAAGGAAGTCCAGAAAGGGAGAGAGATGCAAAGCAAGCACACCACGTCAGCCTTGGGGAGTGGGATAGGTATGGTGTGGTGGCACGGTATCGGGGAGCAGCAGAAAATGGACAGAAAAGCTGGCAAAGATCCAAAAGTGGTGCCTTGTGTGCGGCGCGGGGCCTGGGAGAACAAATAGTTCTTGGGAAGAGGCGCTACGCTGGATCTGCGTTTGAGGCAACGGGTAATCCTGTGGTCTGCAAACTGGATGGTCTTCTCGAGGCGTTTGGGTCTTGGTCCTGTCCTTTGGGGAATGGTATCCTGCGGTAATGGAGATCCTGCTGGGCCAGAGGTTTCTCTGCGGAATTCTGCGGTGTTCCTGTCCAATTATTCGGGGAACGGTGAGGTCAAACGGAAGCAAGAATATGCAACTGACAGCTGAGCACACCGGGGTATGCAGTGCAAGCTGTGTGTTGGCGGTGGAGGAGGGCGACCAGAAGGGAGCAAGGTGAGGATTGGTGTGGTGTGGCAGGAGCAACGAGCGAGGGGCTCGGGACCAGACGAGAAACAGCGGGCTGCAGCTGCGGACCAGGCGGCAAGCACAGTGTTGTCACGACGGCGGTGGTATGGCGTAGTGGAGTGCAATAGTGCGCCGCCTTAAGGTTAAGCGACACCGAAAGGGGTCGAGAGAGAAGGCGAAGATGCCTCAGGTTGGAGAAGCAAGAAGCAGTGAGAGACGAAGGATTATTGAATTGTAATGTATACTGTGGCGACAGCAAAGTTGTAGAGTGTCCGTAGACTTTGGACAGGAAACAGCATCAATAGACGTGCAAAAGTCTTGCAAAAGGTCGTAGGTATCGTCGCTACTTAAGCTGGCAGGACGCTGGCGGTGGAGCCATGCTCGACCAGGCTTCCTCACCCAACTGCGAAAAGACTTGACTGACACTCGTCACAACAACAATGAGCCGGTGGGTCTTGGACACCTACAAGTCATCCTGCGTGCTACTGTAGTATTCGCAAGAACACCTGTGCTGTGAGCGAGCAGCCAGTGCGTCTCTTGCCACTACCGGCGTTTTTCTGCTCTGCAATTGCACGCATTCTGCTGCGAGGAGTTGATGCGTCTGCAATCGGCAAGAAATCATGTCACAAGCGACCTGCCGTGTCAGGAATTGAGCCAGACTGTGAGGGTTTGCAAATAAGTGAGCGATGTCCCGCCAGATTTCCGCTATCGTTTCTGCTTCTCCGTCCCATCTAACCTGTTACTTCATAGACGTCAATTGAAATCTGTATTGACAAAAGCGAAGCAGTGCTTCCATTATTGCTGTTAGTTAACTTTCAAGTATGTGGCGTTGGGCAGCCATACGTTTCGGCCCAATAATGCCTGATCCTGACCACCTCCACTTCGTCCCTCAACTTTTCATTTGCTGCGATGCTGATGTTCCAAAAGCATTTGTTCATGTTAGCGGTTGATGCGGCTGGAACCGATGGGATTGTTTATTTCCAGCCCAGTATTCGTTCGCGTCGTCCGACACGTCCGACAGGTCTTTGGAGCCTTAAAAACTTCCGCTGCCCTTTAATGTCTGTCGATCGTTTGACATCGGCGACAAGCCCGTATGTAGACGAGGTTCAACAACAGACACTGGGTCATCGTCTACTAGTTGCTGCAATTAAATCTACCACCACAGCAGACGCTTCATCGTGTGTTTTGTAACATTGGCCAACAAAAACGGCTTCGAGGAGTCAAGTGAGTGTTCGTTCGTCCTTTGATGCAAGCGACCTGCTTCCCATTCAATGATACAATGCCAGAGCGCCTACAGGACGCATTGCCGTTAAGATGTTCAAGGCATGCGGATTGGACACCTCCCAAACCAAGCTATCCGTATGCTTGTATCCTAATGTCATAACTCATTTCGGTGGAAAACGTGAGGGCTAGGCAGTGGCTCCTCTCGCAGCTTAATACGGCTGCTGAGGGTTTCTCAACGAGTAGATGCTGGAAGGCTGACTACTTTTAGGATTGATCATATACTGGCTAGCATGCCGGTTAATCGCTGCCACCAGTTGTAGCTAACACTTCGGGTGTCGTATCCTTCGACTCCGACTGCTGGCGGTCGACATAACTCGTGTGGCATCTCCTCATAGGGGGAGATGTCGGTGAGGCTGCAGGAAGTAGTAGTGGATGGTACTCTCAAGATGAAGCATCCACAAGGCGAACTGACAGGACAAACCTATCTGCTGCGACAATCAGCCAAAGGTAAGCTTGCTTTGACCTTTTTCCGTTTTGCTACTGCCTAGAGCCTTTTTCTTTCCGGAAGCTCCTGAGACTTTCTTGTTCTGAGTAGTAGTAAAGGGTTTGGCGGTTGTCCGTGGTCTGTCCTCTTCCTCAAGATCTTTAGCGAAATGCCAATCTTGATGGCTTTGCAGAGCGGCAGCACTCCCAAGCGCCGCCATGCAACGATCGCATGTGTAGCCAGTGATATCTTTCTGTTTCAAAACCGAAGCTGTACCAAGCTTAGGGAGGTGTTTACCGACGGTACTTGCTTCCTGTACTAGAGATGGCCGCGATGTGGTATCGGCATATCTTACATCTAAGGTCTGATGTCCAGGTGATGCTGAGGAACTCATATCGAGAGAAGCTTGGGCACCAAATTCATCATCATGCTCCTCTGTACTCTCGGTCTTGAAGAACCGACCAATTCCTGATGTTGGAACCAGTCGGCGCCTTTTTTCCGCTCTGTGTGGTGTCGATTCCACAACAGAAACGTCTCGGGTATGTGAATTGAGCACTTTAGCTTCGTCTCCTTTTATGAGAAAAGCGCCAATACCCATATTACCGGCAATGCCATCCTCAAATCCAGCCACGGCTAGACTAAGGTTTGCACAAGGCCATACTTTCCCTTCGAGTATGATCTGTCCGAGGAGATTTGTTGCTATCTCAAACAACCCTGCTTCATCAATCTTTTTCCCAGAAGGAATAGGGGCTTGCCTGGACTTAGTCTGCCCACCTTGACGATGGTGTAAGTTCATTGTTTTGGGCCGCCGTTTGTTCTCTAGAACTCCTTCTTCCACCAGGCGCGAATATATGTCTGACACAAAAATACGAAGCCATCGGGTGGCTTGTTCTGGTGTATTGATGGTTGGCCGGAAGGACTTCGCAGACAACATGGACTTGATTTGAGTACGAGAGTTTACTTCGCTGTTACACGTTAGGCATTCATGTCGCCGCACAGGTTGGGTATCAACCTACCTAGCGTCATTACCCCTGATAATTTGATATACCCAGGTTCCTGTATCATCGCCGAGCTTCTGTTTGAGCTGTTCAATAGGTATTGGTAATAGATCTTTGACATTATCAGTATTGAAACTGGAAGTTATTTGCTCCCCCAATTTCCCACCAAGACCACGGATCTTTGTGAATTTGAGATCTGATAGGAATTGCTGAACTGCTCGGTTCCTGACTATGGTTTGCTGGTTGGGTTTCTTATGAGCAGAGCCTAGCTTTGCAAGCATCTTATTCTGTGCAACACCTCCCGAACATGTGTATTTGAGCTTTTCTCTGACTGCCGCTCTAACGTTTCGAACAATTTCAGATCCTATGAGTATTGCAACATCATCCCAATCCGGATCATCGTCTTCTGTCTCTTCTACATCTAGGTCAATGAGAGCGTCAGCCTGCCAGTCCAAAGCCGTCGATGGAGGTAGCGGCAAATATTCTGTGGGGTCATCATAAGGAGCTGGTCCAGAAATCTCAGGGTAACGTTCTAGTAAAATAGAGTGGACCTGTGCGGATAAGTCCATGAAAACCTGGGTATAGCATCAGCCTAGGTTTAATAGCCGTGCCAATCGACATACCTCATCCACACTAGCCTTTTCAACCTTCTGCAGATCTGCGGGGAGAGTCTCTTTGATACATGCCAAAATTCTCCGAGATTCAAGGCGATAGGGATCGAGAGAGACCTGAAAACATCAGCCTTGTGTGACGATTATTAGCACAGGGAAAAATAGACCTTATGGGTTGCAATATTTTGAAACGCATCATCATGGTAATCCCATTTCGCATCCCCTTCCTTCCACGTCGCAACGTGCTGGCAGATAATATTGGGACACTGTTTCTTTGCTTCCGTAATAGTGACATGCCTATTCAGACCAAATTTTCGGGCAGGATAGTTGATGGCGATAAGACCTTGCCTACAGATAGGTGAGCCAAACTTCCTGAACGCAAGCGGCAAATAACATACCATTGCTGAACTGCTAAGGGTTGGTCTTCTGCAACACCCAGGCGCACCATTTCGCACTGTGCGTAGAAAGCATCCAGATCGACGTGCGCGATCACTCGTAAAGGACAAGTGAGAGAAGAAAGTGCAAGCTGAGAGAGGTGCTTGTACGTGAATCTTGATTTCCGGCGACGTGTAGTGCCGTCGAATAGCGGCGAAGACGCCTGGAATGGCTGCGATGAAGACATATCTACCCTCTCGTCAAGACTTCCGAGTTGCGAACCTGATCTAACTGCGAGAGACTAAAACTCATCGATTGAAACGCCTGCGCAACTCGGTGGGGTAGCAGTCGCAACTGCAGGAAGGATGTCCCAGATGATAAGTCAAATGGACTGCTAGGAGTGGTGGCACTTAAGGAGCTTCATTGCCAAGAAGGAAATCCACTGCGACTGGAAGGATCCGAATGCCGTCGAGACGGAAGTTGAAGTGTTGTAGGAGATCTTTGTTCGACGTCGAAGTAGAGCTCCAACTCTTTTCGCGTTGGAGTTGGAGTCGCGATTTGCCAAGGGTTTTCCACCCCACCAAAACGCCAGGGCAGGTGATCCGCAGACTGATTTCGTCATGGATACAGTGGTTGCACCAAAAAAGATACTCGACCATAAGGAAGAGATGTCCTTTTAATATGTGCTGTACTTTCCTATTTTACAAAACACCTTTTAATAAATCCTTCAGCATCTTTATCTTGGAGTCCCGATTTAATTTAATTACCAAAATGTCTTTCCTCTCCATGTTTCGCAACCCAACTACTTTGGGATTACTCAATATCACTACCCTGCTTGGAATTGGTGGAAGCACATATCTCCTCAGATCGCATATGATTGAGCTATCAGAAGATCACGAGGCGAAAATGGTATGTGTTTATTTTGGTTTTCGTTCGTGAAATTTTGTATTCTTTCTGTTATACAAATATGATTGTCCCGACACCTGCGGTTCATCATGCACATCGGTTGAGCTTGTCCAATCAGCAGCCAAGGAACTCTTTAATGGCAACCAATGCTTCAAGATCGTTACCAGAATTGTCACTGGGTATTACCCCATACGGAACATTGATATACTCACTGCTTTTGACCACTATCTTCTCCAAAGTTCACGGGACTGAAAGCTTTCTTCTCTCATTTATTGGTGGCATCTGCAAGTGCAGAACGGGATAGCGCCACACGGTTGAGTGAGACTTGTCCAGACCGTTTTCATGCATATCACAGGGTACCATCCGATGTACTAATGTACGAAACCAACAGGACGAGCTCGAAGGAACCTTGCGAGGTCATATCGGGCTCATTGAAGAGTCGCTGGACAGATTGGAAGGTAAAGGCACAGAGGCAGACCGTGGAAAGAAAATGTAAGAATACAAAAGGCCGCCTTCTTAGTTTGATGCTGATGGTGTACTGCAGGAACGAATATTATGGAAAACGTGGTCGGGACGAAAAAGCGAAAAAGTAATTCGCAGGTCTCTTTCTGGGTCGAGATCGGCCATTCGAACGTGACCCGCAATGCATATTCCACGTCCTCCTTCCCGGAAGAGGCAGAAAGACGTATGCGAGCGTGATCGCCACTGATGCATCAAGGTGTTTTGGGAATTTGCAATCGATATTGTATCCCTCAACCCTGGTCATTTCCGCATACAACCAAGTGAGGGAACTTCGGTAGTGTCACACAGACCGATCAGTCAGTATATACAGACCATCTCCCACTTTAGTCATTACCAACCCTATATACTCCATATCAAACTGGCATCCTACAGTGATCCAACGTGATCTTTAGTTTTCTCCTTCATTTGTATGACGCACTGCTAGATTCGGTGGTAGACATGGACCTTGGAAATCTTGAAGTTCTCAGTTGCCCACACCACCCCGATCATATCAAATGATCGTTGCAAAGCCTTCTCGTCTGGGCGATAGGTTTGTGTACGATGATATACGAGAAGGTAGGCGGAAGAGGCGCAACATAGAGTTGTTCCAAACGTTCTAAAGCACGTTGCGCGCATGCCAGATCCAGGGCGAAAAAACCGTTCGATCCTACCAGCACTGCGCAGCTCAGAAAGCTGTAAGCAGACATATGCAGTAGCCCATTGCAACCTTTAAGTATCAACAAAGAGTGACGGAATGAGAAATACTTACAAGGCTGACATCGTCCATCCGCAGCACTCATATGTACCTCATGACAACCGGTCGATGACAGCATCAACTCAACCACCGCTGTAGATGTTCAGAAAGGCTTACATCACACAGTATCACACATTGATACCGACAATCTGGACGAGGCTGAGACCCAGGCTATTACTCGTTGATCACTACACATGTCAGCATTCAGCCGAACTATAAATGTGCACTGCATCTCAAAGCTCGCTTCCAGCGAGAGCTTTCGCCTCAAGTTCCTAATTCGAAGGGCCCGAACACTTCTCTTCCGAGCCTCCTTCCTTGTGTCCTCGATTCTGGTCCATGTACTGGTGTTCAAGAGATCATTGAAAATGAAGGATATTATGGGTCGGAAGTCGTGTGATCATGGGCCGGTCCCGGCGCAGTGGATTAATGCAGCCTTGTCCATCAACCGCATCGTGGCTCGGGATCCTCAACGGTCGGCAATAGATTCGTTGTTTTCCTGTTCAAAGTAGTCACACCCCCAAGACTATTGCCCGAAAGTCTCGCGATTCAAGGTACTTCATCGAAATGAGTCTTGATTTCAGGTCGCCTTAAGTAGGACACTAAATGCCACGCCGCGCCCCTTCCAAGCACCAGTCCAACCATATTCAAGTTGCCAGTAAGAAAAGCGTAACTCGGATATGAAAGTCTGGATGGTCTTCGGCAATGCCGCCCGGGATGGATAAGATGTCATGGAGTGGTCCGCTTTACGGTACTTGTTGATCGAAGCTATGCAGGAACTCTGAAATATCGGAGGATGTCTGCTCAAAGGTGCCCCTTTATTGGCGAGTGGGTCTGAGGCAGCCACTTAAGAGTAAACAAAGCTCTGTTCTCAGAATCAGGAGCAGTGACTCCCCGTACTCTGCCCCGATTACGTATCACCAGGGATACAAAGTGACTTCCTGAACAGGGCCAGCAACACGGTGACGATGCGGCGTACAGCAGCCTTTACCCAGGCCATTGCTCTTACATTTTGTCGTTGGACACTTCAGTCCCCGTCCTGGGCTAAGATGCGTACGCCGTCGTAAGATGATCCACAACCGGATGTTTTCGAACAATTCGGTAACTCGCTCTGGCGTTATGCCCAGCAGATGTAGATGAAGGAAGTGAAGCAACTCGATCGCCCGACTAGATGAGTGAAGGAATGTCAGAATACGTGTAGATAGAAAGAGCTGTTTATATAAGGAAGAGAGCTACACACTTTCATCAGCATGTCATTAACTCGATACCTACAAAAAGCCAAGTCCTCATACATCCGCGATACCTTCGACAAAGTCAAACCAGACAAGCGTGGACATATCGATCCTAGTCTAGAGCCACAAAATATTTCCAGCTTATTTCGAAGATTCAAGTATCGATAAACAGCGGTTGTTTCTCGACATTTCCATAAGTCTTTACCTAGTGCATTATCGATCAAATTCGTAGGTTTGAGGTTCGATTCTTGAGCCGGTGTAAACTGACTGGTTGTAGCAGTAAGAATGTCACAGACTTGGGGTCCATATCCTTCCATGGCTGGATGGTTCACATGTTGCTGTTGTTCCCGGGAAGTAGACGAGTCGGTTTGGGGAGCATGTTGCCCGGATTGTTCTCATGAGAAGTGTGATTATTGCGGGCCAGTTTATGGAGCAAGGGGGCAATACTCGAACAATGCATCAGATACGACTGAGTGGTACCACTGCTCCCAAGACTACTGCGGAAATGCAGTTGGAAATCCGAGGGAAGAAGGGAATTGCTGTACAGGTAGTGGCTATCAAAACAGTGGAACCTGCGAAGCGACCAAGCAGCACCACATCTAAGACAAGGGCTCTAACGTCGCTACCTCGAAAGGACCAATGGTATCAAGGTAATGCCTAGCTGATGTCTGGGTGACATTATTTTTCTTTCATTCGGGCTTTTTGGTATATTTTCTTAGGAAGGATCTTGTTTGTTGGTGGCTTCGGCGTTGGGGTTCTGAATAGGGCTATCGTACAACTTGGTTACTGAGTGGCTGGTGTGGCTAACACAACTACTACTTTTACCTGGCTCAGGTGCTGGTAGTGGGCTGTGAGAGTCTGTCGACAGAAGTTGAGATTTTTTTCGGTATTTAGCGGATGAGATCTTCCCACATGTGTCTCCTTGGGTGGTTTGTTTTGGTCCATTTGACGTCTTCATGACAGTGGAGTTTTTCCTATATTCTTTATAGAAGTAGCATAGATGTCACAGCGTTTGATTAGATTTCGGAGGGTTGTTGGCGTTCATTTTGGTCTTTGGCTGGTTCAAAAATTCGAGACGTGTTTTGTCATTCAGAGTGGTCCAAATATGACAAAGATTTCCTACATCCAGTTTACTGCTTCCTCGTATATTTTTGTCGTGTATCCAATTTCCAAGCGTCCAATCCAATAACTACTCATAGATGTTATCCATCTTCCTCTGCGGGGCGCTGTGTTTGTATTTTGAGGTGGCAAGGCCGTCCTGGTTTATTTCAATTGTTTTCGTTCTAGAGTTTGGTATGTCGGTTTGCTGGAAGACCGTAATAAAATGGCTCGCCACGCCAATGCTAAACCTCTTTCGCTCCCGCACTCATGCCTTTCCTCCCATGTGTACTCCCATATATGCCAGCGGTCTTAGTCGATAGTCATCTCGATACGAGGCTGAGAGTGCTCTGAGGCAGTCGTCGAGCCATTTTGACAAGCCTGGCAGGCATAATTTTGTTATTCGAAGTCACCGGCGCATTCGACGCTGCCACAAATTTTTTGACTGCCGCAGTCATTCTCAGAGTATCAAGTATATAATTGATTCTTATCGTAGATGTTGTGGTGCGTACATATCGAGATGAGGATCAAATGGAGTCCAGCTGTGCCTCAAGCTGGAGGGCGTCGATGTTGAAGGAAGTCGCTCACACATTATTACGACGTTCAGCGAACGGCGCAAGACATGGCGAGTTGAGAGAGAGCCTACATCAGCATCTCACAACCAGGGATGTACAGGAGTCGGACTCGTATTTCGATATCGTGGGAAGTTCTTTCCACAACCGTGCGGCAATGGAATCCATCTGAATTTATTTTCCTATACCCCTGACCCCTGAGCAGTCTCCCATACGAGTAGCTTACGATTGTTGATGTGACCTGACCAAGTGTATTCGATCTTCCATCTGTGACAAGATTGCAGGTATCAAATATGATTGCGAATTTCTTGTTTAATGACACGGCATGGATATTTTTGGGGCTCGGAAAACAATTGTTTGCTACCTAGGCTACCGCATTACTTGGATTAGGTATCACTCGCCCAATTACCTTTGTGTGTCCAGGCAAGATGCAAGTCTCCGGGCAGTCGCCCATACCACGTTTGCTGCCAGAGCATGGAAGATTTCCAGGCATATTTAGCGGGGATCTTCGAGCAATTGGAATGTGTTTACCTCCTATACAACTTGAATATTTATAGGGCCCACCAAATACATAGTGATCACGAATGGTTATCCAACTCACACAATTTGATAGTACTAAACTGCCTTGCCACGAGTATTATTAACGAGCTGCTAGCCATATTGATGTCGCCCGCATGTGCTTTCCCCTCTCTTCCTCCAAATTATGTTTGAATCCACTGGAACGCCAGCCAATACGCCAATGCCCCCAACCATGCAACTCCAGCCTATACAAAATTGCCACATTGACGCTCTTTACAAAATCTAAGTCTAAATCATAACCCCCATCAAGTAGCATTAATCTACTTCATGAATGAACAGCTCGTCCAGACAGGTCCTGAAGCTTGATATAGTTATCTGAGGGATGTACGGACTGATTATCGTGGTGTACTCTAATGGGAGTATTACGGTCACGCAAATTCTTAGGTGATGAATGCCTTAGGTTCGCCTTCCTAGCTCCGTCCACCATATCAGACGCCCCTTCTTGCTCAACCAATCCATATTCTGCCCGTAGCCTTTTGACTGCAGGACCGAGCGCAAACTGGCTTTCGGTACTCTCATGGTTGGCACAAGGACTTGCTGTTGGCAGGAACCATTCCAAGATGCTATTTCCCATTACTGTATTTAAGTTGAGTATCGCACTTCCAAGGTCCCAGGGATTATCTCCAGGCTCTAGAGTGTGCACGATCGCAAATGTCCGACTTGCTTGCAAATCTCTCGCAGACTCTCCATGTGGAAATGGCTGTGTTCTTGATAGTTCGGGTTGCCTTGTCCCGCCTTCCATCGTTTGATGGCCATATGGGTTGGTGGAATCAGTAACAGGACGGGGAGAAGACACATGTCCCTCAGAGTTAGCTACTACCGGGTAACGTGTCTGCTGCTCCGAGTCGTCAATTGGGGATGTAGTAGGAACCTTAGCTTGTGTCACGTGGTTTTGCTGGGCAGTTGCTGGGTTGGACTGATCGTGTTGTGCGGAGTTGTTATCTCTAGCTTCTCCTGCTGCGAATGTTCCTGGTCCTGGCGTCGAGGAGAACAGACTCGCATCAAGAGGATATGTGATCTCCCGATACGGCGCTTTGTAGCTTCGTGCGGCGCCCGTTCCAGGAGTCTGCGATGAATGCGGCTTTCGGATAGCCAGAATATGCACTTTACTCTTCGCACGAAGCCTCTCCACGGTCGTGAGGTTTTTGATAGCCAGATCCACCGAGGTCCCGCACATACTTGCCGTGAAAAGAAAGAAAAAACTAGCTCTAGAAAGACGAGTATTAGACAGCGAGATGGCAGAGTGAAGTGCTGACTTACAGAGCTAGAATAGCGATAAACTGGCGATTCAGACTGTCACTCTGGTACAAATAATCAGGCAAAGACGCAATATCCAGATAGTGGTGACTTACCGGAGAGCTAATTTGCCGCCGAATGTAGATTGCCATTACTATTAGCAAATGCAAACAATACAACGCTGTCCAAAAAGTGTATTGTATGAAGTATTTGAAGTTGTTCTCGCCGATGGGACCTCCAACCCACGGGCAGAAATGATCCATTTTGGCGATACAGCGACCTGATGTACTATCATGATGGGTTCGATCGAGCTTCCACGTCGCACAATGCGAGCACCAAATCGGTCTTCCATCAGCTTCTGTGACGAAACAATTTTTGGTGTAAAATAGCTCCAATCCTGCAGAATCTGGATCATTCCGGCCTTTCTCTGTATCATATTCCCCAGAGCTCAGCGCATCCTCCTCGGAGCGAAGTTTCCTTTTCGTCCTTTGAGCCTGAATTGCGGCAGAGCCAAGTGGAATGTATGGCGGGTGGAAGGTGGTAACATATAGAAGTCGAGTCAAGGAAATGATCATGAGTGTGAAAGTGAAGAAATATATGCAAAGAATCGGAATTGCAGCCGTTCGATCACCTCGATTGAGAAGATAACTAACTATAATGGCGAATTTAATTAGTCAAAGCAACTAAAGGGAAGTATAGCACATACTACACAACTGCGACACCAAAACGTACGTGGCGTATCCCTTTACGCCTAGCAAAACGATTGGAACGACACGCGCTGTCCAAAGGTTGACCGAGCGATTGCGATCCTCGAGGCTTCGCATGGTCGCAAGTCATAGGAGTGTGTTACCGTAGTTGCCTACAGCTGCGAAGAACAGAAGAAATAAAGATAATCATTATTAGAAACGAAGAAATGCCTAGCACGTAACATGTCTGACGCGATTGAATTGATGTTCTCAGTTGAGGTTGAAGCCGACAATAATCATAAGCTTGGCGCGGCTAATAATAGGAACTCCATTTCGCGCGACGTCAGTGCACCATACAATAAGACAATCTCTTGAGATTTCCAACTCAACCAACTTCATATTTTTATGTGTCTTCAATGGCTCTACGATACAGCACGGCCAGGAGTCTGTAGATATTACTGCCCTGAGCCGTGGACAATCGCTGCGAATGTCTCTGTGCCGATATCATCAAACTCTGAGCAAGACCGACCTCCCTTCCAAGACGTAGCTTCTGGAGTAGGCTTGTTGAAATTGAGATTGAAGGTGTTTGTGTTTCAGTCTTAAGATATATAAGACAGGCTGGCCTTATGATCACCATATCGATCCTCGTAACCTTATTGCGGACCATATCATGTCGAGCTGCAGACATGGAGCCGACACCACCTTCGAGCCGCACAAGCAGAGCAACAGGTGCACCAATTCATCATATCGGTGAGATCCCTCAATATAATTAAGGGAACATTGTAGCTGGGCGGTTGGAGTCGATCTCCACCCCTCATTCTTACCAAGTGGCGTTTCCTAGCCTAAACCTGTGAGGCTCCGACCCTTCGTGAAGCATAAAGAGCTCGTCTGTTCCACTAGGTTCTCTGTCTGCTCTCTACACTTACTCTGGCTTCCATAATCTCAGCACTATTTCCTATACGAGAAGTCAACTTTGAGCACAAATGACACATTATTGGACAATCTTCCTTGATTTCGAACCCTCGTTTGTTGCCGTCAGTGTTCCGCGGTTGCTTCGAGACAATACCAGCAACAATCTCGACTGTATGACAAGTCTAATATTCCAAGATAGTCCTATTTGCTGGGCGTTGAAACTTCGAACTGAAAGGTCGAATTACAATGTATAGCTGCACGAAAGCTTGCATAGTAACAATGTAAGGGCGATTCCTGGAAGTGTTTAATACTCATTTACTAAGTTTGTGATAGGAGCTTTTCATGGAGATACTTTCGTATACTCAAGCCTACCAAGTTAAATAGACATCATGTCTCTTCTATCGGAAATATTGCGGCCCACACCACCCGGTGCCAGAGAAGATGCCAACTCTTTGAGGAATCAGCGTTCAAACCCTAGATCCAGTGTCTAAGTCTTGCTGCGATCCCGTTCAACGGCATTTACAGCTTCAATGACTAAACACTAATGCTTCGGGAACTTGGGAAGCTTATTTATTGGCTGGCTGGCGGACAGGTCATCCTCATCTATGGATGTGTACTCCACGAACGAGGTATGCATATGGCACGTGACCATATTCGTTCTTGGACATACCTCTAGGTGAGGCTAGTAAGTGTACAGCCTACTACTCTTGTTAGCCTCTGGGCTCTCTTTGTAGGAAATCTTCTTGGCTGACTTTCAACAATAAATCAACCCCTCGTGTGTAACTGAGAGCTCATCTTTCCAACCAGACGGAACACACTTTCACTGCTACATCACTGCAACATAAATGCTGCGGCAAACAACATGGCTTAGACATCAGACATGTCTTCGGAAGGAACATCATGGAGTACTCACCGGCGCCCGTTTTGAAGGCGCTTTAGTCACTGGTACTGTTCCGCCCTATTTGTGGGCGGAAACTCTCACCGAGCTAGCTTGTACTGTTACACGAGCCCAAGTCACGTTTTTGCACACGAGTAAGTAGCAAAACCTCATTCAGCCTTCCTCTTAAATGAATCTTAAGTCGCCCTTTGTTCAAACGTTGGCGCCCTTTCTCCGCGTATTTTACTTCGGTCCTTTGGGCAAACCGACGTTTATTCGGCGAGGATCAATGACTCCCCTCCTCCTATCATTCAAGCTCCGCAGTCAGATATCTGGGCGCCAGTTTCACACCGCCAGGGCTCTGTGGTGGAGTTTAAGGGCTCTTACGCAATGCCGGTGACTTGAAGACGATGAGTGCTCATCTACATTCTTGGCTCGCTGGGTTTGAGCCTGTTCTATTGTTTTGCTGTGTTGCCGCAGGCGCCCTTCTTATACGGAAGAACTCGGTCCTCAAATTTGTACAATTAAATCCATTGCGGCTATGCTGAATTTGATTTGAGCTCATTATATATATGTCTCCTTCCTTCCTTTGATTGCCGCCGCCATCTGATCACTTTGCATCATTTCCTCAAGCGTCTTATTCACATCTGCAATCAACTCCTTCATCATGCCACAGCCACGGCATTCGCATAGACATAAACGTGTGGTCACTTACTCGTGGTATTGGTTCTGTCGGTCATGCCGCTCTGGCATTGCTCACAGCACGCGCCAATATCAGTGTGCCAATCCTCTTTGTTTAGCCACTAGACCTCATGACGATGGAGGTGTCGATTGGGAAAGACATGAAGATCCCTGAAAGTCGAACACATTTCTCAGCGAAGGCGTATGTAAGTGGTATATCTTCTTCAACACAACTTGACTAACATAGGCAGGGTTCCGCTCGTTATTACATTTAGATCGCTTCGGGGGTTTCTGTTACTGGCAAGCATTTTAGCGGGCAGGTGGTGTTAATGGAATGATACAATCATACTAGAATCGGTCGCAGGGAATTAGATGGGAGTCTAGGTGCATGGATCAACTCGAGACTTTTGGCGCAGGGAGTCTTCTTGGTCGCGCGTGAGAGCGGCATTTCTGGTGGAATATAGATTTATCAATTTTGTCGTCAAGCATATTAATCATGTCAGCTCCGCTCTTAACTGTTCGAGCAGCTATTAGCAATCTCATATCTACTATTAAGGGCGGGTCTATGAATTTGATAATACTTCCGAAATAAGACATTGAGCTTGCTCAAACTTGTGTCTTTGTCTTCAAGTCCGGAAAAAACAGGTCATATTCGATTATCATGGTATTCAGTATTTTGAAATGATAAAATGAATATGTTTTACGTCGCATCAATGCGGTGGAAAAGCCAATTATCGAGTTTCTAGATATTATTGTATTACACTCCTTGAAATGTCCAACCAATTAACAGACGTAACTCTTCAGCTCAAGCTCAATGTGATTGGCTGAAGCACCTGAGTACTGTATTTCAATTGGGTGCTTTCCTCGCTTACAGTATTTCGGCCCATAGGTACGTGGAGAGGTATTCGATGGCACAGACCGACATCTAGGTGTTTTAATAAATGTTATAAATGTTTAGGGTTGCTATCGCTGGATATCAATGTGCGCTGTTGGCTTCTCTGTTCGAATAGCAGCTATTTGACTTCTACCTTTATATTGCTTTTGCGCTTATGTCACTGGACTACCTAAGCATTTCTACGAATGAAAATGGGAATTAGGCTCCAACTGCCATAAGCAAAGAGAATCCTTTCATGAATTAAAAGGCTGAGTCTTGGCGACGAGCCTTGTTGACTTTTGCGCCTCGGTTAATCAAAGTCACCACATTCATCAGAAGCACCAGGCGCCTTGTCAGTTCGCCTTCTCAACATTTTGAAGAGCCCGAAGAACGATTGGGCTCTTGCTTGCTGTGTCTACGGCTTAGACGGTGGCAAAATATGTCCTGCTCACTGCCTCGAATTCCTCCCACGATTTCTCGCCCATTATTGTTCGCACCAGGCTAATACAAGAAGCTGATTCCAAGTTGGCTTTCTTACCGCTGCGGTACACAGAAATTCATCGTTCTGTAATGGCAAATACACAAATCGGTATGCCACCCGGTGTCGTTTCCATTGCTTGAACTGCCAGCTCCATGACATGACTCATTCACATGCTAGCTGGCCTCTGGAAGACTCGAAAACAGCCTTGCAGAGTTTCCTAAGAGTCGAGAACTGATCCGATTTCTGCGACAAGCAAGGCTGGATCTCGAAGCTGATTCCGACTGAAGTACAGCAAGAGGCAAAATGGCTCATATTACTGATGTAGACGCGTTGTCTAGTAGCTACTCACACTCCCATCCCAGTCTTTTGCATGATCGTAACAGCAGGGTCCCGATCACGTTACTATCTAATTAAGTCACTTCTATAGACTTTGAGTGAATTGGAAATCAATTCTCCGACGAAATATATTTTCTGCTAGTCTTTTGGTGTCGTTAACGTTGAGTAGCGAGATAAAGAAACCTTGTGTATATGTATCCAATCTTTTTGATCCACATATCACGGGAGTTCATCGGGCCGCACATCCCGAGAGCAGCTTCGGATAAATGTCATTCCGGCTGACCACCCACGACGACATCACAGATGCGTCACTAAGTGTCGATTTAACATCAGCATCATTATTCTTTTATGAGACATTGAAAAACTTTCTGGAACCCGTCTTGTTATATACGGTGATACATGGTCATTCATTATTCTGTGCTTCGTGGTACATACGTATCAATCAAAATTGCATGCTATCCTGCGGCCCCCGAGTGCCTGTCATTCGATCATGCAAAACGTTTACCGTGGAAAGGCATTGGAGACTGAATGATAGTCACCTTTTGTACACCATATTACTATGTCCTCGAACCACATCAATTTGAGGGGCGCACGTGGCAACTTCCCATGAAAACGAGACACGGGTTTGGTGCCAGCACTACTCTGAACGCCCGTATGCCGAACCTTTATCAGTTAAGAGGGTCAGCGAGCACTAGAAAGACAAGATAGTACTAATATGGGGAGACGAAAGAACTGCATGATCTTTGTTTTACATGTAGTTGTCAGATGATTCAGTTGAGAGGCGTGCCTTCAATGCGAACCACAATTTTCGTACACTGTGCCAGCCACAGCTTCAGCTGCTTAGCCCCTTGTCAATATCTGAAGCTCTTTGGCTTTCTACAAATCTTCCTTGTGTAAGATAGAACGGGCACTCAATGACTGGGCTTCATTGAGTGCTGGGCTCATACCATGGGTCAGTTTCCCTCTTATTTCCGACC